TGCAGATGGCTCTTCAGCCAGCCAGTCAGGTCGACGTTCTTCACCCTATTTCACTAGAAGCTCTCCTCTTTTGCATTCTGGGCGCTCAACAGTGTCTTGGACCCAGCATCTCTACAGCTCCATCTGAATCATGATCCTTATGAAGGGTCATTAACCTGTGCGTTAAAGTCCATGAGCAATTCAAAGAACTTTGAAGCTTCCTTAAGAATTCAATATTGCTAGCATTATGACACCTCCAACTCTTACGAGGACCGACATAAATGGAAAGAGCATTGATTTGATTTGTGAGAGTATGGCAAACGGCCCTTGCCACCTGGGCGCAGACCTCTTCGACAGGCTATTTTCTGTTGTACCTCTTCATAAAGCCTGCCGACTCATCAGGACCATTCGTCCGACTTGAAGCACACAGCCGATAGCCACCTCTATTTACACACTTTCTTCTCTTGAACTCGGTGAATACATCCACGTACATTGACCGTTGTTTCCTCAGGTCTTCTTCCGCTAGGGATGGCTGCTACCGTGGACCACCAGGCTCAAACCCAGTTTGGAGAGCAGCTCTCTACTGTAGATTATGGATTTGGGAGAGCGAAAGGTGGTCAAGTGTAACGTTGTGTTGCAATCATACTTAACACATAGTTTAAGATCAAGCCTAGGGATAGGATCTGAACAAGAATACAAATACAGTAGAAGAGTGCTTAGCTGCACTCCGTTTACCCATCTGCCTTAGGATAACTCGCAGTAGTCGCATTGTGTTAACAGTGTCGGTGAACCAAAAAGTTACGCTAGAATGTGCAACGAACTTCGAATCCCTATCCTTAATACTACTCCTGAAGAATCTATGGAGCTTAGGGAAATACGTTAGAATAACTAGGCTACCTACATGGCCGGCACACAGCTGAGAACAATACGTGAAATGGGCATACTTGCTGATTCTGCCGAAAACGACGCAATCGCAATCCTGACCGTTAACCTCTGGCAATCCAAAAATGAATCCGCACACCAGATCTTTTGGGAATTCGGAGGGCCTTGCAAGAGGCCGAGGTCAGAAGAATTGGCATCAAGACTTAAATTAAAGAGCTGGATCGTAGATTGGACCATAGAATACCGTTTTATGCCTGTCAGAGGCGCCGATGGGGATTTGTGAGAAGCCGTCCGTCAAGTCAAACGCCGAGCAGCCTGTTGATCCGTACAGCTTCTCCAATAAATCTCAGATGAGGATCGGGTATCTGCGCTTCTAATCAATATTGGTCAGGGGCAAAAACCTAGCCCACATGCGCCAGATTCCGTGCTTCTTGGACACCAGCACGGGGCTATGCCCCAAAGCTCTGGTCGATTCCTGCAATTTGCCTTTTTTGCAACAAATCATTCGTCTCCCTATCAGTATGTTCTTCATTCCGTTAAGGCATGAAATACTGCAGAGCACAAATCAGGGCTGGCTCAGTGATCCGCTCAGTAAGATGCGCTGGACAACTAATAAACGGTCAGTCTGCTGGCCCTCGTCACTCCAAAGCACATCAGAAAACTCATCCTTCATATCCATTTATTCCTGCTATTCCTCGGCTGCGAAAGCATTCGGTTTTAATGAGGAAGAGCCGTTTGCAGAGCCACTGAGACGAAATGGATGCTCACCACTCACAACCTTCCCTTACTGACCTGCTCAGCCATCCGGATGGAGACTCCTTCACCTATTGAGACACCGACCCTACACTGCCCACCATATATGAAGCAGAAGCTCTTGACAGTACCAGAAGCTGCTTCTTCCTAAAGCTGTCCGGCACTCTAAGTTCGTAAAAACGCAGCTGTGGCCGCACGTGCGCCTTCCATTGGGTCGCCCACGGTATGCCTAGGACTCCGCCGTGATGCATGTTCCGAAATAAAGGCATGCACCGTACTGATAAGACCTAATTCCGCGTTGAAGTGGCATTCAACTGCAGTAGCTTTGCCAAATCTCGCTCTCTGCCGCGTGTAGGCAAACTCGTTTAGTAGGGACTGCGCTGACGAGGACAGGCCACTGCACAGCTCCCTCAGATACGAGGTCGACTTCACATTCAGTGACCATTGACCCCAGCAGTTCCTGACCATTAATGTGAAGTGTACTCGGGCAGGATTGACCCGTGACAGTCCTCTAACTATTTTTCTTCACTGTGCCGCAGCCTGCGTGGAGTCTTGCTATTTGCCTGATGCGCCATTTTTGTTCGCCAAAGAGCCTGCTTCCTCTAGGCCTAGTGCCGTGCTATGTGCTTGGGCTTTTTGCATGGGCGTGCCGTTCTGAATTATGCTACTCATTCATCCAGAGTAGACGTTGGTGCGCTGTTGATGGGCTGTGTGGGTGCGTGGTGCGTGGGAGGGCGAGCTCCCTCTGGCTTTCTTGTGGCTCACGTTGAACTGTAGGCTAGACTAGCTGGCACAGCCCCGACGTCCGTGAGTGCTAAATCAGCACTTGGCTCTTCTTTCTCATCAAAGATACAGGGACTATTGCCATTTGCTTCGAAGCCTTAATCAGTCAATCTTTTGCGAGACCCTCGCCGGTTGGGTGTTAAGTCGCTTAGTTGTTGCCTCTTCTGCAAACATCTGAAGTGATGCTTTGGGTAGGCGGGTAAAAAAAACACTAATAAGGCAGCTGTCCTTCGACGTTGCGGCTCCTGCAAACGATTGATTTCCGTTCCTTGGTATACTGATTTTTAGTGAGATTTTCTGTCTTTCTGCTTTGTCAATTGTCCCAAAGCTTGTTGCCGAGCTAATTACGGCTTTTACCGATGAGTCAGAGATTGTCTAAAGGCCCGAACCATAGTGTTCCCGGAATGATGACCATTTGCGCTGCATGAATATAGGCAGTGTTGAAGTTTTTCTGCTTCCAAGAGACATTTCCCGATGGAGCACTCGTTTTCCCTCATCTCAGGGTACGAAGAGAAATGCCTCCAACCAACTAACAAAACCCTCGACTACGTTCCCATCCTTACAACTGTCATTTTTGTCTGGTATGCACAGCCTTATCAATGTGTCCGTAAAGAGTGCATCGGCTAAGGAAAAATCCCTCCATTCTACCTGCTGTGAAGCTACTATTTTCATATCGGATTACAAGCCGGCCGTTGCTGCCTCAGCAGCAATTTAGGCCCCCTCAGCTTCCACCGCCCGAGAATTTTCCTCCCAACCTCTTGCCGGTGAAATCAGATCAGGAATACTTAAAGGCTTCGATCGAAAACAGATACCTGTTGAAGGAAATGATGGTACCCCACTGTATCCGCAGCTAGTGGTTGTGCAGTGAACAGCTGCATTGAACCATGCGGTGCTACTAACTGGAACCCTCGACAAAGTTCGTCAAATGAAGCCAATTGACTCCGAATTCAACGCGAAATTCAAAGAGACTAAATGCGTGCTTTGAGTAAAAGATACCCCACCAGTGTATGCATGCGCTCCTTACAGCAATCAACACGGGGAGAGAGGGACAGCTAGGGTACGTCTAGCTACCCGAGGAGAGAGGGACAGCTAGGGCACGTCTAGCTACACGAGCCTTCCAAGCATTCACAGCCAATTACACATAGCGTACTGCACGCTCACATGGATCATTGAGTCTTGTTGTAACGAGGTAGCACTAATGTGCAGCATATAAGACCTAAAAAGCTAAATCAACTATTCGACTCAGTGCTAAATCTCAATCTAAAATGATCATCGGAAGGGAAAGCGCCGAAGCGTGGCGGCAGGCTGTTTGAGCAATCCACATAGCCTACAAACGAAACAACTTGGTGCAAATGCAAGCCCACAACACCCAAGCCCATGCAAGTCCACAGCAACCAATATCCACGACAAACCACAAAAGTCATCGTTTTTGCCCCTTTGAACTATCTATACTAAAATAGAAGGGGAGATGGCACGTTAGGCTGGCACAGGGGCAGTGGGAGAGGTAATTCGCTAACAGTTTTACATGCACTACGGAAGGGTCCATGGCCTTGTGGGTCCAGCCTCTAAATGAGCCTGAGAAAAGAGCAAAAGATTACGTAGAGACACTGCTGATGCCTTATATCACTAAAATGACTGATCGCCACCTGTATTTACTCCAGTTCCCAGGAGAAGTGCCACCCCAGTAGAGCTGAAGTCCATCGGCGCGTTCAAAGCAGAAGCTATTTCGTGTTAAGGCGACTCAAGGGTCCTCGCGCCTGCTTATCTCCAGTATGACAGTGCTGAAGAAACCTCCTAATGGACCCCACTCCGAAGGTAAAATGTTTCCTGGTAGCTGTTTACCACGCATTTCAGGTGGCTGCACAACAGACCCGACGGAGGTATGACGGAGCAGGGCAGCAGCGGCTACATACACTTAGCCACAGACAAATACGATGAAGTGGCAAAAACCATTATGCAAAGATATCTTGATGGAAGCGCGCATGCAATGAAGTAGGCGCACGGCATCGAAATTGTACATGCAGGCAGAAAGATATAGGCTCAGATATGGACATCAATTGGTACAGAATTCCGTATGTGTAGACAAAGGCAGATGGATGCAATTGGAAAATGGCAGAGAAAATCAGAGTAGCAGGTTTATAAGGCTCTGCGGTTCGTTGATGTTGGGACTAGAGGTGTACTTTGTTGCTGGTGAAATCCATTTTGAGGACCGTGGAACCCCGCATACGGAAGCAAGCAATGCACGAAACGATAGCGAGAACAGCTGGCAATATATCATGCAAGAAAATAAATGGAGGCTACATCATATGCTCTTGAAGTAGGGTATCTGTCCAGCAAGAAAAGCAACACTCTCTGGGTGCTGCACAGTGCACTTACAGTACAGACAGCAAGATGCTAGACTGCAGGATTGCCTAATCCTCTGTATGCCTTCCGCTGTAAGATGCGATCCTAGCTCTTAAGGGGATACATATCTTATTGGTGTGACCCTTCTATGACGGGGGGCCGCCCTTTGGCGCATGTTCAACGAGCACATGGAGTTAAAGTCGAGAGTACGTAGGCATCTAGGCTCGCATACGTGCACATGTGGGGAAAGCCCCAGTTTGCTACGGCCTGAAACGCCCAAACGTGGCGAACTCTGCAACAAAGTTGGCAAGCTCATGTTTAAAGGCGTCTTCTCTTTTGTGGAAGTATTGCTGCTTAAAGCGGGGAAGGGGTCCCTGCTCTGATAAATTCTTGGGTAGAGCCTCTCGCACTGCCTCTAAAACAGCTGCCTGTAGCTCCTCGAGCCGTTGCTGCAGCGACTCCGCTGAGCATCCCCCAGTCCAGCTCCCCACACCTTGCTGCGTACGCACATTCACACAGTAAGACGGCCACATTTGCATGAAAGGGGATCTGTACGGCACGTAGCGATTTAACCAGAGCCTCGGAAGCGGCACAGAGGAAGGCTTAGAACCATCTCGAGCCAAACATACACACGCAGTGGGCATGAAATGCTAACAACGCACACAAACGCTTGCACATGGACACAAATATTAGCCAAACAGTTCGTGTGAGCTAAAAAAAGAGCTAAGTTTTTACTGGGGCCTGTAACATACAGCTGCAAAGTTCACGGCAAACGAGCGTAGCAGATGCCTGAGGGCGTAGGCTCTCACGCCGATGCAGAAGAGTGCAACAAAAAGACATGCACCCATTATATCCTGTTCCTGCAGCACACAATCATCCCGCAAAAACACATCACATATGTGTACACGTTGAGCTGTGCGTATATGTGCTCACCATCACTAAAGGGCATGACACGAAAAGACCAAGCTGAACATGAGCAGCGAGAACATTGTGAGAAGGGGCAGACGCCTACCGCAGCCGTCATCTGTTCGCTGGGCATCTTCTGCAATAACGCTGTGGCAAGCTGTGGCGCATTAAAATCAAGAGTATTAGTAAGTGTTGAATGAGTAGTGATCACTGCATATGAATCCTAGTCAGGTGACAATGCGTTCGTATTAATGCACACATTTGCATTTGCTTGGTATCAAGACGAACTTCAGACTGTTAAAATGTCGTCAACTGGGATTGGGCTATTTCATAGGGATTTACAGTTTTCTACATGCAAACCAGCTCGAAGCCCTATGATTACCTGCGCAAGGTGTACGTACACCTGTTGCAGCGAATCGGCCCCTGGCATCAGTTTAAACAGCCCCTCCGTCGCTTCCGCACTTTCGAGGTTTGGGCTGTACAGCCCTTGCTGTAGCTGTATGTCTGCTGCATGCATTGCAACTACATGAATCGCCTCCAACGCCGCGTTAGCCAAACGCGCCTGCCCAGAGAGGGCCCCCCGTTCGGCCTGCAAAAGTCCAGGACAAGAGATACATAGCCCAAAGCTTACGGTACAACCCTGTAGCCCTTACCACATGGAATTCGCTAAACGAGACAGGATCTCCATGGGATGCGATGCTTCTTACGAGCTCGGGGTAAAAATGGGACAGCCTCTTAGAATTTGAATTGAGAATGATCAGGGTACAAGGGCTAGGTCTCAATGGGGGGCGAGACCCACAGGGTGGGGCCTCAATTACAGTGATTTTAGGATAGGTTTCGCCGGGATATAGGGGACTAACCAGAGTCATCATGACATGCGTGTCCTCTGGTGTCATGTTCTGCAGGACGAGGGCCACATCGTCTTCCAGCAAAACCCCAACAACTGAAAGATACGAATTTAAAACCCTATAACGATGCATGCACACAAGCATATCCAAATATAAGAACGGATGCGTATATCCGTGCGCGCGCGTGTAGGTATGGAGGCAGACAGACTGATGCAAAAAACTGCCATTCGTATTGAGGAGAATACACAAGCACGTCTTACTTAAACAGCACGACCAGTAAATGCCGAAGCATCTCCTAGGACACCAACTAAGGACTTGCTATGCATGTGTCAGTTTGGGGCTTCATAACTATGTTCACAGGGTTCCCTATTGTACGAGGGTCTTTTGCGCGTACTTGGGCTGAGTGGGTGTTAAGGCTACACACAGCGGGCGTAGCGCCCTTAGGCACTCAATTAAGGACCCCGCCACCCTGCACACCCAAGCCGAAAATTTTGCAGCCCCCTATCCAAAAACGCAAGATATGAAGTCCAGAATCCTAGTTCCGCGGAAAAGGTACTGAAGTCATATGCAACCATATAAATATATATATATATGTATATATATACGCGTATGTACAGTATTCAATCTGCATTGTATGAGATGCAATTACACCTGGCATTGCACATAAACAGAAACCAGAAACTGAAAAATGGGAAGGCCAAATGACGACATTCAAGAGCCCCTGGCTATCCCCTTCCGCATTCTGCCCATCTTTCCGGGCGAATCCTGATAACTCTACCTGCTTACCACTTCGTACGCGCACTTCCCCTGTTCTCTCCAGCAAGTTGCCGTAGCAGTCTGAGGCAGGAGACAGGCAGGCTGATATGCATACAAACAAATGGACCCCCTAGCTGAGAGCTAGTCCTTAAACGCACATATATGCGATTCACGGGCCTTCGAAGCAAATGTTTCTCGAGCTCTCATTGATAGCAGGCAGGTTGTGACCCCACGGGTCAGGGGTAGACACATGAAATCAAGTCCCCCGAGACAAAATAAAGCACTTCTGTAGGTGCACGACATCTTCTGCTCAAAGACCAGCATCTACAAAATGTTTCTGGACGATACACTAAGAAGAGGACTGAACCGGCTAAGCGAGGAAGAGGCTTACTTGAAGATCTGTTCTCCATTTGTTATGGCCGCATCTTCCTCGTCAGGGCTCATCTGACGATCTAGTTTTGACTGTATCCCACACCACACGCCTTACCCCACACCTTCGTCTATACGCCACGCCATCAACGACCAGCATCCGGCAGTTTAAGCCCACTCGACGTGCATCAGAGATGCTAATGGAGTGAGTAGTTACACATCGGCACACCCCACAAAGGTAAGGGCTTGAAGGTCAAAGAAAATTTTAGGAGTTTCTACATGGCTTGGGATCTAAAACGAGGCCTTGATTTTGATGCGCACAGAAAAAGCAGCAAGCACCGTCGTGTACTCCGCCAAAAGCGCCTCCGCTTCTTCCTGGGTTAAACAGCCAGCTCCAGCGGCGGCCACGCGACGAGAAAACTTCAGTCCGCTGCAAAACAACCCTAAAATCCTAAATTTTCATATCAAAATCCACCCCATACTGCGCCCTCGCACCAATTTCATGCCATGCACCTGCTGAAACGACCAGGGACAGGGTTTGAAGCCTTGACATGAACGAAAAAGACAAGGGGAGGGCACATAGACACGAACAGCCACCACACAAACGAGACAGCAACGGGACTTTAGCAAACACTGGAAAGAGCAGAGACGCACGCAGATTAAGTAACCGTTGAAGACTTAGAAGGACGCCACAAGCAGCTTACTCCATGAGCGCCTCTGGGTTGGAAGCCGCAGCGCGAGTGACCGCAAAGGCACACCGCAGTGTGGGGCCCATCCACTGCAGCAGCCGCCGTGCGCCTTCTCTTCCGGCCCCTGATGCGAGGCCTCCCAGCATGCTCAGCACCCAGCGGATCTGTGGACAGCGCATGAAGAACAAGCAATCAGTAGAGGGCAGCCAGGCAGCTCGTGCGTGCTAGTGCAAAGGGCGGCTCGCCACAACCAAGCACAAAAAAATCACTACCAAAAAATCGGATAAAGACTACACACGGACTCCCCACACCACCCCGAGAAGCACTGGGGTTTGGGCTTGGGCCTTCACACGGACGCCTCGCAGATGGACTGTACGAGAGGAGACTGTGTATATCAGAGAAACCGAGATACGTCACTCTGAAGGAATCCTGAGAGAATCTGAGAAGCCTCCTACGGGAAGATCTGGGCAGACAAGTGTGCAGAGACGCCAAAGACCCCTACCGCTGGGATCGGCAGTGGTTGGCTCCCTTCTGCTATTGCTGCAGCTGCCTGCAGCACGCCAAGCCCGACGCTGCACCGCTGCAGCAAAGCGGCAGTGCGAGTTGTGGCAACTTCGTTACTCAGCATCGTCCCACTGCGGTGGTAGGGCTCCTGTGGCTGTTGTTGTTGCTGCTGCTGCTGGGCAACATGCCTCTTGGCGAGGCCCCACAACTGCTCTGATGGAGCAGCAGCCGCTGCAAAGGCTGCGAAGACGGAGGAGCAGCTCTTGCTGGACAGCTGCCTTAGCTTGACGCTGCTGTCGTTGCTCATGTTTCCTGCTGCTTCGTTGTTGGAGGGTGCTCCCGCTGCCGATGGCTGTAGCAACCCCGCACAGCAGCTGCAGCAACTGTCCAGCAGCGCCTGAAAGGCGGCAGACTCCCACAGGTATGCGCAGCAGGGATTATGGCTGTCAGCAAACCTGCAGGGGTACAACAGCAGCAATAGGATTACAGCGGGGGAATGTGTGGCTACCTAGTGGGGCAGGCCACTACATACACTCCTGCTTGCATGGAGTTACGCGACGTGTTGCCAGTCCTCGGCAAGCACAGTGTGATCACCCCCTCTATAACCGTGCTGTTTTCTCAATATCTGTGCAGACAGGGGGATCCGAGACGCTTGCTGCTGTACTTGCTCACAGAGGAGCTACTGACGGAGCTGCGAGAATAGGGAGAGGAGACAAAAATGTAGAAAGAGAGAGAGAGAGAAACGAAAAGAATAACTTACACGCGAAGGGTGCGGGCGCTAGCCAAACTGAGGGCTGGATGCTGAGGAGCAGCAAGGAGGCAGTCAGCAGAAAGCGAAACGCCTGCGTTCAAGACCTTCAGGCCACCCTCTGTAGCACAATAGCAGATGCACAACCGGAGACGTAAGATGAAAAGATTGAAAAACAGCGCTTATCTTACCTTTACATGGACACTTATGTTGAGAGACTGCAAACTACGCTTCGCTACACACGGAGACAATGCACGGGATGGGAGGCGCAAAGGCCAGGGTTTAGGGCGCTCGCTGTGCCGACCTGGTAGTAGGAGATCTGCTAGTAGGGGCTTGCCAAGCCTCTCTCTGAAGAGATAGGCCTTAGCCACAAGGCATACGACACCAAGTCCAACCTCCACCACTACGGGGGACGTCATCTGTTGGTGTGCCTGCACCAGGAATTGCTGCTGCTGATCTACTGCTGTGGCACCAGAGGCAGCAGCAGCTGCTGCTGTTTTTAAAGCAGCTGTTTCGAGATCGAGCGTTGAGAAGACAGCATCCAGCAGGCGAAGGAGCTGAGCGCACACCGCGAGACTCCGTGAGATGTGTTTGCAGTGTAAACACAGTAAGACACTTTGATAGGCACATGCATTTAAGAAGAGCCACGAGTTAGCAAGTCTACTGCAGCAACCAATGCAAAAACGGAGACGAAAGGAGAGAACACAAGAAGATAAAGCACATAGCTCACGTGTTCTTGTGCCGCCTCATCCTGTAGCAGCTGCTTGGGGGGGCCCAGGCGGTGGTTGGCGAGGGCCTCGGGGCCCTGATGGGCTACAATGAGCAGCTGGATGTACAGTAGAAGCCAGTGCTGCTCTTTATGCAGCTGCTGGAGCAGCGCAATTTGCGTTTGCACTTGCTGGTTGCCCCCAGACGCAATAGAAATTGCTGCTCCATCCCTCACCTGCTGCTGCTGTTGCCGCAACTGCAGCTGCTTCGCAGTGGCAGCAGCAAGGGCCTTAGCAGGGCAAGCAAGGGCGATCTGGGCCAGGGCTTTAAGAAACTCATGCAGCTGGGATCCCCCATGCAAAAGAAACAAAACTCCCTTCCTCTTAGCAGCGTCCCCGCCCTCACATTCGTCATCGCGCTGACTGCATGCATGCAGGCCCCTGAAACGCGCACCGATAAAACGGGAATTCTCAGTTTGTACGACAGGGTGCCTGCTGCTGAAAGCAGGCGTCGACGTGTATGGCTGAGGGTTTAATCATCAGGGTTTGACATACTTATGCACAAAGGCCTCGACGAGAAGACCGGAGGATTCGCGGAAGGCTTGCCACCAGATGGCATCAGTGAGCTTCATGGCTTGCTGCTGCTGCTGCATGTGCGGCGGCTCAGGCATTAGTTGGTTATCGGCAGCCAGTAGCAGACGAGACACCCACGAGCTCCATGCACGTACCAACAATGCCAAAGCCTCCGCTGCCAGAGATGCTCCTGGGGAGGAACCCGCCGCAACGTCAAGCAGCCCAAGTCCCAGCCTGTGGCAGCAGGAAACCGACTAAGAGACGAGCTACACACAAAAGACGGGAAGAACATGCGGAATTTATGACTAAAATAGAGGCACTTCACGGCAAGAGAAAGAGGCATAGACAAATTAGGTCTAGCAGATGCCTAGGGATTTAGGTCTGGCCAGGAAGAGCCGGGGAGAAGCAGGCATTGCATGCGAACGTCAGAAGAAAGCATATGCATGTGTCCACGCAGAAGAGACCATTTCATGACCCCCCGTTGGACGTTTTGGGGGTATGGTTCCTGCTACAGCTGCTACTCATGCTATACAATCTGCTGCACCCCTGTCCTTCCGGTTGCCGTTGCTGCTCGGTACCTGGCGAAAAGAGGCGAGACGCGGGATGACAAGTGATCAAAGAGAATTTCAGGAATGGCCTCCAGGCAGTCTGCAGAGAGCGATAAGCAGAGCGAAGAGGCACATATCTCCACAGAAGCAGTAAACACGGATGAGCAAGATGAGCAAGATGGGCAAGATAAGTAGTGACCATCAGGAGAAAGTTCACAAATACGTATAATACGCTGTACGCGCGCAGAGGACTCCACGGGAAGCCGCCCAGATGCCACGAGAGGAAAACCACAGAGAGAGTGCGTGAGTGCGATGCGATGCGCACACAGAGGGACTGCGTAAGGCGAAGGGGCAACAGACAAAGTCATCCGATTCTCCGAAAACTTGAAGAGGGCTGAAGGGTTGACATGGGGGTCTCTTGGGATGGACCTCAGGGGAGGAACAAACAAACCTGCAAGATTTGCAAGGGCTGCGCAAAGATCTTGAACCTCTTCTAGTTGCAGAATCTCAGCGGACACCCCATGAGTCTTTTGAGGAGTCTGAGAGCCCGCAGGGGCCCCTGGGAGCTGTTCACAAAATGCAGACGACTCCAAAAGATCTAGGAGGACCTGCATAAGCGGCACGTATACAAGCACTGTGATCCGCTGTTTCTTAGATCTTGCAACCGGCCCAGAATAGCTCTTCTTCAAGGGCAAGGGTGACGCAGGACAGGTGGCAGCGAAGGCAATTCCCTGTTCATCCGCCCCTTCCTTATCTCCTCCCAGCAGCGCATCCGCCATTGCAATGGGCCTAAATTTCGCAACGCGCTGCAGCACGTAACGAATTGTGGAGAAGAGCTCAGGTTCCTGTTCTTGGGACAGACGCAGCAACTTGTACAAGCGCAAAACTAGCACAAACAGCCCGTCCTGCTGCGGCAGGGGCTGCACAGCAGCTGTAACTCCGCCCGCATCAGCAGGATGACTTGCTGCCGCAGCTGCTGCTGATGCTGCAGCAGGGAAAAAGACTGGAATCCATTCAGCTGGAGGCGTCAGAGAGAGTTCGTCTACACTGGAGAGCCGTAGCAACAGATGGCCAAAACTCCAAGAACAGGCTACGTCCAATGCTGCTAAGATGGCAGCTGCAGGTGAACCACACAAAGCAGACACATGCACAAATATCATCGAAGGCATGCAGAGATGCCGCAAAACGCGTGCGTAGACACCGTAAAGAAAGCGCACAGGCAATTAAGACGAGCAGCACCACCCCTGGCGCTTGTTTGTGGAATACGCTGCGCTGTATTGCAGTACATCCTCAAAAACTCATCGGCACTACTAACACACTAAGGAAGCTGTCGATACACCCCAATTCAAGGAATTATGACTCAACTCAAAGAGGAAGGAAGCATTCCTCACACACCACGCTCATAATGCACACATCACCAATTGTAAGGACCCTTAACCCGCCGAGGCAGGGGACTTGCAACGATATCAGGACTTGCGATATCTCAGCGGCAATGATGCGGAGAACGCCTCACCGATCTCTCCGTTGCCTGACTGCTGGGGTTGTTGTTGGTCTAGAATATGCTGCAGCCGCTGCAACACGAACTGCACCAACGGCAACAAAAGCTGCTGCTGGAAAGAACGGCAGCAAGCTGCGTGCTGCTGCAGCGTAAGATGCATGCCGTGCTGCTGCTGTTGCTGCATCTCCTGCGCTACATCCGTCAACAGCGACAGCCAGAACAGGGGAATTGGTTCCATGGGGCCCTTGGCGGAAGCCTGCAGACGCAGCAGCGGCAGCAGGGGCGGCAACAGCCTTAGTGGCAGCAGTGAGAGCAAGAAAGGTACTGAGGTGGGATACATTCAGTGCAGCAAAAGTCCTCTGTTATCACAAACACACCCGATCTACCCGCCCTCATGCACATATACACCCCTCGATCGGTCCCCTTAGAGTCCGCTGGAACAGAACTACAGGTATGTACAAACAAGCGTATGAAAGAGCATGCAGCCCGAAATAAAAGCCGAGTTTTTCGAGAAATGTACATCTGCATATGGGACGCTTGCCCTCACAGGCAGCTCACGTTGCTAAGGATTTCCTTCATCGCTGAGAGGAAGGCAGAGGCGTCCGTTGCGATGCCCTTCTTGGCCAAACAGCAAAAGGAATGAGTCAGCTGACGCTCCCCACTCCCTAGATAGGCGACAGCAGCGGCACACCCACAATACCAGCAATGAATGCCACCATCAACAGAAGTAGCAGAGCAGCTGCAATCAGGAGGCACACTTGATTGCGTCATTTAGGGGGATTGCGGATTGAAAAAGGTGTTCTAATCGTAGTACCCTTCATGCCTGCCACTGCTCTCTGTTGCAGCAGCGCCACTACGCTGGCCATCAACTGCTGCATGCGCGACACATACTGCGCCAGGGACGCAGCAGACGCCGCGGCAGCATTTGCTGCTGCTCCTGCTGCTTCTCCTGCTGCTGCAGCGGCAAGACGCTTTTTCGATGCTGCTGCCGCCGCAAGGCGCGCATTCCAGTGCCATAATGCTGCAGGAAACAGAGGAGACAAACAAGAGGTCTCTAAATCGCATATCCCCTTTCCCGCAACCCTCCCACGCCGCAACACTCTACAGCGTACCTCCGCTGCGGAGGAGCACAGCAGCAACAGTGGCCGTTGACGGGTCATTGGTGGCTTCAAAGATGGCGAGGCACAACTCTCCACAGTCTTCCCTCTGCTGCTGCAGTCTTTGAAGTAGCTGCTGTGCCTGCTCTCTAGTGCTGCTGTTGCTGCTCTGTAAAGCGGCGACAACAGCTTCGAACTCTGCGACTGTAGGCAGAGGAGGAACCCCAGAAGGTTCCATCACGCCTACGCCTAAACCGTAAGGATTTGGAAGCAGCTCTAAGCGTCGCCTTCGCACGGGCCAGCGACTGGGTAGGCAGATCCAGCCGAAGAGGGGAAAGATACCAGCCTCAGTTGAGTATAGCAGATGAGCTCTTTACTATGCTCCAAATTCAGCTATTGAGAGATGTGCAGGCTTCTTGCATCAGCAACAACGCAGCCGCGACGGTCGTGTGCGCTGGGGGATCCCTAAGGAAACAGGGGTCTCTCTGTGTCGCTTTGTGTTAGCGACTGTGGCAGAGGCTGGAAGACCTCTTGATCAGAGGATATATGGAGGATTCAAGTCACTGTGCCACGTTGCTCAGAGGCCCGCATGACTGAAGTAGCAGCACGAGCGCCTTTGGGGCTGGTAGCTGCAAGAAAGCAGACCTAATGGCATGCATTTTCCCCTTTACCACAAAATAGAGTGTACAAAATAGGATAACTGTATCTAGATAGTCCAAAGTTGCATTGCAGCATAAGGATGAAGTAAGAAGAAACGAAAAATAGGGCTGAAATGATGACCATTCGGAAGTCCATTACAGACCAATCGTACACAGAGCCTAGCAATACACAAAAACCGAAAGTAGAACCCACCAAAGGCCTCCTATTGAACAAAAACTACTACAGAAATACGATCCCACTCTGTGCTTTGCAGCCAGAAGCGGTCTTCCATGAAGAAACGATCTATCTCGACAGTCAGCTCCCATGTAATCGTTTTACAAAATACGGTCTGATCACTGCCATAGGAGCACCTAGCTGCCTTTTCTGCCCCATCTAGCCAATATAGGCTCACTAGCTGCCAGAAGGAGTCGTACTAAGAGATCATGATCCTTTTGGGCGATAGGGTAGGGGCTAGGTAGTGCATTTCCCTTCAAGGATGCAAAGGGCATGAGTCTGCATATGAATAAGGTACGGTACAGCTGTAGTGCTCTATATTTTCTGGAAGAATAAGCAGTTTACAGAAATGGAGAGGGCCCATTCTATGTTCCTGTCCACGGCTGCTCAGATTTCAGGTTTTGTCATCCAGCAGGACTTCCTTCTTTGTAGTGCGCCTCACAAGATATGTGGTACTGGTGAACGCATATATGCATGCATCACCGCTGAACAAAGCACAGTTAACCAATTTAAAAAGTAGCTGACGCAACAGGTAGCATGAATTTGTGGCTGCGCTAACCCTCCTGGGATGTCATGTGCGTAGCTGACTGTCCTTCACTTTGAAAGTTCGCTTCTTCTGCCCAAAACGGCATTACCTGGAACTCACTCAGTAAGAGGGCGCCGCCAGTGCACAGACGTTGCGGTTGGAGTGTTTTGGCAGTGCTGAGGCGTAAAGGTGATTGGTATTGGGTGTGGATGCTTCAAAGGGGCAAGCAAGCACCGTTACAGACGGCTCTAATAATGACATGTGCACGCGATTTTGTGATATAATATATACGCCACATTTTCGTTTGCTGTGATCTTATATGCTTCCTGGAAAGAATTTTGATGGATAAACGCAATTAAAGTTCTATCTTCAAGAGGCACTCTCCTGACCTGTAGGCAGCCGCCAAAGGGGAGCTCCCTTCAGATTTGCACAAAAAACTAAGCCTGTTATAGGGTGGCCTCCGGGTCCCACGTCAGTTGTTGATATGAGCACTTAACGTCTCGGAAAACCGTCCCTAAGTGTGACTGAAGGCCCTGTGCCTTTTACAAACGATCCCGCACGACCGCATGGGCCTTCTCTACCGCCGAAAAGGGCCCCAATGTCGTCCATGGAAACTCTGCGCTGAGAAGCGACCAGGGGGCTTGAGTGTCAACTTTGGAATCCCCAATTTCTTTAGGAAACTCCAATACCCTCTTCACTTGACCCGCCCATAACTAAGGCCCTTTACTGTGTGTCCTCGTCTTCTATGTTCAGAGGGACCCTGGGCCTTCGCGGAAGATTGAGATCTGCTCTGCGGGCCTTATAGAAAATTTCTGTCAGACGGTTGTTCTGAGCATCCACCTGAGCAAGCACAACAAAGAATCGACGCGAGATGCATGTCACGTGCTTATGCAGCGCTAGTGGGTTGAGGGGCGTGAGCAGCTTGCTGATCTTAACACATAGGGACAGCGCTTTTTTCTGCCTTCCGTCTCACGCTCCCGTATCGTATACTATCCCCTGTTTACCTGGGCCTGTGCTGTGGCGTGCGGATTTTTGGTAGCAAGTTGCTGGTAATATTCTTTAAGCCTTTCGTTGTTTTGCTCGAATGTTTTTAGGAAGAAGATCGTGAGAAAACAACCAACACCCAGGCAAGCCCACGAGAGGATCCTCGTTTGGGCTCGTGATCTATTGGGGAAAAACCGATAATTGGGATGTGAAGAATCCTCCCTCCGATAACGATCGAACCCCATCGCAGCAACAAGCAACCGGAGCGTGGATACCCTGACAGGAGGGGAAAGATGCTCTGTGAGTAGCACAAGACGTAATAAAGCTAGCGAGAAAATAGGATACGAAAGAGGGAAAACGCGACAAAGCAACTAACTGTTTAAGGAATGAAAGAAGGAAGGAGGAGATGAAGCCGCCAGTTCCCTTCCGCTTCTCTCCCGTCCGGGTATACGGTCAAGGCAAAGGGTAAGGGCCAAAAATGAATTGGGCACAATCGCGAAAGATAAATGTGTGCTATGAGAGCAATACAGTGGAGTAAAACAATAGAGAGGAACGCATAGGGAAAGAAATAGGAAGCGCAGATACACACAGGATGCAGGCACTGCGTGAAGATTAGAGCACAGTGCGAAGTGCAACGATTTTAGCTGAAGGAAGCTGCTCTTGTAATGAACTCTGGCACCATTACCAAAACAAGAGAGTTGCCCATCAGGGAGAAAAAGAAGAACAAAGGGAAAAGAAGAGCTGGTTGAGGGCAAAGCACGAAGACATGTGAGAAAAATGATCCAGCACGACAACGGGAAGAGAAGAAAGCCGACAAAGAGAATGAGGTGGCATAACTTTTTTCCTTTCGCTGAGGAATGAAACACACAAGCGCAGATTTGTGTACAGGAAGCTTGTTCTGCGTAAGGCGTACGAGGAGGGGGCCCCTGTGTACAGGAAAAGCAGGAACAGGCGAGAAACAAAGGCCTCGTAAATACAATTAGATAATCTATTAAGTTTCATATAAAATTCACCTCTTTTCCTTAGCTTGGCCTAGACTAGGGATAAACGTGATACATGAAACAAAAGAAGCCTACACTTCAGCACCTGGGGCTGCATGTGACGTGTGCTGGAGCACTTAATGGGCAAGCTACGGATAGAGTGAGTGTTATTCTCTTTCATTGGTGCAAGTACTAAGAATATCTATTAGTTATGGAGACTGAGGGTTTGTGTCGATCCCTTCGTGTCCTGGACTTCGTTTCCTCTACACATCGCTAGAACAAACTTGCGTGCTTGAATTGATAGATTTGTTTATACCCATATCGAATGGATTAACCTTTTGCTTCGATTTATAGTAGTAGGCGTGCGTTAGTCATGAAACGGAATAAGGGGAACCACCAAGCAACGCGAGTTTCCGTTATTCTTTGAATAATATGTTTTATTTCTCTTTGTCACTTGCCTTGCAACGGCACAAGCTGTGTCACAAGGCAGGTCTTTATTCACTCAGGACCCCCTCCAATGCGGCTTGCGCTGAAATACATTAGCAAAACAATTTTCACATCTGGGTTATGCAGCATCTCTCAACTTGGACTTCGTTTGCTCACAGTGAAACAGGAAGGGAACTGTTCCAACTCAGTCCCTGCCAGCATATGATTTGGTTCCATATGATTTTGTTGTACCCTGATATACATGTAGAAGCTGATCTGTACACGCTTTTGATGCAGCTTCTCAACATGGCAGGCTGGGAAACCTGTGACCGGACGTACTGTCTCTGCAGCCCCAATCCCCGAAGCATGTAGACTAATGCAGGAGCCCCACAAACAAGACTAAGCACCTTACGCGATATGGTCTTAGATCACCACACTTTGTCGATTGTTCAAGCTTACTGCGATTGAAACAGCCGGACTACGTATCATGGTCTTTGTTTTTCATACTGTCCGTTGGTTATCAAAAGTTGAGCTTGTTGCATTTGTAGATGTTTCGATGCATGTATGCAAAGATCAAACACATAAGAACGTCCACGCAGTTTTCGGAGGTGCTGAAACATTGGAAATCCAGTATGTGCCTAGAGAGATTCTCAAGTACTTTCGTACACATTCAATTATTGGCTTGTGGCCTTGTATCTATATTCTAAAAGTTTTGAATATTTAGTGGTGTGAAAGACGAAATTTTGTGATCAGCAGTCCTCAGAAAAAACCGGACCGCAGCCAGAATGTCTCATGAGAAGCAACTGCACGAGCTTACACGGGTTAAGGCCTCCTATAAGGTCAAGTTGGTCACTGAATTTCCCCTAGCTCCACTGGCACACCGTCAGCTTTTTAAGCAGCCGCTTCAGAGTGTACTTATACCTGAGTACTTGATGGAGTATACAAGCAAATGAGAAGGTATGACACTTGATTTGTAAGGGTGGCGGAGCTTGCAAGTACTCATAACTGCAATTCTAAATGTGATTAAACCACAAAAAGTAGTGCTTCTCTTTTACATTTTTGAGAGATTCTTAATTTGGATGGTCAACTGCTGGGTGGCACTGCCGAGTCCAGAGGAAAGGAGACGAATCTCCTCCCCATACATTTCTTCCTTCAAACCCCTGGGGAAGAACATATGCAGACAAAACTCAAGCACTCGGCGACATAAAAAGGATTTCGCCAGGACTAAATTTAAATGGGAAAAAAACATGAGCCTTAAGCAGCAACGAACAAACGGAAATCATTATCAAATAGCGAAGTTAGTTAAAAGCAGCTGCAGTGAAGAAATCACGATGCAAAGTGAAAATGAACCAGAAAACGGGGGAAGGGTCGAAGAACAGATGCGGCTTCTAATCGGTTTCAAAATCTGCTACTTAATGTGCCATTAGAAGAAACACAAAGCTCTATTAGCCTATAGGTGAGCAATGCTGAACGGCAAGGGCCTTCACATGCCAAAGATTTTTTATCGTTTCTCTCTCTAGGTAATTTTGCTCCTGCCCTCTCCTCTGCCTCTTCTCGACACGTATTCCAATGCCTCAAGCTGCGTAATCAGTCTCATTACCTTTGAGAATACTTAACAATTTGTTACTAATTATCTGTAGGCTTGAATACAACTTACCGATAAATTGCTTTCGTCGCTCCCTTTGGAGCCGCCTTCCGAGCAAGGGCCTGCGCCTGTGCCAACACTTCCCCTGGGTAGGCACCAGCAAAGCACGCATAGCCTAAATCTTGAGCCTTCAGCTCTGATTCAGTAACGCCAGCCTCTGTGCGTAAGAGCTAGTTAGCTGTAAGCCCGTAAGTTCTGTAGTCTGGATTTGTCGACAATTCATCACATGCTGCTCAATCAGTCGCGAATTCAGGCAGCTAAGGGTGGGGGCTTTTTTAAGTGTAGAAGGATTTTTTCAGACGTGAAAGTAATAGTGCTTTCCTCGAAAGGATTAGTGTTTAGGGAGCAGGAAAGCGATCAGGGTGAAGTGGTACCTGGGTCACAGGTCAGATCAACAATGCGGTTTCTTAGGCATTCTTCTCCTCCCCACCTTTTCGCACCTAAAATGGTGGGAGTCCATAAACTCCTGTCCAATTTGCTCTTCGCCACCGCGCACATTCCTATGCATAACAGCATACGGGAGGTCTCTCGCATTCCATGAAAGTTGCAAGGACCGTCTGCTGTTCCTGCTATCCCTTCTTTCCCTGCCTAGATCACCAGTCCAGGATGTTATACTAAAAGTTCTTATCTGCCAAATATCGGCGTATACGTCTTCCTCTCGATGTCCGTGCTGCGCGCGTGCCTGTTGCCAGCGTCCTCGCTGCTGCTTAAACAGCTTCTGTCGCTGCCCGCTGCTGATATACCCGTACAGCCAAGACTTCTCTAAAGTCTAAGTGAAAGAGTAAGTAAAAAGGCTTTTTTGAAGGGAAGTTACCTGGTGTTAGGGGTAGTCCAATATCCACTTCATTCATACACAGGAAGCCCCTGCTTTTGCTCATGACTCTAAAATCGCACACCAGTGCAATCATTGCGCCTCCTCCAAACTGCGCCACAATCACAAATGGCAGAATCATAGGAAAAGTTATGGGTAAAGAGCGTTCCCCTCGAATCATAGGAAGAGGAACAACAAACATGCATGGCTCTTACACCGAGGATGCAGATAGATATAAGGCTATGCTGTGAAAGAACATACCGCATGGCCGTTTACAGCCGCAACAACCGGAACAGGAAAGGACAGTAAGCGGCTGAGGACTGGCACACAAATAGAACAAAAGCAAGGCATTGAATTGGCAGGTGTGAGCAGTGTAAATTTAGGTACAATAGTCTGCTACTCTGCGTTATGCAGATTTATTTGCAGTACTTGTGCTGTGTATTGATGTCTGTGATACTGGCTACATACTTCATGGGATTCAGATTATAGTTTGTGGTTTCTGTGCGCTTTTTACGTCTTTGAAATGACCCAATGAGCTCCTTCGGCTTGGCCATCAGCATGTCGATGTTTAATCCATTGCTAAAAAACTTCCCGTCTCCACCCAATACGCATGCAGTGGGTCCCTCTGTTGCCTCTGGAAATAGCAAGAGAAATTTCTTAGCAGGGAAAATAATAGTTTTGCATGTTTGCGTTCAACTGGATCTATCTTGCTGAGCACATGTCTGCGATTGCCCACCAATCTTTTCAAGGAGTTCGTGCATTCTTTCAATATACTCGAAGTCAATTCTATTTTCCGAATTCCCTAAATGAATTGTAAAGACCCCTTCCTTTGAGGGACCGAGTAGCTTGGGGTAATCCATTTGATTCCTGCCCGAGTCGCAAAGACCGAAAACAGGGGAGCCAAAAGTGAAGAAAATTGCTCCGTGGAGTGATTTATCGTTCAAGACAGCAGATATAATGCAATTAGCTACTCGTTTCATGACGTCTTCTGCTAATGCTATCGGTAGAGATGCCCACCAACACGTGGTATGCAATTACCGTTGGCTGGTCAGTAAAAACCCTGACCCGAGAGCCACTGCATCCTTCGCTCGCGACGAAAAACGCTTGAAAAGGTTAGGCAAATGCAACGAAATCTGTGCCAGATTTACTAGAAACGATATTTGCAATGGATTTAGACTCTTTTTGTTTTATTGCGGGGAATCAATGCCCCAAGGGTCGTCCAGGCCCAGCATTTTCCAACTTTGCAGCTGGACTTGTAACTTTTGGGGGGAGGGAGGAAACAAATTATTATACCCGCCTGCTGAAGACTGCCGCTACCTGAGCTTAGAATCAGCATTGACCTGAAATATTTCTACAAGAATCCTTCAGAGTCTGAGGGTGTTGCAATATTTTGTCAATGCCCTAATGGAATGGCATGACGCACGGGAGGCGATGTGCGAAAAGTTCAATTCATCCTCTCGTGGGCGATTTCAGGGCCAAATGATCAGCTAGCAGAAAACGGGGCATTTCCTGTATAATTATTTCCTAAGTCTGCTAAAGTTTCACGTCCTGCTGGTTGGCTTAATCGATTGCTTTTCTACAACACAGGCAAGCAACCGAAATTAAGGAGTGATCTCAGTCCGCTCGTGATCTCGAAAACAGTGCAATTTTTCTGTTTCTCGTTCCTTGCGACAACTCTTTGAAGATGGTAGTTTCGGTAAGCTCCCTAACGCAACAACGTGGTTGCCCTTCTCCATCGAGTTTCGCCTGTGTACTTGTGTATCTGCACCTAGCCACAAGCTCGTTAATGCTAGCACACTAAGAGTCGTAGAACCGCAGAGGAAAGTGGCACTTTCAGCAATTATATAGACTTGCTATGTTCATACATTGCAAAAAAAGAAACAGTCAGTCAGATTGCTCAACTAGAGCTACTTCGTCAGCGTGCCTGAATCTACCGTCACTTTTAAATCTCTAATTCCTTGTTTCGATATGCTTCGTTTTTCTGATGTCACTGTAACCCAAGTCTCGGTACTCGCTATAATGTCTCACTTGCCCGATTTTTCGGACCCAAAAGCCTTTTCCTGTTTTTCTATCTGCCTCGATACCTCCAAAAAGCATGATGTGAAAGGTTTATATGCGGACTACCGGCATAAAGCCCTCTTAAATGTATCTTATCTCACATCCATAGTTCATCCTTCTACATGGGTCTCTGCAGTCACTAAGAAGGCAAAATTAAAAAGATTCTCGATTTTGGTAAATGGGCCCGTCCATATTGAAAAATTACCTGGCAAGGGATGCTATCTTTCGGACGACTATCTGAAGAAGCTGTGTACTACAGCAATGCATCATCCTCCACATATTAACGAAATTTGAGGTTTGTGTAATCCTCTAACATACCTTTGTACAGGATGCGATACATACATTCACTGACACATGATAATAAGCCAATCGGTTGTGGTGCATGGACACCTTCCAACCGCGTTAATGCTCACCATGTTTGTGGCTTCTCATTTAGAGTGCATTCCAAAAAATAAATGGAAATTGACGCGGCTATAATATAAACAGGAGAGTGCAGTCAGCAGATGCAAAAGCATAGCACTTTGTTCTATATACCTGCCAACGTACTGGTATCAACTACAGACGCCGTTAGCAAAGCGCCATTCAATTCGCTTGAGCTGCTTGTCTTCATACCCGCCACTCCCCGTTATATTGCAGCTTTGTTTGTAAAAAGAAACGCTAGTTTTGTACTGCTTGCCCGGTGGGGTCTGTAGAGCTCCAACGCCCTTTCAATACCTGCTGCACTAGGGCGTCATCTTCTGTGCAAAATTGAGTACAACAGGACAAGTAAAGACCCGGCGCATATAAAAAAATGTAAATGCCCGTCTCCATAGTAGCTCGTCTCTGCTTGCGTGATCTTGCCTTCATACTTACTTCTGCGTTTGCATACGCACATGTGTCTGTGCAGCTATTAAAAGCTTTATTATTCTGTTATTCGTAGGTATTGTAACCCCAGTGCCAGTGTCACATAGTATATGTCTTACCACCTTTGCCCCTTTAGTGTAACGCTTCAGTCTCTTCTGCGTTACTCTCCTTTCACCTAGCTGTACAGCTGCTCGTGCCTGCTCGCGGCTTCATATCTATACCCTTGCATCTGTCGAGTTCTGCTTGTTCCCCTGCTTCTGTCTCAGTATCGGTCTCTAAGTTGCTGTCCCCTTTTGACCGTTCGGCTTAGGTTGCTGTCGTGGCAAAATCGCTGGTCATCTTTAGAACTTAATAGATGAAACTCGTTGGTCTGTTACTTGTACATCAGGCGATGGCGCGAGCTGGAACTCCAACAAAAATCACCAAAGCCTCCAAAATTTAGGGCCTTGGTTTCTGGGTGTTAAAGGCTAGTGGTCAGGGCATATGGACGCTACAGGAAGCTGGATAAATCCCGTTCAACAACTGTTGCGTCTGATAACAACCCAACCCGCCCACGTCCGAACGAAATAAAAACTGTCCTTCTTGCGCCCCCCTCTCCTTTCTCTTAATATTTTGCCTGGTCGTCCTTGGCAGAATATCTTTGCGTCTTCCTCTCAGGGAATTCAGTCTGCAACTCAAGCGTATCTTGCTTTTCCTCTTCCGCACTTCTCTAATACCTTTCGCCGCGTACTATTCTAGTCCCGTTTGCGTACACAGGTACTTGCTCGTTTAGCTGCCGAACGGCTGCAAGTGCAACAGGACGTAAGGGAAAAACTCCTCCCCCTCCCCAGTATCAGCTCCATCTTTACCATAAAATCGGTTGCCAAAGAGACCGGAGGGGGCAACAAGCGAGTCGAGTTCTTTGAAGATCTTCTTCTCTTTGCTCTCAGAAAGAGGCCTCAAGAATAAAGACACAAAATTTGGCGGAACTCCAAACCGAAGCACAGCCTCACAGAAGATGCGCATGGCCTTGAGGTGCACCCACGCTACAAAAATGTCTGAAAATGCAGCAAAACAGACCCGGCCCAAAAACGCCTCGTGTTTTGTTTGCTCGGCCATCATCTTGGTCCTGTTTTCCGACACTTCCTTGTACATTCCCTCGCTGTACGTAAACTCCCTGACCGTAAACTTCTTTTCCGCTGCCGCTTTTCTGAATTCGGCGAGGCCCTTCTTAAACAAAACCACGCGCCAGAGAGAAGCACCGTCTTTGTCTGGGGGTACACCGAATCTTTTTGCCGACCTCGGCACTACAAAGGCATGGAGCTTTTCGTAAGACCGCAAGAACTCCTCCTCTGCCTCTTTAGTGACACACATTATGGCAGTGGTTAGATGTTCTGTTTCCACGAAGTCATCCGGCTGCACAACTGCGGGTGTTAGCAGATCAAACAACTCGCGGTGCGCATAGGAAGTAATTTCCCTCTTTCCGGAGGCAGCGGCAATTTGCTGCTTGACTTCGTGCCAAACAGAGACTTTAGCCCGCACCTCTTCGTCTATTTTTGTCACAGACTGCACGATTGCTTCTAAGTTCTCCCTCACCGCTCTGGCCTTTGGAAATTTGGATTCGTCCCAAGTAAATCGCCTGATGTACTGCTCAACCGACAAAGAATGACGCTGCCACATAACCTTGAATTGGGTTTCTGGATCTATTTCTAACGCCTGGCGCTCCACCCTCCTCAGCACTGCCTCCACCACCGCATCTTGCTTCTGCAGGCCATCTACTGCTCTGATGAGATCGTCAAAAGAACCAAACTTGAGTCCCATCGGCACATCGAACAGCCCGACCTCGTCGCACAGCGGTGCACGGGGAGAAAGTAAGGTGTTTCTCACACCGGAATGGATTGATTCGCTTGTCTGGTTGTCTTGCAATACGCTTGCCACTAACCAGAATGGCGGGTACTGTGGGCGTCGCCCATTCTTCCCCCCTGAGGAATCCCCCCCAACAAACACCATTTCTCATAGAGCTGGTATTGCAGCAGCCTAATGACTTTACAGCAAAAAGGTGAATGGGAGAAGCATGCACGACGATTTTCGATTGCAAAAAGCATGCACCAGGGACGGTTACGGAAGCTAGCGAACAAGGATAAAAGAGGTCGAAGAAGCAATGGTCTTCTAGATGCGCTTGCTTCAACGTTCTTCCTTGTTCAGAAGAATGCTGAGGGGACTACAAAGTCAGAACCCTAATCCAAATCCCTAAAGTGTCACCCCTGAACCCTGATGCCCCCATGGGGAATACAGGGATCTTGGGGGGTTCTTCTACGTAACCCAGCAGCTCGAAAGTGGCCTTAGGGACCAGCAAAAGGGAGTAAATACCCTAAGATGCATGTGGCATACATATGAAGAGTGCCAGCTTGTGCATGCTCGGCCGCTTCCGTAGCAGCAGCCGCAAGAAAGCTTGGATGCGGACGAGAGAATGAATACCCAGTGTGTGCGCTTTGGCCACTTCCCTTTAAAAGTTTCTAAAATATAAATTCACTGGGTGAAATTTTAGGGACGTTTGCCCCTGGGAAATGTGCGCACTGCGATCTCCATACCCCTGCGGGATAACAGGGAGCTCAAATGATCACCAGGTCTAGTGACACTTTCCACTTTTCTGGCGACTTTGCCCAGCATTAATCTAAGCGAATATATGTCCCTACTACTGATGTGATACGTTGTGCGCTTTAAGGCCCTAATTAGTTTCTGTCAGGCGGAATTCTGAGAAGAAGCTGCTCAGGACTGAGCACGTCCGTGGCGGGCTTAGCTACACTGCAACACTTTCTACTGTAGTAGCTGTGCTTAACCAAGAATTAGCAAAGAATTCATTCATTGGCTTGTGTGCTCATATATATTTTATTTACTGGGGAGCGCAGTTAGCTGGGTACAAGGAGAGGCATGCTGTGTGCGTGTGCGCTCAGTGTGATCTCCCAGTACCTGTGTGAATGCTCAGAGAGCTCAGAGGGTGCAGCTACGCGCAGCCTAGCGAACTCGCTCCCCTAATGTCGAAAATACAAGAGTGCGCTTGCAGGGGAAGGTGGCAGTTTTTCACACTCACTGGCACTCTATTCAGTTTGTACTGGGTCAGGAGTGAAGTGGCCTCCCACAGAGATCTTAAATAAAGCATTCCGACGTCAGTTGTAACGCTTTTCCAGCACTATCCTTACAGGGAGACCCAAGGTCCCAATACCTTGCCAAAGCTCAAAAACCAGTTATTATGTGAGCTCTCGAAGATGAGGCAGCGACTTCCTCTCATCCAACAAGCATCTTGCTCAAGAGGAGGAAAGATGGCAGCGATGCACGGAGCTGTACCCTCTGAGGCCTCCGGCATTTGCACAAGGTCACACGTAGTATCTCAGTGCACACGGGAATATCCTGCATTTTATAGCATGCGCCTTAAGCCGCTCGTCGAGAACAATCAGATCACATAGCTGATACTATATGTCACTCTCCTGCTAAAGTCGTTGTAAAGACACTCTTCATTCCGGAGATAATAAATGGTTAGAAGGATTTTATTGAGTGACCTTTCGGAAGATAACTTTCCTTTCCTGGTCTCCCCACTGAGGAATTGGGAATGAAAAAAAGAGGGACAGCGAGGGTGCTCGTTCGTGCACTTTCTACGCACTCCAACTATTCACAGGTTATAGCACATAGCATCTAGTACACAGGCGCATAGCGTTGCGTCTGTAGCGAGCTAATGCCACACTGCAATAATTAGGTAATGCGACCAGACAAACTATAGAAGGCCGAGCTATACTGCAATGCTTTCTACTACAACAGCTGTACTTGACTAATAATCAGCAAAGAATCTACTAATTTTAATGTACAGTGCGGTTATCTCGATACAAGAGTACTCACTATTTACTGCGCGTGCCCTAGATGCTGACTGTAGTTAGCTGGGAATGCTCGGAGTGCTTAGGGGCTGCAGCCACGCTCACCTTAGCTGTCTCGTTACCCTTACCCTGTGACCTCTGAGGAGCGCGTGCAGAAAAAGCAGGAGTTCTTTTGAGAAACAATCAACAGCGTTCTATCATATTTGTGAAGTATCTTCCTGCTACTTTAGATAAAGCGTACACTCGGCAACACTGCATGGATCAACGTAGCTACCTGCTCATCCAGTGCCAATGGATGCAGTGGATTGTTAGGTTTTCCTATAACAGTTATCTAATTTTGATCACGTATTGAGGAAAACCAATAATTCAGATTTCTTTGGCAACAGGCTACTGAAAACCCTCTGGCGATAAAAGCTGAAGGTGGCACGAAAGCTGTTGAGGCGGCGTAGGCCGGCCTGAATGTGAAAGCTTTTTCCACAACTGATAGAAAGGCATGATTGGTCAGCTAATAGAAATTTATGCGTGCTTTGCGAAGGCGTTGGGCACCAGAAAAGTATGGCGTCCGTAAGAATGGACAAGCTTCTGAAGCTTTTCTCATCCGGTTGGATACGTACTCCGCTTCGTATCCACGAGATGAAAAGCAAGAATTGCCCCTTGTGGCATGCGAATTGGGCGGGAAAGCAATTTAACGGTAGCTCTATTCACATGTAAAAAGTCACCTTACTGCACAGATTACTACAGTTTGACCCTGCGTACAAGCCCTGATTCAATGGCCTATGCTGAGAGCCGTCCAAAAAACAAGCTCTGAGAGAACCTAATAGGCGGAAGCAGAAAACTCCATCAGTACACTGGTACATTGAGAAATGTTAAAGTTTTGTTACTAGAAAAGCCACAGTGTGAATAAGGAGCTTTTTTGTTATTGGATTTTTCTGGTTTTTCTCAAGCGTCGCATTAGATGGCCGCAGGATAGGCAGAGGCTCAACGACTTGAATAACAGCTGATCGGTACACAAGTGGTAGACTACTTGAGCTTTCTGGAGCAGATGGGCAAACCTTGCGCGCCTTTAACTGAAAGAAGAGCCTCATCGGGATCTAAATCCTCAGGATGTCGGGGCTGTTTCTATCGGCCCTAGCCTACAGACGAACGTGCACCAGAAAAGAAAGCCAGAGGGACCCCGCGTTCTTATGCAGCCCAACTAAACCCCTCGGCAGCGCACCTGCTTTTGTTGTCGAAGAGTTAGTCATGTAATCCGGACCTACAAGCGCTTGCAGCAAGCCGAAAACATTGAACAACGGGACTGTTCCCCGCGGAAGCAGCCTTCTTGAAGGCAACGAAGGCAGACCATGGAAACGGGAAGCCCCCACGGAGGCTGCGGCAGATTGGAGGAAGCCATACAAAAAGAAGCTCCATGTGCGGATCTACACTGTGTCAATTCTGGGCTTACACGATCTCACACTAATGGTCAAGAATTATTGGCAATAATGAACACCAGATGTGCAGTGGATTATTTATGCTGGCAGACAACAGTGAATTGCGATTCGCCTGTCCGCTCCTTAGCACACTCTCTACAATTCAGGCTTGCTGACAGGTGGAAAAACGGAAGGTCTAACAAGGCCACAGCAGCTAAATGAAACTCTAGTAGGAATAGGGACTTATCTGCATTGTCCGAAATGTGTATGCTGGACCCGTGCACCTTGAGTTAATTGTGGCATGGGCACCCCCTGCAAGGAACAGAGGCGGTCACAGCTGTGCGCTTTACGGCTAATAGCTCTACAGTGGTTCGATGGCTTGAATGTCTCCTGCAGTACAGCTGTGCAGCGAAAGGCCGTCACGGCAGCAACAACGTGGTCGCCGACCTGCACTCATGACGCCACAACGATTCATTTGTGCGGCGAACTCGTTATTGTCTGTAAACGTTCACGCCGTTACCAACAGTGCATATTTCGTATGCTTTTACACCCATACATTCGCTATTCTCGCAAATATCCAGAACGGTAAAACGGTGAAGCACGACCATCTTGAAGATGGCCTGCTGCGGTGTTCAATAAAAACCGTTTTTCCGCCGCTTGCACACCCTAACTTCACACCAGACTGCCGTTATGGACACACCACATGATCGTGTTCTTTCGGGCCATAGTGGGATTCACGCTGCAATGGAAAAGGTCGCATAGTTCTTCTAGTGGCCTGGAATGTATTCAGCGGCTGAGGAGTATGCACTCTCATGCGCAGACAGTCAGCAGCTGATGCCGCGCAAACTCTCTTGAGCCAGGCCCTTTGCAGTGAATCCCAATACTTGTGAGGATCTGGACTGATTTGACTACGGAGTTTGGTGTTGGACTGCCGGAGGGCGAGGTGCAGTACAGCGTCTACGTTATTTTAGGCTGACTTAGCAAATGTGCCTTTTCCCCTTTGCTGCTGCTATGTCACGGCCCAAGAAGCCGAAAAACTATTCTCAGCTCCTATCCCACACAGTTACGGATTCGCCAGTAATAGAATCACAGAAAAGGATCCAACGTTTCTCGGTTCGTTCTGACGTGCCTTTATGACCTGTCTGCACTTTCGCCCTGATATGACCAGTGCGATCCTTTTGAAGCGCATGAGCACACAGAGCGCACTACCCACACTCTTATGCACTAGTCTGAGACTCTACTCTTACACAAGCTCTACTGTTTGGCTTGAATTTCCTCCTACACCGAGTGGAATTATAATTCAACAGTACACTCGTACACCCATTGCTCTCTCTCATATCTAGTCTACATTGCAGAGCCCTTCTTCGATCCGCGACTGGACTTGGTGGTACGGGGTCAGCAGCCACCATTCGCAGCTAAGAGCTTCAGAAACCGTTGGCTAGCGCACGTGAATGGATAGGCAAAGCTCATGACGAGCAGAACTACGGAATAAAGATAGGGGATGCCATTTGTATGTCTGAAGCCCGGAAATTTCATGCTGATGCTTTGGCAGGCTCTAGAAAGTGCATCAGAATGTGAGCAGACGAATACGTTTGCGTCCAGGAGGCTAGGAGCACTTATCATCCTCTCAAAGGTATCTATGCTCTTCCTTACTTGCTACCGATTTCCACAAAAGTTGGAGATGCCACAAAACTACCGCTTTTGGCTTCTTAAAGATGCTTCAAAAGTCCCCGAGTTACGCCGCGGACTTTGCTGCGTAGGCAATTCGTTCATGTGGAGATAAGTAATTCAGAGGGAGCTGTAGGGGTGTGAATACTAGGACGCGTTGAGCGGCCAGTAGACGGGAGTTTTAGTGAAGCGGGGAGAATAACGCCAGCCTTCAAGGTTGACGGAAGGGCAGTTGCGCGGTTCGCTGCTTGCAGGATAATTTGCAGCTTTGTCAGACTCACAATGCTAGTTACCATGGATGGTGTTCCTCTCGTTCCTGGGTCATTGTCCTTCTTCAGTTCATGCTCCGCCTGAGAGACTTGCCCTCACCGCTAAACATTGCTTGGAGAGTTTCCGGTTATTATTGTCAAGTTGTTCTCTAGACTCGGAATCACTTATAGGTACTCGTTGGGTAGGTGGGCCTTATATTCTTGCCTATGCCTTACTTGAACCTAAGAACTTGACTGTCCAACAAGGACTGGCGGTCTTTATGTGCACACATTCCTATCTGTGGAGTGAAAAAATTGCTAAACTAGCGCATAATGTATTTCCTCTATACATTGGCTTTCCTTCTTGTAGCGAAATGCTCACACGTATCAGCGTTTCGGCGAGAGCTGAGCCATCGCGCCATTGCAGTCGTATTGGTTTGGTCACTCGTTCGTTGTTCGTTAGTGTTTGTAGCTGTCTTCCCTTCAATTTTTAGTCATACGGGTGCTGCACACATCCACGTCTCTAAGTAACACTGTTTCGCTTCTGTGCCTGCCAGGAAAATGTAGATAGGGGCGAAAACTCTTCTGTTGTCCTGTGTGCAGTTGGTCTGGACGGACCGAGACGAAAGTGAGTGCGTGTGGCTTCAAATGTGAGGTCAAGATGTATGGGACTAAGATACGCTTTACCATTCTCTTACACTAGCGACATTATATTTAGCTTTTTGAAAAAATCTTGACTAAATGGTTTGGCCATTCGTATATTATCTGGTGCACAATACTTCCAACTCGTGCACGAAGGCACAGGGATGCGTGCGTGTGCGCTAGACGCTGGATTTATGCAGTTGCGATTGTATAGAGTGCACAGAGGGCACGGATACACGTAGCCTAGCTGTCCTTCTCCTCCAATGTCAGGCAACCTTTGAGATGCAGGCAGGGGAAATGGGAACTTCTTTTTAAAGACCCACAACAACTGTTCGGTGAGCTTTTATTGAAGCTAGAGTGATCTGTCACCCGAATAAAAATGAAATTTTTCTTTCTGTCAGCTGTAGCTGTAAAAGAGCTTGCACATTAGAGTGTAGGCCAGCTTATGCTGCCCCAACATCGCCAAAGGGGCTTTTCCATGTAGCCTGGTGGCAAAGAAAATCAAAATTTTGATTTACCAATTGGAACTAGACAAATGTGATAGGATAAGGTAAAAGGTCACTGCATTCACTGGCAGTGGGTGAGCGGGAAATAGCTGCACCAGGCAATGCAGCGCTACCAACTCCTACGCCCGATCGAGGGTCGCAGTAAAGCGACATCTCAGTCTAGACCTAATACACCCACTATAACTAGCTTTTGAGTGCTTCCCAGAAAACCCTCCTTCCTCTACACAAGCCCTTTACAGCTGCCGACATTGATAGAGAGTGCCAGATAGGCTGCGCGGAGGTGCACCCTTTATGGACTCTGAGCGTTCGCACGTAGATGCACACAGCGCCTGCCGCACACGCCCGCAGCATTGCGCCTTCATGTAAGGAGCTAGCAAGACTGTGCACTAAATAGAATTTACGGCTAGAGAAGCCAATTGGTAAAGAGTTCCTATACTTGGCTCATTATAACTCCTGTAGTAGAAACTGTTTGTGTAGATAAACCCCCGCCGTAGTGTTGTTGAGCGCTGTGCATGCTCCACTCCAATTAATAAATCGCGTGTGCACCTAGATGCATATAGAATATAAATTGCAAGTTGGAACATGCAAAAGGCTAACCATGCTTGCATTTGCAAGTGGAAGTGCTAGTGCATCTTCAACCTGTGAAGAAAGTAGATATAGAGTTTGTAAATGTACATCGTTCGAGTAAACACAGTAAAGGAAGGCACATCACAGGGGCCTAATGGGAAGCTATAGAGAAGGTCAACTGACAAAAAAGGCTAGCGTTGCTCATGGACTGGATTTGCAGAGAGCAAGAGAATATACTTCTTTTCAACCACATCCTGGTGGATGGCTACTAGACCACGGGGGGGCTGGGTAAAGCAGCCAGAGCACTGTGGGGTTCCTTGTACAAGGGCCTGTGTCCTCCTTTTTAAACGCTAAATGCAGTAAATTGGAGTTTGTTTATTAAACTTAGAATTATAGCATTGTAATGTGTGTATGTGTCTGGGGCGGGTAAACGGGCACCAGCGGCAGCCCCACCACTGTGGGTATTCTGGCACTGCTTCCGGCCGCCAGTTGCAGCAGCAGCAGCAGCTGGTGTATTAGGTGTACGTACATTGCATGTTTGCTGCTGGTGGATGTCTCTGGTTATTGTTTGTTGTTTCTGGCTCTACTGAAAATATTTTTGGCTTCAAACGGTCTTTGGGCCCCCTCAAAGGCTCCTTTGCTTCTGCCTCCCTCGGGCCTGCTCCCCACCGCTGCTGGTACTGCTGCTGCTGCCGCTACTGCAGCTGCTGTTGTTGCAACTGACGCACTGCATCCCCCAATCTCTTGTTTCTCTCGCTTTTAGTGCTTCTTCTCTGGCCTGTCTTGTCGGTGGTCTGACGACGGCATTATTCTCGCGCCGTGCATGCCTTGCCCGTCCCACTCCAAAGCCCTTTGTCCATCCCCGCCTCGCCATATCTAGCCTTCTACTCTCTCTCAGCTTCTTCCCTCCTCCGTGCACCCCCATCTCCGACGCCTAGGTCCAGCGTTTTTCTTCTCTTCAACATGGACGGGGCCCCCGCCTCCTTACCCGCGGCCGCTCAGGCCGACGCGGCACCAGCAAAGTACATCCCTCCTCATCTTCGCAGGCAGCAGCAGCAGCAGCAGCCCAGGGGCCCTGCAGCGGCATCAGCTGTCTCTCCTTCCGGCCCCACAGTTGGTGCATACCCTTCGTACCCCTCGGGTTGCAGTGGGGGAACCCCCATTGGCGGGGGGTTAAGGACTCTTGGCTCGGGAGGCACGCTTAACGGCCGCAGGAATCAGCAGCCAGCTTCCCCTGAGCCAGGGAGCCGCTTCAGTTGCCTGGCAGAGCGCCCTTCTCCATCCAACGATTACAGGGGGCCCCACGGCGACTCGAGGGGGCCCCCAGAGGGCCCCAACACGCGTGGGGGTGCCTCAGCAGGCTGGGGCGGCGGAAGTGGAGGGAGGCCCTTAAGGCCCAGCCAGACGGGTACAGGATGGGATGTCAGAGATGGCAGAATGTACAGGCCGGAGAGGGAGGATGACGTATTCAGCCCTGAGAAGCAGCAGAGCACCGGCATCAAGTTTGATTGCTACGACAAGGTCCCTGTTGAACTGAAGGGGAGAGGGGCGGAACGAATCATTCCCGTCGAGTCCTTTCAGGAAGTCGGATGCAAGTTCTCCCCTCTGCTGATGGAGAACGTTTCGAGGGTGAATTACAACCGGCCAACTCCGATTCAAAAGAACTCCATCCCCACCATCCTTGCGGGCAGGGATCTCATGGCTTGCGCGCAGACGGGGTCGGGAAAGACTGCGGCATTCTTGTATCCCATCATCGCACAGATGCTGCAAATGGGGCCTCCCTCTCTCCCTGCAAGCGAGAGGGGGGGCACCAGCAGCTACAGGCGGAGCGTTTATCCGGTGTGTCTAGTCCTCTCGCCTACTAGAGAGCTCGCCATGCAGATCTACCAAGAAGCGAGGAAGTTTCAGTTCGGCACGGGGATTAGAACCGTTCCCGTTTACGGGGGTTCACAAATCAAGAGACAGCTCATGGACCTTGACGCGGGGTGCGACATCTGCGTAGCTACACCGGGGAGGCTTGCAGATGTGCTTGAAAGACGAAAGGTGAGGGCTTCATGCTTCCCAGTCGTTGTCGTGGTGTTGACCACTCTCCTCCTTCCGCCATATAGCTCTATGATGTCGTCTGTCGCTGCATTTTGAGGTGTCTACGTGTGCGTCTGTTGCTTTGTCTGCGGGTGAATACGAAGTTGTTCCGTATCGACCTCGGGGTGTATATACATATGTGCGCCGTTCTTCTCCTTTGCCTCTTTGCTGCTCCCACGGGCGCTTCCGTTTCGCAGCATGGTTGTCTCTCGGTTGTTGTCGGTTTGGCCCACGTGTCGCATGTTCTTTCATCCTTTGGTGCTAAGATTTCTTTTGTCGTGCCTTTTTTTTCCGCCCCTGCTCTCCGTCTGTTGTTGGGTTTCCCCGCGTGTTAGGCCTGCCGCTTGTGTGTTGTTTCTGATGCTTCAGATGTGTTCCGCAGTTGGTTTTATCGGTACCTGCGTGTTCATAGTGTATGTGTAATCGTCTGCGCAGATCCGTTTGGCATTGGTTCGCTACTTGGTGTTAGATGAGGCGGACAGAATGCTGGATATGGGGTTCCTCCCGCAAATCAATTCGATCGTTGATGACTTCGACTTACCTCCCTGTCCCTCTGGTGTCTCTGCTGTCGCGGGAGAGGGGCCAGTACAGGGCAGACAGACCATCATGTTTTCAGCAACCTTCCCAAGAGAAATTCAGATGCTTGCAAAGGACTTCATGAACGATTATATCTACCTGGCTGTGGGGCGGGTTGGCAGCACAAATGAATTCATACGGCAACGTCTTCTGTACGCCGACGAAGATCAGAAGATCAAGTTGCTGGTGAATCTTCTGAGGGAGTCGGAGAAGGGCTTGGTGATCGTCTTCGTCGAGACGAAGAAAAAAGCAGACATGATCGAGGACTACCTCCTAAACGAAACTTTTCCCGCTATTTCCATCCACGGAGACAGAACACAGGAAGAGAGGGAGGACGCCTTGAGGCACTTCAAGTCAGGGCACCGCCCCATTCTCGTTGCGACAGATGTAGCGGCAAGGGGTTTAGATATCTCTAATGTTAAGCATGTTATCAACTACGATCTCCCCTCTAACATAGACGACTACGTGCACCGCATTGGCCGTACTGGCAGGGCGGGGAATCTGGGGTTAGCCACGTCGTTTGTGAACGAACAAAACAGGCCCATCCTCCGCGATCTCCTGCACCTGTTAGAAGAAGCCAATCAAGAGATTCCCAGCTTCTTGCATCCCCTGGTGGTCTCCTGCACCTCCTCATCCATGAGGCTGGGGGGCAGAGGAGGATTCGGCAGAATGGGAGGGGGTAGCAGCCGCATGGGGGGCTCTAGTGGCACTTTCGGGAACAGAGCAGCAGGCTCTTACTCCATTGGGGGGGGGGGGAGGATGACAGGCCCTTCAGATTGGAGATCTGACGGGGGACCAGGGAGGCCTACTGGGTTTTCCGCAGGCATTGGTTTTGCTGCAGAGCGCAGCTCAGGGCCGGCTAGGGACGCTTGGTGATTCCGTGCTGTCTCCTTTACACTGCCTCTGAGTGTTCTAAGGTGCATGCATTGGCATATATTTGGTTGTGTATTGCCACCGTCTGGACGACAGTGGCTGCTCGGGTCTGTCTCGTTTTGTTTCTCCTTTTCCGTCGAGAAGTTGGGGGGAGGCGGAGGGGGGCAGAAGGGGGAAAACGCTTCATGTGTATACATATCATATATGTGTATATTGCGCAAGGTGCATACCTGCATGCGTCTGTGTAGTGTATATGCATATATACAGGTGTTATGTACACATATAGGTTTGAAGCCACACTCATATTCGTATGTACGTGAATACCGCGGTATACATATGACAGGCTCTCCCTGATTGTACCACACTACCCACGGTTTGTATGACTGAACCCAACAGGCAGATCAGTTAGAAGCAGGCGGATAGACCATCGGGGCACGCATGCATCTTGGAACAGCAGCGAGAAACGCCTCCATACAAACAAAAAAAACTGTCAGTTCCAGCGGGGGCTGCGTCTGCTGTGGGCAGCGCGTGGTTCCCCGATTCTCTTGAAATCTTGTTGGATATGTTCCTAGTTCGCGAAGGGAACATAGTTCTAGTAGCTAGGGGCTACGTTTGCACCATGAGTGTCTGCACTTTTCCCTTCATCCGCGTGTGGAAGGTAATACTTTGCCACCTCGCTTGTTTGAATGTGTGGGCGCCTGCCCTTTTGGCTCGGTACAAGAAAAGATGGTCGAGTTTACACTTTTCTTTGTCTAGTTGCGTAGTCTTTCTCCTTAGCTCTCTCAATCACCTAGTGGAACTGCTAGAGCGGGGAGCGCCCTTTTTCATTTGCATGCGGACAGGTGGTAGACGTGGTCGTGAGAGTTGACTAGGGTAATCTCGCTGTAGGGCTGAACGAACGTCGCATGGGTAGGGAGAGAAATGAGTAACGTGTGCTACGGCGGTCTCGACAGTTCTGGTGTATTCATCTCCGCTCCTTGTCGGTCGGCCGAAGCTAATTGTCGGGGCAAAGTTTCTTGCTAATCTGTTTTAACTGCACGCAGAAACTAACTGTCCCTTTTGTGTCGGAACACAAAAATGTATAGGGGCTGTGAGGCAGTGTCTGTCCTAGGAAGGCCTTGAGCACCAAAACCTGAGGCGAAAAAACGAAATGCTTCGAAAAGCCTCTTCCTCCTCTTGCCTTTACCCATAGAGTTCCGGAAAGAGAGGGGAAGCACAGCTGAGATGGGCATTGCCGCGTGCACTGATTACTCTGAGCAGTCGAATCCATTTGCACTTGGCAACTTCGCGCACAGAAACACAGCGTAAGCGCTTATGGCAATTGGTTATACGAAGTTTGCAACAAAAGGCAGATACTGACGGCGAAGCCGAAAATGCGGCCTTAACTAATTCTTACTCGAGTGTAACGCGTGTAGGAAAAGTGCAAATGTGTAGTTTAGCCCGCTCAAGAAGCCTCTACCAGCATACACGCCTTCCCTACTTCCTCTTATCAAAACACCGCAGGTCTGGCGATCCCAACAGGGCACACCTAAAACTATATCTTTCAGTATCGCATGTGTAGAAAAGGGGAAGCCATGTAGCTAAAGTGCATACTGTCATACTCTTCGACAAACTCTAGCGACAGGTTGACGTGGAGACTCTACTATGGTCATCCACACACACCAAATTTTGATTCCTAGACCCGATTGTGCTGTGGTGAAGCGACACCCACTGGCTAGTAGAGTGCTTCTGCAGAACATATCCTGTTTAAAAAGTGTGGAAAGAAGATGGAACGGGCATTGCTCCTGCTGAAGAAGGACAATGACCCAGGAACGAGAGGAACACCATCCATGGTAACTAGCATTGTGAGTCTGACAAAGCTGCGGATTCTCCCGCAAGCAGCGAACCGCGCAACTGCCCTTCCGTCAACCTTCAAGGCTGGCGTTATTCTCCCAGCTTCACTAAAACTCCCGTCTACTGGCCGCTCAACGCGTCCTAGAATTCACACCCCTACAGCTCCCTCTGGATTACTTATCTCCACATGAATGAATTGCCTACGCAGCAAAGTCCGCGGCGTAACTCGGGGACTTTTGAAGCATCTTTAAGAAGCCAAAAGCGGTAGTTTGTGGCATCTCCAACTTTTGTGGAAATCGGTAGCAAGTAAGGAAGAGCATAGATACCTTTGAGAGGATGATAAGTGCTCCTAGTCTCCTGGACGCAAACGTATTCGTCTGCTCACATTCTGATGCACTTTCTAGAGCCTGCCAAAGCATCAGCATGAAATTTCCGGGCTTCAGACATACGAATGGCATCCCCTATCTTTATTCCGTAGTTCTGCTCGTCATGAGCTTTGCCTATCCATTCACGTGCACTAGCCAACGGTTTCTGAAGCTCTTAGCTGCGAATGGTGGCTGCTGACCCCGTACCACCAAGTCCAGTCGCGGATCGAAGAAGGGCTCTGCAATGTAGACTAGATATGAGAGAGAGCAATGGGTGTACGAGTGTACTGTTGAATTATAATTCCACTCGGTGTAGGAGGAAATTCAAGCCAAACAGTAGAGCTTGTGTAAGAGTAGAGTCTCAGACTAGTGCATAAGAGTGCGGGTAGTGCGCTCTGTGTGCTCATGCGCTTCAAAAGGATCGCACTGGTCATATCAGGGTGAAAGTGCAGACAGGTCATAAAGGCACGTCAGAACGAACCGAGAAACGTTGGATCCTTTTCCGTGATTCTATTACTGGCGAATCCGTAACTGTGTGGGATAGGAGCTGAGAATAGTTTTTTTGGCTTCTTGGGCCGTGACATAGCAGCAGCAAAGGGGAAAAGGCACATTTGCTGAGTCAGCCTAAAATAACGTAGACGCTGTACTGCACCTCGCCCTCCGGCAGTCCAACGCCAAACTCCTTAGTCAAATCAGTCCAAATCCTCACAAGTATTGATTTTTACTGCAAAGGGCCTGGCTCAAGAGAGTTTGCGCGGCATCAGCTGCTGACTGTCTGCGCATGAGAGTGCATACTCCTCAGCCGCTGAATACATTCCAGGCCACTAGAAGAACTATGCGACCTTTTCCATTGCAGCGTGAATCCCACTATAGCCCGAAAGAACATGATCATGTGGTGTGTCCATAACGGCAGTCCGGTGTGAAGTTAGGGTGTGCAAGCGGCGGAAAAACGGTTTTTATTGAACACCGCAGCAGGCCATCCTCAAGATGGTCGTGCTTCACCGTTTTACCGTTCTGGATATTTGCGAGAATAGCGAATGTATGGGTGTAAAAGCATACGAAATATGCAATGTTGGTAACGGCGTGAACGTTTACAGACGATAACGAGTTCGCTGCACAAGTGAATCGTTGTGGCGTCATGAGTGCAGGTCGGCGACCATGTTGTTGCTGCCGTGACGGCCTTTTGCTGCACAGCTGTACTGCAGGAGACATCCAAGCTGAAGAAACCCCGTGGGGCCATCAATGTCTGAAAACACATTCATAAGGTCCAGTTACGACTGTGAGGTGGACTAAGCAGTAAAAAAAATTCCACATAAATAGGGCCAATATTTTTTCAAGGCCCACAACGGTGCACAGAGTGCTTATTTCTGCAGTGGGTACTGGTGCTCAGTTTCGTTGATACAATGAGAACATGCAATAGTTTGGTGTTATCAGAGGAATGGTACGCCATTGGGAGGGGGGAAAAGACACTGATTTGGAACGCACTAGTGTAGTAGGATGGTCTACACTGGTGGTGGCGTTCTAGCACCCGTCAACATCCATGAGGCTTAGGAACTGCGTTACGGAGCTGAAGGATGGCAATTCTGTTTTGCTTCCTCAGATGACAAAAAGCCTCTTTATATCCGGTGTTCAGAAACGCCAAGAATTGCTGAGCATTAGCGTATGCTTGTGTTCTCGCGGAGTCGACCTATGGACGAGCCTCATCTGTGGTTCTACCCTCTGCAGCTCCCTTCACTGCACCCCAGCCTGCAAGGGGACTTTTCGTTTCTGTTGTCCGCCCTCGCTCTTTGCCAAACAACCTGCCACTGTGTGAAAATAGTCCCATGTATAAGGTTTCAGGGGTTTCTGCATGCGCTTGAAGGTCTTAAAGATGCTTCAAACTCACAGAAGAAAAGCAAGTGCAATGCCTGGAGGCGGGCCAGGGTTGCATAGGAACGCGTGTTTCCTCTGGCTTTCTTCTTTCATTCACTTTCAAATGTAGGCTAGGGCTTGTTGACACAGCCCCGACAGAAGTACATTCCCCGGAACAACTTAGTTGGGGGGTTACAGTAGGCTAGGGCCGCTTGATGCGGCCCCCATGTTCAGAGATTGTCAATCCCGATTGCGCTCTTCCTTTTCATTCTGACACTCAGGGATCGAGTTACTCTGCTTCTGAAATCTTAGGAGTTCTTCCTTGTGTGGAGGACCGACCAGCGGTTGTTTAGTTGCTGCCCATCCTATGACCAACTGAGGTCATGATTGAGACAGGGCTCATACAATCCACTGATAAGGCAGTTCTCCTCTACATTGTGGCTTTCACGAACAGAAATATACATCTATCAATATACTGAGCTGTTCTTAGAGCAACCCTGCTCTACCTTTATTTTCCGAAGACTTACTGTTGAGCAGTTCCCGGCATGAGCCGCTGCGCTAGGGCTTGCATGAAGGCTTGAAATGTAGTATTCCCTGCAGGCAGACGAATCCCTCTCTAAGAAAAGAGTGAGCATTTAAGTGCATCTCCCTCCTAGTAGTATGCATCAAGGAGCACTTGTTTAGCTTCATTTAAAAACGACTAAAAGAGGAATCGCGCCAATGGCTGATGAGATCTTCGACTACTTGCGGACCCTTACGGCCATTGTGTTTGTCGGGAAAACTTCGACGACACATCCATATATATTTTTACGACTGACCAACCATGCCTTTCTAGTATATATCAAATCCTCCGCTCACATCTGCTTGAGGCTTGCCACCCCAGTGACTTTTTGCCACCGTCGACTTCCACGCCGGAGGGCTCTTAACGCTGGACAGTTGTCAAAAAATATCAAATAGTTGGATCGACAAATCCTTGATCAAAGCTAGAATTCTGTCCCAGGGAAGCTTGACATTTCACTGCATTCATTGATAGTAGATAAACGGGGAAGAGCTCCTTCAAGCCATGCGGTGGTGCTCTTAACTGTAAAGCTTCATCTACGTCTCTGTAAGTAGGCATCAACCCAAACGCAGTAGAACCTGAATACAACGCCACTGAATCCCTTCCCCAAAACATTGCGCCTTTCCCTGCGCGCGCCCCTCAGGGTTACCACCATCAGGGGAGAGGGGCAACTGAGATGCGCGGCTGCAGCCTCTGGGCGCTCCGAGCACTCACCGCTAATTGCACAAAGCATCGAGCGAACATTCACAAACCATTGCGTCTTCTGTATAGAGCCAACAGTACTGAAACGCTAATTAAGATATGCGAACAGACGACCAATTCTTCAATTCTTAACTAATTCCTAGTTAGGCCTATCTTGTGTAGTAGAAAGCGTGCAACTTAGCCTGGTACAGCCGTTGGACCGCCCTGGTATATGCAACTGCTCCATGAACAAAACATGATTATCTTATTCTATGGGCTGGACAAATGGCTGATCACGCTGTTTACCTTGGCGTTCAGGTGTATTGCTGCGCCGAACCAATCGCAGGGTGGGTGGTGGTTGCTGGTGGGGTCGCTTGGCAGGGTGCCTCAGTCGGCTGCAGGTTTTGGGTGTTTTTGTGCGTTAGACCCTAATGTATGCCTTAAGAAAACTAAATAATGTGCATTTAGCGGCTTGTTAAAGCGGAAGAGGGGGAAAGCGCAGCGGAAAATACAAATGAAGAGGAAGAGCGCTCAGACAGGGCGAAGCAGCCATGTACGCGCTGTGCGGCGAAGAGTGAAGGGGATGCAGGGAGGGCCTTCTTCCCTAGTTTCATGTCTCCTTCTGCTTCATTCCTATCTCATTGGTTTTTATTTAACTCACAGAGGAACTACTTGGCTGATAGGCAGCTTCTTTCTCTTACCTTTCCCATTCCCCCCTCCCTTCACTCCCACTAAACCCATATCCTAGCCTTCCCTCTGCTGGTTTCTTGCTCCCGCTGCAGCCATCCCCTGTTCCTGTGGTTCGTTCCGTCCTCTTTCTTCTGCTATTGTTGCCTATTTGAATATCAAGGGGACGGGATCAGTCCCTTCTTGTTCTCAATAGCCAAGGAAGAGAGGAACTGTTTCACCAGCTGAGACAACCACAGGGAGAGGACTCGCTCCCGTGACATCGTGGCTGTCTTCACTCGTATGCGCACCTCTCTCTCCCCTTCCGTTCACTTTTACGCATTTACAATTCACTTTTGTCTCTTTATGCAGCAAAAGAACCCTCGATTGCCCGGGCGTCTGTACACCTCGCTCACCCCGGCGAACCGCTATTGGCAAGAGGCCTCCACCCCCGTCCACAGGGCCCCTCTTCTACTTCCCTGTCTTCTGTCCTGCTTAAATGCCCTCATCTTGTCGTTTAATGCGATTTAAAAGCTAACTCCCCGGCCGTCTCCCTCAGAGACAGCAGCAACTGCACCGCTCGCTACCCCTGGGGGAGCTTGCCGTCTGGCCCGTCTTCCAGAAATAGAAGGGGCCCCAGCCCCCCGAGGACGCATCCCGTTATTCATGGTTGCAGACGAGGAACCGTATCTCGTCCCCCCTCCAGGCAGAGGGGATCTCCCCTTCTTTGCAGCCGCTCTACGCGCACAGCCCGTAGGTGGGCCCCTCTCCCTTCCGCCCGTCCACTCAACGCAGCAGCCTGGGGGCCCCCCGTCGGCTGTATTCCTGAGGGAGCCTTTTGTCTCAATGGCCTAGCAGGCACCTCACTCTGCGCCTGCTCTCTCTCCGATTTCCGCTGCAGCTCCGCTCGTCGTCGGCAGCCCCTGCGTTCTACACGCAACGATGGCACAGCAGCAAGAGGCTCAGCAGACTGCTGCAGCAGCCGAAAAAGCAGCTTTTGCGGGGAGCGCCAATGTGGAGGCGTTGTCCTCTTCCATGCTGGAGGGGGGGTGGCTGGAAACTCTGAAGGAGACTGTCGCTTCTTCCTCCCCCTGCACGGTGGGCGTCTCGTCCTCCTCTCCCAAGGCTGCTGCTGACGCGGAGGGGGGGCCCCCTTCTTCGGAAGAAGTCAGCAGTGCACGCAACGATTCCCCGAAGAAAGGCGCCTCCACGGATCGCCCCCCCCCCTCGCTCTTCGGCTCCCTGGTAGACAGCCCCTTTCTCGGATCTGTTGCTGCGGAGGTCCTCAACCAATTCGTCATAGACAGTGCCTCTCTAAGAACGGACGCAGCGACTTCCGACTCCGCAGCGAACAGGAGGGCGTCCTCCTGCTGCAGCCAAACGCAGGGGACTGCCTCGGCATCCTCGGCAGACGAGGCTTTGCCGCCCGCCTGCCCCTCTCCCACTCTGCGGGAAAGGGGAGCGGAGGCTTTGCCCATCGGCAGCGGGGCGAAGCCTTCGCTGGAGGCTCCCGGGAAAGACACGGCGCTGGCTCTGGCGGCTCTGAACTCGTCGACGCCGCTTGGGGGCCTGCCTCCCACTGCAGCAGCTGCTGCTGCTCCCCACGACGCTGCCGCTGCTTCCTGCAAGGGCGGCGCCGGCGAGAAGGGCCCTCTCGAGGCGACGCAGGCAGTCTTGGCGGAGCTGATGGAGGGGCTCCGACTGGGATGCAGCAGCAGTACCCAGGAGGGGGCAATCCAGGGGCCCTCCTCTTCCGCCGCTGCCTCCGTCGCCGCTCATTTGGTGAAGATCAGGAAGGCGCAGACCATGGCAGAGTTGAGCTCCTACATCGCCGTCTTCCAGGGGGCCCTCCCAGCCGTTTGCGGAGGGGGCCCCCTCACTGCCAGCAAGTGCGAGGCCCTCCTGAGAGCCTTGGACCTTGTCTGCGCATCGCCTCCGTCTGCACTCGTGCGAACAACAACGGCAGCGCCACCGCTCCTTCAGACTTCTCGACCAGTGGATGGCATCTCGAGAAGCAACAGCAACAGCAGCAACAGCAACAACGGCGAGGGGCCCCCCGCACGCGTCTGCGACGCGCTGGAGGGCCTTGTTCGTGGCAGCGCGAGCAGCGGCAACGGCAACGGCGTCTGCCCGCCTCCGCCGCAGGGGCCCCTAGGGGCCCCTGCGGCGGAGGCGGGCACCATGCGGTATCCCCCTGACGGCTTAGAGGCTCAGCAGCTCATGTGCTTCAGGCTGCTGGAGGCTCTAAGTGTCTTGCACTCCTCGTTTGGGCAGCGGGGGAGAGCCGCGTCTCCGCAAAGTGCGTCGCCTGTGTACGCGTACCACCAGGGAGTTATTTTAGCGGCAAAAGCCTCGCGTCAGTTATTCGTTTACCTGCATGTCGTCTTGGGGAAACTGCTGCTGCACGCTGTGCATGCGGTCCCTTCGTTGCTGCTGGCGGCTGCGACTGAGGGGGCCCTCGTGGTGCCAGCCGAGAGGCCGCTGACCCTCCTGAGGGGGGCCCCCCCACAGGCTATCGAAGAGGCCTTTGCTGCGCTGCAGACACTCTACGAGGCAGCGAATCCGGGGGCCCCTTCTGCTCGCACTAGCCAGCGAACTGCGGCTGCAGACGCAGCAAGAACCGAGGGTCCTGCTGCTGCTGCTGCTGCCGCAGCTGCCGCTGCAGGGGGCCTCCGCAGCAGACGCCTGGGGGATGTCGCCAGGAGCCAAGGGGGAGCGGATGCAGCAGCAGCCTCCGCGACTGCAACTCCCGTGCCGTCTCTTTTGTGCAGCCCCACAATCCGCTTTCTTGGATCTTCCGAGCAGGAAGGGGGCTTAGAGGGGTACGCAGTGCGAGGCTTCCCGGGAGGCACCGGTCTAGAGCCCGTCTGTGGGCCCCCCCTGCCACCCGCAGCCAAGGGGGGGGCCCCCCCGGGGGGCGCCCCCCCTCTGAGTCTGCAGAGGCATGCCCAGTCGACGGCTGCGGAGAAGGCGGGCGCGATCGCAGCCGCCTCGGCGGTTCTGAAGGTCCTAGGGGCCCCTTGCCTCCTTGACGGCTACGCGTCTGCTGCTGCTGGAGCGCCTCTTTCCCCCCAGCAGCTGCAGCAGAGCGGCGCTGCAGCAGCGAAGGGGCCCGCTGCCTTCTCGCTCTCCGGCCTCCTAGAGTCCCCTCTGGGGGCCCTCAAGGAGGAGCCTGGGGGCCCCCTCGCCTCCCCCGCCGCGAGCTCTCTGTGGGGGCCCCTCGGATCCTTGGCGTCTTCGCCGGAAGCCTCGAACTTCGCGGAGCCTTTGGAGCCGGCGTGCTGCTCCTCTTCGGGGCCTCCTGGGGGCCCCCCGTCCCCTTCTGGGGGCCCTAATGTGTCGTTCGACGCGACGCACAACCGCTGGATTGCGTTTTGGAGGTCGCAGGGGCGAAGCCACAGCAAGAGCTTCAGCTGCGCGAAGTACGGGGGTCGGGAGGCGGCGAGACTGCAGGCTCTTGGGTTCAGGAGACAGCTGCAGGAGACGGCTGCGGGAGAGGGGTGCGCGGGAGCCTCGGCTGCAGCGACGGACATACAGAGCGTCCTCGCCGGGCTGAATATGTGCCAGAGCCAAAAGGACGCTCTCGCCGCTCTTCAGCAGCCGCTGCTGCTGCGGCAGAGCGGGGGGGGGGGGGGGCCCCAGAGCTTCCTGGGGGCCCTTGGGGGGAGTGCCATGTGCCCTGGAGTCGATCCACGAGACGCGGCGCACAGCGGCCTTTCTGGAGAAGAGGCCTTAAAGGCTCTCTCGCTTCTGCAGGAGCTGCGGAGTGGCAGTACAGGCCCCACGACTGCGGGGGGGGGGGCCCCCCCCCGCAAGCCGAAGGCGAAGCGAGTGGGAGGAGGAGGAGTCACCCGAGTGGACGGGGGCGGGGTGCCCGTACGCCAGTGGGCAGTTATGGGCAGGGGCCCCACTGGGAGGACCCGCACCTCAAGTGCGCGGGCGAAAAGTGCTCCGAATACTCCTGGGGGGCCCCGTAGGTTGGATGGCGTTGGTGTTGCTGCAGCGGAAGAGTTGCGCTGTCTGGGTCGGAACACCAGCAGCAGTGGCGCTAGCAGCGGCTACGGCACGGAGGCGCCTGCGCTCCCGTCGCCTTTGCAGGGGGCTGAGTCTCAGTGGGCGCCCCCCCCTCCCTCGCCCTCTCCTTCGCCTCCTCACCAGCACCAGCACTCGCACTCGCAGCAGCAGATGCGGCTTCGTGTCGTGTCTGGGAGTATCACTTTTGACAGGAGCCAGAACCGCTTCATGGCGCAGTGGAAGACTAGCGACGGCTGCAAGCACAGCAAATCGTTCTACATCAAGAACTTCAGCAGCGTGGAGGAGGCACAACTGAACGCTCTGAGATTCAAAGAGAATCTTCTTGCGGAGCGAGACAGCGAGCGGTCCGCAGCAGCAGCGGGAATTGCGGCGGCAGCAGCCCAGTCCTCTGCCAGGGGAGGAGGCAAGCAGCGAGGGGGGGCGAGCGCCGTCTCGAAGAGCCCCCTGGATAGCTCTGGCAGCCATGGCGGCTCTTGGAGGGGTGGTGAGGGGCCCCTGATTCCCCAAGGGAGGGAGGGAGGCAGCGCCCACAGGGGCCCCTCCTCCGGACAAGGCAGCAGGTCGAATGACGGGGGCCCTCACGGCGGGGGGGGGGCCCCTGCCATGCATGAAGCTCTCGAGTGCATCCTTTCCCGCTCCATTCAGTCTTGTCTAGAAGAGGAGGCAGCAGATGGAAGCACCCTAGACAAGTCCATGGTAGGGGGGTCCTCCTCCCTCGTGGATTCCATCAAAGCCGCAGTTGCTGCTGCCGCAGCGAGCGCGACAGAGACGGATGAAAACTGTGCAGGGCCGTCTCAAGCTCTAAGTGCGAGCATGTGGGAGGAGGCAGGGGGGGGATCATCCACTAAGGAGAGTGGAGGGCCCTCACAACACGCGGGAGGGGGGTCTTGCAATGGCAGCAAGATATCGCCGCAGGGGATCAGTGCAAAGCGGTGCAGGCAGCAGGCAGTTGCCGCTGCTACTGCTGCGGCGGCGGCAGCGGCTCCCTCCTCCTTTGCTCCCTCTCCAGAACCCCATTACAAAAGGTTGAAGCACTTGTTGAGTGCTGCAGTTGCGCCTTCCTCGCCTTCCTGCAACATGCCAACGCTGTTAGCCAGGGGAAGAGAAGGAGAAGCTCCCAAAGTTGCTCCCGCCAGCGTCGTCGGGCTGCAGCAACAGGCTTCTCTCCAGGACGCTGCAGCAGCAGGAGCAGCAGCTCTCGAGGAAGGCTCAGCAGCAGCAACAGCCAACGGGAAGCTAAACAAAGCCTCCTGCGCTTAGCGAAAAGGTACACAATGCGGCACATTCTTAGGTGCGAGCAGCACCGGCCCTCGCCCTCTTCGTTTTGGCAGCTCTGGGAAGCTGTGGGCTGTGCAGCACAGTCAGTGGAAGATAATACACCTTTTCTTGGGGGCATTAAAGAGGGATCGGAACGAGTCCCAGTAGTAGAGCATGCTTTAGAAGGTGTGTGCACGATGATAAAGACGCATGCAAACGCATGCTTCAACACCCCCAGTTCTCCCCCTACGTGTCACTGGTTTTGCAAGTCTGTATAATTCATACGCATAATTCTGCAGCTGCCTCCGGGGCAGCAGCACGCAACTCACTAGAATCCGCTTGACGAGTCTTGCATGCAGACAAAAATGCATGCGCTGCAAAGGGTCAATCACTGTCTCGTCCTCCTCTCCCCGCCCGTCGTGGCTTTAGGGAGGGATTGGGGGTTGCGAGGCATCCTTGCGGGGACCCTTCCTACTTCTTGACTCTGAGAGTGTTTACGGCTCCCTGTCAAACAAACTGAAAAGCAATTCTACCTACCCTCCGTCACAAGTAGCTACGCAGTACCAACTAGCGTGGACCCTACAGCTCTACACCCCCTATAGGGGGGACCCCACGTAGTGTGCGCGGATCCCGCCCCCTAGGCCACCTCCAAGGGCCCCCCCGGGGCCCCCCCCAAGCCCAAAAAGAGAGTTTTTTTTAACGGACTGGCACCGCCGCATGCAAAGGGGACTTCACGGCGACAGTGTCTGCAGAGAGTCATTGCATACGTACACCCCTCCAGGGGGCCCCTTTCGGCGGTTGAATATTGCACGGGCCGTCCAAGAGCCAACGGCAACACCACATTCGCCGCAAATCCTCAGAGTCTCTCCAACACTGTCTAAAATGCATCTGCTGCCTGTGGGGGGCCCCTATTGGGCCCCGTGTGTTTGTTTTGCCCCTGAAAAGGGTAGCTTTACTTTTTGCCGCTAGAACTGTACCCTCCAGTACAGCAGCGGCCACTGCAAGGGCGCCCACCAGGGGGCCCGCATCAAAGGAATTGCTTGTTGGGGGCCCCCTAGCACGGGGACTTCCCTCCTCTAGGGGGCCCCTCTCTCGATCTCGCAGCGACACCCCAGTGAGGCTTTTTCTCCGCTTTTCTCCCCCTTTTGGGAATTCTACGCCTGCGTATCAGCTCCCGCCGAATCTAGAGCTCATCTTTATCTTTTTCTTGGGGGCCCTCGGAGCTTTCTACGGGCAGTGACTTAAGGATGTCTGCCAAGACTGACGGTGGAGGTATGGTGTGCACGTCCCCCCCCCAAAGCCTTCTTGCATGCTCTTCAGCAGTCCTCATGAGGGCTGAGACAACCGAAGAGTCCGCCTCTTGCATAAACTGCATCGCTCGCTCAAACAACGTCTCCCCGTCCCCTGGAGGGGCGAAGGGGGGTGGCACGTCGCCGCTCTTGCCCTTAGTGCTGCTGTCACTGCTTTTGCTGCCCTTGGTGCTGCTGTCACTGCTTTTGCTGCCCTTGCTGCTGCTGTCGCTGCTTTTGCTGCCCTTGCTGCTGCTTTTGTTAACCTTGCTGCTCTTGCTGCTCTTGCTGGCGAGGGGACCGACATCGTGCCCTCCTTTGTCGGGATCAGAGGCACTGTGAACGGCCGATTTCTCGGAGGAAAGGCCTTCCTGAGGAGCCTTTGGTGGCTTCGTCGGAATGCTCTGGCTCGCCTCTTGCTGAGGGAGAAATGCTTGCTGCCTGCCTCCTCCCCCCCCCTCATCCTCGGAGGGGAAGCCTCCTAGCTTCGAGAGGGCTTCTCGAAGACTCTCTGCCGCATGAGCATCTATCGGGAGGCCAAGTTGCTGAGCCATACGAGAAAAGGCCTCCGGAATGCCAGCAAACGCTGCAGGGCCCCACAGACAGCGCATGCAGCACAGGTGATGTGCAGGTGCACTAGACGAGCAGCTCGCCGCGGCAGCATGCGTCGAGGAAGAGCAGCGGCCCCTCCCCCAGCAGCTGCAGCAGCCGGGCAGCCTGCGAGGGAATTCAAGCTCTTTTCAAAACAGCAGCCACAAGAGCGATAGGAGGAGCTCCTGCAGCAGTACACAGGCAGCTTGGAGGAAGCAGCAGCACACACCTTCTGCAGGCGGAGAAGCTCCAGTGCTTCCGAAATTCAAGACTTCACCGTCCGGTCCCATCACGACGAATGCCTGAATGCCTCCTGTGAGAGCATCGTCAGCAGCATCCCCCAAAACAGCCAACAAAGATTTTCAACACAGGATTTACGTGCCCCGTCCCTTCTCCCCGTGTGTGCTCCACCCAACCCCAGCCTTCTCCTCCCCCTGACAACCCCACCCCCATGCTGCGCGGCTACCACCCTCCAAAAAACTTTCCGCAGACAACAAGAGACACACAAGGAGACACTTCTGGAAATGCCCACACGTCGTACCTGGCTGCGGAAGCTGATTTTTCGACGCGCCTTCTCCCTTGCGCTTCTTCTTGGGGCGTTCGGGAGCCTTATCCGAAGATTGCGTTGGCGATCGAGGCTCGTCTTCATGGGGGGACGGGGGGGCCCCCCCCCCTCCCGTCTCCTGAAGATCCTCACCCTGTCGCGTTCGCTGCCCCTTCTCCCCCTTTTTTTTCCCCTCTTCTGCGAAGGATGATGGCAAGCTTGGAGTTCCCGTGTCGTCAGAATTCAGACGCGCGTTCTCCTTCTGCCGCGAGTCTGCGGCTGCTGCCTGTCGCTGCGGGGGGGGGCCCCCTGCGGAAACCGCCGAAGCTGACGTGCCCGGTTTGGGGGCCCCTTCAAGGTATGCCTTCTCCGAGGCGGCAGCGATGTGTTCACTCATTTTTTCGATGATGTTTTGAAACCCTGGAGAGGTCTGGACCGACCCGAGACACACACGACCACATGGGAGTGCCCAGTTCACCGCTTCAGAGAAACCTTTTTCATGGCATCTACACTTTGAGGTTCAAAAAGTACGGCATCAACACAAAGGAGAGCAGGAAGTCTAGAGTTCAGAAATTACCTTTGCCAGTATCTCTGTCAAGGCGACTATGGATTTCCCCCAGCTAGAAGCGCGGTCCTGAGACACCAAGCTTGGCATTCTCGGAAAAAGGCCATTTAAACAACACGCCGCAGCTGAATGACTCGAGCGATTTGTGCTCTAGCGGCAGCCTGGAAAAAGGGGAGCTAGCCAACGCCATCCCCCCAACTGCCTCAGTCTGCGCGAGGAGGCGCAGCTAGCCAAAGGCCAAGTCTCCGCCCTTCCGTCCTATTCGGCACGCACCGCTTTGCCCCAGCTAGCTACCTATAAGGTCCATCCTTCCCCCTGCCACGCAGCCTCTGCCAGCTAGGAGCTGAAACGGCTTTTCTTGCACACCTCTGAGCTCTTTGTCTCGTCTTTGCTACTCCTCCCGACTCTTTTGTTGGCTGCTGCACCTGCGGAAGGCGCTGCCAGAATACCAGCAGTCGGCGTCTTCGCCTTCGCAGGCACTTCCACGGAGAAGCCCTCCGTCTGAGCAGAAGCAGCTTCCTTCGCGGAAGAGCTCTTACTGGCACTCAGACTGTTCAAAATAGTTTTCATCAGAGAACGGAGATCTCCCATGCCTGCCAGTGAAGCAAGCGGGCCGACCCCGAAGCATCGCACACACAAAGCCACGCAAACAAAGACACAAACATGCATAAGCAATCATATACATGCATAAATATACACACATACATATATATATATATGTACACACACGTACACAATCATATATACATATATATATGTACACACACATACACAATCATATATACATTTATATATGTACACACACGTACACAATCATATATACATATATATACGTACACACACATACACAATCATATATACATATACATACGTACACACACGTACACAATCATATATACATATATATATGTACACACACATACGCAATCATATACACATATGCACGTGCCAACAAACACACACAGACATAGGTATACAGTCAAAACACCTGGAAATGCAGGTTCGGACCCCACGCCGCGTCTCGTGCACGCATTAAGAAACACACATTCAGCATAGCCCCTCCCCATCCTCCTCCCCTTCTGACTATTGCATCGCGTTCCCCCAATGTACCAATGGGCATGCGCGAAAGCCCCAAGATCAGACAGAGAGAAAAAAGAGGGGCAAAAAGCTTACCACTGGAATCGAGATCCGGATTTTTGAAGTGACCATGCGTTTCCAGCGCAGGCTGTGAGAGGACGCACATACATTCTCCGAGGCGATCCCCCACTACGCGCATGTACCCCCCCCCAAAATGTTTTGTGCACACAGACAACGCTGAAGGGCCCTGCAGACCTTTTCTGGAGGCGTCGAAGGGGGAGCAGCAAGCACAGCAGGAGCGGTCCCCTCACCTTTCTGTAGAAAACTTGCTTCACTTGCGGCAGCTGGTTGAGAGCAATTACGGGCGCTTCTGCCGGAATCTCCTGCATGAACAGAGTCGCCTTCTTGAGGGGCCTTCGCAAGTCTGCGAACTGGTAAGGCATGCTGTCGAACCTCCCGAACTTGATCCGCTGATTCTCTTGCCAGTTGAGCGGCAGCGAGGTGCTCGACACGTCGCTCGATTCGAGCAGCTCCCGTTCTGCATCGCCTTGCGCCCACAGCACTACCCCCATGAAGACGCCGCTTTCCCGCTGATCTTCCGTCTCGTTCCCCGAGAATTCGTCGGCGCGAGTCGTCGGCGCAGGCGAGGAGCTCGGCATGTGGGCTCTCCACGGCTTGGGCAGGGGGCCCCCCAGCAGCTGCTTGAGCAGGGGGCCCCTCGCTTCCGCCAGGGCTTCCTTGCGGGCTTCCTGCTGCTTCCGGTGGCTCAGAACTGCATGCGCCTTCTCCTGCAACGCCTTCCCCTCGGCAGTCGCCGCATCCACTGCGTAAAACACGCGGTTGCTCAGCGCCTTCTCCGCAACGAGCAGATGCACGGCTCCCAAGGCAGCCTGGTAGGGAGCGCAGTGCAGGGGGCGCTGCACGCCGATCGGCTCGACGCCACTCCCAGAAACCCCTGCCATCCCGTAGCTGAAGCGCAAGACGTCGACGCGCCGCAAAGGAGTCGCTGACTTGATGAAGTCTAAGGCATTCACGAAGCGATACTCCTTGGGAACCTCCGGAGGGCCCTCTCCGTGCACCTCAGGGATGTCGGAAAGCGGCACTTCCGCCGAGAACATGACTTCCTCCTCCTGAATGCCACGCACCAGCAACACTGGCCTCCGCGAAGCCTCCAAATCCTCTTCCCCGCAGCTTGGCAAGGGTCGCCTTGGCGTTGCAGTCACCCAAATGCCGAAGGGGACAAACAGATTGGCGTGCGAGAGGGAACCCTCCGCGCTAACCAACTCAGCGAACGTGGTAATCGCCTCAGGGGGCCCCCTGTAATTCAGCAGGTGTCTGTACGACGAGGGTCTGGCGGAAAAACCCTCCGCCACGGGCCCCGTCAAGGGCAGCGAGAATGCATTGAAGGGGTGTCTCGGAGAATGGAGACTTCTCCCCTCCCTTCTCTTCCTTTCTTCTTCTTCTTCTTGTTTATTTGTTTTTTCCGCTTGTTCCTCTTTGCTTTCAAGCGCTCCGTTCGCGCCCTCAGATGTCGCCTTGACCTCCCATCTTCCTCTCCAGCGAGTCTCTACGTCCGGAAGCCCATACCCGTAGTTTTCTTCCAAGTAAGGCGAGACGAAGGGGGCCCTCGACTTGTTGAAGAGCAGCAAGTGCGAGCTGCCGTTCCACCCGCTGTGATACGCCGCAACTTCTGCGGTGTACTTCTGAGGCAGCGAGGAGAAGACGGCCAGGTCGTGGCAGTCCTTCCGACTCCGCGACTCCCCCGTGTAGAAACACACCAAGCTGCTGCTGGAGGGGAAGCCTCCCTGCCACAGCGCCGTCTTCTTCTTCCCCGTACCCAAACCGGGAGATCCCCAGATGTCTCGCGTGCCTCCCGTCAGCGCCCCCAGGTGACCTATGGCGTTGGAAATGGCGTCAGAAAGAGATTGGGCGGAAACGTCGCCGACGCCGTCCTCAATGTACTGCCCCCTGTTGATGTAAGGCCGGTTCATTCGGTGGTGCAAGACGCGCGCGCTACTGCTGCGCACGCCAAGAGGCAGGAACGTCATGGAGCTATCCACAGGCAAGAAGACAGGGGCCAAGAGGCTCCGGGGGGCCCCCTTCTCCGCCTCTCCCGCCCCCTCGACGCCGCTCCGAAGGGGCCCTCCCCTGCTGCCGCCAGCATCCCCTACTAGAGGCCGATGCAAGTGCGCGGCGTAGGCGGCGGGAGCTTGGGAAGAGCCTCCTCCTCCACCTCCAAAACCCCTGGAAACCGTCGTCGAGACAGAGGGCCCCTCGGGGAAGAGAAGCGGAAACTGGAGATGCGGGCAGTTGGGCCCCGAAAGGGAGTCGCACACGGGAAATACAACCTGCAAAAATATGCGCATGAACAAAAAATACACGGAGACTTAAGGCTCCTTACAGCCGGCACGACTGCCATAAGCCACGGGCACGAAGCGGATAGTGTGTAGCTCTTGAAAAGCAAAAAAAGCAAAAAATTTGATGTTTTTTTGCAAGGAGCCAGTCGCGCGGGAAAGCGGCACAAAGGACACCCCGCCAGCGGGGAGCAGAGACTCCAGTGTGGGGTTTGTTGTTGTGGGAGGATTTCGACAAACACGCGGGAAACACGTGATAATGCACAGCGAACAGCAAGAGGCGAGCGAAAAAATCGCATACAGAACGGAGGCAAAAGGGCAGCACTGGGCGGCTTCGAAGGGGCCCCCTGCCCGGTGAGCCGTATTACTGAGGGGCAGGCATGACTGGGTAGGATGGAGGAGCCACTCTGACTGAAAGCGACGGAGAAAAGAGGGGGCGAAGGAGGAGAAGCGCTCACAGAAAGTCACATGCGTTCATAGGGAAAAGTGTTAAGAAGGGCAGGAAGGGGAAGAAAGTGCGTGGGCAAGAAGAAGAGAGGTGTGGCTCTGTGAGAGTGGCAATACCTTTTCGGGAACGAGTTGCCCGTGTGCAACGTAAGTGAGATCTCTTAGAGAAGAGACGAGAAAGTCTGCCACGCAAGAGTGGACGTTGAGGGATCCCTCGGCTCCTAGAAGGAAGGGAGTGACTCTCCCGCCATGGGGAGCATCTGTTTTGTCATGGCTGTTTAGAGCAGAGAGGAGGCAGCACAGGCTCACGAGCAGCAGACTGGGCCGGGAAGGGTGGGGGAGGAAGAAGACGTTGCTTTTCATCTCCGTTGATGCAGAAGGGTGGCAGATCCTTCCCTGGGGTTAGATGCAAAACGGAGTCGTCTGGGGAGCTGTACTTCACTGGCAGCAGATGCGGGAAAGGGGGCCCCATTGAGCAGACGTTAGACTCGGCAAGAGCCGCACATCATGAGAGTCCACCACAGGTAAAGGTTTGCCTGTGATAATACGCAGCGCTTGCTGCTTGTTCTGCTGCCGTCATGGGATGTGCGTGTGTGTGTGACTGAAGGCAGGGGGTGGCAGAATCGGGTGGGGTGGAGAGGGTAGGACCCCTAGCCGCATGCGAGGTGTCCCCTCCTGGCAGAATCGAGAGAAGAAGAGGAAGCAGCACCAAAAGAATTTCTTGCCAGATATGGCTGGAGATGGCACAGAGAGGGACGAAGGGAGTAGGTAGGGGGGGAGAATAGAGGAGAACGACGGCGAGGTATGCGAAGGTGGAAAAGGCAGCGGTAGTAAGTGTGCGCGAAGGCGAACAGCGCGAGATGCAAGCGATAGGCAACTGGCAGGAAGTGACCGAAGATGTCAAACAAAAAGTGCTATGGCGACGTTGGCGCTTGAATGGTTCCCCCAGCTACAGCCGTCCGCGGCATATCTTGCAAAATGCGCCTTCACCACACAAATGAGGAAGAAATAGGCCGTATGCAATGGCACTGCCAACGTCCTCTGCATATGCTTAGTCTCAAAAGAATCTACACGCGCTTCCGCCTTTGTTTTTTCATAACAAAAGGAGGCGTGCGAATGTGTCTGCTGACCGCCGACGGCATGCGGGGCTGGCCTTGCCATGCGTTCGAACACCATTGAGGGTTGAAGAAACACGCCTTAATTTACTGTTGATACACTTATTTCCCTCTTGCAGGCTTTTTTTGTGTAAAGGGCGCCTCGTTCCACCATTATTGCCATCCCGCTACTCCACATATTCACCGTGTTATGAAACGGATGCTCACGCACCTGACAATCCTACGGACATTAAAAGTCATGTCTCTTTGCCATAGCCCTTGATTTATCCTTAAGTACGCTTAGTCTCTATTTGCCTTTTCGATTCATCTCGAATTGCAGAGGGACAAAGTGTGTGCCTTCTCTTAGGCCTTCTATGACTGGTTCTCTTTGCTGCTCCCATTGCATTTTTCGGCCGTAACAAAAACCGCACGCCCATGTATATCGCGTGGCTTCACTACGGTGAATGCGAAGCTCGGAGCTCATTAATGCTCTCGTGCAGCAGCCTCTTGTCACTGACGCATGCTGCGCGTGCCAGCTTTCGCATGCGCGCTCTTGCTTAGAGTACGAAAGTACAACCAAGCGAAAGGGCAGGCATGCCTCATGAAGCTTGAAGAAATCAGCCCTTAGGTGCTTCTTAATGCACTTTTGCCGAGAGGTCATTGTGTAGGCTGTCCGTGAAAGTTGCATCCCAGGAAGTACAGGGCCTCTAGAGAGCACGCTCACGTGCAGCGCTGTAAACTCTCTCTAGGTGTACACATGATAGATACATTGGATTGAGAAAAGAAAGGAGAAAGGAAAAGTCGAGACAGTGATGCCCTTTGCTTGGTACATCTTGAGCTTCGCACGTTTGCGTGCTTCAAAAGAGATACCCTTAAATAATTGTATACACTACCTTTCTCAGCTCATTTGTTCACATTGACTACAGATAGTCAGCAGAAAGCGTCATTTCATCCGTAATAATCTGAAAGGCATTTCATACTCCGTATTGGCTCGAGGATGCTGCTGCATGAACGGGGGTCCCTGCGCCTTTTGTGCTACAGAGGTGCGTGTCTATTGACAAAATTTGCTGCCGCCACTCTTCTGCAAAATTGTGACGCTAGGAAGCCTAACGGCCTCATCAATCGCAATGGCGGCTACGCTACTCCTGGGGCTATTTCGTCTCTGTCCCTCCAACAGCAAGAACAAAACTAAGTCATTAACTACACCAGGAGCTTCTGGCGTGGAAAAGTTCTTTTTACCTAAAGGCTACTGATGATAGCAAACTGTGTTTCTTGGGGGCCACTGTGATTCTCTCATACCCTATTGAGACGTCATGGGGGCAACTCTTAGGCACCAATGCCTGGGTTTCTGCCAATACCGCGTAGGGGCCTTCAAGCATTGTCTTTATGTATATGTAGTTTAACCAAACAGAGCTTGAGGTTCGAGGACTGTTGCAGTGCAACTGCGGGAAACGTGGGTTAAATACTCCTTTGGAGGGTGTTAAGTCGGTGTAATCTGGGAGCAGCAAGAAACCACTACAAGTTCGCTGGGAGAGACCCTACAGCAGCCTGAAACGCCGCTTTGTGAGTATATATTCCTGAAAGTATCAATAGTTTAGAGAATTTTGGAGCAGCTTACCGCAAAAAGCGGCGTGACCAGAAAACTCCGAGTCCGGGAATTGAACCCGGGTCTTCCGCGTGACAGGCGGAAATACTAGCCACTATACTAACCCGGACTGTCTCGAAGAGGGAATCGTCATACTTCGTTTTTTAAAAAGGTCATAATTCATTTCCCCGACAGCCGTGCAGCAAGAAAAGATGTGCAAAAGGGTAGATCCGAGGTTTACTCTGCCCCACTCTAAAGGATTCCGCTTTTTGCTGCAGGGGCGTTGTGGTGCGAACCCAGCGTTTCTGTCCTGCGCCTCTAGACTTGCACAGAAATTTGTTAAGCTAGGGCGTATAAACAAAAGGAAATATGGGGTTTTTCCCGGAATCTTGAAATTTCTTCACTACCTTCCCTTCCTTACAGGTGCATTGAGACCTCACGCATGTCTGTACCGTGCTAGATTTCTAACTATTAATCTCCTCAGATGACTTCTCAAGGTTCCCATCTTAAACTGCTCCTTCCCTCATTACCCACCTGCTTGCCTCTTCTTAATCCCTCCCGTCTGATCTGTGCCGTGCTTAGGCTGTGAGCTTTCCTGTACCGGACAATGACTCCTCATCAAAAGAGATTAACGAAATAAAAAGGCCACGTTGCAAAAGGGGTCCCTTTTGCAGTATCCAGGTACCCCAGTCACTCTTTATAGTAAACAGAAGCGCTTTTTGGGGACTTTGCATGAGTAGAGTGGTGTGTTCGCACTCATTAAGAGCCAAAGCTTCAGATCTTTACTCAATAGCAATAGCTCTTTTAAATGCTGCGTAACGCGTTTTGTTGTGTCTTTGATGCTTCCCCACGCGAAACGACTACGGGCACGCTCTTTCCCGCGTGCACATGCGAAGACAAGCAGAAGGTCGTCTAGCGTAGGCACACCTAGGAAGCTTTCTGTTTGGCAGGCAGCGAGGGATCGTAACGAGCGTTCGAGGCCTCGTGCTGCGAAAAAAATAAACTTTTCGACTTATGCACGTGCTTATCCCTTAAGCAGCTCTTTATTTGACTCAGAAGCTATGTAGACAGTTGCCGCAGAGCACAGGAGCAACAACAGGACCAAGGAATGAGGTGCAAGAACATCTCTATAGCGCTCCATATATGATATCGTAAGAAAACCCCTAGCTCCAGAGCAAAACTCGACAGAAGGCTATTAAGTCTGAGTTCTTAGGGGCGCTCTTCTTTCCCCGCCCTCACCGCTCGATGTTGCAGCATGGCGTGAGAGGAGGGCAAAGCAGTATATCCTTTATCCTTATGCACACCTAGCACTCTTATTCAACTCCCCACACCTACATAGCGCGCACAACCATTTCTTCCATTCACAAAGTACAGCGCAGCGCATATCTTACCCTGAAGCAAATGGATCATACAAATCGCAATTTCTGCGGTTGGGCACCATGATCAACAGGAACATATCCGGTGTTTTCTGCTTTAAAGCCTGACCTAGGTAAAATGCCTGGCTGCATTCCCTTACTGGACTGAATGTGCAAGTATAACGCGCCGTTCTATCAGTGCAATGCATGTATTTCCTAGGGGTGCGAGTGCGCCTTCCGCGAAGGTGCTGCAGGAGGCTTAGAGGCCTTTTGGTAGTTGACAGTTATGGAGCGTTCCTTTAACGTTGATGGATAAGCAGGATTTAGTGTGCACAAAAGCGCTGTTCAACCCCTGGGAGCTTCATGACGAAGGCCTCTGGTGTACATAAAGACATGCGGAGAAACTAAACAGAGAGGCATCCACGACGGCCGCCCGCGGCCAGGTTTCAACTGAGCTAAGGGAAATCTTGTCTCTGGGAAAACATTGGTCTCAGTTGTACTATGTTGATCGTTCGTTTCACGCCGGAACGAAGGCGACAGTTCGACGGACCATCAACACCACCAGCGGTCAGCTCGGCAAGCAGAGCCCATTCCCCTCAAGAGACATGCGAAGAAACAGTAAAATCGTACAAGCCATTAATATTCTGGGTTCTAGGCGACATTCAAAGCTAACAGGCTCAATGGAGAGGGCCCTCTTCGGGATTTGCCTGCTTCCGGCGCGCAGCCGACTCGGGCTTCCCCAACGCCGAGATAGATATGTGGTTCTGAAAGGGGCATGCCACTACCGATGCTTCGAGTTTTTTGCCCTTTAAAGAATTAATATTCTTTGCTCTCAGTTCTGGGCTTCTTTTTGGTCATCAGAAGGGAGAAATATCAAACTATTTAGCAGGTGCAGACGTTTGAATGTCTCTGGCGGCTGTCTGAACCGGACCCCTGTGCTGCAGCACCAGCAGTAGCTACTGCTACAGGTAGCCTTTCCGCTCCATAGTTTAAGTCGTTTAAATTGTCGCTTTATTAGATGCAGTTTTATCTGCTACTGCTGCTGCCAATACACCCAATATCAAGCTGAGAGGATATCCTTTCAATGCTTCTCGAGACCCCAGCCTCGGCCAAGAGGCCTCCACCGGCAGCCCTTGTAAACCCCCAAAGGCTTCAGCTCAAGCATTATAAGCCTTGCAAGCTGGGTGTCAAACGCACAATTCCAAATGACTGGTGAGACAACGAGGGGCAGGGGGCCCCTGGAGGGTACTCTGTGCCCAACAGAGTCCGACCAGAGGCCCCCGCACATAGCCTTTCCCGCAAGAGCAGCACGGCATCCAGCAGTGGTGACACATATGGCGTCGCTGGAAGCCTCGGAAGCATCGCGATCGGCTGCAGTTTCGGGAGGAGAAGCGCTACTTTCCTCTCGTACTTCCAGCCTATGCCGCTTCCACCGTGCCAAGGGCCTCTTGTGCGCTGCTCGTACACTCGGCTCTTGTTTGCACACATTCCTCCAGAGAGCAGCGGCAGCACCTCCTCCCACCAGGAATACGAACAGGGTGTTTATTAGAGCCTTCCTGCTTGCGGTGCTGAGCGTTCTCCTGCTCTCGGGAGGGGATGTGTCGCAATCCGCCCATGCTCTGGCTCCCTCGAAAAGGCACTCAGAGCAGCCAAGGCAGCGATTTAGAGGCATTCTGCAGCCGCAAGGCAAGCGCATCTCCCTAGCAGCGCTTTCAGCGAAGGCAAGCGCCGCGAAAGGAGGTGAAGCTGCTGCAGCATTCGCCGAGTCAAGACAGGCAGCGCTGGCAGACAGGGAGGTCTTTCGCCACAGCTGGGACGAGCCTACCAACGTTTTGCATGCAGATGTGGACAGTGCTCAAGAAGAGCAGCCACCGAGGCAGCACGAAGAGGCGAACGATGACGCGAAGGAGAGCGTCACGGCCTACTTCACGACTTCTCCGCTGCACAGTGGATCGGCTGAGCTCTGGAATGCCACACCAGCCGCCTCAGCCCTCGAGCTTAGTTTAGAAGTCTCTTCTCCCGCATTGTTCTCTGGCCAGGCCGGAGCTGCTTCCGTGGATATGATGCCTGACACGGAGGAGCAGATAGCGATGCTTCCTAATTGTTTATTCTACGTATCCTACCCGGGCACTTGCATTCCTGAGACGGCGCACTCACCATGCAGGTAAGTCATGCTATCGACAGCACGACCAAATTGCAACAAGAGGCAGCAATAAGGTTCAATCTCAAGAGTCATGCACCTACGAGAGGGTCGACGCCACAGGAGGAGGGGCAGAGGAGCGCTGTGGGAGTTCGGAGGCAGCGGCTAACATGGGGGGGCAGGGGGGAGGGGGGGAAGGAGGGAAGGCATCCCTTAGTCTGAGCACACTTGAACTCACGCTGAGGGCTTGTTACTCGCGATATGCTAAACTGCATCCTCTCACCTCCCTAGTCCCCTTCGTTTTCTCCAGCCAGCAAGACAAGGAGCTCTGTCTCTGTCTGTCTGTCTGTCTCGGTCTGTCTGTCTCTCTGTCTGTCTGTTTGTCTGTCTGTTTGTTTGTCTGTCTGTCTGTCTGTTTGTCTGTCTGTTTGTTTGTCTGTCTGTCTCTGTCTGTTTGTCTGTCTGTCTGTCTGTCTGTCTGTCTGTCTGTCTGTCTGTCTGTCTGTCTGTCTGTCTCTGTCTCTGTCTCTGTCTCTCCGTAAATAGTCCTGCACACCGTGAACCCTTTGTTTGCGAGCTCGACATAAATACACCCTTACATGGCATCCGCCTCAGCTTATCCAAATCTTTGCCAAATATGCCCCCTCCCCTACGATCTAGGCTTTATATTGCGGGAAGCAGCTAGACTCTGGTTGTCTTACAGGTACTGCAGAGCCAAGCAATTTTCAGGCCAGTACGGAGGTGCTCAGTGTGAGCCTCAGCACGACACTGGGAATCCTCTACGCTCCCCCTTTACACCTTAGAGCCATCTTTTACTTGTCACACGTATTCGCTAGGCGCCTTACCCCGATTGGGAAACGCCTTACCCCGTGTAACCCTTATTCACATATAATTTTCCCGAGCCGGGGAGAGTAAACGGATTGCTCTCTTGGCTTCGCTTTCGCAGGTCCGAGTGTATTCTCCTTCCCCACTGAGTTGCAGGCGATGTTTCGCTGGCGCATAACACCCGTGAAGGTTGCACAAAAAGACGGCTACATAGATGAGCATATTTGCGTGGTGGAGAAGGTTCCTGGTGCGATGCCTCTATCTCCCGAGCTCTTGCCCTTTATCGAACAACGAGCAAGGGGCGAGAAGGATCTTACGCTACTTTGGGTGGTTCTTGGTATTGGAGTCGTTGCCGCACTGTTGGGTGTTGCTATTTGCGTTATTGCACGATAAGCCAAGACTAAACAGGGAATACTGGGAGACAGGGGGGCGAAGGAGAGGAAGGCCAGAGGCACAGTGCTCATGCAGAGCTGTCTCCCTATCGTCTGGCTCTTCCACCGAGGAGCTGCTACTCGAGCCGCTTTAGTGAGAGAATTCGCATCCGCACAGTCTTGCTCCTTTCTTATAGGTGTGCTTCTCGTTGCTGTCAAAGTGCTGCATTCTCCGTACCCTTGCATGTCGGAGGTTCATTTTTGTCTCTTGTGCGCCGGCTGCTCAAGGTCCTGTCTTCCTTGTCTCTTCCGCCCAGCGCTTTGCGCTTTTTTGGTGATCCTGTGTCTCTTTTGCTGTTCTTCTCTGGCACCCCTCGCTGTTTCTTACACTATTTGCTGACCAGCCCGCCCGACTCTCTTCCATGCGGTTGCCGGAGTTCCTTTTGTTTTAGGCCAAAGAATTAGCCTTTGGTGGGCGTCGAAAGTCAGGCACCCAGTGTAACATCTTTTCGTCAACCTATTCAATTTGTTTTCCCTTCCCAGGAAGTAGCTGTGGCCCTTCTAGAACTAGAGGGGCTACCTCTGTGGAAGCTACAAGCAGAAGTGCTGGGCACCGCAAAAAAAGCTCCGCCTCTTTTCTTAAGGCCTGCACCCCTGTGCTTACAGGCTACCATACGTCCACAAGAGTGGACCTCAAAAGTAGCTACCACTAAATGGAGTAATCGTGCTAGAAGGTTAGTAACCAAGTTTCCACCGCTATCGCAGGTGGCATCTGCAGACCGCAATCAAGTAAAGCAAAAGAAACGGCGATGTGTGGCTTTTGCAGCCCAGTTAGGCACTTTTATCTATTTTCCCACCTCCCTCATCCTCCTTTTCTTTTTCTCGTAAAAAGCATGTGGACTTCTTCAATTTGTCCACGCTACATGCATCGCCCAATTAGCCTCGCAGTCCTTGCCGCTTCCCAGTAGACAGAGGGGTGAGCCTCAAGAGGGGCGCTAGGGCAAGGCGAGTGCAAAGGATGCGTTGCACAAAGATGTGAGTACCAGCTACCGAAAAGGCGCAATTAATGAGGTTGTACCCCGAATTGCGCTCCTGGCCTCGAATTCTTTCCCAATTCACAGGCCATCAAAAATGATCAGGGGTCGAAATCGCTAATTACCTCCAACTGTTGGGAAAGAAGAGCTAGAGGAAAAGAAGTCGTAGGCGGGAGAGTCCGACTCCCTTTGAAGGGTGCGCCTTGCGGCAAGAAGGAGCGAACGAAGAGCGAATACGGACAGAAGACAAGTTTGCGAATCAGTTTTCGCAGTGGAACAAGGGGAAAATTCCGCTTAAATGGTGTCCTTGTGCTTATTATTGCTGGGTTTCTTCCCGCGCACCCAGTGCATTCCACTAGCTGCAGTGAAGCTCAAGAACTTCGAATGCACACTCATGTTTGAGTATAATTGACTTCGGGGATCGAACTTCTTCCCCTTTAATATTGGGTTTTCCTGTTTGGCCCCCCCCCTGGGGCCACTGTAGTAAGCACAAAGACTTTCTTATTACTCCTTGCTACGTTCGCTCCTTTAACGACGATCGAATATCCGAACTAACACGTAAAGTGGTTCGGAAAAGGTCGTAGGAAGCACTTTAAACAAGATGATAATTCCTCAGGCTAGACAAGAGGCATTTTGTACATGTTCCCAGGCACCATCATCCATTCATATGTTTGGGGCCGATTAAGAGAAGGGGGAGAGACGAGGGTCTAAGTGCTCCAAGAGAGTACAGCGGTTTGTTGTCCTTTTCTCTTTCTGCTAGATTCGATCGTCTTGAGACTCTGCTTTGCGCAATTCCTCATTATTTCGCCCTCCCCCTCTTGCATCCCCTTCGCGTGGATCGGCGGCGGGGCCACACGTCGCCGAAGGTGCAGCGGTACCCCTGTGCTTGCGACTTCCGCGTAGCTTTTTTTTTGAATATGGGGGTATTTCTAAGAACGTGGGATCAGTAGCCTGAATGATATTTCCTCGTCTATTTCGGGTTCATAATTGCGCTTATTCCGGCTTTCCAGCACCCCAGAGCTGGGCGTTTCCCCGTGCTGCTCTCGAGGTGCCTGTACACCGCAGCCGTTTCGTAGCATCTCCGGCGGCTTCGGCAGCAGCGAGAAGAGGATTTCTTGCGCGAACACCGTTACAGTGGCGTGAGGAGCGCCCGTGGCATTTTGCGATGAGCAGTTCAGTAGCAGTGGGGGCTGGCAAAGCCCTCAGCGTCGACACCCTCTCCGCTTTCGCCTTCGGCAGCGGCCCCTTCTCTGTGGCCGATGAGCGGGGAGCTCCTGGCTCAGGCGCGACGGAGTGCAACAAGGGCAGCACCAACAGCCACACTGGCGGCAGCGGGGGCGCTCTGCTGCACCTTGCAGATGCACACCAGTGCCTTCTTGCCCCCGCCGTTTCTCCCGCTGTCGGGCAGCTGCAGCAGCCGCACGCTCCCCTGACACTCCCCGCCTCTCGAGCCGTCGCTCTTTTGCGGGCAGCGTCTCTGGAGAAAAGCGGAGTATCCCGTCGACTGCTGGAAGGCCTCGCTGCTGCTTCTGCGAATGCAGGAAGTGCCGCCTGCCCTTTGCCGCGGTGCAGCTCGGGAGGTTGGGCAAAACAGCCACGCCCCCCGCTGGTCGCGCTGCTGTGTGCTGCAGCGTCTGCGGCGCAGATCGAGGCCGTCTCGTTGGAGACAGCTGCGTTCTTCCTAACAGACGCTCCTGAGATCGTGGGGAGGAGCTTCGTTGTTGCGCGCTGCTGCAGCGTTGCGGCGCGGCTCGCCACGTGCTGCACGGCTGCCGCCGCCGAGGCTCTCTTGCTGCCAGCGGACGCAGTTGCCGACGTCAGACGGCTGCTGTCTGCTTCGCCAGGCTTGGCGGAAGTCTCGGAGCACCTGGGGGCCATGTTGCACGACATGAAGCTGCAGCAGCAGCGCCGCAGCGCGGCAGAATGCAGAGACGCTCTCGCTGCGTTCACGGAGATCGCAACGGCGGTTGGAGCGCTCCAGGGGCCCCTGCTCTCCCTCCTCGCCCTCACGGAAGTGGCTTGCAAGCGACAGATGAGCAAGCCGAAGAACCTCGTAGTGGATCTGCCCGCTGCAGCTGCTGCCGACGGTTTATCCGCAGAAGCCTCTCTAGAGGCAGCTGCCGCTGCGGCTGCTTCCATCGACCTCCCCTTGTCTGGGCCTGCCTCGCCGTTCAGGGCTGCAATAGCGGCTGCAGAAATGGCTGCGCGTGCTCTCTTGCTAGCGGAGCTGAAGCTGCTGCGCGCGACGGTGCAGATGGCGGATCAGCAGCAGAAAAGCCGGCCGGAGGAGCCAGTGCTTCTTCCCGAGGCACTCTCGAGTGCGGCAGAGTACTTTGGGAAGGGAGGCGAGGCGCGTCTGACAGCTGCGGGGATTGCAGAAGCAGCCAACACACTGCAGACGCTGCAGAATTCCGCCGAGGAGGCAGAACGGCGGTGCGTGTCGGGGGGATCTCCGGAGCCTTTGGAGTCTCTCTCCCGCCTGGAGGACGTCTGCCTCTTGCTGCAGCAGGCGTTGGGGCTGCATGCGGGCTTGTTGCTGCAGTGCGTCGAGGAAAGAGACGTGGCTACGTTGCGCGAGGCTGCAGCAAAAGTGCAGAGGGGGAAAAAAGGCGCAGCGACGCGCTGGGCAGCAACTCAAGGCGTGCGCGCTTTTATTGAGTTGTTGCGGAGGATTGCGACTTCGGTGTCTCCTGAGCTGTCTCCGAATGCTGCCGTGGCTGTCGCCAGCGGCAGTCTGTGCAGCAGCGGCGGCGACTGGTTGTGGGGGGGGAGGGGGGCGGCGAGCTCCTGGGAGCTCCCTTGCGGCAGCGTGGAGGCGGCGCTGAGTCTGCTGCTTTCGCCGAGCAATGCCTTGCGGCGGCTCCCCAAGGTTCCTAAAGGCACTCAAGACTTTTCCCCCGAGCGTTTAGTGATCAGGAATCTCATTCTTGAGACGGTGACTGCCTGCTTCCGACGTCACGGAGCCCAGCCCATAGACACGCCGGTGTTCGAGCTGCGGGAGACTTTGCTCGGGAAGTATGGGGGAGAGGCGAGCAAGCTCGTCTTCGAGCTGAAGGATCAAGGGGGGGAGCAGCTCTGCCTGCGGTACGACTTGACGGTGCCTTTTGCGCGCTACATGGCTGCGAACGCGCTCACCAAGATGCGACGTTATCACGTTGGCAAGGTGTATCGGCGGGATGAGCCGCAGATGAATCGAGGTCGTTTCAGAGAGTTTTACCAATGCGATTTCGACATTGCTGGCGATGTGACTCCCCCCCTTCTCGCGGATGCGGAGTGCCTCTCGCTTCTGTGCGAGATTCTTGCCGTCCTAAGAGGCATTACGGGAGCCTACCTCGTCAAGCTGAACACGCGGAAGCTGCTGGACGGCATCCTGGCTTTTTGCGGAGTGCCTCAGGAGCAGTTCTGCTCCGTGTGCTCCTCAATCGACAAGCTGGATAAGGAGCCGTGGGAGGCTGTTGCGGAGGAGCTGCAAAACAGCAAGGGCGTTCCCGCGGCGACAGTCGAGAAGCTCAAGGGGTTCGTGCTGCAGAAGGGAGATCTGCCGCAGATGCTCGCGCGGCTGCAGCAAGACGCCGCGCTGATGCAAGTGCCAGCAGCGGCAGCAGCAGCAAGCGACTTCGCACAGCTCCTCGTGTATGTGGAGCCTTTGGGCTTGCTGCCAGAGCTGTGCTGGGACTGGTCTCTAGCGCGCGGCTTGGATTACTACACGGGGATTATTTTCGAGGCTGTTTTGCTGAAGCGGGATGGCACCTGCAGCGGCAGCATTGCCGGGGGGGGACGGTATGACGGCTTGGTAAGCCTTTTCAGCAGCAAAGATGTGCCTGCGGTCGGCTTTTCTGTGGGCGTTGAGCGACTGTTCGCTCTTATGGAGAGCATGCTGGGTGTCGGGAGCAGCAGCGACGCTGAGAGCAGTAATGGGGGGAGCGACGGGCTTGCGAGCAGCGCGCGAGCGAGCTGCTCTGCGGTGACAGGCGAGGGGGTCAGGAAGGATTTCACGGATATTCTCGTCTGCAACGTCGGGAAGGGCATGCTGCCGTAAGCGGATGAGCGTTTGCCTGGAGCTGATAGGACTAGAGCTCGTGCTGTTGTGGCTAATAATGATAGTGCTCGGGTGGAGATGCTGGTGCTGTTGTGGCTAATAATGATAGTAGTGCTCGGGTGGAGATGCTGGTGCTGTTGTGGCTAATAATGATAATCGTGCTCGGGTGGAGATGCTGGTGCTGTTGTGGCTAATAATGATAGTGCTCGGGTGGAGATGCTGGTGCTGTTGTGGCTAATAATAATAGTGCTCGGGTGGAGATGCTGGTGCTGTTGTGGCTAATAATGATAGTGCTCGGGTGGAGATGCTGGTGCTGTTGTGGCTAATAATGATAATCGTGCTCGGGTGGAGATGCTGGTGCTGTTGTGGCTAATAATGATAATCGTGCTCGGGTGGAGATGCTGGTGCTGTTGTGGCTAATAATGATAGTGCTCGGGTGGAGATGCTGGTGCTGTTTCTCATTGAAGTGCGGCTCCTGTGGCGAGGTCTTCCCCTTGCTGCAAGTCGCGCGTTTCACGTCTGCCTGCACCGCCACTCCGTATCGTGCTGCGTTTTGCCTAGTTATGCAGAGCTTTGCTGCTCTGCATGACGTGTTGTAAACAAAGAGGGCTGCGTGTTTCTGCGTTCGCTCTTGCCGTTCGTGATGCTGCGAACGCGGCGCTGCAGGTACGCTCTGTCAGCGGCTCGACTGCTGTGGAGTGCGGGCTTGAGCTGCGAGCTTTTCTATGGGGAAGACGTTCGCTTGAAGAAGCAGCTGGATACCGCTTCTGCGAAGAAGGTCCCCTGGGTGGTTCTATGCGCTGAGGAGGAGGCAGCAAGGCGGTGCGTCAAAGTCAAGAAGCTCTACCACTGCCACGAGGCTACGAGCCATTCGCAGCAGCAGGAGCAGGAGCAGATCGACGAGGAAATTCCGCTAGACGGCCTGATCCAGTTTTTCAAGGAGCACCTCAAGGAGACCGTCTATGAGGCATACACGGCCTCTCTCCTCCTAAATCCACCGAAAGAGAATGCATAAATAGACAATGGCTCGAAAAAGGGGGCCCCCCTACGCTTCCGCCGATAATGTAGGAAGGAGGCTCCGCCTTCCCGCTAGTAGCCAGCGGGCTGCCACCTCCCTTCTGGTGCTCAACGCCTCCTCGCCGTCGCCTCTCAGCAGCTAGCTAGCTGACTGCGTGCTGCCTCTTTCGCGCATGCAACAAATGGGAGAATGCGTCGTAGGAAGGGGGCCCCGCCTTCCCGCTAGTAGCCAGCGGGCTGCCACCTCCCTTCTGGTGCTCAACGCCTCCTCGCCGTCGCCTCTCAGCAGCTAGCTAGCTGGCTGCGTGCTGCCTCTTTCACACATGCAACAAATAGGAGAATGCGTCGTAGGAAGGAGGCTCCGCCTCCCTATGGGCGGCATTCGTCGACTGCCAGCCTTTCGTATCACAGAATAAGGCATTTGAGCAAACCTACCGGAGCACACCCTGTTTTATCCACTGGTTTAAAAAAGTCTGTTTTAAACAACGCTTCCGGCTAATTATCTTTACTGTAAAAGGGCTGCTGCATCAAAGCCGCGCGGTTTGTGCTAGTATTTCTGCGACTTAGCGTAGAGTGCACAGTCCCAGTTGCTGCTAATGCAGGTGGGCATGAAGCCAGTGGTACCGAGCTGTCTATACACCTGAGGTCTTTCTTACAGAGAGGCCAACTGGAAGCGAACGACCACCTCAAAGCCTACGTCAAGTTTTTCCTATCGCGCCTGCAGAGGACCGCTGAGAGGGTGGGGTGGAAAGGGGAAAGTTGGCGTCCTTAAAAAACACACTTTATAGCAGTGTCTGTGACACTCAGCTGGTACAAAAACACCACCACTTGCACGTGTGGACTGCCGACTGCTCCATTTCAAGCCTACATCAAGGCAGCAGTACTTTCTACACCACTCACCACTGCCTCAAAGCCTAAACTCCTGCTGCAGCTCGGTGTGCTGCACGCGAAAAAACAGCCTTCCACCAAGCACCATGTCAAACCGATAACAGGATATACACGGCGCCTCCCAACAAAAGTAAAGCAATGGATGCCGTTTCTGCTTGATGACCAAGTGAGAGCGTTCATTCAACGGGTTCCTTATCTCTCTCTTTCTCTCTCCTATTTCTCTTTTCTCTCTCTCCTATTTCTCTCTTTCCCTCTCTCTCTCTCCTATTTCTCTTCTCTCTCTCTCTCTCCTATTTCTCTTTTCTCTCTCTGTCTCCTATTTCTCTCTTTCCCTCTCTCTCTCTCCTATTTCTCTCTTTCCCTCTCTCTCTGTCCTATTTCTCTCTTTCCCTCTCTCTCTCTGTCCTATTTCTCTCTTTCCCTCTCTCTCTCTCCTATTTCTCTCTTTCCCTCTCTCTCTCTCCTATTTCTCTTTTCTCTCTTCTCTCTCCTATTTCTCTCCCTTCTCTGCGTGTTTTGTCCTATTGTTTCGTGCGAATGGCAACGTGTGCATCCCCTGTTGCTGCTTTTGAAAAGGAACCCTGTGCAGCATCCCGCCCCCTGCAGTGTAAAATCTAAGGTTTCTTTCTGCCTCGCGCCACCAGCGGCAGTCCGAGTCGTTAGTCCCACAGTTTGATAAGGCCATCCCAGCCGCAGGTGAAGACTCTGCTCTGCGCTGTGGGGTGCCACTGACAGCCCATGCAGACTTTGTTGTGCGCTTTAAGGGTCCTAACGATGCGGCCGCTCTTGAATTCCCAGAAGAAGAGACGGCCAGTTGAATCTCCCGAAAGCAGATACCTCCCGTCGGGAGAGAAGGCGGGTTGAATGGCGTATCCAGCGGAGAGGTGGCCTTTGAATTTTTTTCGCGGCACAAAGCGGTACTTGTTTGCGGCTTCGTACGTCACGACTTCGTTCGCCATGGACTGGAAGCAGAGGTAGCGACTGGAGGGGTGCAAGCACCCCGCAGGCATGGCATGCATCTCGGGATCTGCAATGTGCTTGATGACGACGGGAATGCCAAACTCCCAGACGAACATCTTCTTATCGTCGGCTGTAGTGACGACTCGACGGCCCCCTTCGCAGAAGAAGACGGTGTTGACGGCGCCTAAGTGATCCGCGTATTCCACGACCACTTCGCCCGTCCTCGCGTCGAACTGCACGGCTCGCTTGTTGCTGCAGCCCGCAATGAAGATGTTGTTGTCTGGCGGGTACACTGCAACGCAGTACGGCGTCTTCTTGTTGCTGAACGTGGAAATGACTTGGCCACGCTCCGTATCCCACAACTTGATGGTGTTGTCGTAGCTGCACGAGAAGAAGCGACTGCCGCCTTCTGCCCACTGCAGATCGCGCACCCCCTGCTTGTGAGCCGTGTACGTGACTTGACACTTTCTCTGGTTATACACATCCCAAATCTTGACAGTGCTGTCGAGAGAAGCCGAAAGCAGCAGGTGCCCTGTAGAGGGGAACAGCCGAATCGCTTGCACGACTCCCGTGTGCCCGACAAAACTGTGGATGCACTCCCTAGGCACGTAGAAAGAGGCGTCTGCAGACAGCGGCTTCAGATGCGGGGGGGGAGCAAGCCAGGATCTCCCTTGGTAGTCGACCAGCTCCTTCCTGTGGAAGACGCAGTCTCCCGCCGGCAGAGAAGCCGCTGCCGCTCCAACTGCCGAGCCCACGGAGGCACTCGATTTCGCCTCGGAAGAACCGTGGAGAGACGCCACGACAACCTCCGCCTTTGCGCCGTCTCCCCTCTCCGCTGCTTCCTCTCTCCCTCCCAACGAGCTGGCTCCCTGCAATCCATCCTCGCCTCCAGCACGTGCCTTCGCTGCCGCTGCCGCCTCCGCAGCAGCCGTGGCGGGATGCACATACAGAGCCCAAGGGCCCTGAAACTCCTCACTCTCAACGTCAGTGTTGCGCTGCAGCCGGCAAGCCTTGCGCTCCTTCCGCGTCGTTTTAACGCTGCTGCTAGCGCTGCTAATGTTGCCAATGCTAATCTCCCCATGCAACGGCAGAGGCTTGAATGCCGCCTGTCTGAGAGGGGCTTCCACGGCAGCCTCGCCTTCCGCAGCAGCCGCTGTAGCCGCTCCGTCAGAAGGATCCGTCGCCACTCCCTTGGAGGCAAACTTGTGGTATTCTGCGTCAAACGCCACTTTCGAGAGATGCGCAGGCTCAACGTCTCCACAAAGCCGCTTCTTGTACAGGTTCTGCAAGCCGCCTTGCTGCTCCTGCAAGGGCGTCAAAGGGCCTGCAACAACAGCAAAAAGAGCCAAAAACAAACGGCAGCAAGAGATGCAATGCATGCATAAATAACACACTCAGCGAGACACACGTTGCAGGGCAGCAGCAGTCACTGGGCACGCAGCCGTATATATATACATATATATGTATATATATATACATGTATATACACCGGTTGTGGTGCAAGGATTTTTTTTGCAAACTGCTGCTCCGACGGAAGCTCGTGCTGCTGCACTGAAAATGCGGTTGGCAGTAATCAGAGTGCGACTTAAAAACCCCGCATGCGTCTGTCGAGGAGCGAGAGCTTACCGACGATGGGGGCTTCTACAGCGTCGATCTTGGGATTGTGGAGGAGAATTCCATCTTCAGGCATGGCCATGTGACGCTTGCGCTGCCGCAGAAAAATTTCAGCGCCTTGAGTTGTGGCTGGAGCACTGTCCAACGGGAGCAGCAGCTGGATGGGCTGCTGCGGTGCCTCTTGCTGCTTGTTTTGCTGCTCCTGCTGCTGCTGCTGCAGCTCAGAAGAGCTGCTGGGAGAGACCTCTGAGGGCGATCCCTCCGCTTCCGCGTAAGAAGCGAAGTAATCCATCCGTCCTGCGCTTCAAAGTGCTGCGGAAGAGGCGGCCGGTGCTGCAGCAGCAGCAGCAACAAGAACTGCGTGCTCAAGGAGCAGTCTTCCACTAAGGGGCTGCCCGCGAATGCAGTACACCGTGTAGAAGCAGAAGAAGGGTGGTGGAAACACCAAACGGCTGAAACGGTTGCTGTGCAGCTGCCGCTGCCGTTGGTGTTGCGGCTGCTGCTGCCTCCGACGGTGCCGTTGCAGCCGCAGTGTTCGGGCGTCGCTGCTTCTAGCCAATTCGCTGTGAGCAAAAGAGCCCATAATACAGACACAGAGAGAGAAACTCTGTGAAAATACCATTGCGGGAACACATTTCGAAAACCACAACCCCCTTGGCCGCAGCCGCTGCATGCGCGGCTGCTAGGCTGCTGTGTCAAAAGTAGCAGCCTAGCAGCAGACACAGACAGCCGTCGCAGCCTGTGTGGTTCTTTTGCTCCAGCTACTGTCGCATAATCTTTTTTTGACTTGCGTCTTCGCATGCTCTCACTTGCGGAGGCCCCAAAAAAGGCAGCGCTTTTCTCTGCCCGCGGCTGCTGCCGCAGCGGCAGTGCGCGGTGTATGTACAGCACTTGTTACACGAGCCGATTGTCTGCACACATGCATATATAGCCCCCTTGAGCCTCCTGCAAACGCCTAAAAGCCCAGCCTTCCAGTATAAAGTCACTTTCTTCTGGCTAATTCACCGCGAAATCCATGCTACAGAGCCTCTATGGGGGCCCCTAAAACCCTCACAGATGAGGTCAGAAGGGCCCCATGGGGGCCCCAGGGGTACCCCCCGTGCGAACCATTCTTGTATTAGAAAAGGTGGAACGCACGAAACGGCAGAGACAGAAGCAGCAGCAGCGGCAGCACCTCCTGCTCTTGCGGAGACACTCCCACAGCGCCTGGTACTTAACCAGCAACCGACGCGTTTCCCGGCTGGCGCAAAAAATACTGCCGCACGGCTCAGCAGCAAAACTTGCAGCAGCAACAGTGTTTCCGCGTACAACCACGAGAGTTCCTTCTTGCGGCGCCCTTTACTCAGCAGCAGCAGCAGTATCAACAGCAGCAGCAGCAGCAGTATCAACAGCAGCAGCAGCGGCAGTATCAACAGCAGCGGCAGTATCAACAGCAGCAGCAGTATCGACAGCAGCAGCAGCGGCAGTACCAACAGCAGCAGCAGCGATCTCCTCAAGGTCCTTGTACCAGTAGACGCTTCAACGAGCCGTTATGACATCCCTAGCCTCAGTGGAAGCAGCAACAAGAGCGTCAGCAGCAAGGGGTGTAGCGAGTTGTCTCCTGGCGAAACGACAGCATGTGAGACGCTTATCCCCACGGCTGCCGAACTGCTCCAGCAGCGGCAGCTCGTGCAGCAACAGCAGCAGCAGCTCATGCAGCAGCAGCAGGATCAGATGGTGATGTTGCACAGCGAACTGCACCAGCATTGCCGGGAGTCGCTAATGCTGTTTGTACTTTTGCTTGTATGGAGTTTTATGCGTTCTGGTGAGCCTATTGACTTTTTCAGTTGCTGTTACTTACTTTTGGTGCTGCTGCATAGCCTCTCTGGCCACGCCTTCTTGTACGGCGGTCATGATGTTAGCAGCAGCAGCAGCAGCAGCTCATGCAGCAGCAGCAGCAGCAGCAGCTCATGCAGCAGCAGCAGCAGCAGCAGCTCATGCAGCAGCAGCAGCAGCAGCACCTGCGGAAGCAAGCGGGTTTTACTGTATCTGCTTGTGGGGTGCAATGCGGTGCTTTTGGCAGCCTCGGCCCCTGCAACTTTTGCATTTTTGTTTAGTGTTGCGCCACCTCTGACGCAGCAGCAGCAGCTGATGCTGCTGCAACTGCAGCAACAGCAGCCTCCGCATTCGACTCCGAAGGCTGAGGAGGCCTCCCCCAAGCAAGGGGAGCAGCCGGAGTCGGTCTTGACGGATCATGCTGCACGTTCTGGAGATGTTTCTGGAGTTGCTCTTGGAGTGGAAGCAGCAGAAACAGCAGAAGCAAAAGCAGAAGCAAAAGCAGCAGCAAAAGCAGCAGCAAGAGCAGAAACAGCAGAAGCAAAAGCAGAAGCATCAGAAGCAGTGAAAGCAGAAGCATCAGAAGCAAGAGCAGAAACAGCAGCAGCAAAAGCAGAAGCATCAGAAGCAGTGAAAGCAGAAGCATCAGAAGCAGTGAAAGCAGAAACAGCAGCAGCAAAAGCAGAAACAGCAGAAGCAAAAGCAGAAACAGCAGTATTAGCAGTGCCTTTGAGTGATCCCAAGGCACCTGCTGCATGGGCTGTGACTCGAATTGCTGAAAAGACAGCAGCCGCTGCAGCGACTTCAGCTGGAGGTTCTGGCATTGAAGGCGCAGGGGGGGCTAGGGGGAAAGACGTCGCTCTCCGGAGAGACTCTGCTGCAGTTCGAGACGCTGTAGCCGATACGGCAGCAGCCGTGAGAGCTGTTGCTGCTTCTGCAAGTGTACAGACACAGGCGTCCCCCACAGCACAGCGCGACGCGCCCGTCTTGACAGCAGCTGCCGCGGAAATTCAGCCTGCTGCAGCCTCCCTTGTGATCTCTGGAAACTCTCCGTCTGCTGCTCCCGGTGCTTCCGCTGCATTTGTCGATCCCCTTGCAAAGTCGAGCGTTCTTGGACGCACGAATGCATTCTGTGGGGAGTTGCCTCCTTCGTCAGAGAAGCGAGAGCAGGAGCAAGAGCAAGCGAAAAAGCAGCAGCAGCAGCTTGATGGTCTCTCAAAGACATCGCGAGGATCTCTAAGGGGGGGGTGGCTTCACGGCACGACGGGGGGTGCTATGGGGACTGCTGCTGCTGCTTGCTCCCCAGCAGCTGCTGGCGACGCTAGTACTTCCTTTTTGTGGCTGATTGGAGGCATCTTCGTCTCTTTGATGCCGCTCGGGTGCGTGCCGTGCCTGTGGCTTCCGTGTAACAAAAGCGCGACTTTGCTGCTCAAGCTGCTGGAGGAGCAGCGAGCGCTTAAGCAGCAAGAGCAGCAGCAAGAGCAGCCGATGTTGCCGCTGCGGCCTATAGGCGGCCAGTGTCTTCGGAGTCAGGAGCTGCTGCTGCCTTGTGATTGAGAGAGCACTCCCTAGATGCAGCTGCGCAGTGCAGCTGCTGCTTTGTTGTTTGTTTAGTGGCTTTTTTGGTGCATGCGCATGGGGAACCTCCTCCCCGACAACCAGAGGCTCAGGGGGAAGAAGCCTGACGGTGTCTGTATCATCTATCCAAGAGCTCACGTGTATATTTTAGCGCTAGATTAGGCAGGCGACCGAATAGGGGGCAGCAGGGGCAAGCGAGGGTAGGAAGTGGAGTTGTGAGAAGTTATGCGCGCGACCAGGAGGGGCCTTGACCAGCGTCTTCCGCTGAAGGTTCTTTATACCTTTCGAGCAGCAGGGAGTTGCGTAGAACCCCCAGAGAATGCGTTTATACATCTACCCCGTACGTGTGGGGGCAGGGAGGGAGGGAGGGTCGGAATTTTTTGTACGGCAGTACGCTGCCAGGTACAGACACCGCACCGCACCCGGAGCCTCAACTCAAGAGAAACTTCGCAAGGCGCTCCCGTCTCTCCGAGCCGCAACTCGCCTCTAAACCTAAAGGCTTCAGTGCAGAGCAGGCCGAGCCACTCGGAAAAAGCCTAAACGGCACTGCGTTCATGAAGCCACCAAAGAAAGTCTGCTAGGGCGATGATGGGAGGCTTTCCTGACGGATTCGCCGCCCTTCTGTCTCCCTCCGACGTGCGTTGCTTGGGAGGAGGGCCTCAGTTTCTGAGCTCGTGCACTCTAGAGACAGGATCAACGGACCGGAGGAGCAGCAGCAACAGCAGCAACTGCATCGTCTGTTGCAGCACCAGCAGCAGCAGACGACTCAGCGGCAGGAAAGCTACCTTCCTCCTCCGCAGCGACTACTGCTAGAGGAGGGCACGCGGCGCCTTCTTCTTCCTCTGCCTCATTCGATGCCCCCTTACTCGAGGCCACCTTGATGTAGTAGGGAAAGCGCCCCCCTCTGCGGGGCCTGTCTTCCCAGGGGGGGCCCCCCCCCCCTGCAGGGGGCCCCATGGGGGCCCCCGTGGGGTCAACGAGTTCGAAGTCGCTGTCCCCGTCTTCGTCCTCGAGGGGCCCCACTTCGAGATCTGGGAAGGCGCTGGCTGCTCCTGCGCTTCGCCGCTGCTGCTGCAGCCGCAACGCTGCTCGTCTGTCTCTCCGGTATGTCACCATGAGAACAAAGTACAAAAAAATCGACAGCAGCCACGGTCCCACCGTCGTCAACAGCAACGCACTGCTGAGCGCCTCCGCATTGTCGGCCGCCTCCAGAGAAGACGCGGCGACTGAAAGGCCGTCTTGGGGGCCCCCCCGGGGGGCCCCCTGGGGGGCCCCCACCGTCTTCTTAGCGGGGGGAACGTACCCGAAGGCCCTCTCCGCAAGCAAACCTACCAGGGGGGCCCCCAGCAACGCGGCCCCCACTGCCTCCGTCGTCGACACCTGAACCAACCCCCCATACACGCGCAAATACAGAAACACACACAAATACACACACACAAATACACACAAATATACACAAATATACACAAATACACACAAGTGTAGAAATACACAAATATACACAAATGTAGAAATACATAATACAGAAATACACAAATAGAAACAAGTACATACACGCACGAATATAGAAACACACAAATACACACACATACACACAAATCTACACAAATATAGAAATACACAAATACAGAAATACACAAATAGACACAAGTACATACACGCACAAATATAGAAACACACAAATACGCACACATACACACAAATTTACACAGATGTAGAAATACACAAATACAGAAATACACAAATAAACACAAGTACATACACGCACAAATATAGAAACACACAAATACGCACACACAGACACATACACACAAATACGCACACACACACATACACACACAACTAGACACAAGTACACGCACACAAGTACAAATGTGCACATATGCACGCAGATCGAGTACCACTGGCAAATGGTTCGGGCTGGCGGTTTCTGGAGAGGGAGGGAGGGGAGAAGAGAGGGCTCTCCCTTCTTCCCGATGCGCAGCCATCGCGACACACTCTACCTGAATAGCCTACTAGGGAACCTATTGAGAGCTTTTCATCGAGAAGAGAGACTCTTTGCTCACGAGGCTGAAGACGGTGGCTCTATGCGCGTCGGCAACAATTTCTGCGAGCACAGGGCGATTGACGCCAACTCCTGGCCATCCCGCCAGCAGTCCAATGAGGCAGGAGACAGAAAGGAAGCTCCACAGACTGCTTGGCACCCTGTCGATGCTCCTTAGCATGATGGTCATGAGAAGGCAGCGCAAGAGAATCGCCAGTTGCGCCACAGCAGCTCGACCCTGCCGTGGGAAGCGGCTGTGAACCCAGTCCGTTGCTCGTCCTACAAAGGGGGCGATGCACATTGCAGAAACTAAAGAAACTGATACCACTGAAGAGGCCTCAAAGCCGCCTAAGCCGCAATACTGCAGCCACATCGGCATAAACCCCAATGCGCTGCGAGGCATGCCGTTAAGAATCCCCTACGCGCGTAAAAAATCGCACAAGTAAACGCAGTCAAAATCAATGCAGTCAAAATTAATGCAGTCAAAGTCCATGCAGTCAAAATTAATGCAGTCAAAGTTAATGCAGTCAAAGTTAATGCAGTCAAAATCAATGCAGTCAAAATTAATGCAGTCAAAATTAATGCAGTCAAAATTATTGCAGTCTAAGTAGGCACTAGCATGCAATATAAATACGTATATGTTCGCACAAGTAAATGCAGTCAAAATTATTGCAGTCTACGTTAATGCAGTCTACGTAAACGCAGTCAAAGTCCATGCAGTCAAAGTCCATGCAGTCAAAATTAATGCAGTCAAAGTTTATGCAGTCAAAGTTAATGCAGGCAAAGTTAATGCAGTCTACGTAAATGCAGTCTACGTAAACGCAGTCAAAGTCCATGCAGTCAAAGTTCATGCAGTCAAAATCAATGCAGTCTAAGTAGGCACTAGCATGCAATATAAATACGTATATGTTCGCACAAGTAAATGCAGTCTAAGGAGGCACAACCACAGGGCCATAAGAATGCAATAAAAGTATGCAGGAAAAGGACCCCTACGTTCTCGCACACCTTCACACGCAAATGCCCAAGTACGTGCACACAAAAGTACATATATATATGTGTATATGTGCATGCAGACATGCATGCATGCAGGCCCCATGAAAGGAGGTGCGGGTGAAGGCTGTGTTGATGTTTTGGTGGGGGGTGGTTAGGCCAGCTGCGGCTGTAAAGGGTATCTCAGGGGCTTGTATGCACACGATATCGCTGCATTTTGAGTCGGGAGTGAAGGTTTGGACTGAGGCTTATTATTAAACAATCGGTGGAGGAAAGAGGCGCATGGGGAAGAAGGCATGTGCTGCAGGAGGGCGTTCTTTGGAGCGTTAGCGGCTCTCTCTCTGTTCTCTCTCTAGAGTTATTACCATGAGGAGCATAAGCCAAAAGCTCTTGTTTTTGAGTACATAGTGCAACTCCTTGACGGTTTGCCACCTGGTCTTGAGGCGAACGGCCCCAGAGAAGATCGAGAAAGACTCCCCTGGAAGCTGCGTAGGCTCATCGAGCGTTAGCGATTTTCTGCTGAAGACTGCGAGGGCTATTCCCGAGACGCCAATTAGTACAAATGCGAAGCGCCAACCCTGAAAAAGCAGCAATCAGATGCAAAAGAGGTCTAGAGGCAGAGTGCTGCTGAAGGCCGCTCGGTTGAGGATTGGCAAACATCAACCCGACACACAGCAGACACGCCAAGAAGCGAGAGGAATCTAAAAATTCGGGGAATGGCATCTTCAGACGTGGAATGGGGGTCAGGAGAGAGAGAGAGAGAGAGAGAGAGAGAGAGAGAGACAGATACAGAGAGAGAGAGAAACAGAGAGAGAGAGAGAGAGACAGAGAAACAGATAGAGAAACAAAGAAATAGATAGAGAAACAGAGAAACAGATAGAGAAACAAAGAAACAGATAGAGAAACAGATAGAGAAACAGATAGAGAAACAAAGAAATAAATAGAGAAACAAAGAAACAGATAGAGAAACAAAGAAACAGATAGAGAAACAAAGAAACAGATAGAGAAACAAAGAAACAGATAGAGAAACAAAGAAAAAAAAAGAGAGTCTAGACACCCCAGGTTTTTGAAATTTTTTGAAAGTCCCAGAAGCTGCGTGTACACCCGAAAGCGCAAGTTGCTGCCGCTGGTTCGAATGCGCACCATGATTCCACAGATGGGAGTCGCTGCCAAGGAGGTGATGCTCATGAGTGCAAGCATCCTTCCAAGACTTTGAACGAAAGACATAGTTCCGAATGCAGCTCCGATAGCACCCCTTGCTGCGGCTTCTGCCAGCAGTTTCTGCGTGACAGGGCCCATAGCCGCCATGAAGACTCCCGAGAGGAGCATCAGCGGCAGCAGGTGCCACTGCGCAGTGAGGCCCCCCAGCAGCGCTGTCGAGACACCCCACGCGCCTGCAGTGAGGCTGAGAACAAGCCCTCCGTCCCAGCTGTCTACCAGCACTCCCCAGAGAGGGCACGTTGCTGCATGCGCAAGGCGAGAGAGGGAGCTGGCTGAGCCGAGGGCGGTAGGGCTCAGTCCTAGTTGGAGTTCAAGCGCTTTGTACGCTGCAGGCAGAGCCTGATCTGTAGCTCCATGAAGCGCAGCATACGCCCACGTAGTTCGCAGGAGGAGGCGTTTTTCTGAATCGCTGCCACACGTTTTCCCCAAGCAAGCGGCCGCCGCGCGACGCCACGAGCCGTGGACCTCCTTGGGGGGGCCCCCCCCCCCGGAAGCTGCCCTCCTAGGGGCCCCCCTCAGTTCAGAACCAGGAGACGCGCGCGGATGAAGGGGTGGCATTTCGAGGCCGTCGCTGCGCGCAACCCCCATTTTTAGGGGAAAGGGAAGCGGCGAGAATGCCGCCCTCGTTCAGCTGCGAGGAAGCAGGGAAGAGGCAACTTGCGCTGAGGGTGCTGCTCAGCTTCAAAGAGGGAAACAGAACGGCTGCCCCCGCAGGTTGGGAGCTTCTGCCCCAAGGTTACAGCCAAACCCTCGAACCAGCGCCCTTCAGACACCAACCCTCAAGCTGCAGAACGTAGACAGGGGAATTGCAACCCGACACAATTCCAAAACCGGGGGAGGCAGGGGAGCAGACAACGCTCCGGCACGGCGCAAGCGAGAGACATTGAGGCAAAACTCGTTGTCGGCTCGAAAATACGTGGACGATCAAAAAATCAAAGACCCCGGGGAACGCGTAAAAGCCCCATTGGGCCCCTTGAAGAGGCCCCTTGACTGACGTCTCTCCCGCGGGAAGACTGCGGCACCCCTCGGAAGGAGAACGCTGGAGGCAGCGGGAAGGTTTTTCTTCATCTCTTCCGTGATTTCATTCCCACAACAACGGGTAAACTCGGTATTTCGGGGTAAAGAAAGGAAATAGAGGGGCAGCCAGTCACGCGCGCCCCCTGCCGATACTGCGGTGTCTGTACAACTGCGGACGACTCTCAGCGACTGTGCGAGAACGAGTGGCAGAAATTCATATTTTGAGCCACAAAAGAGGATTAAGACCCACATTAGTAGACCAACCCTACGTAACCGTACGCCTAAAGCCTTTAAGACGACGTCCTGCTACCTGACTCCAGCTCTCCGTTTCACAGCGCCCGAGACTTTACTGTGTCGCTTGTGTCGCTGTAAGAGCTCCGTTGAGGGTCCCTAGATCCCCAGTTTCATGCCCTTAGTGGGAGACTGTTTCGACGTGCAGAAACGGGTACGTGCATGGGCAAAAACGCGCATCTGAGTTCACGTAGAGTGTCGAGATAGCCGGTCGCCCCCCATGCGCGGCGCTTCGAAACGAAGAACGGGAGTCTGAGATTAAATCTTGCCAGCGGCTCACGCTTCGAAATGCGAGCAGCACTCCAGAGGCCCCTAGAGGGTGAGGAGCCCACGCAGTCAGTCCCAAGCCCTCAAGAACGAAGGCCTTCGACTCTTTGCATGCATGCATGCATGCATGCATGCTCGCAAAGAGCTGCTGTGTACGGCACTACGGGAGGGCCCTGCAGGGCGAGCACTCAGAGCAACAGCCTCGCACTGGGCACTGCTAAACAGTGCAAGGATCCTACGCGAAACCCCCTGGGTGGCGTTTATTTGGTGGTCGGAATGAAGACATCCGTGAACATCACCCTTGAAGGGCGCATGATCGCTCCCTTGTTATCCTGCCTGGAAGGAAATGCGCAGAAATCGCACACATTGCCAGGCGTTGAGAAGACAGGGGAGCCCGCCCTGCTGCAGAAAAACGTGGGAAATATCGCCAAGTGCCGCCCCCTCCCCCCCCCCCAAACTTCTCGCAAAATCCATTCGAAATAAACCAAGGCTCGCATTGACGCGAGGCAGGGTTCTAGGTCTCGCCTGTTGACGTAGTCTCCCCAGTTGCCAGAGAGATTGTTTGACGTGAAGGATAAAGAAAAGGCGCGCAGCGGCTGCGCGAGAGCGCCACACGCAGACAGAGAGAGAGAACAGAGAGACTCCTCAAGGCGAAATACACGGGCAGTCCGTCGCGCGCCCTCCCTCAACGCAGCGTGGCTTGCAAGCCACGCATCCAGACTCGACTGCGAAAGAAAAAGCCTCACCTGCTCGTGGCTTGGGGTGGGAAAGGCATGTGCATCCGGACTGTCTGCCCCGTAAGGCATCATCTCGAACCTCCATCTGATTGGAGGAAGACACTCGACAGGCTTACCCGCGACACCTGCTCCGTGACGCTTTTGCGCGCTGTCTTGCGCGAGCTCCAGCTTCGAATCCGCTTCGCTCGCGAGCTCCAGCCGATCGCAAAGAACCCCAAAGTCTTTTGCCGACGTGGCCGCTGCAATAGCTGACAACCAGCAGCTCTCCAAACGCTGCTGCTGCTGCTGCAGCTGCTGCTGCCTCCCTTCTCGCTCTTGTTCTGCAGTCTGCCAGAAACCTTCCCTCTCAAGCTCCCCAGCAGCGCGGTGCTCTAGCAAAGACGTTAGGTCCTAGTTCGCCACACGCGCAAAGAAAACACGCATGCAAAAACATGCATATATATATATATGCATAGGTAAAAATACACACGCACACACACGCACACACACGCACTGCATGCACAAGCACGATGACACGAACTGTCCAGCCAGCCCCACACACCCCTTCCGCTGCTGTAGGCGCGCTGCTCGAAGGCGAAGACAGGGGATTCCAGCAAGCAAGAGCACGCGACGCGATCGACATGGAGAGCACACGCAAAAGATAGCTCTTCGCAGAAAGCATCGCTGAGAAAGACTCTACTCCCCAACCCGTCTCTTAGACTTCAAGGGCCTTAAACGCACCACTATCTTCTGAAACGTGTCGTTCAAGCAACCCGTGATAAACATGGACGTCGCAAAGAAAGAAGACAGCGCCACGAGTTGCTGCAGCAAACACACGCACAAACATACCCAAGGAGACATGTACACACGTGCATGCATACATATATACATACATACACACACTCGTAGACACATACACATGCACATGCATGCATACATACACAAGTAGACACATATATGCATACATACACAAGTATACACATACATTCATACATACACACGTAGACACATACATACGTACACATGTAGACACATACATACATACACACGTAGACATATACATACATACACACGTAGACATATACATACATACACACGTAGACACATACATACATACACACGTAGACATATACACACACATGTAGACACATACCTACATGCATACATGCATACACCCCCCTACAAAGCGCCTGAATAGTGTCAGAGCTGCTGCGCGTGGACGTTTGCGTGCCTCGTGAGGTTTGCCAGCAATCGATGATCAATCCTCGTACGCATGCAGCCACTGGGCTTTGAGGGGGCGCTGAGGTTCAAGACATACCAATCTGAGGTCAGGGTTGTGTTTTTGCACGAATGTTTTGGTGGGAAGCCAAACGGCTCGCGTTGCATTTCCGATGACTTGAGCTGTAGACTCTGCGGCTTCTTCCAGCGCAGGTCTAAGCCCCCTAATGAAGAGGAGAAAGTGGTTGTATGTAGGATGCTCGCCGTAGTGGTGCTTATCTGCCCTTGCTGCGCCGAAGAGCTGTTGCCTATCAACGGACCACTTGGGTTTGGCAGCGCCTCCCGAGAAGCGCGGCAAAGACGCTCGGAAAAATGCGGTAAGTGACACCATTGTTTCGATGAACGTTGCATATAAATATATATATGTCTGAGGCGCACAGTATACATACGAGCCGAGTAATAGGGCAAGGCATGACGTGGGTCTAGCTACATACACATACATACATGTACGTACATGGGCTGGAGCCTGGATCAGCAGCGTGTGGCGAGCTGCAGCTTCTCCGTAGATGTGTACATGCACGATGAAGCGCAGGGCATACAGTTGCGGCAAGGTGGAGGCAGCAGCAGTGGCGAGCAGTGCGTTGCAGAGGGTAGAAAGAATGAGGGTAGAAAGAATGAGGCGGGGGACCAACGCCACGGAGGGAAAAGCATCTTGTACAGCCCAGGTGCTCTGCCAGAAGGTGCAGTAGGGGAGCCTGCATGCAGTAGGGGGGATAAGGAGTTAAGGGGACTTACCTGAAGGAGGGAAGTGCACGGCGGAAGGGGCCTACCCCACAGATGGGGGGGGTGAAATCGCGGCGGGAGAGCCGCAGGGTCGAGCGCAGTGGGCTGAAAAGGCAAAGCGATGATTCAGAAACGTGGAAATCCCGGGGTAGAGAGGGAAGAGCAGCCGCGATACTGCCTGTGCAGGCCCAAGAATGTAAAGGCCCCCTGCTGTGCGTTCTCGCCTTTGTTGAACGAAAGGGAGAGGCGAAAGGCAGCACTCTGGAGTTCAGAGTTCAGAGGGCGTTAGTTTTGTCAGTTGGAGCCGCGTTTTCAGCGATTTGGCTGCTGCGAGGGCAGCGCCTACCTCGTTCCAGCCCCTGTGCTCCAGCCACCGAACCCCTCCTTCGACCCGATTTTTCCTGTCTCTGCTAAAGTACTGGGGAAAAACTGCACAAATCGCCGCTTTATTGGAAGCCATTACCTTCGTAACTCGAAAGGTTCCACGTTTCCTTCTGGGGGAGGCGCGGCTTTCCTGTGGGCTGAGCTCGGGTGTATCTCCACACGCGGACGGTGGAGTATGGATCATGGTCCAAGGGTCTTCTTCTGCGCGCGCTGTACTCCAAAAAGCTTGCGCGTCTTTTTGCCTGCCTGGCCTTGCTACGGCCCTTGCAAGTAAGCGAAAGCTGCACTAGCGTCGTGGCAGGGGTACATGTTTGTCGCATGCGACGTGTTTGCCCAAGCCGGTAATTTTAACGTCCAACCGTGAGTTCCCAGAGGCTCCAACGCCCTTCCTCTTGGTCCCATGCCAGGGTGTACGGGGCGCGGAGGTCCAGAAAACAAGGCAGGGATCAAAGGGGGAATCTCGCTTCGACGCTCGACACGAGGTTTCCGTGGGGAGTAAAACGTGACTTCAGACTCAATACAGATTCCCCAGAAATCTGCTGACTGTCCCTTAAACCACTCCATCCTTCACTGACCCAGCAACCGAAGGACCTGGTATTGCTGCGAAGGAAAGCTACGGTGCGCGTTGCTGCACCGTCTGGGCATTCTCCGAGCACTCATAGCTAGTTGCACAGTTCATCTAGCGCACATACACATGCATTGCGTCTTCTTGGCTCCAGCCAACACTACTCTGCAACAAATAAGACGTGCGAAAGGACGCACCAATTACTCAGTTTATTTCTGTGCCTTAGACAAGCGTATGTAGGTAGTATGAAGTGCTGAAGTGTGTCTTAGCCCGCTATTCCCCTGCCCTCCAAAGGGCGTTAGAGGACCTAGAACGCGTGCTCGTCTTTCTAATCAAACTTGACATCTAGGGGTGCTGCATTGGACACCATGCACCATATGATGGCTTAGGTCACGCATAGGCACCCTCTACTGTGTTGGGAATATTGAGGAGCTTGGAAATAATCAAGTAACCCATTCGCCTGTTCGGACACCTAACTTGTTGCAGAGCGGCGTTCGCCCAGTACAATAAGGATCGCTATGGCGTGCCTGTGCGCTTGATGCCACAAGTGCGACCAGCTGCGAATGCCTAAACGGTGCGGCAACGCGCACTCTAAGAGTTCTTATTCCCTAGTGCTGGACTCTTGAACATTAAGGGCCTGAAAAGTGGGAGCCCCTTTTTGGAGAGATGGCTAATATCTTTTTAACAATTTGTGCATCAGTTTCAGGCGTAGCAGGCTATCCTACACATAGGCACATTATAGTACGCTAGCTACATTGAACAAAGAAGTAATCATGATTGACAAGCTGGTTTATATGGTTGTACATCTCACTTATTGCAGAGTGGTGTTAGATCTACATAGGAATACGCAATGGTGTCTGCGAGTGCGCTCGATGCTATGTGCATTTAGCTGTGTAACTTCGGAGTGCCTGGGGTGTCCAGCGATGTTCACTTCTACTACCCCTCTTCCCTCATGCAGAAAACTCTTAGGAGTGACGGAACGAGGGAATAAAAGCTTGGTTTAAGAACCACTCAATAACCTATTGAGTTTGCATCAAGTCTCTACTGAAGTGTCTACCTAGGAAGACCTTGCACAAAGCATCACAGTTGGCAGCAGTCCATGTTTAAATGCAACTATTCCTCCCTCATCCACTAGCTGCCGATTCACTGGGGTGTCATGTTTCTGTTCACCTTGGTAGTTGTCGTTCCCCAGACAAAGCTTTACCTACAATACCTATCTTCGTCTGTGAGCATGCCTTATTAAGCTTCCAATCGTCATTGTTGCACTATTTCTACACTCAGATCTACACGCGCGCACTCTCGGGTATGGTGTCCCTGCATTTTTGCTTATGCCTCTTCTAACACTTGAAATTCGACTATGCGGCATGCACTGGCCGCATTCGCATGCAGCACACATTGCTCGATGAGGCACTGCTAAGCCAGGTTTCTGCGTTTGATTTCCTGCACACCTTTCACTTGTTGTCGGTATTCTCGTAGCAGGAGGCTCACACGTTTCACCGCTTCGACAACAGCAAGCCACCGCGCTGCCTTCAATCCTTTTGAATGGCAATGCATTCGTTGTTGCCTGGCTAGTGTATGTTATTTCTTCCCCTCTATTTCTCGTTAGCGTTTGATGCACACATTTCCTCGTCTGTTTTGCACAGTTTTCGCGTTTGCGCCACTCAGGGAAGTGGCGACAGTGCGGGAACACTTCTGCCGTCGCATAGGCAGTTGGCTTTGACGGAGAGCTACGGAGTTTCAGGCCATGTGTTTTTTTGGGTAGGGGGAGGATGTAGCGGATCCTATGCTCTCTGTATCCTCTTTCTAGGACTCGTTACATTTTGGCCCTGAATTGGTATTGAATTGACTAGTAGTTGGTTTGCCCCTTCGTATGCCTTCACTATTGCAGAGTATTTTCAGTTTGATACGGGAAGACACATTACTTCTTTGTGCATGTTCGACAGATGCTGTGTGGAGCTAGCCTTGAAGGCTTGGAGTGCTTTGAAAGATCCAGCTCCGCCTATCCTAGGTGTCTCTCTCCCCTTTAGTGGGGCCTAACCGGGCAGGGATAAAACGGTACACTTTTAAGGAAATCAACTTTCCATCAAGCGTGTATTGAATTTGGAGTCAAGTCTTTCTGTACGAAGACCTCGGATGAAGTGTTACATTAAGATGTTTCTCCCTACTTAGGTCCCTATACGGAAAGTTACAGGGGGAGTGAGTGGTGGAGTTTATCTTCAATGGGTACGAGGGTGCACTGCAACGGGCGGTTAGGGGCTTTTTTCTTATTCTGTCACGGAGAGGGTCGTAATCCAGTAAGGCAGTTCGATATATATTGTCGCCCTCTCTCAGTAAAGGGCCGTTTGTGTGTCTATGTATTATACGTTCCCCCGTTTCTGCGCATTTATCTCCCTCCCTCTGTGCAGTCTCCCCCTCTGGTTGAAGCTTCCTCCCTCTAAGGCACCGTCATTTTTTCGCCTAGCTGATGAGCGGTGGCTGGGAGCCTCCGTCAGCGCGCTCCCCCGTTCTAGTCCTCCTCATGCCTACGGCACCGGGGGGTAAACAAGGAATACAAAACGCTTGAGTGTCCCCCTCGAGTTCGCCACCTTTTGAAATAAAATATTTGCACTGCAAGCAAAGCGCGCTATCAGTAAGGCAGCACAAGGAGCAGGAGTGGAGAGAACAAGGCACAGAAAAAAGAAGCGAGTTGAAAGAACCTTCGGATGCAGAAAGAAAGGCCTGGACGCTTTCCTTGGAATAGAAGTGAGATCGTCGCCGCTATTCCTCTAGCACCCCTCTTGCAGCCCTTGCTAGCTCAGCGGCAGATTGCTGAGGAAGTGGATGGCGGCTCGGGCAGCCGCCTTAGTACACTCAAATAGTGACAAACAAATACTGCGCAAGCAATGCTCCGCCGCTTCACGCGGGTATCTCTTTTCCCTCTGGCTGGTGCCTGGCTTGGGTACTGCAAGATCGAATAGCTAGCTGCCCTTAGCTTATTGTCGCTCACTGCGGGCTGTATGTGCTGAGTGAAGGTATCCCTGCAGCCCCTCACATTTTCCTCGCGAACGCTGCGCACGAGGCTTGAGTGCAAGGCTCCCGAATGTCTGCCCTTTCCCTGTTCAGGCACGTCCAAGCGTCTGAGGATGCAGGTTCCCGGGCTAGTCGATGGTGTGTATAGGGGCGGTAGCATTCCACATCTCATGAAAAAACTTGTAGTATTCTTCACTGGTTGAGACCTGTAGACAAAACTACACTCTACAGGGTTGGCATGTCCAACGGAGGGAGGAAGGGAGGGCAGCGTTGCCTCCGGAGGAAAAAGCGCGGCAGGTGCTTGCTCGATCATACCAAAAAGCGTATTGCATACACTGGTCGAGTTGCAAACAAAGGAGCTCAAGCGCAAGGGCAGGCAAGCAATTTGCACAGACAGAAGCGCCGTGCACACACAGAAGCGCTGAAGATGTAGGAACAAGTGGCGCAAGCTTCCCAAAGCCGAGGGACCCCTCAGAAGCAGAAAAACACCAGCTCGCATGCAGCAACTCCCTAACTGACCTTATACTCCGTAGGACAGTGAAGACGCAAATGATCGGCACGGAAGTGCTGAAGCTGGGTTATGCACCGGCGACGGCATACCTACAAGGCGCAGCAGCGACACGGGCATGCATGGCTTCCATGAGCAACCCCACCCTTCAGAAGAAAGGCCTTGAAAAGCCCCAAGAACCCCCTGAAACACGTCATGAGAGACCGCTGCTGCATGCTTTGCACCTGCTGGGTACTCCTCTTGCCGCCTCGAGTCACAAGTCGAGCATGCAGAACACACCTCTATGGATTCTAGCGGCTGAAGGAGCTTGCCATCCTTGATGAGCAGCACTAATAACTCTTCCACCGCTTTGGGAATAAAGAAACACCGCTTCTTATCATCGTACAGATCCTTGCAGAACAACTGACGACCACAGACCGGCGGCGGCATAGACGCGCTCTGCATAGAGAGGCAGGAAGTAACAACAACACACAGCAGCAGACACAGCAGCAACAAACTTTTCTGCTTGCTAAACATACTAGCCTTTTTGAAGTCTCTCGCAGGCATGCGAACGCACGGCCCTGGACTGCGTGCATCGATCGCCACTTTGCCACGCTTTCTTTCTGAGGTGTCTAGACAGCCAAACGGGGGCACTTCTCTGTAACAACAGTTTCTCATGAACTGATCACGGCTGAAGGAACCCGTTGCACACGGCAAGCGCTTGCGCATTTTCACACGCACGCAGCGGCGAAGATGAGAGAAAGGCACGAGCAACCCACAGAGGCACAGATACACCTGCATATACACCGGCATGCGCATGCCTGCATGCGCATTTACGTGTTTACAAGTATGTTTTTCAACGATGCATGCAGTTCGTTCTCCCCCCTGCCGCAGCGCACGCCCCTCCTCCATGCACAAAATACGCATTCTCCTTCCCTTAGGGCCCCTCCGGAAATCTGAATCGCTCTTCTGCAACCCCCTCTTTTGAGTGTTGTCTGTCATTCAAAGTCCGTGCCAGGAAGCAGCACAACCACAAGCTGTGCACAAGTCGAACCTGGATGAGATCAATTGCTGGGATACCCGCCTTGTTGTAAAGACGATATGCTGCCTTTGCCGTGGGGAGGGACGTCTTTTCGACGTCCTCTGAAAGCTTCATGCAGGGTTTTCCCTCCAACTCTACTAGTTTGTAAACCTGCGACACGCGAGCCACAAATCGCCGTGTCTGCATCAGACCAGGGAGATGAGGGGGCCTGCAAGCAGACATTTGTACAACCCCCCTTACCAGCAGAGCAGCTGCCCTCTGCTGCTGGACATGGATTGCGTCACAGTATTCACCATTCCTAAAGCTGGCTGCGACTGGCACGTCACAACGTTCGTTCCGATCCCAAACACATCCGCTTCATGCCCCTGCAAAGATGCACACATACATACATACCCATACATACACCTGTACATGTGCACATACACACATATCAACATACACATATACTACGCATATACGCATACACATGTACATATACACTTATACACATACCCACACATACATACACATAGATACATACATGCACATACACATGTACACATGTACACATACACATACATACACATGTACACATGTACACATACAAACACATTCACATACACACATACACATACATACACATGTACACATGTACACATACACATACCCACACATACATACACATACATACATACACATACATATACACATATACATACATACATACGCATGTACATACCCGCACATACATATACATACATACACATGTACACATACACATACCCACACATACATATACATACACATACATGCATACACATACATACATACACATACATATATACATACATATATACATACAACTACATACAAACATACACACATGTGGACATACACATACATACACACATATACACACATATACACAGACACACACGGATCTCACACCGTAATACTGGAGCACAGACTACGCGTGCAGCACCCGCTGTCCAGTAGAACATTGCATTCTGGCATCATGAGTAGAAGAGCCACAAACACAGGCCTGTCCTTAATCTAAGTGCGTGCGAGGGATTTTTTTCACAGGATATTGAGCATACTTCATCGTTAAGAGCACTGATCGCTGCCTCGTTCAAATCATTGGAGACAACAATATGCAATGCAGAAAAGGGGAAGTTGAATGCTTCTTCGCACTCCTTGAACTGCTGGCGTGCCTCTCTGCAGCACAAACGGCTATGAAATGAAAAAAACAGTTCGTAAACTCCTGTTTGCTTGCTAGGTGGACTGCACAATTGCCTGTACAGGCAATGTAGTCAGGTCAGGCCTTGCCCCCGCTAGGGATGTTGCCACGAGTCTCATGGAGAACTGCCTCGCAAGCAAAACAACCCGCGATAAGACCTTTGCAAGAAACTGCCGTCTCATGCGGGAACGTTCGAAAGCACTTCGGAATATCCTCCTTACCTGGACAAATACGCCAGATCTCCCGAATCGATGCGTATACCTTGGGGTGTGTGCCCCTCCTGAAAGAGTGCAAGTGCAACTGCCAAGAAATTTGGAATTCCTGAGATAGGCAAGGCACGACAGGCAAACCCAGCAAGACGAGGAGACGTACTTCAAATACGGCGAGTTCATGCGTGGTGAGGAGAGCGGCGATCACCAGCCTTGACGACTGATATGCGGCGCTCTTGCTGCTGGCACGGGGAACTGATTTCCCAGCCTGAGACGCGGCAATTGCTATAAATTAATTCGCGTGTGTGTTTCTGGGAAAGGACCTGAGCTGAGCGTATTGTACGTGTCTACAAGAGCCAGAAAGCCATCTGGGAAGGTCTGAGGCAGCATCGACACACGCAAAAGCAGTCGGCAGAGCTGGAGCTGCAAAAAATGCAGGTAGACCCTGGTTTGGGGGCAGAAGTGCAGAAAGGCAGCAGCTGCTGCTGCTGCGAACTCGGGAGGGAGGGAGAAAGAGGGGGGAAGGTGAGCTGGCAGACCAGCGCAAAACACTATGCGCCTTGGCACACATGCAACCCCTGTAATTTTAAAGGGAGAAGAAGCGCACCATGGCATACGCCGTGAACGCTGCGAGCTCCCCTTCCTTCGCCATCTGGCTAAAATTCTTTTCATGCCAAAGTTTAAACACTGAGTCGCGTGCTGCTAACACCTGCACGCAGCAGCAGCCAGCATGAGCACGAGCAGTCAAGAACTCGAAGGCAGATAGGGCTTTTTAGACAACTGCCTTTTACACGCCAGTGCGTGCAACAAACGTCGGTGTGCCTGCCCTGCATCGCGCAAAAAGGGGCACTCCGGCTCGTGACAGCGGAAACGTTTGGCGGCCCTTCCAAGAGTTCTCATCAGAGGCTGAGAGCACAACTTACGGCATTGGGGAATGACGGTCCCAGCAACGATGTTGCTGGCTTTAGGCTCTCAAAAGAAGCAAACGATGAAACGAATGCATGCGCCATTGTGCCAGCCAAAGGGATTTCATGCCGATAGGCAGCCTGACGCACACGGCACGCCCAAACCGAGGTGTCCATACACCCCGCGCTGAACTTCCAGACAGCACCCCTAAGTCCCCGGGAGCCGTAAACGCACATACCTGAACGTTGCTCGTGCCATCGAAACCGCCCAGATACGCATAGCGGCTTGCAGTGAGTGCTCCGTCGGGGCCTATGTGCAGACATGCAACATGCATGCGCAGAGAAAAACTCAAAGCCCTGAGGCTTGACCAGCCCCCTTGCCTTCGCGGGGCAACAAATGATTCAGGCACCTCACGCCCATCCAACTAGCCAAGCAAGCGTACAGACACACTGGCGACTGCCGGAGTGTAGGCGCTGATGCTACCTACGCAAAAGGCGGAGCCCACCTTGAGCTCTCCTAGCACCGAATTCGAATAGCTTCTTCTTCCAGCCAGCAGCAAGCCGATGCCTTGCAGAAAACCAAGGCGCGCATACGCAGCAGCAGCACTCTCAAAAGAGGCCTTGCCCGCACATGCGCAGACGCCCCCGACAGCAAGAATCAAGCGACAGGGGCCACTCTGGCGTAGACGCGACAACAGGATCATGATCCAGCATTTGCGCAAAACGAGCAGCAACCTCTCATGAGCAGCAACTGCATACCAGCAGCGCAGACCAGCGGCTGCAGGGGCACGACGGCAGCCTCGAACCTGGCAGCATTTGTTGCGACCAGCGTCGCGTATCCAAGGATGTTGAGGATTGAAGTTTCCACCATCTGGCAAAGCCCCAAGGGCCCTGCAGCCTGCAATACCGGTACTTTCGGAAAAACGAGAGAGCCTTCGCGGATTGCTGGAGGCATACACAAGCAACAGGGACGAGTGGGAGGCGCATCCGACTGATCGCGAGATTCCTCCGAGATGACACCTGCACTTTCTATGAGCAAGCTCCAATGGCGAAGGCCATGGAGCCTCTCTGAAGACGCTGATCTGCAAGCCATAGGCGCTGCTGCATATATTTGCCCCCTAGAAGAAATCTCCTTTAGGGCCCCTTTAGGGGCGGCAACGCAAATTTCTCTGGTTTTCTTGAACCTCTTTTGGAGAGGCCCTTTGGGAAGTTTCTAGGAGGCCATTCGCCCCCTTTTGGCGGAGTTCTTTTACATGCAAACAAGCACACAGGGGAAATAAGGAGGGCTCTCTGCATGCAACTTGCTGAGCGTGTGAGCTGTACCTCTGATGGTCATGCTGGATCCATCGAGCGACCTAAGGTAGTCGAAGAATCCTTCTTCTGCGGATGGCATCCGACTGCGCAAGAAGGCTAGATGCTTGTCGCTGAACCGGAAGCCCAAGATGAATGAAACGACCTCGCTCACGCCGCCTAGGATAGCAAAGGATCCCTGGAAGGGCGGCCTTCTGAAGGATGCCTCGAAGACGCAGGGCTGGTTATGTTTGCCTTGGCGCCAGTATGCGTAGGCCATGGTTAATTGATAATAGTCCATGAGCAGTGGACATGCCTTTGGGGCACGGTCATCATGCACCGGAGCTCCAACGACTCGATCCAGGGAACTCGGAGGCGGAACGGAAGACAACCCCTCAAAAAACTCATCAGAAGGCTCTAAGGAAGACCCAGCGGGACCAGAAGATGGAGTAGCGAAGATGTCAGGCTGGGAAACGGCTGCAGTTGCGACGGACGCCCCCCTGGAGGGGGCGCACCTAGAGGCACTGCCGTGTGGGTCGAGAAGCATTGGTACAGCCGCTTTCTCAGCTTTGCAGTGGCCGAATATCGCTGGGGGTAGACGCTCTTGGCTTGATTCACGTGGTGATGATTTACTTGCTGCTTCTGTTGCTGGGGTTATTGTCGCTGCTGCTGCCCCGGTGCGCCCTAGACACCATGCAGAAAGACGTCCGACGGACGGAAACCCCCTAACACCTAGAGCAGATTGAAATGTGAGGAAGAATTCAAGCACGCTAAGAGGTTACCAAAACTTTTTCCAGCACGTGGGAGAAGCTGTACACAAGCCCCGCACCGGCGGCAGAAGGGCCCAACCCTCCCCGGAGTATAAAGTCTCTTATTCGCTATCCAGAGCACTAGTGTACCAGAATCCCCTTGGAAAGCGCCTCAAAGATCTCTTGGTAGGGGCTCTCTCATACTTGCTAAACAAGGGCGCATGGCTTGAGCTGCTGAATGAAGGGACCGTCACACAAGCGTTATTGCCTCAGGTTTCTGGGGTGTACGCAAGTTAGGACACCTCTCTGACACTGAGTTCTGGAAGAAAAAAGGTCCACACCAAAGGTTCCATGAGAATATTCAACTTTAGACCCAGAAGCATGGCCCAGAATCATGGTGAGACCAAACCTGAACTGCAGGTCACTGCAACACGGCTCATGCAAGCGCCAGTACGACTCTCCGGTTATTGAATACTTTCTGCGTTGATCACCCCTTTTGTGGTCTACCGCCAATAAATAAAAGCTATGTTTTACTTTTTAAAGCTCGACGCGCAAGGTTTCGGAGCTACTACGATGCATCCTCATTCAGTACCCCCGTCAAAACCCCATCGGATGCGGCCTCTTGCAAATTTGATACTAGCCTACGGTCTCTTACTCTTCTAGTGTACCACAAACCAAAACCAGTTTTACTCTCCATGAGCAGCCACTAAAGCTTCTATCAGGGTTCGGTGACGGGTGCTAGTGTCTGTGCTGTCCACACCGTCGTCGCGTATTTGTGTGTTACGCTCCGTGAGATGAGACCTGCAGAAGGCCTTGAAGCTTGCTAGCAATCTGGACTGAGTTCTTTAGACGGTAGCTACCGCCCGGAATGCTCTTGCCCTACCCAGCAGACTGGAATTTAGAGCGCGGCACGCACAGCTCTTTACCCTGGAAGGGCTGATAATGCCAGGGGCATGCGCCAAACTTTCACGCCTCCCGGATGTTTTCACACACAGACACCATGGTGCGAAGTATGACTAGAGTTTAGATTTTTCTGAGTGCATGAGCTGCACCCATAACAAATGGGAATCCAGAACCTGAATACCCTATTAGGAGCAGAACGAAAAACTCATGACACCCAAAACGATACTGGACGCCCCTTCATCTGCGCGCAGGGGCCCTATGCTTTTGCATGCTTCTCGGTGTAGTGGGCTGAGCTACACATTTATACCTTATTACACACGAGATGCACTAAACTACTAATAAAATGCTCTTCAGGGAGCCAATTACTGAAGACTCCATGCAAAGTTTCTAAAAAATCATTGATTGTTTCTTCAAATGGCTCCTGCCTTGCCCTGCCCGCACCTCTTAGAGGTCCCAACATGGGTGAATAGGGGCTTCTAGGATGCGAGCCGCTCCACTGTCTACGTACTGCGAGCATTCATTGCTAGTTGGGCACAGTGTGTAGCACACAACATTGCGCCTTCCTGTATCAAGCTAACAGTACTCTACGATACATAAGAAATACAGACAAAAAAATCAACTGGTCAACTCCTCACTAACTTTTTGTGTATAAGCAGTGTATTAGAAAGTGAACGCGAGTAGTTCAGCCCGCTACATCTAGCCCCTCCCCTATAGCAACAGGCACGCTTCATGCGTTTTGCCTGCGCATGATGACTTATTGCATGCAAGAGAATGGGAGGGCGACCGCCTCATCATCAATTCCCAGACAAGTAGAAGCTCGAAAATTGTATAAAAAGAAGCACATGTGTGCATCACATGCTGAAGAGAAATCGAAGGGAAGAAGTGAGCACTCGAGTTTAAATTAGGGAATTCGATTGAACCTTCAGCTAAGGAACAACACTGAAGGGCAAACATCAAGGAGACGTTCGCGGACTAGCATAATTATGACAAGGTTCCAGCAGGTGGGTCACCTCCTGCTTGTCCAGCGCATCTTTTTGGGCTAGTCCCCAGGGCAGACCCAAGCAATCTTCCGTGGGATCGGAAGCCTCACAACGTAGCGGCAGATGAATGACTTGCTGAAGCAGCGCAAAGGGCAGAATCCAACCAGCACCTTTGGGTACAACCCGGAGTTTGTGCATGAGTAAGGGAGGGTGGCGCAAGTGTGGTGTTTCTAGGCCTCTGCGCAGGCTCGCTTTGGAACAGTTCTGGTTGACTCATATCGGCGAACTCATTGCACAAAGAAACAGTCTTCCAGACATTTGCCTTCATAGGCAGATGCTCTCATACAATTCCGCATTCACTTTGATGACAGGCACCGTTCGGCGTTCCACAATCTCACTGGCGAGCTCGAGCTTACGTGTAGGCCATGTGAACTTTAATGCCCAGCTGAGCTGCAACGGCAGGCTGATAGGAATTCAACAAATTAAAAAGGGATGTGTGGTTGTCTACATGGGAGACGCGGTAGTCTTCAGCCAAAGCGTTCAGGACAACTTACAACACCACAGGCGTTAGCTTCAGCTGATGCTGGACAAGCAGTGGAACGTGAACGCGCACATGCTCTTTTCGAAAATAAATGTTTTCGGGATTTCGTGTTTTGTCTGCGGAAAGCAAACTGGATCCGGCGAACATTTAGGCAATTACGGCACGAGCTCCATCTTTACACACACACAAGGACGCTGGGAAGTTTCACGAGCTTGAATCTCCTCAGCGAGGTTCTTCAACTTGCTCGGATTCCTGCTATTCATGCTGATTTATCTGAGAGAACACAGTCTGTGATACGGACAGAGGAGGCTGATGCCGCCACAAGGACGCTGATGTTTACGTGGCAACTCAATCAGTACTTGCACTCCTTTATTATAGCTGTCATTTCCTTCTTACAAAGAATTCCAGTGACCCGTCCATGGTAACTCGTTTCTCTCACAAGACTGCGGCTCGGCCAAAGCGTCAAACTATTGGTTGTTCTTCTTATCGCCTCACTGCAGCAGAGTAGCGGTATTCAGTGTGGAAAGAGGGACTTTATGCGGTGTGGTGGGGCGTGACTAAATGCCGGAAGTACTTGCATGGGCGCAATGGTACTATGCAGACCGACGATCAGGTGTTAATGTACCCTGCGAAGTTTTTTGAAAGTTGATAGTACTAGAGTTGTTCACTGGCTTGGACGCCCCATGCAAACAAAACGTGGTCGCTCATGGACTGCTTTTTTGCAGCGTGACCGCTTGTGACTGTAAGGATTGACGGTTTCTATCTAGGTGTCATGGTCATATACATTTGACACCCATACGACCGCTATTGCCAAATGCAGAATAGCAAATGGGTAAAGCATTATTACGTTGAGAATGGCCTGCTGTAGCTCAAATTATGAGGGCACTTCATCGTTTGTACATTTCACCCTGCAGTGCTGCGTGGCGTACAGCATATGATCATTTTCTTCCAGGTCATGATGGGATTCACAGCGTAGTGGTACAGCTCTGAAGGTCTCCCTGGTCGCCTGAAATGCGACTTTCAGCCAAGGCTTATGCACTGTCATGCCTAGATTGCCCGCAGTTGTGGCTGTTAGATACTCTAAAACTGGGCTTTTTGCAGAGCCTTCCAACTCCTGAAAGAATTTGGACTCATCTTACCATGGGCTCTATCATGAGCAGCCCTAATCTACACTTAAGAGCCCCTTTCCCATCCGAGCTGCATTTGCTTGCCCGGGGAAGAACAGCTGAGTGCACACATATGTATGCGCAAAGTTTTAGAGAGGCAAGCACGGAGTTCAAATAAGCGGCGTTTAGCTGTGTGTTTTGAGCCTGAACATTCGGTCCTGGTGGATCGGCAGCTTTTACGAGGAGCACCAGAAGATGACTAGACGAACACATTTGCAGCCAGGTAGCTTAGACCAATTGCAATGCTCTCCCTAATCGAGCCTCTGCCTTGCTCTAAGGATGCTCCTAAGGTTGGTGCGATCAAGAACTGCTAAAAGTGGCTTACTCATAAGTTTTACTTCAACTCCCGAAATCATTTGCGGGATTTGACGCGCAAGCGAGCCGCGTGAAGGCGGGTGATCCACAGAGAGCCGAGGACTTGCTAGAGTATAGGACTATTGAGCGCCGAGAACACACTAGAACGGAGTTTTGAGTGAAAGGAGGTCCGGAATGCCGGCCTGAGTGGTTGAATGAGTAGCGGCTGGGGGTAAGCATGGCTCATCAAGCTTCCAATCATCATTGTTGCACTATTTCTACACTCAGATCTACACGCGGGCACTCTCGGGTATGGTGTCCCTGCATTTTTGCTTATGCCTCTTCTAACACTTGAAATTCGACTATGCGGCATGCACTGGCCGCATTCGCATGCAGCACACATTGCTCGATGAGGCACTGCTAAGCCAGGTTTCTGCGTTTGATTTCCTGCACACCTTTCACTTGTTGTCGGTATTCTCGTAGCAGAAGGCTCACACGTTTCACCGCTTCGACAACAGCAAGCCACCGCGCTGCCTTCAATCCTTTTGAATGGCAATGCATTCGTTGTTGGCTGGCTAGTGTATGTTATTTCTTCCCCTCTATTTCTCGTTAGCGTTTGATGCACACATTTCCTCGTCTGTTTTGCACAGTTTTCGCGTTTGCGCCATTCAGGGAAGTGGCGACAGTGCGGGAGCACTTTTGCCGTCGCATAGGCAGTTGGCTTTGACGGAGAGCTACGGAGTTTCAGGCCATGTGTTTTTTTGGGTAGGGGGAGGATGTAGCGGATCCTATGCTCTCTGTATCCTCTTTCTAGGATTCGTTACATTTTGTCCCTGAATTGGTATTGAATTGACTAGTAGTTGGTTTGCCTCTTCGTATGCCTTCACTATTGCAGAGTATTTTCAGTTTGATACGGGAAGACACATTATTTCTTCGTGCGTGTTCGACAGATGCTGTGTGGAGCTAGCTGCGAATGCGTACTAGACCGCCTAAGCAGTGTCGTTACACGCACCCCAGCTATCCCTGTGCTCTGGTGCCTTGTACTCTGGGGTGCCCGGGTAGGGAAAGAGGGAGTTTTCTTGGTAAATTAAGCTATGTTGAGTTTACAGTTAAGTCTGTCCCTATGAAGACCTTGGTGATACTGGTACAAAAGTGTTCAAGGCGAAGCGTTTATCGTCCTGAGCCTCAAAGGCCACGCGCCTACCCCGGGAACTAGAGTTTGAACTTCTGCATGTTTTAGGCCAAACAAAGCGCGCTTCGTTGATGCACTGCTGACCAAGGGAGGGCCTCGCGTCAGTATTAGGAGCCCACAGGTTCTCTCCGGCTTGGGGAGTACACCATTGGATTACGGCTCTAACGTTTATGAAGGCTCACTGGGGAAAGCAGTAGGGGCGACTATTGGGATCCGCCGTAGCCTTAAAACTAAGCGTACATACACACATGCAGCAGACATGATAGGCCTGGTTTGTTGGAGGAAATAACCTGCAATAATATGCCACAGTGTTGGGGCTGGCTGCTACAGCTGATCTTTTGACTGCGAGCCACGCGGTGAAACGGAGTAAAACAGAGGCCTACTAAGCCAAACCCTGCCTCGCTATCAAGCGGCAGATGCTGGAATTTCCCAATATATAGCGCCGAAACAACGTTCCGAGTTGCCAAACAACATCCAAACCACAAACTCAACAGCGAAATTGGACCAGGGTCACCTTCTGGGCGCGCTCTGCTTGTCACTCAGTTCCTCCAGGAACTGGTTTGCGCATCCTTTGAGACATTTTTTAGCTCTTTCTTAGTATTGCAGCTTAGCGGAGTCGGGGTGCAGGGTTTGGGATAGTGGAGGGCTCCTTTCGTAACGAGCCCTCCATTATTTCCCAAACCCTACACCCAAATCCCTATTTCAAAATCGTAGACTTTTGCCCCTAATAAAGCTGTAAACCCTATCTAGAAACCAAGATCCTTAACATGGCTCCTGGGGAAGACGAACTCCACGAGACCTCTGCTGGCGAGGGTGCCCCTCTAGTGGATGGCCGCAAAGGCACTGCGATAGGCAGCAAGAAGCGCATGCAACTTGAAGTAAGAATATTATACAGCGTTCACACCTTCGGGTTTGGGGCTTTATTTAGGTGCAAGGAGCTTAATGCGTAGTTTAGCGCAGGGTGTTTTCTATGAAGTCTTCCTCGTAAGGGAATGCCTGGCGTGTTCGCATGTCGGAAGGGCCTAGAAGCCCAAGTAACACGACGAGGAACAAAAAATGCAAAAAGCCAGAAACTCTAGTGGCTGTAACTGCGGCTGTGGTAGACAGACTTTGGCAGTACAGGCCCTGGTCGCCTCAGTCGTGGCTAAAGTGTGCTGGTTGCGTTGCGGATGAGGGATATGGGGTCTGCATGGGAAGGCCTGTGCGGCTCAGCTGCTAAACGAAATCATGAAAGAACACCCAGACATCAACAAGCTCAGGCAAGCCTTGGCTTAACCCCTAAGCCATATTCCGCTGTGCACAAATGTGCACATCAGCCTGTGGCTCTGTATGCATATTTTTGTGAGTATTCAATGACTTTTTCGGGGATTTTGACACTTTTAGCACCAAAGCTGCACTGGCACGCCGGCTAACAGAACCACCAAGCGGCCTTCCCAGTTAGTCCACTCCCGGCTGTTGAAGGCAGCTCTTGTTTGTTACCCGCAGGATTCTGCAGACATTCGATGTGGACTACAAAGTGAAGGACCCTCAGAGCGGCCTCAGTGTCATGCACCATGGTCAGATCTGAAACATGGGCTTTGAATGACTTGCAATGCCTTTCGTGTTAGCCATCGTGCTTTGTTCGCCTCCCAAGCACCCGGGCTGGGGAAAAGTATTTGGGGAGTCGGCCCTTTCAGGAGATAAGGCTTAGGAGGGCCTACCTGCTTGCGTCTTCAGGCGCACTGCACGGGGAAATCGATTTGCTAGAGCTTGGTCTTCAAGCAGGTAAGCCTTTGTAACCACAGACCTCAGCTCTTCACCCGAACCATGGCCGGCCATGCAGGCAACTGAATATCTAGAGACTACATACATGCTCCCGCTGGCAATGCAGTTGCCTCCCCTGCTGCCGCTATATATGTACATATAGGCCTTGATGTGGATGATCCCACGAACCTCGGACGAACCCCCTTGCATTTCGCATGCGCTGGAAATCAAAGAAGCAGTGTTACCTTCCTCCTCCAACACAGAGCCGATGTCAACGCGAGAACGTGTGCCGGGTATATATATATATAATATATCGCCATTCTAGAATACCTTAGGAAAGGAAATCCTAAGAAGCATGCCACATGATGTAATAGGGCAACGGTGCTCGCTGCATCGCCTGGTCGCTTCGTAGGAAGGAGCTTGAGGAGGGCCGAGGGTTTCAATGCACACGGTTAAGGGGAGAAGGCGGCATGAAATTTGTGTCAATGGGCATGTGGGCTTCTCCAGCTGATGCCCTTAGTCCTTTTGGAGACAGTTGAGAATGTGGGGGGCTGGAGGTCGAAATATCAGAAAAAGGGTTCGATAGAAGGGATACAAAAAACCGATCCAAGGTGTGGCTGACTGTGCACATGTCCTCTACCCATGCCCGAACTGCCCTGCTGCAGACTTACGCCCCTTCACCTCGCCGTCAGGGAGAATGCGGTTGCTGCCGTAAGCACTCGAACCCACTCCATTCACGTTAGTTCCCTACCCAGCCACCTGCAACTTATGCCCAAAAGCCACACTCCCGGATATCCTGTTGCGCAGGCGAAGGCACTGCTCTTTAGTCGGGAGGCCGAGGAGTTCTACATCGATGTGGATGCTGAGGATCTCGAACGGAAGACGCCAGCTCAAATGGCACAAACGAAGCCCTTAAAAGATATGCTACAGCGCTACAAACAAAGCAGGACCAAACCCCTGCTAACTCCCAATGAATAACGCCCTCCACAGACTAACGCTGCCATAAGCACTGGAGTAAGAAATGCCTGTAGAACGCGCTTAGCCTCTAGGGGGATCGACCTGCAGGAAGCCGCCCCCACCTTCCCCCCGTCAGCAAGCCTAAAAACGAGGGTGTGAGCCGTATCTTTCGAGTAATAACTCCCCTAAAAGAGACAGTTGCACCCGCACTAAGCCCAAGCTGCCGTTCCTCTTACGTGCACTCTTAGACGGCGGCCTGTACTAGACCTAAAGGTGTAAACCTTGGAGTGGCCGTCTAGCCAACTCGGCACAGAGAACCACCTCCCAGCCTACATTCCCCCCCAGCACTCCCGCTTGACGACTTCAAAGAAGGCGGTAGTCCCCCCAAAAAACTGTTCTCTGGAAGCCGCAGAAAAAGTCTAAACAAAATTCGCGGCTTTACAGAATGAAAAAATGGCCCTGACGCCTCATCCTGAGCGCCTCTTCCAGACTTCCCTGAAAGGTCGAGGGTTGCCTCCGCAAGTAGCTTTCTTTGCAGCTGGGAAGGGGGGCAAAATAAATTCGGGGACGGAATGCAGAGCCGCGCACCGTGCATGTACGTACAGCTCGTCTGTGCGGACGCCCGCGGGGCTGTCCGCGGCTGGCTGGCTACCCCCCTAAGAGCTTTCCATAAACACGCCAAAGAGGCACATGCGAACACAAGAAGAAGAGCGCACAATCGACGCTCGGATGAACTGCAGCGGAAGAAAAAAGGCATCCCATCTTTGCAGGGGGGCCCCTAGCTGCAGCCAAATCCAGAGGCCGCTCATGCTCGCCTCTGACATGCGCACCAGATCTCGCTAGCGAGCTACCCATCGAGTTGCTACGACCCCAGACAGACAGACACAGAGAGAGAGACACACACACACATACACCCATACGGACACACGTCACAAACACACATCGCAAACACACACGCATGCACATGCACCACTGCATAGCAGCCAGCTGCCTCTCTACTAGATGCCACGAAGCTTCCAAGATAGCCATCCCTTCTAAAAGCAGGGCTGCCAGCTGCTGCTCTCGCATAAAGTTGCAGCACTGGCCATCAAGAGGTCGATCCCCTCGAGCCCGGCGGCAACAGCGCGACGCCTTCCCACCCACTGCCAAAGAAATCACCAGACGGCTCTTCTTCTTCCCCTTCTTCTTCGTCCCCTTCTTCTTCGGCCCCTTGAGTAAATAACTGCTGCCCGCAGAGGCCTCTTCCCACACAGAGCCACCCCTCTTCTGCTGTCTCCAGCGTCTCCCCACTTGCGGCTGTCTCCAAAGCGCCTTCGGATCGATCGTCCCCGCGAGCTGCTGCAGCCCACTCCCTCGCCACTGCCTCTTCCGTTATGCTGCGCGCGAGCAGACGGGGAGTTGCAGACACAGCGTAAGCGACAAACTGCCTCGGCAGGGAGCTGCTGCCGCTGCTGCCACTGGCAAGAGCTGCTCCTGCCGCTGCAGACGTCTCAGACAGGCAAATAATAGAAGCGTTCCTGACAAGAAGGCCTCCCCCCCTCGCTGCCGCGAAGGCTGCCGCTGCTGCTGGCAAGGGCCTGGTTGCCGAAACTCCTCTGCCATCGCATGCTGATCTGCACGACTCAGACCAGTGTAGTAGCACGTCCACAGCAGCAGCATCATTCGCAGATGCTGCATCCTGAGTCGCAGCAGCAGTTGCACTGCAAGATACCGAATCCTCCTTCTTGGACGCCCTAGCGACGGCAAGCGTCATCGCTGCAACTGCTTTCGTTGCTGCGCCTGCTGCTGTCGCTGCTGCTGCTGCTGCTGCTGCCGTGGCTGATGCTGCTGCCGTTTCTGCTGGCACCTGGGGAGAAAACAGCTCCTGCAGCAGCAGCGGCTGCTGCTGCAACTGCTCCGCTTGCTGCTGCAGCTGCTGCTCGATCGCCACAGAAAGCGAAAGGCCGAGAGCCGCAAGTCGTCTGAGAGAGAAAGACACACACACATACACACGCACACACCCGCAAAAGGAAAACTCACCGCAAACAGGCAAATCCATCAAGCCTCTGTCACGCAACATACGAAATGCCTTCCCTCTCCCCTCTCTTCCCTCTCTCTCCTGCGCAACGCTCCTCGCAGCGGCGCAGAGAACGACACCAGCAGCTCGCTGTGAGAATACAGGAAGCCTGCATCTCTGCATACCCGTAGACGGCGAGAAGTGGAAGCACAACTCCCACATGATATCCAAGATGCAGGAGCTGCGAGGCAGCCGCTGCAGCATGCTGCACAGACTGTTGAATATCAAACGCAGCAGCAAGCAGTTGCTTCAAGGTACCCCACAATCCAAGCGCATGCTGCTGCCGAGGAAAGGCAAGGCCAGTACTCGCCTCTGCCTGGTGAAACTCGAGCTGCTGCTCAGGCAACAAATACGGCTGCTCATGCGTCAGCAACGGACGCGTCTGTTTAATCAGCTGCTGCTGCTGCTGCGAATCAGACACTGAGCAGCTCAGCAGCAACAGACGCAACAGGCGTGCTGCAGCTGCCAATACACCACGAGACTTCACGAAAAAGTGCGCCTTGCGATGTTGTGCGTGGATCTGCAGCAGCAGCAGCAGCAAAAAGAATATACGCGATCACAACCACAACCATAAGCAGCAGCAAAACGAATATACACAACCACAGCCACAATCACCATAAGAAGCAGCAAAAAGAATATACACGTACATAACCGCAACCACAAGCAGCAGTAGCAGCGGCAAAAAGAATATACACGTACATAACCACAACCACAATCACCATGAAGAGCAGTAAACAGAATATACACGTATACAACCACAACCAAAGCCACCATAAGCAACAGTAAAAAGAATATACACAACCACAACCACAACCACAACCACAACCACAACCACCATAAGAAGCAGTAAACAGTATATACACAACCACAACCCCCATAAGCAGCAATAAAAAGAATATACACAACCACAACCACAATCACCATAAGCAGCAGCAGTAGCAGCAGCAAAAAGAACATACACGTATACAACCACAACCACAACCGCCATAAGCAACAGTAAAAAGAATATACACAACCACACCTACAAGCACAACCACCATAAGCAGCAGCAGCAATAAAAAGAATATACACAACCACAACCACAATCACCATAAGCAGCAGCAGTAGCAGCAGCAAAAAGAATATACACGTATACAACCACAACCACAACCACCATAAGCAACAGCAAAAGGGATATACACAACCACAACCACAACCACCATAAGCAGCAGTAAAAAGAATATACACAACCACACCTACAAGCACAACCACCATAAGCAGCAGCAGCAGTAAAAAGAATATACACAACCACAACTACAAGCACAACCACCATCATCATCAGCAGCCGTAGCAGCAGCAAAAAGAGTATACACGCATACAACCACAACCACAGCCATCATCATCGGCAGCCGTAGCAGCAGCAAAAAGAGTATACACGCATACAACCACAACCACGACCACCATCATCAGCAGCAGCAAAAAGAAAAGACACAACCACTACCACAACCACAGCCATCATAAGCAGCAGCAGCAAAAAGAAAAGACACAGCCACAACCACGACCACAGCCACCATCATCAGCAGCAAAAGAACACCCAAGCGCATGCAGCAGGGGTTGTTGCCTCGAGCCTCCCTCAGACTTACCTTGTAGAGCAGCCGTTGCAGCAGTTCAAGTTCAGCAGCGAGCCAGAGACTTGTTCTCTCTTGGGTAGTCTTCAGCGCTTCGGCTGCTGCTGCGGGAGATGCTGCTGCACCTGCCATTGGCACTTGGATTGCAGCAGAAGCCTCCCCGCAGCAACGACCTGCAAATGTAATCTTAGGAGCTGCCGTGGGAGGAGCAGTCTTCATGCTGCTGCTCTTCCAGCTGGCACGTTGGCGCTAGAAAGGCGACCTTAGCTGGAGAGCTGCGGCTTTGGCTGCCGCTGACGAAGCAGCTGGTGCGATGCGGAAGAGAGAGCAGCTCCTCGTCTCACCCCGACTGCGTGATCGCTGCTGCCTTCCCATGCACGCACATGCATGCACGTGCATGCACATTCATGCACATGCACATACACCCTGCGCGGCTCGCTGTGAGCGTGGCGCTGCTGCGGCGGCAGCAGCGAGCGCGTCCAGTCGCCCTTAGAGAGGCTGTGGCTGCTGCCTTGCCGTTGCAACAACTCTCTGTTTGAACGAAGCCACCAACAAGGCACCGTGCAGAAGAGCACTCGGCCGGTACAGGCGCCTCGAACTGTTGCTGCGCTGCCGCTGTGCATGCATGCATGCGACCAACTAGCTAAAACCCCCGCTGAAACAATGGCTTTGAAGCCTCCAAGAGGCTTTCAAACCTGCCGTTCGTGCAGCAGCTGCAACGGCGGATAGTGGTGGTGGTGCTGTCGCTGCTGCTGCTCTGCTGCAGCAGTACAGGGAGCCACTGCGGGGGATATGTACGTAAAGCATAGATATTGGGCTGCTTTTTGGATGTTTTATGAGCTGCTGTACGTACAGCAGCCTACCTACGGTGAGGGGAGAAAAAGAGGCAACCGAAAACGCGGTGAATCGACGCAGAGCACCCCCTCTCGCCGAGGCGCTGCCGCCACAGGGGCGGCTCGATTCAAATTGGAGAGAGCAGTGCACAATGAATTTAGGAAATAAACGCGAAAGCAGAAATAACGCTTCCTAAGACACTGCCACTGCAGCTAAAGCCCCACCCCACAGGGAGGCCTCTACCCCACGGTGAAGGTACACTTGCTCCAAGCCGCACTGCACTGCTGAGGAAAAGGCTGGAGCTGTTTTTTGCCGCGCTAAATGTAGATTTTTGGCGCCGCTTTCGCCTGCTCGGCGTACAAAAGCGTGAGTTTATTCCGGATGGCTCGCGCACCAGCTGGCGTGGAAGCCTTCCCCGAGAGCAGGCTTGGCTCTCACGGGAGGGAAGCGATGGATAGCCGACTGGACAGCTAGCTAGTCGCCGCTGAGCGCTAGAGGAGCTGCCAGCACGCACACTGCGCGCTGCCTCTAGATCTAGCCAAAACAGCAGCTGCAGCAGCTGCAGCAGCACGAGCCACTAGAGAGTGGCACACACACACACACTCACAACAACCCCTGCTGCCCGATAGAGCAGCAGCAGCCGACGCCAGGCCCGCAGTGTACTTACACACGAACAACAGACACGTCGAAGGGGGGCGGGGAGGGAGGAGGCTGGCATCTCGGGGAAGCCTCGAGCATCTTGAACACTCAAAGCCATGCAGCAAAAAACGGCAGAGGCTGCGCAGACAATCCTGCTACAGCTCTGCCTCACCCCAGCTAGCCGTCTCACCCCAGCTAGCCGCCTCACCCCAGCAGCTGCGTGTTGCGGGAAGCCTGTTTGGAATGGAGGAGAAGGAGCAAAGCCTCTCTGGCGGCGTAGAGAGGGGCGAAGTCTCTTCGGAGGCTATACGGAGGCGCAGCCTCCATCCTCGTGGGCATGCTGCAGCGGCATGAGGAGGCGATTTGCTTCCTTTGACCTCCCTAGACACCCAACTCGAACAACGGCAGTCGCTGCCGAGAGGCAACGCCACTTAGAAGTAGACCTCGCTGCTCCGACCGCCGCAGCGGAGGCAGCAGCAGAAGTAGCAGCCAATGATCCCCACTCCAGTGCTGCTTTGTTTGCAGCTTCGCTTGCTTCCACCGCAGCAGCAGCAACAGAAGCAGCAACAGCAGAAGCAGCAACAGCAGAAGCAACAACAGCAGAAGCAAACAGGGTGCATATGCCATGTCTGTTTATCGATCCCAGCGGGGAACGGGTGCCTCTCGTGCAGCACTGCAGTGTCGACCAGAGAGATGCCGTGTTTGCAGCAGCTGTATCAACAGCAGACAGCGGGGGAGGGGCCTCGTCGCTGCAAGCAGAGTTAAAATCGGCTTGCGGATTTGCCGGAGGTAAGAGATGCTCCTCTTGCGTCGCTTCCAAATGCAGGCAGCAGGAGAGGGCTTCGTGCTGCCCTCTCCGCCTCCTCCTGCTGCAGCAGGCATCCAGAAAATAGCGTCGAGACGGCTGTATGCAGGCGTGTTTAGCTTGCTTGCTGCGGCTGTATTCTGTATGTAAATATATCTATTTATCTGCTGCAGTGGGAGTGGAAGACATCGGTCGCTTTCGCCTCTTTTCACGCCGTCGCCTTCTGGAACTCATGCCCGAAGGCTTTGCCGGTAATATATATATATATATATATATATATATATATATATATATATATATATATATATGTGTATATATATGTATATGCATATATGTATATGCGGCTGGCTTGCACTTTTTGCGTTGGTTAGCAGCAGCAGCAGTAGCAGCGAGAGAGAGAAAAAAGTCGCTTGTTCGAGGCATTTTTTGCCGTGCTGCTGTTGCTGTTGTTGCTGCAGGAGAGCTCAACAGGGATATGCTGCTAATTCCATCCAGCAGCTCACCTGTGGGCATTATGCTCCGCAAGTCGACTCTCGAGCTGCAGCTGCAGCTGCAACACTTTGCGGATGTGCAGGCCGCCTCCTATGACAAGCTTCCCACCGATTATAACAGTGGAAACAGCCGTTGGCACACTCTACAGCAGCATACGTCTGCTGCAAGGCATACTGTGAACACGGGATTTCTTTTGGATGGTCACAGGGGTGTCGGCAAGGTATTTTCATTCAGCAGTGCAGCAGCAGTAGCAGTCTTAGCAGGCATGCTTAGCAGGCATGCTTAGCAGTGCAGCAGCAGTGGCAGTTTAGCAGGCAGTCTTAGCAGTGCAGCAGCAGTGGCAGTTTAGCAGGCAGTCTTAGCAGTGCAGCAGCAGTGGCAGTCTTAGCAGGCAGTCTTAGCAGTGCAGCAGCAGTAGCAGTCTTAGCAGTCAGTCTTAGCAGGCAGTCTTAGCAAGCAGTCTTAGCAAGCAGTCTTAGCAGTGCAGCAGCAGTAGCAGTCTTAGCAGGCGGTCTTAGCAGTGCAGCAGCAGTAGCAGTCTTAGCAGGCAGTCTTAGCAGTGCAGCAGCAAGCAGTCTTAGCAGTGCAGCAGCAGTAGCAGCCTTACAACCGCAACAAGGCTTCCGGTGTGTGTGTGTGTCGGCGTGTACTTTGTGTTTGCAGAGTTTTGTGTTGAATTATTTGGTGACTTGGGCAAGAGAGAACGGCTGGCTTGTTCTTTTTGAACCTCTCCCTTCCAAATATGCCCGCGATATTGGGGATATCAAGAGATCTTCATCCGGGGTGTATATTCAGGTCTGCTTCTGCTCCTACTACTGCTCCTACTTCTACTGCTCCTATTTCTACTGCTACTACTGCTTCTGACTACTACTGCTCTTGCTGCTACTACTGTTACTGCTACTGACTACTACTGCTACTGACTACTACTGCTCCTCCTACTACTGCTGCTCCTACTGCTACTGACTACTACTGCTACTGCTACTGCCGCTACTGCTACTGCTACTGCTGCTCCTACTGCTACTACTGCTCCTACTACTGCTACTGCTCCTACTACTGCTACTGCTGCTCCTACTGCTACTACTGCTCCTACTACTGCTACTGCTGCTCCTACTGCTACTGCTCCTACTACTACTGCTCCTACTACTGCTACTGCTGCTCCTACTGCTACTGCTCCTACTACTACTGCTCCTACTACTACTGCTACTGACTACTACTGCTACTACTACTGCTCCTACTCCTGCTTGTGCTACTACTGCTACTGTTGCTACTACTACTGCTACTGACTACTACTGCTACTACTACTGCTCCTACTCCTGCTTCTGCTACTACTGCTACTGTTGCTACTACTACTGCTTCCACTACTGCTACTGCTCCTACTACTGCCACTACTCCTACTGCTACTGCTACTACTCCTACTGCTACTGCTCCTACTACTGCTACTACTCCTACTACTACTGCTCCTACTACTGCTACTACTCCTACTGCTGCAGACTGCGCTATGTGCGTGCCTCACCGCTGCGGAGGCCTCTATTGCTGTTTCGCCTGCTTCAGTCGGAGTTTGCCCGCGTCTTTTTGGAGCGCTTCCTGCTATTTAACCATCCAATGCTCGCTGACATTCCTGTCGATATGAAGACTTACGGCCAGGCAGCGCTTGATGGGGTAACTCACCTGCGCATTGTGTTGGTGGCGGTGCAAGTAACACTGCAATCTGCGCGGCAGTGCCTCCCCCTTCTCCCCTCCATTAAGCCCCTGAGCTGCCTAATAACAGACAGCCGCAAATGGCTGGATTTTTGTTCCCTGCAGCGAGCGATAGGCACTGGCAAGTGTGTTTTTGCCGCTGGCTTGCAGGTGCACCGCAAATACGCTGCGCGTGCATACGAGGCGCTGCTGGAGAGTGTCGTGGCACAAGATCTCGAGGAGATGAAGGCGGATTTCATTGCAACTTCGGGAGCGCAGCCGGAGCTTGAGGCAAGGGTTGTCTAGGGTTAAGATGCTGGATTGTGAAGGTTACTTTTTCTTTCCAAGGGCCAGGTTCCTGCCTGTACGAGATGCTTTTGTAGGCGGCCGTCTTTCGCCTCAAGAATGGATCCAGCATCCTGTGGTGTTTGGGTGTCTGTGTGGGGTGTGGACTGCACAGGATCTTGACGCCTCTGTTCGATGGCAGCGGGAGAAGCTGAAGTTGTGGCGCGCGTACAGCCAAGACGTCTCTATTCCATCTATTCGGTGGGGCCTGGTCCCTACTATTCGTTTCGGTTATTTGCGGGGATGGCAGTCGGCATGTTTTTTCGAGGGGAGGGGGGAGAGGGGGGAACTTTTGGAGTGACGGCTTCCTGGAAGAGCCTCTGTGATTCTGTCTCTGTTTTCATAGCGTGCCGAGTATGAGTGCGTATACTTTAAACCCCTCACACGAGATATCCGAGAGGTTTCTTGTATTTCTCTTCAAGCATGGCCCTCTCTAGGCACGCTGTGCAGCATGCGCGGGAGCGAGTTCTACAGGGTTGAAGGGAAGGGGGTTGGAAAGAAGGCTCGCCCGATCTGCACACAAACATATACATACATATACATCTGCTCGTGTGTGCAGATCGCGGCTGAAGCAACCTACGAGCGTCCTGGAAGTAGCCCTCTTTGGTGCTGAGCAGGAGGCATTTGCCACGCAGGCTTGCTACGAGGTGGTAGAGCAACTCAAGAAGCAGACGCGTTTCAATATACTGACAGTCATAGGTACGCTGCGTAAAGAGGCTGCTCTGCGAAACATGTAACTAGGCAAGAAAAGCAGAGCGAGAGAGGGAGAGAGAAAGAGGCACACATATACACACACAGAGAGAGAGACAGAAAGGAATAAAGGGAGATCTATTTACATCATCAAAAAAGATATTGCTTGCCAGAACTTCCCAGGAAGGACCAGAGAGCTTTTTTGCATAGGCGCAGCCAGGCAGGGGAAGAAGAAAAACGGCGTAGGAGGCAGAGCAGCACGTTTCCATATTGTACATGCGGACGACCCCGGATCTAGCTTTTATAAATATTTGTTCAAGGTCTATATATATTTATACAGATATGCATATAAATATATATAGATGCGAAGACACTGCGACCACGCGGTTTTCAGACACTTTCTATTCGCATTTGGAAGCATCTCGTTGGCTCGTTTCCGTTCTGCACATTTCCTCATGCGTTGGTCAAACACTCTGGATTGTGTTTTCAGATGAGTGGAATGAATGCTTTCCAGTCAGCGAATACCTCTCTATGCGTTACGAAGAAACGAAGTTCGGGGGCCGCATCCCAGCGTATCATTTGGCACTCCCGAGGCTCTTGAGTCCTTACAATGGCGCACAGTTCAAGCGAGGCAAGTTTCAACCCCGAAAGCTGCAAGCGTCTAGTTTTCATGAGCTGTGAAGGCATAGGAATCAAAGGGGAGGGAGTTTAGCGCGACTTGTGCTTGGATGGAATAAGAACGGCACCAGGCCACGAAGCGGTGGGGTTTCCCAGCAGCATGTTGTTGGAGCTGCATAGAGGCGTCTCGTGCTATGGGTTGTGTGCGCATCTTTTACGCGTACAGGGCTGAAAATAGTTGCGACAAGTTGGAAGCGGATGAAGAGACGCGATTACCGTCCAGAATTCCTCGGCGTTAAGTGAGTCTACCGCGCTTTGGGGGGAGAGGAGAGGGGGGGAATTTTGTTTTTGGAAATTGGGGGCTCCCCTTTTTTTTGCATGCAAGAGGCGCTGCAGCAGCTGATGCTGCTGCAGTGGCAGATCCCTAGCAGATGCACAATGACTGTCGCTCCTCCCTGTGGAAGCAAATCATGAAGAAGAGAGCGAAGCAAGGGGTTGTTGAGGGACTGGGGTGCTCTAAGGCGAAATTTCTTTTTGTCTAGTGATCCGCCTCCTCGCAACTCTTTTGCGCCTGCCTTCCCATCAGGGCCGAAGACGTGCGCACCGTCCGCAACTTTTCGCCCTTGGAGTTTGCCTCGTATGTCGCGTACCTCCAAAAGAAGCGCGTTTTGCACAATTTTCCCTTGGACAGGCTCAATTACTTCTACATGCTATGCGGTCAGTTAGCCAGTAGCCGTCTCTACAGCAGCTGTCAGTCAGTGATTCTGAGGGAGGGGGCGGCGTAGAGTGGGGAATCAAAAGGGGAGCTCTTCAGAGCCTTGCTGCAGCGAGCTAAACAAGTAGCTGGACGACGAGCTAGCGCGCTAGCGGAAAAAGTTCTTGCATGGCTGAAAAGGCGTGGTGCTTCGTGCATTCCTTCATGCGGGAAAGCTCATGAAAGCCACCCACTTGTATAGAGCTGCAGCACCTTGCCATGCCCTCCGCAGACAGCGGCCTCCAGCTGCATTACCCCGTGCGAGCCTTCAAGATTTTCCCCATAGACCTGTGGAGCAGAGACAATTCTTGCAAGTTACTGTGGGACGTTTTGCGGCTGCAGGTGGCAACGGCTTTGAGGCACGGCGCCTGCTGTCCACCCTCTACTGACGAGCATTCTGCTGCTTCCCCCTCCCCCCCTGCCCCCTAACACCAACCGTCCTTTCTTTCTCGCCATTTCTGCCCCCTCCCTGTTTGCCGATATCTCAGCTTTGCGGGCAGGGGTCCAGAGATCTGGCCGCGGGAGAGTCGTGGCCTCCTTGATTCAAACACACTCAGCTACACTACACGGGCACATGATCCCTCTGGAGGCGCCTAAAGCGTGCAAAGGCACACTCCACAGATCTTAAGGAACAGACGACACCACAGGAAGGGCGCTAGGGACCTGAAATTTTTGGGAGTAATATTGACAAAGACGAATCCAGAGGGACCATGAGACGGCCTCTTCGAACTGCACGAAGGGGCATTTTTTAGAGTGACCAGAACGCAGAACTCCACTAATACTCATCAAATTAAAGTCAGCTTTTCGAAGGATGGTCGTAGTGCTACAATATTCTCCATCCATCCACCCCCACGATCCCATAGGGCCCCGACGCAGCGCTGCCTCTATCCACCTCGGACATGTTTCTACACATGTCAGGTTCTCTGCACATTCAACTCGTCTCCGCAAGGCAGATGGAGCTGTAACAGGTGCACGTGCTGCTTTCCGGGTACTACAGGCCTGGATGACCGATGGGAGATATGAGTATACATAAGTGATGGTGTCGGACTCTAGGCCCTTTTAGGATTGCCTCCAATGTAAAAAGTGGAATCAAGAGGAGCACTTGTGGCGGCGACCCATACATGGAGCTGCGTGGGTGCAGTACTACATGTGCAAATACACATGGGGTAGTGCAGACGCACCTGAATCGATAGATTCGTACAACTATGCATGCAGATGCCTGCATCCGTTGATAATGCGAATACTTGATTAAATACTGTAAAAGATTCATGTATATGCACGTATACGCGCTAGGTACACGCAACAGGTGCGCGCCCAGCGTCCACCTGTTTCCTTCGGGAAGGAAATGGGAGGAAAAGTGTGGGGTTGTTATCTGAAGCAAAAGATTTGTTTGCATGCGCGTATGCAAATGCATATATATAATCGATTTAAACACCATTTCAGGTGTGAAAGTCCATCTCTGGGGTGCCTGCCTACACCTCAGTGTGTACAGGAAGAACAAGCTTCTCTCCATACCATTTTGCGACAGCATAATAGAAGAAGAAATCCACATAGAGGGCAGTCTGGATAAACCCTGCGATCCAGCCTACGTAGTTCACATAGGGGACAGGCTCTGCGAAGTATCGGTAGACCCAGTTCAAGATATACATGAAACGATACAGCCCCAAGCACGCTACATAATTGCCTGTAAGATTTTCCACTTCCCGCATTTGCTGAAGCAGCAGCAGCTGTGGCACGATGGCAACCGACTCCAGCCAAATACTAAATGTCCACAACAATTCCGTAATGGCATAATTTTCTGCCGTAACGAATGCGAGAAGGATGCACGGAGGAATGAGATACTTCTCATGCGGGAAATTGTCTGCTCTCGCGCGCTTGTAGGTCTGGGAGATGGGCGGCTTGAAACGGATCAGATAGATGGTGTACGCGGTCGATGCGATGAACAATACCTTCATCGTGGTATTGTATATGGAGATGAAGTTATACAACAAGTCAACATAACGCGCGCAAAACACCACCAAGTATATCTCCTGCATGCGGCAACTTATGCCAATGCAATTTTTGCTCCGACGCAGCTTCAACAGCACCAACGCAATCGAAAGGAGGTGCAGCAGGTCCCCCGCGAAGCGAAACACGTTCATCGCCATCCTGGTGCGGGCGCTTGTCTTGGTACTTCCGCGACAGAGAAAAAAACTCTAAACCCTTAAACCCTAAAGGAACCCAAACGTACAAACCGCACGCCCTTCGCCTGCCAATTTCCTTCTCACTCAATGCATTCCTCTTGCTGTAGCAGCCAACCACAAACAGAAGCAACTCAGGCAGAGTTCCGCAGCGCGGAATTCAACACATACAGCTCACCCGCTGCACCTTTACCTGCACCCCAGGCAGCAAAGCTCCACAATTTCCTGCTGCCCGATCAGCCCCTAAGAGCTACCGGGGTATTTATGTAGCTCAAATAAACCCGCTGCTGCACTCTGGAGAGTAAAGAGCTAGATATTCAGCTCTACGATGCGGTCAAAGGAAGTATAGCGCTACTTGGCATCGCCTTGATGATGAGGCTGCTAGGGTCAAGAGTTTTGGCGTATCCTGTCAGTATTTGTCACATCCACCTATCATTTCTGCATTTACCTTCCGTATTTCCTTAGGTCTGTAATGTTTCGCGGTACCAACGCTGAGAAAAGGAAATTGACCTCTTTAAAAACGGGTTGAGATAGAGGGGGACGGTCGAGTCGAGGCCGAGAGGGTTCGCTTTGGAGCGCAAGACAAAAAGACAAAAGTGAAGCTGTATTGATACACAGGCAGAAATTCAGAAGCAAAACGTGTACTATGAGGAGCATATGGCAACCAAAGGGATGCAGCCGCCAGGACTAATCAGCCCAGGTCGAACATACCCCAGAGAAGTGAGAGAAACCAGGGGACCTACTTCGTGGATTTTTGGTGTAGAGGAGATATATCAATAAATTCAATCAAACCCTAGTGCCTTGAACTGGTTTCTCCGAAGAGACGGAGCACGCAGACCTACCCAGCGCCACATGCAGAGGCTCTAGTTGGCTGCCCCCTACCGCCGCCCTTTGAGATGCTGCAAGTACCCACCAAAGTGCCATATCAACTACGAAGTAAGATGTTCTAGCTTGTTATACGACTCTAATAAGGAGCGTTCTGGGGGATAAGACAAGCACTTTTCCCTACAAATAGATTTAAGAGCAAACCATATTGTAGTATGCTTATTCCACTCCAAGCTTGGAAAACCATTGCCTCCCAATATGCCCAGAGTTCTCTGCAAATGGCGGTGAATAAACGTTTCGCAAGCTCTTTGTGGCCGTTTGTCCGTGTGGCACTCGTAACTGTATTATATGAGTCCCAACTCCAACAGCTGTCCAGTCAGGTCTAGAGTGCGCTCTAGAGAATTTTAGATTTACGGCTCGAAAAGCTGCCTATAATGCTTCTCTTTTTGGGAACTACTCAACTGGGAGTTAAATAGTACACATGCCTGTCTCCGCCTCTATACCGTGTGCCCTAATTGGTGGGTCAGGTGGTAGTGGATTTGCTGCGCCACACTGAGAACCGTAGCGGGCATCAAAAATTCAGAGCGGCTGCTCTAATTCTTCGTCATTACCATCTAGCTCACGAGTGCCCCCTTTATCCCATTGGATGCATTGATTCTTTGTTTCTGTAGGATGCCTGTAACGCTCCGTCCTCGGCAGGAACAAACTTAATTCAGACTCAATACAATGCAGACAAAAGCTATTGAGTATCGAATATATCTAACAAGAAAATTCCTTTCCTCTATTGCTCGCTTCCTTCTCATTTCTGGACGTAAGGGAAGAGGTAAAGCTAGGGTTCGCTTAGCGGCACCCTTCGAACACTCCAAGCAATCATAGCTACTTGCATGAAGAATTTAACGCACGCGCACACATTGTGTCGTCTTGTACTGAGCTATGCTACACAGCAATAAATAAAAACGTACAAATAGGCAAACCAATTAGTCAACTGTTGACCAATTGTTATCTTAGTACTAAAAAAACTAGCGTCCTAGATACTGATCAGGCATTTCCAAGACCGCTGTAATCGCTTTCCAAGAACTTAGCCCACATTTTGCATATGCCTTACCTTATCAAGTCCGAGTCATAGTTGTCAAGCTTGTTAGATGTGTCTTGGTTGTTAATCATTGAATTTTCGCAAGAACTGTTGCTCGGTGCACGAAAAAATTTCCTGACACACAGATGGCATCGCTTGTGACTATACAGCTTCTGCTTGCGAGCGCTCCTCCAGCACCTTCCTTAAAAGGCCGGAAGGTTGTTTGCGATTCAAACGTTTTATTCTACGCCTTGCTAGAAGAATCTTTCATGAAGTAACTTCGGCATCAGCCGTGTCACAGCACAAACCATACAAGAGTGCGCTTCGAATAGCTGCTAGGATCGTCAAGTACAAATGTTGTTGTATAAGGCATATAAGAAAAGCCAGCATAGACAGGTGGACAAAGCCAAAGGGTCGCTAGATTTGTTCCTCCTACCTGTAGATTCTCCTTGGGAACTGCACACGCAATCCATTCCCCGTATTTACTCGCTTGAGTGAAAGTAGTATCAAATCGCGAACCTACGCAAGTTTTACCTGTTCTTAGTGTCATCTGACGGTAACCATGGGCTATAGCAGAAACCGTTAAGACTGGCCCTCCAATATGTTGCATATGATGACATCCATCTTACACCTGCATCATGTAAAATACTAGATTGTGGATTTGGCATTAGCAATCCGTACCCACAGGTCCCACTTCGGTTTTCTGTTTGGCCGTTCATTGTTCGTTGGGTTTTGTCATTCAACTTTATTGAAGGCCAATGAATGGAGTAGCCATCATGTTGGGCGGCGGCCTACCCCATGGCCCGTGTGAATGGGCAGGCAACCAGTCCTTCAAGTCGGATATCTAACGCAGTACTGTACTCTATCGTATACACATCGTGCGTTTATATTCTACAAAATGCTAAGTGACGCGTATGGTGACAATAGCACAGCAAATTTTCGTAGCAAACAGTGTGCAGTGCCTTGTGTTTTGTTAGAGTTTCTCAATCGTGACGTTCAATAGCGTAGTGACTGCTGCTTCGCACATTCGATCCTTTTCTTTCGGCTGACCAGACAATTCATGCCCGCAGGATGAAGTGAGGACGATCAACCTCTCAGTCACATTTGCAAACACAGTAGCCTAAAAACAGTTCTACTTTGAATCTGCCATTATGCTATCAGTAGCTCGTGTGTTTCCATACCGTGTAGAACTTCCCCTTTTGTATCTTCAAATTCCGAACGAGAGGCAGACCATTCACCTCTAGGTATGCGGCAGCCGGTTCAGCCCCAAGCCCCACCCCGCACGGATTTCCTAATTCCACTGCAACGAGATATAAGCCATTTTGTGGCACAGATATCGACCAGAAATTCGCAGGTGCCTTTGGGGACATCGCGTGTTGAGAGTGTACAGCCTGCAAGGCGATAAAGGTTTAGTCGAAAGTTTAGACTATAGGGCGGCTTACAGCTGAGTTGTCGTTTGTTTGGGCAGGAGAGGAGATTATCAACCCGCCGTTGTTCAGGACATCGGAGAAATTGCGAGCTTTGCACTGTGGGTGTTGGGCTGCCTCTAACCAGCCTGTATTTCGAAGATTCAATATCCAAAAGTCCATAGTATGTTCATTTTATTGGTTTCGTACTAACCGAAATAATATCTGCCTCTTTGCGTTTTAATACTTCCGTCGTCTTCTAGCCATCCCTGCCCGAGTCACACAATATAATTCAAGTCACACACTCCACGAAAAGGCTTTGCCGGAATTACTCACTTGAGGAAGTGGAATTTTCGAATATCCAAAATGAATCTTTAACTTTGCTGGTGGCTCCCGAATAAGCGAATGGGTGCAGGACGCGTGTGCCAAGACCAGCGCCGCTTCTGCTGGTCCGTGAGACATAGACATTATTCCATTTCTCTTGACTGCAGGAAATTCTTGTTGGGGTCCAGCCACAGTAACAAACAGCGTGCACGGAGAACCCGACGAACAAATTGAGGCATGGAGCCCAGCGCTGCATATAGTTGATTCCAAGGAGTACAATTTGTCACCGTACACAGATCCCCCTGGGGAGTCAAAGCATTTAGCTCCACACTGGGCAATTAGCTGAAGCCCAGTAGCAGGGCTGCGACCCTGAAGTGCAGAGCTCAAGGTGTCTAAGCACTGATAACGCGTAGAGTATCATTCACAGGAGTGTTGATATGGCCATTGCGTCCCCCTACCTCGAGCTCCACAACTGGGGGCGGGAGGGAAGATTCTTCTTCTTCTGTTACGCATGGCACTCCCCAGAACTCGAACGACCCGCCGCTGTCGTCTCCGTTAACATACATCTGAGTGACTTCGATTTGTACCTGAAGTCGTTGAAACCTTTTATTTACTGCTTCAAGCAGCATTATACATCAATATTCCAAATTACTTTCGTTACAATCCTCGGCATTGCCAGCAAGTACGAGTGATGCTCCAATTTCGCCGTATGTAAAATACGGAAAACTTCCGTTTCGCTGTCTGCGCACTTGTCGGATTAAAAAACGCCATGGTTCGTTTAGAGTAGAGACGGTGTTACCGTCGAATGTCAGAGTTATCTCAGAAGGCCACATCAACGGGTCGGCAGGTGGCATGTAGAGGAACTTCATACTGTTCAAGTGCATGGAATTCGCCTTGAGCTTTGGTGTTTTTTCTTGTTTTGACCCTATCAAGCTTACAGTTGAACTGGCTGGGTAAAGGTTAAAGATATGTATTCTCCGTTCCCTGAAGCAACAATCCATGATCAACGGCTGGCGGTCCGTAAGCCTGAAGAAACCAACCGTTGCCACTGCCCGACCGCCAAATTCCGTGTGGCGCATCCATGTGACTTCCGCTGAATGCTCCTTTGCAGCCAAAACTAGCAGACTCTTGAGATGATGAGTGGCAACTCAAGAAATATGGACCACCCGAGTGAGATAGGTTTACTTCCTCCCCGCCTGATCAATAATCAAGGGCTATGTCAAACGAAGAAAAGCTTTATGTGCATTCTCTTACCACATGAAGCCGTTGCATCTGTAACAGTAGCGAGGGCTATGATGAATGGGACGTTCTCGTTGGCGATGCTGAACGATATGGGTCCACCTCGGTGGAATATTCGCCGAACTAAAAGTTTGCCGGATCCCTGGTCGTCACTAGTGTCGCCATCCCCTTTCTTCTCTTTCACGACAAAAGCGTCCTCTGTTGGATGAGCTTTCCAAAGATAATCCTCGAAAGGTGCCAGAGGAAAAAGCTCGTGTTCGGGGTATCCGACGAAAAGGTTGGCTGGCTGATTCACGGAGAATTCCATGAGATTTGCTGAAGGATGCTGAGGCGATCTAATGAAACGGGTTCCCTTTAGATGTCCAGGAATTGTTCGCAAGTGAAACGAAGGGTTATCGGAGTATGCTGCAGCTCCCTCGTGAAGAATTGAGACTGCGTACAAGTTCGGGTCGAGACTGATATACAAATATCAGCAAATTACACTCTCATGAGGTCACAGATTACCATCTACTCGTTAAATACCTGGACACTTTTATCGGAGATCCCTTGTTTGATGTGAAGAAATATTTAGGTGGAATGACCTCCCTCTTGGTATCTTCGGAGGCCCACATAAGCCTGAAAGCTCAATGCTTATTTCTTGGTTGCATCTCGATTTTTACTTTTCAACCCACTGTAGGCTGCCTTGGTCGTCGTTATCCACAAGAAAGTGTGTATTATGTACAAACTCGACTCTGATTCTGTACTTCTTTTTCCCGGTTAGCCTAATTGGTGCTGATTCTGTGATGTGTTTTCCTGCTCGTTCAGCCAGGGGAATGAGAGGAACACGTTTGCTTCCAACGGCGTCCGCCGAAGTTCCATGAGGCATCCGATCTGCAATGATAGGCTGGCCGTTTAAAAACACGCGCGCCGCATTGTCCGTTTCTGGTAGCTCAGTGCATGACGTGCAATCAATCAGAGCTATGAAGTGGCGAGGATGCTTTCATACCTATGCTGAACACGTAATGTGCAGTCTGAGGGATCAAAAGATATCCATCCCAGCCTGAAAGCCGTCACCTTTTAACCGCATCGACAAACACATACAGTTCAGAGACTCACGAATAGAGTATTTGTGGCTGGGTATGTTGTCGAGAGGCCCCGACCCGCTAAACGATACGTCGATGTTTCTATCTGTTTTCCGAATTCTGGGTTGGCCTTCCAGCAGCGCATTATCATAATAGGCTCCATGAATTCCGTCGGGAACCGGATCTTCTTCGTAGCTGCATGTTTATTAGAGCCAGAATGTGCGGCCTAGTGCTATCCAACCAATCCCTTGTGTATGTTGCAAACTCACCCTGGAGTATGTCGGCAGTTCTGTGGCCGTTTTTCAGCGACTTCCTCTTGGTGTCGAACTTGATGGTGCGTCATTCTGATCATTTCTTGTAGACTTCGCACAGTTGTGTATGCAACAGCCAGCTTCTTTAGACACTGCTGGTTCCTCTGCAAAATCTTGCCCACGAGCTCAAGCTGTGATCCAACAGATTCATGTCGAGTTCCACATAGGGCATCAAATCTTTAGTGGAATTATATGTTGTAATGTTGGGCACAGACTATTATTCTGTACGAACGACAATACCAGCTTACTTCTTTTGAGATTCATTTGTCTGGTAAATACTGCCATCCAACCGAGAGACCTAAAAATAAGAACGATTAAAAACACCCAATGATTGAGGAGGCAGGAAGATCGGACCATGCTTTCGCCCTCTGATGCTTTCATCTCGAATGCTTGGCGTGCTTTTAAGCGGATCTTGTCTGACCAAAGCAAAAAGACTCTGCTAAGCTCTCACGGAAAGAAAGCCAAATGAAGAATCACCATAGTTTATTGGGGGCAAGCAGTAGTTCCAGTCGGATGTTCCCTTTCCCAAAAGTTGTACCTCAACGTAACACCATTCACCTCCTGCGGAACAGCTTTTTCATCTTGCTATCTGATGGTTCGACTTTGAGCCTAACTAACCTGTAGTCCCATTCGGCGCCTTTGCCGTTGTGCAGTCAGTATACGTTTGGTCATCTTGTACAAACGCGGCAGCGCACAGCCTCCCATCAACAGTTCTTCGGTGATTCTTCCTGAAAGCCGTTAACTGCTGAAGCGCCTGGGAGCCACCGGGCTGCGCAGAACAGCGAGCGGCCAATAGCACAGCAACTAGGATAAGAAGCCCCGTGAAAAACATTTTAAGCTGGCACATGAACCAACAGGGTGGTCATAACGCACCTATATGAGACCCGACTTAAATGTGGAGTTCCTGTTAGCCACACTGTACATACACCAGAAACCGCTCATGATAGGCAGAGGGATGAAACGCTACTGATCACATGCCTAATTTGTTTATCAATGATTGATGGACAAAAAATGCATATTTTTTTCTATTTCCTGAGGAAATTTATATGAAATAGTGGAACGTTTTTGGGCAAGGAGTGGTGATGACGATCCACTTCCTCTTGACGCACAGATTTTCTGTGCAACATAAGGCTACTTCCAATAGGGTAAAGAGAAGATAAGGTGGCTCACTTCACCTTTAATATACACGCACATGCACTGCTCTCTAGGCATGATGTTCGCTTGATTACAAAATACAGTTTCAGACATGTTAGCACTGTGTGTGTGGTTTCCTCTAGCCACTATAATTCACTTGTGGCACTGTAACAGCCACTACCCCTAAATTAGCTTCATAAAAGTGACCAGGAGGTATTACGCATTTGTCTTGTTCGGTGAAGCGGAAGAAAAATGTTATGCAAAGCAATGTGCGTCTTCAGGACTGTGCCGAGGTAAAATAGCCACGCCTTTCGAAGTACAGACTTTGCAGCAAGGACACTGCACTGGTTATTCATGAGGCAAATAGTAGGAACTACTCATTCAATGCACTGTTGTCTGCAGTTTTCTTGTCCGTAACTTCCGGCCCTTACGCTCCGCTCTTTGGTACCGCACGATCAACAGTAAATAAACAAGAGTTTCTTGTTACTTGAGTCCTTTTGTGACTTCGACTATCTGTACAAACATGATTTCCAGAGCAACTGCAAGTGAAAGGATTCATCAAGGAGTTACCTTTACAAGCGAGGAGAGCTGCCGTCGCTGACCCTCCGCTGCAAAACGTCATTTAGCATAAGATTGGATGTATGGTCTGCCAATCCTACCAATTTCTTGTATGGCCTTCGTGTCAGCTGCTCATAAGAATTACTTGCACATTGTTAGTGCTGATAAGATTGAAAGAGGTAAGATTTACCTACCTCCTACCGCCTCCTGGAGGTCAGCCAATTCTCTGCGAACAGCTCTTTTATGCTCGTCTGCAAGCATTGACTCAACCATATCTTCATTGTTTTCTTCCAGGTGAATGTCCCTGATGCTCATGGAGTAAAGCCTAGCTAAGACAGAAATCCTGATGCAACACACAGCCTTACATCACTGGGTACGGGGGAAGTGCAATGCCGCCGATTCCCATAAGGCCCAAATTGTCCTGTGGATACAACCTTGTCTCAGAGCTATCCGTCAGTAGATACAAACACTTGCCTTTAGCCTTGTACAGTTGGCCAATCGTACAAAGTTCCATGGAGCAAAAAGCATGGCCATTAGCAGCGATGATGGATGGAGCATAATATGGAGTGAAACGGCTGGCTTTATTGCTTGCGAACGACTTTGAAGTCACATACGATCTGTTGACCCTTGCCCGAGGGCGACTCGCATGAGTGCTGATTCATGGGACCATTTCCAGCTTGTCCATACACCGGGAAGCAAGTGAAATACATTGTCATGAAAAAAGTTAACGTCGTATAAGATACATTGAATCATTATCGGCTACAAGGTTTTGCTTCTCTTTTCGTACTAAATTTCCTTGGAAACAGTAGTGCCTTCGTCTATGCCAACCAATTTTTTTGATGACCCTGTTCGCTGGCTCTCAGGAAAACCCCTTTCCTTGGCACCATTTAATTCCCTGAATTTAAAATAGACATGCTAGAATAGCTGACGTACACAGCTGTTCCCAAATAGAAAACATGCTGATCGGCAGCACAAATGTTAGTGCAGTGCTTCATTGCACCAGGGGAAATTGACGCTGGCACTTCGTTCGGCAGGTTTATACATTAGTTAAGGTTTGTTCTAGTTTTTTGTTATGTGCTGAAAGATGCAGGCTTGACGATATCCCGCTGTCTTCGGCAAGCGCTCGTTACAGTGAAATCCAAGAAATTGAGTGAATAGCAAATCAATTAATGCTGTAATGCCTGATGAAACAGACATTTTAATTCATCACTAACCGTACTAAAACTTTTTCGTACCGCATGTGAGTCATAGAAAAATTGGAGCATTTCTCATACAACAGACTACTAAGGTAACCTTGAGAGTACAAGATGCCTGGTGAGACGTAACTCGACGCTCGTCCGAATAAATCAAGATGCTACACAGTATATGCATTTAGGAGGAATATAGCGAATGAGGTGATACTTCATTGTACTTGTTTTACGGTGGTTCTTTCTTGTCTGCACTCACTTTGAGGGGCCGTGTAAACGCACATGAACTGCATGATAATTCTGAAGGCAAACAGGCTGTTCCTCTCTCTTTCACCAAACCCAGTATTCAACTTCTCAAGAAGCAAAAACGGTCAGAGCCCGAAGCCTTGAATCGCTGGTTGCGTTTTAGTGTCTTCCCTGGATAGTCCATGAATTCGCATGATTCAACTTGAAACAGTTGAAGCTGCTCGAGAAGATGCTGAAGTGAAGAGCATGGCTGCACTTTGTGGAAATGAGGGTACGACCGAAAATTCCTATTTAAATCGATGGTTTTTTCTCATTCAGAAGTTTTTCCCTAAGCGATACAAAAACAGTCACATTATTTAAGAGAACGAATTCGGTACAAGACAACTCAGAAACGACCGCTTTTCAGAATCGTGCAAGCTGAAGCAGCCCAGAAAAAATATTGACGACGTCATATTTCTTTGGATTTGTCCCACAAGCCTTGCCACCAATGCTGAAACAGCTACACTCGATCTTGCGGTGAAAAACATGTTTGTATGAGCATTTAGGGAAGTGGAGATTATGCGCGGGGGCCCCCTGGACCTGTATCTTTCAAGTTATGTGGTTCTGGAGCTTAAGACTGAAAAGACCTTGTTTAACGCCATTTCACAGTTTAAATATTTTTAATGCAGATCAAGTTGTTTTGGTATACGTCAGAGTTTAAAAGAAGTGACTGGTAAGGAGTCGGTCCCCTCCTCGGGGGCCCCCCAAGGTGGGACATGGGGTGACTGTAAGCTTAAACATTTGATGGCGTTCCTCCAAGAAAATATCATTATTCTGAAAAGAAGATGTGCCCTCTCCAATTCTGCTTTAAATTTCACAGCGCTCTTCTCTGCCGAGCTTTTATCTGCATCTCAAGACATGCGGAGACTTGCCTTGCGTTTTTCCTTGCCATGCAGTGCTAAAAGGTTCACTACACTTACAAAATGAGTGAACGTCCACGCTAAATAATGGTTTCACGTTTCGGCGCTTTGCTTTTTATCCTCGTAATCATCCTTCTATACCCCGGCTCTCCTTCCACCATTTGTCCCTCGTCTGTGAGGCTTTCTACCCTCCTTCTTCATCAACCCTAAGCCGCGCCTAACAAACCCAAACTGCAGAGCCTCTTGCCATAGCTTGTTGCATAGATCAGCTTACTAGTACCAACTGTATTCTTGGGCCATCTACTGCTGGTAGCTTTTGCTGCAATACAAGAATGCTTCTTGGCGTATTGTTTCTTCTTGTCGTTTGTTCAACTGAAAGGGGAAGAATCATAGCTGTATTAGGAGTATTGTCCCCATATATTTGATGCTGTGCTGTTATCCCATTTTTGTGATCTTTGGTCTTTGTGTGGCTATGTAGTGCCTCCGAACCCTGCTCGTATGTGGATTTTCCCCCAGGGTACTCGCATTGCTCCCCCATGCTGCTTCCTTGATTCCACCCCTCCAGCTTTTTTATTCAAGTTGTCCAGATACTCCGTTCCGCAGCCCTTTAGTGCCGCTTTGTAAGTTTGTGCAGCGGTTCCTTTGTTAGAGCAGAAAGCTGCAGCAGCGGCAGTTCGTGTTGACAGCCTCTTCGGGACCCTCAATAGGGCATAAGAAAATAGGACTTAAGAGACACTGCTGACCAGCAGTATATCCATTTCGTGAGAGAATACAAGGACCTGCGTGACATGCGCTCTGTCACCTGTGCACAGCGAACGACTGGAGGAGCAGCACAATTCCCAATCGTCTTTACGACTTGCGAGCAGCTACAAGAGGCGTGTGGTGGAGGATGCTACCCCCCTGGATTCGGTGTTTGTCGGAGAGTATTCTGTTTCGTGGACAATCAGAGACTTTAGGAGGGTAATGCAAGAAGAGCGGGGCTCGTTCAAACGTACCCGCACATGACAAAGAAAAAGAGGCAGTCAGAAATCAATATGCCACCTCTCTATGAAGCGTTATTTGTATGAATTCTTGTGAGCAGAGAGCGTTACAGTGCTTTACATCGGTTGTTCTGTCCACTCGTGCTTATCTGGACCATCTTACGTGCATCTTTCGTGCCTGCTGAAGCAGCAGATCCTCTTTTGGGCACGTTGCGCGGTGAAGCCTGTAGCAGCATTGCTGAGCTTGTCCGCCTCTCTGGTTCTTTTCCTCGTCTATATTGCAGAAAATGCTATGGAGAGACAGGTCTGCAGCATCTCCAGCCCTCGTCACAAGCCGGTTCTCTTTGGGTGGCATTCGAGACTTTCGCCTGAAGCTTTTTCCTGCTGGCAACCCCTCCTCAAAGCCCGAGTACGCGCGCCTGCATGCAAGCATATACAGGAGCTATTTTTAGTCTTTCGTCAGCAAATGCAGTCGTTTCCTGCTGTAGAAGCTTGATGCTACTTGTACATAGATTAGCACACGAGAGGCTGCTGCTTCTTATCTAGCGGCGAGCGCGGCGTCTTGGGTGGTCTTGCCTGCGGTGCGTTTATCTGTTTAAGTGCCTTTCCGTCTCGCCAAGTCTCTTGGCTTTTCTGCCGCTGTTCTCATGACATTTTCAGCCACATTTCGATTCATTTGGAGCAGCTTGAAATCTGGAGGGCGCTGGTGTTTCCTATAACGCTGACGGTCGGAGGTGTCAGCCAGGGTCCGTTCAAGTTTCGCAGCCCAGAATACTTCCAGGTGGGGCGTGTGAGTGTGTCTCTGCCAATCCATATTCATTTGAGGAGATATAAATGGCACTTTTTCGTCCCGCTCATTTGCCTCTGTCTTGTGCACTGCCTGTCCCCTCCAATGAGGGTTCCCTACAAAAGCCGGCGCAAACGAGTGACCCGTGGCAAAAAGGGTAGCGGAAGCTAAGCACGATTGTTTTTTTTTATTGGTCCCGACGTTTCAATACAGGGGAATGGTGGAAGCACGTGTGCTGCCCAGATACCTGCTAAGGGGTCCGCGCAGTGCATCGGTGTACGACTACTTCTCACGAAGCTTCCCCCAACTAAATCCCATGTATGTTGGTCGTTTGTATCGTGCACTGTCGCTGCAGGCAGCAAACTCTTTCTGCAAAATTGAAGACCTGAAGCTCGAGGGGGATTCCTTGCATGTACGAGTCGAGATTTCGCCGGGGTAATCTCCGGAGTTCTGGAGCGGGCGTTTTCAAGCACTGCACCTTCTGCACACAACGCAAAATTAGGTAGGCTGGAAGTTCAGGAAACATGCACTGCGGCTCCGCAATGCTCGGTCCGCTGGCCAGCTGCACAGCAATCGAGGCTACCTGTAGGAGCGGCTAGCTGACTGGCCAGAAGTGGCTAGCAAAAGGTTGCTCGTTCCTTAGAAACGTCTTTCGCCTATCGAATCAAAAGCGCATGCATCCCCTGCTGCACCAGTATATCTGAACAGTCAGGTAGTATTCCTGTCGCACGGCTAAGTCATTGTGCTGATGTTTACTCCCCGCTTCGCAAATCAGCCAAGGCTTGCACAGGGAAGAACGTGCCTTTCCTCTTGTTCTTCCTAGATTGTACTCCAAAAAAATAGCGCAAACAACTTTAAAGAAGTTAAGCAAATAGTCAAGCAAATGAATGCACATCAACGCCGTGGGGGGCAAAATCGTAGACCCTCGCGTTGGCTATCTTTTCAGTCCAGCGGGTGCGCAGTCCCTTTGTCTGCTGTTATTCAAAGTCCATGCGTGCACACTTATCAAGACTTTCCTGCCTCCATCCTCCGCTTCCTTGGCGCCACGCCGTCTGTTGTTTCGTGTTTGGCTCACCGGCTAGCTTATCGCCCTTGTCTAAGAAGCGGCCAGCGCAAGAGGCTTGTCAAGGCCCTCAATCCATCCCTCAGAAGGGCCACACACACAGACAAAATCTTTCCTTCAAATATTACAGTAGAATGAAACAGCAGATGCCCCTCTGGGGAATAAGGGGCGCGCCACGCATGGAAAAAGAGCTCCATCTGGGAGCAGGGGATCCCTCTGGTAACACGCAGGTGCAAGCTACGGCTGCAGACGAGTCGCTCATATTCCAACAGAGGTACAGACAAAAATCCAAATATGCCTTCTTCAGCGCTGTTCGCTCGCTTTCCCCTTGCATGCTTCTGGAGACCCCACCACACAAATACGTTAATACGCATGATAAAAGGAACCATAAATGGTCAAAGGACCGGGCATCATACATGGCGGAGAGCCAAGGTCAGCAGTCTTTTCTGAGGATACCACAGCCGCCGACGAACTTGGATCTCCCGCCTCCCCATAAAGTATGCTTGCTAAAAAAATTTACTGCAAACGAAAACTAGATTCTCTAACATGCATGAATATTCGGGAGTGCCACACACCTTGCAGGTAGCAAAAACCTTGCGAAATGGATCATCAGAGGGGCTCTTGGACGGTTTACTTGAATACATATATATATATATATATATACATATATATTAAAGTAGCGTTAATGCACGGCGCCGCTGTCTCTGCCTCTCCTCCGTTCAACTCTACCCTATGTCAACTTTCTCGATGTCGCCTTGCCGGCTTTACGGACTTCCAAGCTCTATTCGCACCTCGAGCTCATATGGTTCGACTCTTCGCCTGTCAAACTCCTCCTCTTCCAAAGCCTTCTCCAGGAGTCTTAGCTCTTCAGCGGTACTTTCGGCCTTTGACTCCAACTCGGTTTGCATCGGATCCTGAGCTTCCCGCCGCTCGTTTGCAATTTCATCTCTGCACTCGGCGCCAGTCAAATCCACTTCTTCCTTGAAAGCATGGAGCCCAGCTTCTGGATTTCCCTCTTTCGGCTCGTTACGCATTTCTTCCAGACATTCCCCTCCCTCCCGCTTTTGTATGGTGGTAGCATCTTCGCCCTTTGCGTCCTCGTCTCCTCTCCACTTTGTCGTGCGCCTCTGCTGCTTCTTGCCTGCGAGTGGCTGCTGCTGCTGACGCAGCCTCTTTGCCGGGATGTCTAGCACCAGAAAGCCATCATGCATTGGCGCGGCTGCGGCGACAATGGCAGCAGCTGCCCTATCCGCCGCATGCCGTCGAGGACGCCTGCTCTGGGTAGGAGGTGGAGGTCTAGGATTTGACGCTTTCAGCGAACTCTTCCCATCCTCGGCTTTTTTGTTCGTCCTCGAAGCTTTCGCACTCCCCCGAGGCCTTCCTCGGGGAGCGCCACTGCACGAGAGGCCAGATCTGCTCCGGGAGGGTGCAGAATCCACCACTCTGCCCTTTCGCCGATCACGAGGAGGCCTTCCCCCCCTTTTGCTGAGCTCCTTCTTCGGCTGGCGGGCAGAGGAACTCGAGGTCGCGGATGAACCGAATGCAGAGGCAGATTGCTTGTCCTTTCTGCGTTTCTCCGCCACGTCTCCGCTGCTGTTGCTCTTGCTACCGCTGGTGCTGGTGTTGTTGCTTCGCGAACTCTGTGTGCGCCACCCCAACCGTTCGCATTCGACTACGAATTTATTCTGAAGATCTGCAGCAATTCGGCTGTCTCGGTTCGGCAGAGACCGCGTAGCAACGGCTGGGATGCGGGGGCCTCTACGCCGCCTCTGCTTTGGAGGAGAAAAAGACGGCTGCGCCAAGGTGTCTAGGCAGGTGTCAGCGGCAGTTGCACAACCTGATGCTCCTCCTTCCGTCCCGTCGCCCTTTCCGTCCAAGGGAGCGTCCGCCTCTGCGCATAAACCAACGAGAAACACCAATTTGGACTCATCAGCAAGAGCACCAACAAGAAGAGGCGATAGCACTGCTGCAGATGGATCGACCCATCCATCATCGCAGACACCGCACACTCCAGAGAAGAAGAACTGCTCACACCGGCCATGATAAGGCTGGTCACTAATCAGTTGCCGCACACGAGCTACGCGAAGGTACAAAGTCAAAACACGAAAGCGATCCAGCAAACAACACTCTCCTAAGAACCGTGATCGGAAACGAAAGGCCCCAATAGCAGAAGAAGCAGGAGTTTCTGTGCCGTCATGCTAAGAAAGAGGGCATAGCGGACGCAGGCGGCAGCTCAGACGCCATTGAGCTGCACGCAAGAAGCGATTACGATAGAAAACAGACAGCAGCCAATGAGGTAGAGAAACATTAGATCCTCAGCAGGGTGTATGCAAAGTTGAAACTTGGTCTTACGTTTTCCCGCTTCGCCCTCAGAACTGCACGTCGCGATGCAATTCGTAGCGCTAGACGCTGCCTCGCTTGCTTTATCAAATTCTCGCTTAGTGGTGGCTGCTACCGTACAGCTGCTGTCCGCCTTCTCTGATGTGGAATGCTCTATGTGCAAAGCGACTCCAGCAGTCGAAGGCGTTTTGGAGGAAGGGGAGGCTGCACGCTCTTCTGGTGCTACTGTTGCTGCTTCCGACGCTTCTGCAGCATTCAACGCTGCTTCATGCAGACATTCATTGGAGGAGGTTGACTCGACCCCCATTCCTGCGGTAAGCGCCAGAGCGATCCAGCGGGTCAGGTAGAGTAATTTCCGCCTGCGAGCGGAGAGAAAAGCACCGCCTATATAAAAAGAACGCACCAGGAGAAATGGCTCTCACCAAAGGATTTCGTCTTTTGCTCTGGCAGCCTGCCTCGGTAGCTGTCCTAACCTTGTCGTTGCAACCAGCAAGCCAGACCTACGGGATTGGCGTTCAAGTTTGAACGCTTCAACGCCCCGTCGGCGGCATCAAGCGCCTCACTGCTAGATCAAAAAAAATGAGTGGAAGGGGGAAGGGTCGCAGAGAAGGGACAAATCAAGAATTGCATCATCCAAGCTCCGGATTCTCGGTACCGCGGCGGAGCTGCGCTTCTGCCTTGTGTGTATGGCCCTGCATCCCTCTCTCCACAGACGTCCAAAACCAGATTTGAAATGAAACAGAAAGACCCACAAACTGCATCAGTGATAGAAGACTCCCCACCGCTCTGCCGGTGCATGCAAAAAGGCATCCTCGGCGCCTTGCTTGAGGCCTGGGGAAGCTGCCCCCTACTACAGATGACATTTGAAACTCCTCTCATTGCTTGCAAGGGGCGTGCTCATTCTTTGTCAACTCATATTTGCAGTGTGATGGATTTACAGACTCAGTGGTGTCGAGCACTTGGCTGCTTTTTCTTTTGTGCTTTCCTCCAGACTCTATTGTGAGGCACTCAGAAAGCTGCCATGGGTCACTCATTGTTGAACGGCGGAATATGGGCTGCTCTTGCTCCACACTGTGCTGAGGGAATCTGCCAAACAACTGAAATACAGAGTCATATATCGAGGAGCAGTAACGGCGGCAGCATCACCCAGCTCTTTGCGTACAGCGCAGGGCTAAAACATCTGCGCAGCACATTGAGCTAGCTGAATCACCTAGGTGCACAGGCAGCGCTCAGCTAGTGGCATTGATCTGTAACCTCCGTAGACCGCGCTTTCAGTGGGCTAGGCTACACTGAGTGGCACTTTCTACCAAATGAGCTACGTCAAATTACGAATTATCGAAGCGTACACTATTTGATTTTCCAATTCGTATACCTTATGGACTTCAGAGTAGCGCTAGCTTATTACGAGATGCATCGTGTGCGCCTGTGAGTTACAGATTGCTACTTGCCAGTGGCTGTGAGTGCTCCGAGTATTCGGAGGGCGCAGCAACGTGCACCGTAGCTGTCCCCCTTCGATCATGGGGCAAGCCTTATAAGCGAGGACAGGAAAATAGCGCAGCTCTCTTGGATGGTTTTGAAAAAAAGCGTTTAATTGGATTTTGCATCCAGTTAGGGTCTATAAGGATATTTCTACGGAAGCCTGAGGCCGAGGGCTGCACTACTTACGGGCACTCAAACTGACCCTCCCCAGATGACATACAGAAAGCAATGACAGGGGTATGTATTAAGGGAGAAGGGAAAAGGGCGGAGCAGCATCGTCTATGGGGAGGTAGTAGTTCTACATTGCAGTAGTGCCACTTCACGGTTGCGTGTAAGCCTTCATTTGAGGACTCCATAGGAAGACAACTCCAGAAAGAAATTTTGATACGAAATTGCTGAGTGCTTATCTAAAAAACCTTCACCCCTTCCCGCACTCGTTCATATAGTACCCAGCATGGAAGGGGCGGGCAGCTAGGGTCCTAATAGCTACACCGTAGATGCATCCCGAAAAATCACAACAAATTACACATTGCATCCAGTGCACAAGCACACAAGATTGCATCTTCTTGTATTGAGCGAAAAGTACTGTGCAGTACGTGAAATATTTCAACAGGAAATTCTTTATCAAACCCAAATTAAGAATATATGTGGTATACGAAGTGTTGGACTGTAGCTTCGCCCGTTACATCTTCCTTTCGTATTTCAAATAATCTCCTTTGTGCTGCGTACCTATGCTTCGAAAAAAACTGCATGCAGTAAATATTAAAAGTCCCTGTCCTATCCGCGCTCTCCATGCGGATAACAAGGAAAACAGTGCAAGTGAGAAAAACAAAGGGTGCGTCAACCAGTGCAGAGAAATTGAAGGGACGAAATACACACACTAGCTTTCAACAAACGGGATATCCTACCAACACGACCGCGGCGGCACATAGAATCAATTTTGTCGTAGCGTTAAAATGCGTGAGTCTGCTGCTAGAGAAAGGAGAAAACAAGCTTAATGTTTTAAGTGAATCTAGATGTACACAAGCTCAGAAGTGCCTTTGTGCATCGTAGTGCCATTGCTGCATGAGAATTCCGCTGACGTATGGAGTAATAGTCAATCGTAAAGCCTCAAGAAAGACATTATAAAGAATGTAGGTCCATCCTACCTGAGAGTGTGTCTGCGTCAAAAACTCCTAGTGTAGAGTCGCCTTGATATTAATTACCGGGTGTTTCCAAGCAATACTCACAGATGAAGGTAGCTAGTTCAAGGAAAACATGCTGTAGAAAAAGACTATTATCATAAGCGGCAATGAATCCTGTCGATGGCAACTAGCATTGTGAACAGAAGAGTGCCACGAAGTCTCCCGCAGGCAACGCAGCTCTCAACTGCTCCCTCGCTGACCACTGAGGCTGACACTCTCCACCCCGTTCCACTAGGAACTCCCGTCTCCTATCCCCTTAACGCTCAGTGGTCCGAGAATCCAGCTCCTTCACGGCTCTCTTGAAAATGGTCTAGGCACGGGTCGCAATGTTTTCTGTCTGTTCGCCTTCCGTTGCACATCTTTTAAAGCCCGCCAATGCACCAGCAGCGAATCTCTAGGCTCGAAACGCACGACCAACCGCCACTGATTCTAATTCCGTGCTTGTCTCTCCTTAGCTTTGAGCATGGAATTGCGTGCAACCGCCTATTATTTGTAGCCTTACCCCGATAGTGGTGGCTGTTGACGGCGAATCACAAAGTTCACGCCCACATCAAAGAAGGTCGCCTTTGCGTCGACCAGCGACGCGGGAGAGCAACCGGTAGACCAGTGTGCAGTCACACTATAAACTCACTCAGCAAAGGGGGGAAAATCATGCCAAGCAATTACTGTTTTTCAATATAGACTCTTACTAAAAAGCCGTGCTTTTGAGCTCGCCTTTTCTATCAACCTACCATTTTTTTGTTCAAAATGATCATATTACGATAAATGTGCAGGCGGGTCAAGAAGGATTTCAGAGCACCTAAGAGGTTCCGGATCCCTATCCGTAATGATCCTCCTTAAATTTCTGTGTCGCTCCCAGATAGGATCTAAGAATACTTGGGCAAAATTTTAAAGCTTGATAGAGCTGGTGCAGGGGATGAAATGGGCATATTTGTTGATTTTTCTCCCATGATGTACATGCTATCCTGACCCTTGAAATCCGGCAATTCAACGATAAAGTCAGTGGTCAGATAAGTCCAGATACTTCAAAGCCGGATGGCTGTGCAGAGAAAATTGAACTTAGAAGCGCGCAGAAAATATGTGAACAAGCTAATGGGCATGACTGGCCCGAAAAATCGTGGTCATGTGCACTGCGCGAAACACCTTTGCGGATTGGAAGTCGAGATGTACAAGCAACGGAGTCTTCACTTCGCATCACGCCACAACAGGCCCTGCAGCTCCAAGCTCAATATAAACATTACTTAAACCGGTGAGAGTCCTATAACTCCCGTCATCCCCTGCCTGCACCGCTCAGAGTTTCCAGCATGAGGGGAGAGGGCAGCTAGAGTGCGCTTAGCCCTACGCATTAAGCACTACAAGCATTAATATCAACTTGCACATGGCATTGTGCGCACATGCACACGACATTCCGTGTTCTTGTACCGAACAAGCAGTTCTGTGCAACAAGGCTCTGCCAGCAGGCAGACCAACTCGTCAGCCCATCACTAGTTTAATGTAATGTGTAGCGGGTGAAAACGTAAAGCGTAAATCGCACCCTGGTCTTAAGATGGACTCCCTTGCGATCTCCACGTGACCGCATCCTTTTGCTCAATGCATCTTCATGACAAGTAGCTCAGAATGAAGCACCAACCAGATGCACTAAAAGACTAACAAAAAGGCAGGTGTGGAGAGCTAGATGAACGGTAAGGATGAGAAAAGCAGTATTGCGCCATTAGAATTATGCCTCAGCATGTGTCATTGAGTCCTGCAAAATATGAAAACAGAAGTGCCACAGCCAAACACTGAAAAGGCGGTTCTCCACAGGCAAACGAATTAAAGCATCGTGCGTTCTGCTGCAACTAGGCCTACTCTCAAATGTACGTGTTCACGTAGTATAATGCCCTCTTCAGATGAATTATATCACACAGATTTATGCATTGGGAGGAAAAGGGAGAGACCGACGCTGTGTCTCCATGGATGAAAACGCAGGGGGCTTGAACCCCACAGAGAGTCAAAGCTGAAGTTTGCCCTCTTCTAGCAACAGCAGCTGCAGCCACACCAACTGTAACGGCAGCAGCTGCAGCAACAAATTGCTGTCACGAGAAAATGGGAGTACTTGTTCGTTCTCTGCCTTGGCAGCCAAAAATAGTTGCTATATGCTAAGACTACGCAACATAAGAGTACTTCCGCCTGAAGCCAGAACACGCACCAGAATTAGAGAAGGGTGGAGGCGTTGTGTTGGACCATCTGCTTTGTCTGCTGCTCATTAGGTGCAAGACGTTCACACAGCATGCAGAAGAGTAATCTGCTATGGCAAGCAAGCGCAAGCGTGAAAAAAAAAGCCGCTTCCCGGGGAGTTCTTATAATCTTCTAGCCAGTATAGTGCAGCTAATCTCCCCGCAAATATAGAATTGAACGGGCAGAGCACACAGGCGACACCCCTAAGATCTGCGCTGCCTACTGAATTGCAACCAAGTAGACACACACACACCCACACAATGCGGGTGTGAAAAAACACACAAAAATCAAGAAACTAAATTACAAAACAAGGGAAACATAAGATCATTCGATGCCATTGACGAAGTATATATTTTAAACAGGATAGTACTACCATGAAACAACAGGCAGTGCTCTGCATCACTGTACACTGCATTTTATTCCACGCTGCTACCCCCTTCTAACGCGCAGCCCACCCTTCCCCCGCACGCCTTCGAGATCTCTCCCCCATCCATTTCTTACATATCTTCCGGTCCTCGCTGAATATATTCGCGTTCTATCAGCACCTCAATCCTCTGCTTGATCAGAGAAGCCGAGGGGATGAACCGAGGCGATAGAAGTTGAGTGACTTCTTCAAGCAAGTCGTTGTGGCGGATCTGCTGCCTGCTCTTCATCACGCGCACGATGGCGGCTTCCACTCTGTAAGAGAACAGCATGACACGACGCGCAGTAGCATTTGACAACATCAGCCGCGCGTAAAAACCGTAGGCGCAAAGAACCTCCACACCCTGGAAGCCTCTTCAAAGCACCTGCCCCCTCCCCTCCCCTCCCCTCCCCCCCTCCCCCGATTATTGGGTGCTTCCTCGTCGAACGCCATCGCACGCATCCCCTTCGACGTGTGAGAGCTGCCTAAGGAATTCTGCCTCTGAGCTGCCCCCCTAGCGTAGCTTCTTGTTCTTTAGGCAATCCCATGAGGACGCCATCAGACCCCAAGTTTCTGGCTTCATCACAGCCGAGCGTTTCAATTGACAACACCAAAACGTGTGTGGTGTAGAGAAGACAAGGGGGAAGGGGAAGCGTTCTCTGGTGAGGGGATTTTACAAATGATTTCTGTCTTGTTCAATGCTGGCTGGCACATCTGCTCCTGCCTGCGGCTCCAGAAGCGGCTCTGAGGCGCCCATGCTGGCGAGGGTGACGAGGGGCACCTTGATTCTAAAGAGGCGCATGCTGAATTCCGCGTTAACCTGAGAACATGCATGCGATGTGCACAGAGTGAGGATGCGGAAAAGGAGGGGTGCGAACTACAGATGAAGGAAGGGCCCGTAAGTCGCATGTCATTCAGTGGGATATTTAACGTGCACGAAAAAAAGAGAAGCCTTCGCGCACATGGCTCCTCCACAGACCGACCTCCCCTCGCCCCTTCCCCCACGCCTTGAGAGCAGCAGCAGCTCGCCCAACGAGGGCAAAGCATTGAGTAATACGCTGCTAAGGCAGGTGAGGTGTGCATTGAAGAGAGGCCGTGCCGGCAGTACAGCGTGGCGAAAATTGGGAAACTTCCTCAGCCCAGTCGCAACCCCTCTAAAGATCACCCCCAGTTCGCTTTGTTACCTCCAAAATATCGCCATCATGCAACTCTCGCGAAGTGCTTGTGCCTTCAGGCGTGCGCTTCCTTAGCAGCCTGAACCCCACGAGCAAGCACAGGAGAGAGAAGGAAAGCCTCCTGCATTCTGCGAGGCACTGCTGTGTCTGCCTGCCTGCCGCAGTAAAAGGCAGGCGCACGTGGCGGGAGCGGTGAGAGATTCGGGCAGCATCACACGGAGGAGGGGGAAGAAAAAAGAGGAAAACTTCACGGCAACGATGCAGCGAAAGCCTTGTCAAATCCTCGTTTGCCCCCTTTTCCCCCTCCCTGTTCATCATACCTGCATTTAGGCGTGCAGAGAGAAGTGAGCTGCCGTCGCAACTCAGCTTCCGCCACATGCGATCCAGCCTTTTCTCGAAGGCGGGAGATAAGGAGGCCGACAGAGAGGGAGGTGGACTCGTTGAAAAGGCACAGAATGCACATCTGCAGAGTTGAACAGTCCAAGTCGTGGCGGCTCGTCACGAACGTCCCTCGCACGAGCGCTCGCCCCTAAGCGCAAGCCAGAAAAAAGACACATGGCGTCTTCTTCTCCTCCTCCACGCATGCGTCGAGAGGCCTCTAGACAGACTACAACAAGGGTCGAATGGCAAAGAGCACGCAGCAGAGAGGCGGCAGAGACGGGCGGGGAAGAGAGCAGCAAGTCATCAGCGCGAAATCGATTCCCGTCGAGAAGAAGCGTTCGCGATCACTCAGAATCGCATGCATGCATGCATGCATGCTTCGCTTTCAACGTACCTCCTCCAGTGCGAATTTTAAGACCCTCCCAGAGTGCTTTGAGAGGTAGAAGGTCGTGAAAGCATCGACTGACCAGCGCAGGGACGGCGGCAGAAGCGATAAATCGGCGAGACATTCTCCTCCCCCCAGCCAAGTCGCATGCGTCAACACCGTGCACTCAAACTCAGGAGTAGCTGATGCAGCAGTTCCAACTCGCAAGCCATGCGAGGCAGCCCTTAGGGTGCTCTCCCCTCCACGTCCTCCTCCCGTCTGCTCCTCCGCTGCGGAAGTTGCATTCCTTCCAGCGCATTCGGAGCAATCGCGACTCCAGGGAGCATCTCCAGAGCTTGGAGATCCGCCAGCGTGGCCTTCTTCCCTCTCTCCCCACATTCCAGAAGATGCCGTAGCAGCACATGGCAAGCCCGCTGTACTCCCGCAGCTCCCAGAGGGAGGCAGCTCTTGCTCATGGACGCTCCTGCGTCAGCAGCAACAAAACACACACACACACACACACACACTCACAGAACAGGCAGCTGCTGCCACAAGCGAGATACCCATTCACGGCGATGCGCAGCACGAAGGCTTCAATTGATAACACCCTCAGTCAAAGAAGCAACCCACGACACCCCCAAAGGATCTCCTGAAACTGCCCGAGCAACTGGCTCTCTCTCTGTGTGCTCTGTCTCTCTCTGTGCTATATATATATATATACATATCTCTGTGCTGTATATCTGTCTCTCTGTGCTCTTTCTCTCTCTCTCTCAAGAAGATGGGGCCTGTGGTATCTGCTCCTCCACCCCTCTACGTGTCTGCTTCCGTATTTTGTTGTAGCTGTCTCGCCAGCTCGGCTTGCATGCCATGCTACTCAAGTCACAAAGGCTTCTAACCACGAAAATGCACAGCCCCCCGACGGAACGCGCGCACGTTCTTCTGCGTATACACCCCAGTGACCACTGCCTGAACTCCCAAACACCTCTCCGATTTTGCTGACCCTTCGGAGAGCTGCAGCCTAAAGCGACTAAAGTCTTCCATTAGCTTCCCCGCGGCCAGCAAATCCCTAAACATACTCTCCAGCTTGGCGGTGTACTGCTGCCCTGTGTACCACAAGCCATGAAGAAACGCAACGATCAAGAGACATGAAAGCAGCCAGCCCTGCCAGGCGAAGGAAACAGGCTCTGGAAAATCACTCAGATTCAAAGACGCAGCAGAGGCCTTCGAGCAAGGACGGCTGCCCACCGCAGAGATACTTGTGCGTAGAGATTTCGGTAAAAATTCCGAAAGGCAGCCACAAAGGGCAGTCACGGAGCGCGAACGCTCATGACGGCTCTTGACCCCAGCTCACCGCACTCAGCTCTAAGCTTCGCAACAAAAAGCTTTTCGGCCTCGATGCTTGCACTTCGGTGCTGTAATAAGCGCCGTGAAAGAAGCTGAAGCCAGATGCATGGAAAGAGGCATCCATACACCAGAAAGACCTACATGACTGTGTGTACCAGAAAAAGCGAGAAAAGAGAAAGATGTGCATTGTTCGCTGTGGAAATGATGAGGATGCTTTCCGTCTTTCTTTCGACTCGCTCCATCCAATGCAGCTGCGCTCCTCTTTCGCTGCCCCTCGCTTTAGCAGTTCCTCTGATCTTTACGCCAGCCCCTAAATTGTGGGTTTGACCCCACGTTTTTTTTCGCTAGCCGCGGCTTACTTGCTTATAGTACGCTTCAAAGATGTCTTTGTCCTTCAGATACCGGAAAAGCGAGAGAAGGCTCTCCAGAATCTCCTCTGTCTCTGCTTCATTCGCCGTCCTCGCCCCTTTGCGGAAGAATTCATCCAAGTAGGCGGCTAAGAAGGAGGCATAACGCGTATCGGAGCCCAGAAAGCCCTCAAAAGACTGAAATGCAGTACAAAAAGCACAAAGATGAGCCAGGAAAACTCATTCAGAGGCGGAGAAGAGCGCAAGGAACTGATAAGAAGAGACACTGCTACGCAAAAAAGAAGGGGCTTGTCATTGCATCAAGAAGCAAAACATAACGTGGTAAATAAAGGACGAAGCCGAACCACAAAAAGATGATGACGACAGTGCTACAAAAAGGTGCTGGGAAAGTGAAAGGCCATGTAGTGTCGACGGCCTAAAGATGAAGGAGAGTAGAAGCATCTGGGAAATTAGCCCACGAGTGTATAGCGAATGCAAAAACGCCCCCGCTGCAGGCAAACTCCCGATACACCATGGAGAGAGCCTTTTAATATACCACAAGCTTACTGTCTTCATTGCAGCGTGCATCTCCTGATTATCACAGAATGCTTCCCGAACAAGCTTGCTGAATTTGTGTTTTAAGCTCAAGAAGGAAGAGACAAAGGAAACCGCCTCCTTTGCCTTCTCAGGATCTCTCAGAATAGCATACCCTAAGCAGTCCATCAACGAATCGGAATAGGAAAGAAATGAAGGCTCATCAGAACGGTACATACATGCGGGATACCTGCGTGTGCAAAGACACGTTGCTGCTTCATGAATGGTGTTCGGGAACTGTCGCGGCTCCCTTGTTTTCTGCTTCTATTCGCTGTGATAGCGATAGCATTTTTCACGGGAAGGAGCATCAGAAGTCGCTTCCTAAACGAGTCGCAAGCCACTTTACCCTCTCCAACACCACACATACGGAGTGCTTCCCGCAGGGGGTTATGGGGGGTCTTGGGGATTGTTTTTCTGAATTCTGGCTCGCCCTGGGAGTCGATTTACCGTATTCTTCCAGAGTTTTCTTCATGGTGTCTTTGAGCTCCTCTAAGGCACCGGGCACTCTAGCGAACAGACAGTACATTCGATGAAGTTCTTCCAGCTTGTTATTTCTCATGAGGAAGGGAGCTCCTGTGTGCGGGTCGTTGGCCAAGGCCTTATAATGGGCTGCAATCCAAACGCTGAAGAGCAATTGAGAAAGCGGGATCGCCGTCTCTTCGCTTAAATGAGAAGCGACTAGAAAGGACTCCTGCGTCATGCGAGCTTGTGCCTGCATAGTCGCATACCCCGAAACACGCTCATCCCGCCACAACAGTTGTGCTGTGGTTTCGCGTCATGCGACCACATGCCTCTGGGCAGCTTCCTTGATGATGGAAACGCTCTTGTGCTGAGTTTCTAAGCCCTTTATTACTGGTGCAGATTCTTTGTCTGCTCAATCCGCCTTGCTGTTTCCCCACCTTCTTGAGAAACTCCGTGACCGACGAGTTTCGCGCCAGCTCCTCGGCCTCGCGGGTGTAGTATTCCTTCGTATCTTGCAAAAACGGCTTTTCAAACTCTTCTTGATAAATAGCTTCCTCGAGAAAAGAAGAGAGAGAAGTGAACATTCCAACTGCGAGGCGCACGGGCTGCAAATCGACTGTCTCTCCCTGGCATACACACACAAATTCATATACAAATATATACATATATTTGTATATGAATTCATTCACAGATACACATGCATACACATACACACACATATACACATACATATACACACACATACATATACATATACACATATATATAGATTCATTCACACATATACATACATATACACATATACATACATATACACATATACACACACATAAACGCACGCAACGCACACAAACAAGTGCCCTCGGCAACGAGCAGCATTCGCAGACATGGTCGTCAAGGTGCAACACCAGAGAGCCACCTGTGCCAGTTTCCCCCCTCTGATTTCCCTCTATCTTGCTGCCGTTTGCCTCACACTTCTTTCGGCGGAGATGAGACTGAGGAGGAGTGACCGGCATCTCTGTCCAATGACTGGATCTCGCAGCACTACTTCGCAGAACAGCTTGAGCCCCATAGGGTAAACGGGACTTAAATCTTGGCTAGGAACAAAATTCCTGACGCGCAAAAATCGTAAAGACGAACGTGGGGTGTCAAGCACGCAGGAGCAGTTAGGGTTCCCTCTTGCGGAGAAGGCAGGCATGCCCAGACGTGCAAGTGGCCGACACAGAGACCGCGGCGGAAGTTTTAGGGAAAAACACTGGCGTGAGAGGCTCCACGGAGGAGAGAATATAGGAAGAAAGCGGGATGTAGCACTGCATTCCTAACGGAAGTTCAGCTACCGCGCATTAGGAGCAGTCAGTCAGCACAAATAATGCGTGCAGAGAAAGACGCCTGTGGCCTTGCTGGGACGGACAAGGCAGAAGTATTCCCTTCCGAGCTACACAGTATTATTTATTGGATACACTTGGGTCTGTCTTCTTTCCGTTCGTGTCCTTTTACAGTTTTGAAGGATCACGCGAAAATCAGTGCCTTCGAGAGACGTGCAAGGGCACGCGCATGCGCGGCTTACTTATCAAGATACATGAGAACGTCGCTCGTGAGGCGCATGTTCACGGCATGGTCATTAAAGCTCTTCACAAGTTTCTCCAAGAAGATGAGAGGAGCCCGTTCCTCTCGGACGGCCGCAGCAACAGACTGCAGCTCATCCCGAACGCAGCAATACGTCTCCTCGTACAACTTCTGGCCGCGCTTGTGCAGAACCAGGCTATACGCATAACTGGGATCAAAGAACACCAAACAGCACAGCCACACACAACTCGTGTGCCTCCTTGTACTTGCTGCATGCATTCTACCCCCGATATTCAAGTTCCTGCGTTTGACCTGCGGATGGGGCAGTTCAACATGTCATGTGATAACAGGCCGCACACACAGGACTAGAGAGTAGGGCATGCAAAATACCCTTTTGCTTAACAGGCGCCATGAACTGCGCTCTACAGAATTCCGCATATCGCGCAGTTCGAGAAAACGATCATGGTTCAAGGTCAGCGACTCCTTCGGAGCGTCATCATACACTCCAAAGTGGCAAGTCTTGAATTTGCACGGGTGCGGGAACGGACGTAGCTGTTTCAGGGGTGCGTGCATGCGCGGCACGTTCGCCTACCGGTAAAGCTCTTCAAATGAGAGAGAGGCTGCATTGTGATTGAAGATCTGCCCAAATGCTTCCTTGAGATGCAGCCACATTCGCTCTGCCTCCTCATCAGAGAGCGTCTCTGCTCCAACGTAGCTGAGGCCCCGCATGGCGCTCCGCAGGGCAGAACGAACGTTGGGGGCCCCCAATGCCGCTGCCTCGCCCCCCATAAACGGCAGCGAAGAATCCTAAAGAGAGGCCCCCAAGTGCGCAAAAGGGGGCCCTTGCGAAAGAGGAGACACACGAATACACTCGGGGAGGGAAGTGGCGTGAATCAGAACAGACTGCTCTTTGGGTGTAGGCGGCTCTCGAACTGCTCCCTACGCCTCACTAAGACACAAGCGCACTAATATCTCAATAGAGAGGGCGCGTGCGAAAGACAGGTCCCAAGAAAGCCCCGATGAGAGGGCTTTCTAGCAGAGTAACTGTTTTCACTACCCGATACTCGATGACAAAGCACAAACTGAGCAGGCAAGCGTCCAGCCTTTAGTCGCGAGCCATAAGATATAAGGCAGAGAATAAGAGAGGCGACGGCGAGGGGAGAAGAGGAAGCGGAAATGGTTTTATGTATTGGTGCCGACAAGTCAGCTTTGGCTGCTGAAATAGACGAGCAGAGGCCACTGCGTCATTCGCCAACCTCCATAGGAAAGCAGCACGATTCAAGCTTAGGTGCAGCTCCCGTTGCCACTGGTGCTCTCCCCGCTGTTCGGGTTCCTGATTCTGCTGCAGCAAGGGCTTCAGGCAGGTAGGGGGGAAGGCTGCAAGCGGCTAGCTTCCGGACAGAAGGGGGTGGCTGATCCTCGTGGCATCGGCGGGGCCAGTCGTACGATGTTTCAGCGGCCTTTTGTTGTGGCTAGCTCCTTGGCGAGGTTCTCGCAGGAAAGCACTCTAGGATCAGAGCCTCTGGGGTGGGTAGAGAGGGGCAGGAAGGCAGTCTTAGGGGCCTCCAAGAGTAGTAAGTCGTCCTTCGGTCGTCCTACAGAAACAATTGCTAATGACGGGAACGGCCCGGAGGATGCAGTCGCTGACGAAGGGTGTGCGGTTTACTGCATTATTGGGCATTGACGTTTTCGCGGTCTGTCTGCAAAGAGATGAATGGGAGCTTGGTTGGTGCCGGTGTCGTCTACCGTGTCTCTGGGTGCCTGGGGTATTCAATGCGAGTTGCTAACGAAGAAGAATAAATTCTCTGACGAAGAGAAGAGGGCGAACTCGCGGTTTGTCAGAGCCGCTACACATGAGGTGCATTATGTACACCTCCGGATTTGCTTGAGGGATAGTATGGAGAACTGCTGTTTGCCCTATGATTCTATTTAACGAGCAATTCAATGCAAAGAGGAAGGAAATGAGGAGGATAAGCCAAAAGGAAAGAAGAAGGCGATACAAAAATCCCTCTTTCCCAGCTCTTTCGTGTGCTCATGGATTCAGCATCACAGTGGCGATTAACCAGGCACCAGCATGCACAAACCCCAAACCCTAATCCCTAATCTCCATGCAAACGAGCTATAATTTAGAAGCATATGATATTTAATCCCCAAAACTGAATATATATAGTTAGTTTCTGGTGAACTTGCAACATCACTAACGGCAGCTCCTCCAGCTCTTTTTGCCGTGCCAACCAAGATAGTGTCATGCCTTCATCCTTTCACATGTTTACTGTTTTGTTTTGACCCTGCGCTTTTGCCCTTATCTTCATTCGTCTATATGTGCGCATCTTGCCCCCTGCATCAGTGTTTACTTAGTAGCACGCAAGTATACCTAGTAGAGGGGGAGAAGTTTCTTTTTTCCCTGTTCGTTCTCTGCTCAGGCCGGCAAATAAAAAGGCAGCAGCAGGCACTCAAGAATGCAGAGTAGGCTAATTACACTCTTTACTCCCAAAACTATCGCCATGCACCACAGCCGTGTTTACACTAAACCTCACGGCAGCAGGAGGCACAAATATGAGGAGCAAGTGGCGTGAGCCTCAAAGAATCACACAGGTCAGGTGTGCGTAAAAGATAGAGCCCAGTTTCACTTTAAGTAAATAGATTTTCTCCTAAGCGATCAGAGGTTAGTGAGATCACGAAGCCGTTTTCCACTTCTTGAGTAAACCGGGCTGAGCTACGATTCCACACTTTGCACTACACCAATTATATTTGTATGATAATTAGGAAAGTAGTGAAGAGGTGGTCTGCCTGCTAGCATGACTTGCTTTTTGCACAGAGCTGCTAGTTCTGTACTCGAAGACGCAACGTGTGCATGTAAACAAGATGCCATGGGCAAGCTGCTGTGAATGCTCGGGATGCTTAAAAGGTTCAGCTACGCTTACCTCTCACTGTCCCCTTCCTTCACACTAGGAATTCTAAGCGGCGCAGGCGGGTGGCGTGAGTATTTGCTTTGGCACCCATGCATCCGCTACTTGTGCCAAAAATGTAGAATGGCAAAAGGGTGAAGCACCACCCCGTTTGGGATGGCCTGTTTTGGTGTAACGCGAAGCGAAGACTCCGTCGCTTGTACATTCCGACGTTCAGTCCACAGTGCTGTTTCGCACAGTGCACATGATCCTGTTTTTTGGGCCGCGATGAAATTCACACTAGAGTTCTTGAGTTTTCTCACAGACCTTCTGGTAAACTGGTATGCATCGCGCTGGACAGGAGTGTGCCCTCTCATGCTTAGATTGTTTCCTACTTATCTGCGCATTTTTTCTATGCTCAATCTTCTGCACGTCCTTTCGGCTTCTGAACTTATTCGAACTAATCTGACCACTGACTTAGTCGTTGAACTGCCGGATGTCAAGGGTAAGGGTAGCATCTACGTGGTCGTGGAGAGAACCCACAAATGTGTCCATTTTACCCCTCGCTCCAGCTCTTAAAACTTTTGAAAGTTTGTTGAAGTATTCGTAAATCATACCTGAAAGCTTCACAGATTCTTAAGGAGTATCATTACGGATAGGGATCCGAAATTCGTTATTATGTCCTGGCATGCCTTTATGATCGCCTGCATATTTACTGTAAGGGAGCACTGCGAAGCACCCTGAGGCAAATTCATACACAATGCAAACGCAGCAGCACAAGTTCTTAGTATCTACGACTCCATGCTAACAAATATTCTAGTTGCTAGGCGCTATTTTCCGCCTTTTTGCTTGATGGGTTTAGGATTCAACAGCACTGATCTATCGGTTGCGCTCCCGCATCGCTGGTTAAAGCTAAGCAAGTACTCTTTAATGTGGACCTGAACCTCGTAGTCCGAGGTCAGCAGCCACCGCTAATGGGGTAAGGCTATAGGGAATAGGCGGTTGCACCCATTTCCATGCGCAAAGCTAAGGAGAGACAAGCACGGAATTATGATCAGCAACGGTTGGCCGTGTGCTTCAAGCATAGAAGTATGCTTCTGGTGGATTGGTAGGCTTTAACAGATTTTCAACCGATGGTGAACAAACTGAAAAACTAGGGACTAGATTGCTAGGACCCTTTGCGACTCTCACCAAGCAGGTCTCGTTCATGCCCTATCAATTTGTTGGGGGACTACGAGCCTGTTCCGCCTCCCATGAGGGTGGTTTTTGGAGCGAAAGCACAAGCTTTGCCATTTTCCAGTCTATTTCGCGTACCTAGATAGATTCGTCCTGCTGGGTGACTCTTGGGGATGCTCACTGCCTGCATGCAATAGCAAGCCATAAGGCTGCATTGCCGATACTGCCCAGTGAATACATGTACGCCCCAGAGAACCTTGAGGCCGGCTTGCAGGTGCACTGGGGAATACTCTCTTATGGACGAAATTCGGATACAATGGCTCAGGTTAGGAGGGATATTGATGTAATCGTAGAGAAGAGTTGCTAGAAAGCGGAATCATACTCTCAGCATCATGCTGGCTTTGCACTAGAGGTGGCGCGTTAGGGCCAACCCATGTGATACTTAGGAAGGCCTAAAAGAGGCCTGTGGAGGGCCATGCAGATGATTCTCAGCTCAACAGTCTAAGTGAATGATCTAGTTCCTAGCAAGCCTATACATTAGCTGCAGATTTCCCCAGAAGTTGGAAGATCCACAAAGCTACCAATATTGGCTTCCAAAGATCCTTCAAAAACCCACAAATTACTCAAGGACTTCGTCGTGCAGCAAAGTGACCTGTGCAAGGCATCGAGAGAGAGCCGTAAACGAGCTGGACTCTCGGAATACTGAGCGTTGAGGACAGCAAAAGTAAACGGGAGTTTTTGGTAAAATGGAGTGGAGAGCGTGAGCCTCAGCGGTCGGTGGAGGAGTATTTGAGGGCTTCGTGGCCTGCGGAAGACTCTGTGGCACTTTTTCGTTCACAATGCTGGTCGCCATAAATAGGATTCCTTGCCTCTCATGGTAATAGTCTTTCCTACAGCATGTTCTGCTTTAACTAACTACCTTCGCCTGTGAATACTGCTTGAAAAAACCCAGTAATTACTGGGAGGTGCTACTTTGGGGTTGTATAGTCGACTATAATTCCATGCGTCAGCTGTATTCGCATGCCTCATTGCCTGAGGCGAAGACACATCGCTAAACTAGTATGATTCTGACCCTTCAAAGCACGCTACTTGCCTTTTGTCTTTTCGGAGCAGGCGGATCACGCATTTTAACGCTACTACAAAGGCGCGTTGCGCCGCCGCTGCCGTCTTGGTTGGGCCCCCCTTCGTAGACAGCCAGAGCGTGTCTTTCGTCCCTTCAGGTTCTCTGCACCGGTTGATGCAAACTTTGCTTCCCTCATTTGCACTGTTTCCACTGTTTTTACCTACATGGGGAGTGCCGATAGAGCAGGAACCCTTCATATGTCCTGCATGTTGTTGGTCTCGAAATACAGGTGCAAAACAGGATGACGTGTTTCTGACCAGGAAAGGAAATGTAGCCAGCGGGCTACAACACGCAAATTCGTCTTTCTCTACGCTAGTAACATTCAATTATGAGGCAGTGAAGAGTTGCCTAATTGAAATGCCTGTTACTAAGAGATATTTATTGAAACGTACCGTTGGCACGATACAAGAATATACAATGTATGCTGGGCGCTATTTTCAGCTAGCTGTGATTTCTCTGAATGATCAAAGGGTGTAGATACAAGTGAAGTACCTGGCTCCTCCCCCCTGTGCGGGTAACTCTGTGGGTTGAGAGCAGCACGCAAAAGAAGGTTTATAAGTGAGTAGTCGTTGACTTTGAATTGAATTCAGGTGCAGTTCAGAGTAAGGTGCGTTACAAATCCCTTAGAGTGAGCGTTACAGCCAATCAAAACCTTTTCGCCTATGCTGACAGGTAATTTGAGGTCTTTCAAACATGCAGCTAGGTAAGTGGACATAAAATAATTGGTGAATAGGCAGAACGCGAGGGCTACAGGCATCATGGCTTCCTGCTGTGTGTATTTTCCCAAGCTGCATTATCATTGTTCTCATTCAAAGTATGAGGCTGAAAGAAGAAGAACTTATAAGAGTGTGGTAAAATTCGCATTTGGATCCGCGTGTGCATATTTCTTTCCGGTGTTTGCTTCAGCTTCCAAATCGATTGAATGAAGCGTTTGCTTCAGCAGAAGTGGATTTGCTTCGTCTTTGTTAAGATAACGAATCTTTAGACCTGTCCTTAACGTAGGAGAGAGGTGAAGGTGCATCTAGCCTTTCCACGCTGCGTTTCCCTAAAAGGCACAGTGCGAGCTAGAATTGTCGATGTGTCTGTTTTGTACGCTTAAATCCGAAGGACAGACACTGCACCGATCAGTCATTTTACTTAAAATTTGGCTTACATAGAGGTAAAGGGAGCTTAATGCATAAAATACAAGCAAAATAAGATCGTGGTGGCACTGGATTGTAGTGCATCCATTCGCGGTATACTTTGGGCACTTCGATCTGTAGACCTGTGCACGGGCTTTTCACCTGCTGATTGAGCTACGTTTTTATTTTTAGTCCAAAGTTTGCTCATTCCTTGTATATGAAAGTGTCTCTCGATGGGGCTCGCTCCTTGTTGCTGGGAACGAACAGGCGGCCCACTGGACTGCTGCTGGTCCGTGCGTTATGTTACCTTCTTCTTCTCTTCGTCCTTCAACTTCGAACATATCTCGAAATACGATTCAACATAAATTTATTGACGGTGCAAAGAACTCAGCTTCATCTAAAAGGTAGTAAAAACGTGCCGTTTTCGTGCTCTTCTGTTGCTGCTGCTGCATTCGCCGCTAAAGCTGGATGATCGGCCATTAGGGGCTCCATCCTCCAAGAAGAAAATATTTTGTCTCCAAATAATTGCACGGAGTGTGTGGTGTGTGGCCCTTAGAGCGGCAGGAAGGACAATTTTTTTTTCAGTAAATCGCTAGCTCATACACATTGCAGCCTGTGAAAACTCTTCGACCGGGGCGTAACACTCCACTATTTTCTGAATAAGAGCTTTCAGGGCTTATTGGGATCGCTTAAGCCCCCTGGATTTCTCCACCTCATTGAGCTGGCACTGCTCCAACGTCGACGACCCAAGTGAGGCAGCCCACTGGATTTTTCTTTGCTGGAGAAGTACCTTCGGCGGAGGTTGCGCTTCTATCAGCTACACAACGAAGAGACTGAGTAAAGCACGGGGAGGATGGGGCAGCTGTGTCATTAGATACAAAAAAGCCAGTGCTCAGGCGGGAAGGAGCAAGGGCACATCCAGGGACAGAAGGGCGACCATAATGTTGCACTGGTTGCAGTGAGGGATGGATAGAGGGGGAAGTGGTATCGGATTCGTAGGGAAAAAAGGAGAAGAAGAGTGACGCCTCTTACATTCTGTTTCAGGTGCCTCCTCCCAACATGGCTCGGTCGGTGGAGTCTTCAAAGCCCACAGGGCTCTCCGCATTCGAACCTCGTGGGCTCGATACAAAGAGAGATAAGATGAATTGTATTGGAGGAAAGATCCCCCATCCTCTATCTCTACATGGCAGCAATTCTCTCAGAGGAGGCCGCAGGACGTTTAACCCAATGTGTCTAATTGACAACTGGTACGCTATGCATATGCCATTTTAAAAATGGACTGCTGAACTGCTTGTCATGTCTTCACTAGAAGCGTACCCCAGAAATGTTCTGCAGTAGCATCACTAAGCCTTCCTGCTCATCCATGTACGGCTTATGGCATAGAGTGATATTTGGTCGCATTCCGCATGGGGCGTTAGGTTCGAAGACCGCCTGAATCCCGCCGCAAAGAAGCAACTTGACCTGTACACTGCAGCTGACGATCGTCCTGCTCATGGTCCATTCGGTCCATGGGCTAGTGAATACACTACAGCCTACTCCAAAGGCAACTGGAAACATGAGAAGATTAAAATTGCATCTTCAACAATTCTCGCAATAGATGAGACAGGACCACAGGACTGGACATCTAGTTATCGATATGATTACAGGTGCAGCGAGTAACATCTTCAGATTACGATTAAAGCTCTTTACTGAGAAAGACGGTTTCAGTCAAACAGTTGGCGGCTGTAGTGGCCGATACGCAAAAATCTTCGAAGAAGGCAGATGCACTGGTAGCATCATTTTGGAGTATTCTCTTGAACCGATACGTTGACTAACGTTGGTAAGGTTCTGCTTGTTTTCAACCGAATCGCTGCTAACGTTGTTTGCAGGAACCGGCGGGAAGAAGAAGTTTTGGCCCGGAAGAAGTGCATAGAAGGAGAAGAGAGGAGAATGGAAGAGGCACAGATAAGGCTGGCAGAGGCAGCAGCAGCAAGGGAGCCGGAGTGGCCTTTGACACCAGGTATGGATAGAGCGGCGTATTTTTTGTTATAGGCTACTGTAAGGTCGAATGCCGTTTTAACTTTAAAGAAGTAGGGAACATATTAGGAGGAACGGGGATGAGGAGGCCCAGCAATACTAACAATTCTCCTTGCTTGTCGCTCTGTTTGTGATTGTATGCCCCGAGTTTTGTGTCTTACTCTATTTCTCTGTGGTTCTTCTGCATCAGCCATGGCAGAGCAATTGCGCGGCCGCTGCTGCGCTGCCCCTCATGCTCAAGGAGAGCGGGAAGCTGAAATGGGAATTGAGAGCGAACAAACAAAGGGACAGCAAGGTGAAGCTGCTGTATGTTGCGGTCATGAGTGTGGATACCATCGACCAGTGCTATGTCCAAGAGAGACGCCCAGTGCAGAAAATGAGCTGACGAGAAAAATGGAAGAGATGACTCTCCAGCGCGAGCACCACCATGAGACGAGAAATAGGCACGAAGCCGTCAGGTTTGCAGACTGCTGCACAACCCCGAAGCTAGAGTAAACTAAACATCAAAATCAAGTGATAATCTTTTAAGGTGGTACATCCGCCCCCGTTTCGCGTCGAAGGGACAAACGCAGAAACACAGAAACATTTTTAAAGCTTTGTTGCGGAACATAGTTTCTTCTCCCACCTTACTATTCTGAGTTGGCTTATTAGTCTTATTCAAATACAGAATCAGAGAACTTTGTGCAGCTGAATGATGGGAATTTGAATTCCATAGAGCCCGTCCTACGTAAATCCTTGAGAGCTACACATACACGCTCTTGCTTCCGTGCCTCTCCTTGCATTGCGCACCACAAAGGCGCTCTTTTCATCAGATAGCTAAATCGATGTGCAGTGATGGAAAGCGGTCGATATTGGAGCCGAAGCACGAGCAAGACAACACAGATGATATAGAAGCACGCACTCAGCTTCAACCTAAGCTTTTGCAGTACTAGCGCTCGCCGAATGCTATCTAGAATGCGAAGAAAGACGTATCGCGTGATTTTCACTGATAAATTCAAAAGAAGGCCTTCCATACGTCCTTAGGAAAGCCTTTTATTTCGCGTTTTACGGTTTGGAGGGGCTCAACCGATACCTCTTTCACAGACTAACCGTCATAGCAAGCCAGTACATTATTAACTTAAACTAATGCTCGCAGGTGGAGTTATACGAAGAATTATCACGAACGTCGGGGCTGACGAATCAGATGTACAGAGAACGATGATCCTACCTTTCACAGCTACACAAGCAATGCAAAAATTTTAAAGGCATTGGCAAAGCAAAACATGGAAAATGGCAGTGTACAGTGTCTCAACTACGGCCTCCACAGCAGCTTCAATAAAATGCAAAAAGCGATAGAAAGCTTGCAAGTGCTATTTCGAAAGTGTTCGCTCCCGTGCCACCAGCATCCCGTGTAGCGGGCAAGACAACACGTAGTCACTTTCTACGAGTCACATTAAACTAGGATATTATTATGAATTGGCTAATTGCCTTGTCTAGTCCTATCTCTTGTTCATTGCAATCAAGTGTTATCTCGATGCAAGAAGGCAAAATGCAATGTGCGCGTACTTCAGATTCGATGTGCTACCAGTCTTGAACGCAGGGAGTGCTTAGAGTGTGCAGTTAATCGCAACATAGCTGTCCCACTCCCCTCGTGCTGAAGCCTCAAAGGGCGATGGCAGGGGGGAGTTCAATTTGGGAAGCGCTCATCTACCGAGTTGTACTAGGTCCAGAGTTAGGTGTATCCCTACAGAGTATTCAGGTGGAGCGTCACACCCCTCAGGGCTTTAGCCTGATGAAAGAATGAAAAGGCGTTGCTAGGGTGGATGAGCGTTGCTTATTGCATTGATATGACTTTGAGCTTTCATTCTCACCCAGTTGCACATGGCAACATGTAACATACAGGCGCAATGTTGATTCTTGAAGCATCGTGACACTCCTGATTCATAGCACAAATAGTTTATACGGACAGCCAAAGGCCACGGGTTGTTTTGAAAGCAGTTTTTGTTCACCTATTGCTGGTGTAGCAAGAAATGTGCGGGCGTTCTCCAGATCACTGCAAAATGACCTGACGAATCCCTAAATCCTATGCACGTTGCTAAACCCAACAAGCTGCAAGCCCCTGCGGAAGGACCCCGAGAACAGGACGCAGAATTATGTGGTTGTTTATTTGAAGTGGAGCCATGCTCTGTGCCAGTTCATAACTGAGGAACTGCTTGTGCCTGTTGCCATGGCGCCACGACGGCTAACGATGCGCCTCTTCGAAAGCTGCGTCCCGGGGCATCCGCCGCCTCCACTATGCCTACACGAAAGAAGAGAAGAGGACAAGATTCTTTTTAGGCTCATAAGCGGAGAGATCTGCGCAAGCAGCAGGAGCGAAAAAAGGTGCCTGTATCTCGCTGCGGAGTTGTGTACTCCACGGTACCGCGCTCGCCCATCTCTCCTGCCTGACACATCGCACCACTCAAAATAGCAAAAACTTGATACTGCGAATAGCCAAAACACTGTGTAGTATCAAAGCTGCAAGTTTACACCTCGTGGTTTCGTCGCCTTGACGAGGGGGCTGCGGCTGCGAGTCCCCATCCTCTGTCCGGCGCCGTGTGGCACCGCCTCCTGCTGTCTTCTGCTTGCTGCAGAGAGTCTCCTGCTGATTCCTGCTGCTTCTTCCTTCTCTGCAGAAGAGCAGCTCGTTATGCGGCAATTAAGGGCCGGGGGTGCCTCAACACGAACCGCGAAAACGCGAAGAGAGCGGCAGAAGCATGGTGAAAGAGACGATAATCAGTGCTGCAGTGAGCCACCTCACACGAGTTGCCTCTCTTGCAGCCTCCTGAAGCGTAATAAGTACACCTCCTGGCGAGCGCGCATCTCTCTTTGTTCACCGCCTCCCTCCCAGCTCCATCAGATCCGCGTTTCTGCCCTTTGACAACCGGAGGGCTCTAAGGACCGAGGGTTGATGCTCCCCAAAGACGAGAGAACCTACGAGCAACGTGCTGACCTCCACCTCGCTTGCATGCACCCTGCCCCCTCTCTCTGCCGCCAGCCGCACACCAGGGCCCCATAGAGAGGCCACGAGCGAGTGCGCCTCCATCACCGCAGGGGCCCCCCGGGGGCCCCTTAGGACGCCTTCTGGAGGCACCGTAGCTGCTGCATGCTGCCTGCTTGAATTGAAGGCCTCTGCTCCGGGCGCACACCGCTGCAAAGGGGTAGGGTGTGTGTGCCCCCAGCCTGCTGGATTTGTGCGCCTCAAAGCGTTGTAGCACCCTTTGTTTTGGTTGCCAAAGAGCGCCTCGCCAAGACACTCACTTCCGAGCTATCTAGGACGCTTCTCACCATCGCACCGGCGAGCTGTGCAGCACTGGAGGCGCCGACTCCGAGGGCAGTGTGGCAGTCTCAACAGCGCAAGGCAGCAAGAGCAGAGCGCCCTCCATGGGCAGCCAACGACGCCAAGTCTAGGAGGGCTTCAAGCGTCTTGACAGAATGGAGCGAGCGGTGCTCTCCGAACAGGAGGGCTTCAACGGCGCACCCATGGACGTTGACGGCGAGTCGCACGTTTCTGAAGACGGAGAAGAGGTACGTCGCGTGGATTCGCCTCTGGAGGGCGCGTCTGATCTCCAACGCGAAGCACTGCCCCTCGGAGGCGAAGTGCTCACGGAGGGTGTCGTGGGAGCTATGCGCACGCTCGCGGAGGAAGACGGCGAAATGGCGGCTGACTCGCACTCAGCAGCTGCCGAGCATCCCGCTGGATACCCCACAGAAAGCGCAGCAGCAATGAGCCCCTTATCGCTGCGATGGTACGATCGCAGAAGGCGCGATCCAAGTGCAGCTGGATCGGCTTCTGTGCGTTGGGGGCCCCCTCCAGCGCTCTCTCCGTCTGCGGATTCCAGCGTGTGGAGCTCGGGGGATTCCCTGCTGGGTGTGGACTCTTTTGGGGGGCCCCCGGGGCCCCCAGGGGGCCCCCCAAAAGCCCCTTCCCCTCCTGCGGCGCGGCTGATGCTGCTGTCTAAAGCGAGGCTCCTGTTTGTTCTGGAGGCGTGTGCTGCCTTCCTCTCCAGGACGAGGCAGTCTCGGGAGGAGTCGCTGCCGCTCTCTAGCGCCTCTGCAGCGATTCCGCAAAAGAAGCAGCAGCAGCAGCAGCTGCAGCAGCAGCAGCTGCAGCAGCAGCTGCAAGCGCCACCGTGCCCTCCTCCCGGCGAGAAGGAGGCATCGCACGAAGGCATTCCTTCCTTCGAGTTGAAGCTCCAGCGGTCTGCGCTTCCGTCTCTTGAGGCTGTCGAGGCAGCGTACAAGGGGCCCCTGGGGCAAATTGAGTTGCGCCGTTTGTTGCGAGAGGCTCTCTCGCCACCCGACAAGGCGTTGGTGCATGCGGCGTGCCACGTCTTGAGCGCTCAGCTGGAGGATCCTCACTTGCTCCTGACCTTGTATTCTTGTGTCTTTTCCTTTGTAGATCCAGCAGAAGCCTTGCGGCTGCTCTTACCCACAGTCTCGGCGTCTCCCACAGTAGAGGGGGGCTGCGCGTTTCTCGCCTCTCTCTCGTCTTTGCGGCTGAGGCAGAGCCGGTGCAGTCAAGTGTGGGATGGCGAGCATGTAGCCTATCGATGTCTGACATGCGGCGGCAGCCAAAGCAGCTGTATCTGCGTTGCCTGCTTTCAGGTAGGGCCTCTGCGGGGAAGGGAGGGAGCGCGTTGCATGCGAGAAGCAGGGAAGGAAGAGGAAGGGAGGGGAGGGGAGGGGCTTTTTTAGTCCTTCTGAGTGTGTGTCTTCTTAAAAGTGCGTTGCATGTGTATAGCGGTGCGCCGCTTTGTGTCTCGGGGTGTCTATATATATATATATATACATATATGTAGGTGTATGTGTGTATGGGCTGGGTATAAGAGGAACACATTGCGAGGAGAGTCCTTATGTTTGTGTGTGTGTGTATGTGTGTGTGTGTGAAAACTGTGTTGGTGTGTGTGTATACTTGTAGGCTGGGCATCATGAAGGGCACAGTTATTTTATTTATCGTTCGGGGTGCGGTGGATGTTGCGACTGTGGAGATGCGAGTGCGTGGTCTCCCAGTGGCTTTTGCGCGTTGCATTCTGCTGGAGACTCTCGTGACGAGGATCCCACGTTAGTTCTTCCGCAGCCCACGCAAGTGCTGTTGTTGCTCCTGTTGAGGACGGCAGCCAGACACCTCGTGGCGCTGTGTGGGGGCTGTCACTGGGAAAGTGCTCGGCATCTGGCAGCCGAGTTGAAGGAAGTTTGCGGGAAGCATGAGGCCATGCGTCGTTGCTGCGGGAGAGCTTTTCTTGAGGCTCTTCAAGGCACCTTCCCCGTGGCAGCCTTCGCCGCGCGTGAACGCGACCGAGAGACTGAGACTGAGGCTTCTATTGCTGCGGCAGGAGGTGGCGCCTTCTCTGACGCGCGTCTCTCTCTGAAAGAGAGACTCTCCGCTCCCCCCTGCTATCCCCTCTACGAGGGTCTGAATGGTCTCGAACGCAAAAATCTTGTACGGGGCGTTCCTGCAGCACCGGCGTCTGCTGACGTGGGGTTCTACAATCCGCTGGATCCTCCTGAAGCACGGAGTGCTGAGGAGGTGAGTGAGGCTGCTGCTGCTGCTGCGAGCATCGGTGCAGACAGTGGGGAACTACTGCTACGCGCCACAGCGGAGGATGGGACGGCGGGCACTTTCGAAGATCCTCAAAACTGGGAAAAAGAGGAAGAAGAGGACGGCTCCAACGCCGCAGGCTCAGATCTCCTCGTGGTTGTTCGGCTTCCCTCGACAGAAACTGCAGCCTCCCGTCGAGAGACTTCTGCTGCCGCACGCGGTTGGACTGGGGGACGCTTCATGGGGGGAGAGAGCGCAGCTAGAGAAGCAGCAAGAGAAGCAGCGGCAAGAGCAACAGCAGCGAGAGAAGCAGCAGCAAGAGAAGCAGCAACAGCAAGAGAGAGAGCAACAACAGAAACAACAGCAAGAGAAGCAGCAACAGCAAGAGAAGCAGCAACAGCAAGAGAAGCAGCACCAAGAGAGGGCCTTCCTTGGGATCCGCAACGTGGCGTTGAAGATGAGCTTTCTGCTGCTGCTGCTTTTGCAGAAGGAGGCGCATGGGTTCCATCAGCCTCGTGTCTTCCTGCTGCATCCATGGAAACATCCTCGAAGGATGCCGGAGAAGCCTCTCTCCCGACAGCAGCAGCAGACGTCGTCTCCCCGAAGAAGCTGCCAGCTGCCTTCGTATCAGGTCCAAGCGCTTGTGCCGTCCTTCTGCAAAAGGCACATGAGGCTCCTCGAGATACTCACGGAGCACTGACTACCTTGTGGCTAGCACTCATGTTCGATGACTGGGTTAAGGAACGCTTCGCCGTTGTCTTCATGCAGCAATACGAGACGCTTGTGCTGCTGGGAGACTCTGCACTTGAACGCGTGACCGTCCAAGTGCTGAGCATTCGATCGCTGCTGGAAAAACTCCTGAGGCTTGGCCTTTTGCTTCCGCAACTTTTTTCCTGCCGCCTCTCTCTGCAGCTTTCAGTCTCATACCATGGGCTGCCTCCCTATTGCGTGGATGTCAAGCACTCTCTGCTGCGGAGACGTGCCTACGTGAACTCGATGAACGACATCCGATACCTCCTCGCGGAAAAGGAAATGCTGGCGAAGTGTGAGCTAGACTGCACTGCTCACCAATCAACATGCTGCTGCTCCTCCTCTCCCCTCTCACGCTCACCCCCAAACTGCTCGTGTGTTCTCCTCCTCCGTCGCTCGCTTCTCCTCCTGCTGCTCCTCTCCTGTCTTCGCCCCTGCTGTCTGGCCTTCACAAAATTACAGGCAAACGCCTAGACAACAACGTGCTCTTCATGCAACTCTTCCTACTTGCTCGCATATCCTCTCTGTGTCGCCCTCTCGGTATCTATGTGTCTCCGTCCGTCTGTCTACCTCTCTCTCTTGTCTGTTCGTCCATCTCTCTGTCTCTCTCTCTATATGTCTATCTCTCTGTATGTATGTCTATCTCTCTGTATATGTCTATCTCTCTGTATGTGTGTATGTATATATGTCTATCTCTCTCTGTCTGCATATGTCTATCTCTCTCTGTCTGCATATGTCTATCTCTCTCTGTCTGCATATGTCTACCTCTCTCTGTCTGCATATGTCTACCTCTCTCTGTCTGCATATGTCTACCTCTCTCTGTCCGTGTATGTCTATCTCTCTCTCTCTGCATATGTCTATCTCTCTCTGTCCGTATATGTCTATCTTTCTCTGTCTGCATATGTCTATCTCTCTCTGTCTGTCTAATTTTTTCGTTGGATGCTCTGTCGTTCCCAGACGCGTTTTTGTTTTTTTCTGTTCCCTTGCCTCACTTCGCTACCCTCCCATGAGCCAGCGCAGAAGGCTTCGCATCGACCATCGCTGATTCGCTGCTTCCTGCCGCCTCTGTGCGTGTGCCTTGGTGTGCAGTTTTGTCTGAGTGCCCATCTCACTTGCACCAGCTCTGCGGCAACGGATTTCTCCCCCTTTTCCTCTTGAGTCAGGGATGCAATGCTCATCGGCGACAGACTGAGAGGCATGTCGAGTATGAGGACGAGTCAGCATGGACCCATGCCGTCTGCCTTTCCATTGATCTTGGGCAGAACGCTTCTGTGCTCGCTGAACTCGCCGTGTGTCTGCACTGGCGACCTGCAGTTGCGTTCCTTAGAGCCGTCGAGAGAAAACTCTCTCAGTGGGTTCAAACTGCGAACGAGCGAGATCGCCGTCTTGATCTTATCCTCCCCCTCATCGCCAACCCAGATGGACTGCCAAGCGTCCTTCAACAGATCCGCAGTCGCGCAGAAGGCTCCATTAAGGCCACCTCTATCTTCGGTAAGTACTTATTCGCTCGCTCAACATGTGCTCCCATGCAGCTGTATTGTTTGTGTGTATGTGCATGTGTGTATGTGTGTGTGTCTGTGTTTGTGTGTGAGTATGTGTATGTATCTGTGTTTGTGTGTGAGTATGTGTGTGTTTGTGTGTGTATGTATCTGTGTTTGTGTGTGAGTATGTGTGTGTTTGTGTGTTTGTGTGTTTGTGTGTGTATCTGTGTTTGTGTGTGTATCTGTGTTTGTGTGTGAGTATGTGTATGTGTGTGTATCTGTGTTTGTGTGTGAGTATGTGTGTTTGTGTGTGTATGTGTATGTGTGTGTATCTGTGTTTGTGTGTGAGTATGTGTGTGTATTGAACACATGGAGGACCCCTGACCAGCCGTGTTTGGACCTGGTTGGGGAGTGTATATATATATATATCAAATATATGGCCTTCTCTGTGTGTTTGCGCGCTGCTTGCCGCGAGGCATTCAAGGGCTGCCGCTTCTTCCTAGACGACGCATGCGCCATGCATCGTGATTCATGTGCATGTGTGTGTTGTTTTGAATGGCTGCAGAGCTTCCCGAGGGGCGCCAGCGAGACTTCTTTTGCAGTCGTCACTCTGTCTCCCTCCACGTACCGCTGCATCGGCTGTACTTCTTGTTGCTGTCTGCGCTCCTTGCCCACCCCGAGAGAGAAGCTGCCATTAGGCGCCGATTGCAGCAGCAGCAGCAGGAGAACCTCTTCAAAGAGGAAGGCGAGACGCTCGAGCAGCCTCAGCAGCACCTCCAGCAGGCAGTATTGACACCGCAGCATGCAGAGGACCCTCTGCATGCTGCGCTGTACAGCCTTTTGGGGCTTTCGGAGTCGAAGCTTCTGCAACTCACGACGCATGCTCTCAGAGCCTTGATTTTCTACCATCAGGCATCTAACGGGATATGGAGACGAAACGGGTAGGCGCAGTTGCATTGCAGCTGCAGCTGTATATCTTGCCGAGGATGAGGGGTATCCTCTCCTGCTTGCTGTGCAGATGGTCTTGACGCGTGTTGCGATCCGTGGCTAGACAGCTTTTTCTGATTTTCTCGTGGCCTTTTTACCAGTGACACCTGTGTGTGCCTCCCTGTGTCGCTGCATGTCTTTTTTTCTGCCTGCGTTGTCGCTCCTCTCTGTTTCTCCCTCCCTCTTTGCTGCTTTCCTGGTCGACGCCTCACGCACATGGCGCCCTCTGGCTCTTCGCCTGTGCGAACAAGTATGGGTGGGTTGTGTTGAAGCGTTTGTTTGTGTCTGTAAATGTGTGCATATGTGTGTATTTATGTGTATGTAGTTTGTGTATTTGCCTCTCAGAGCGACGCTTCTGCAAGAATGCCTATGTTATCGACGGGCTTTCTACCAGTCTGTGACTTTTGATGTGGATATGAGAGCAGTTCGCATGCTTTTCTGCAGTATACCTCCGCAGGCTGCGATTCTGCTGCTCGTTCTACAGTGAGTTGCGTTGCGTTTGCCATTGCTGCTGGGGGTTTGCAGTAGTGGTGGCAGTAGTGTCTGCAGCTGTCTTGGCCTCTTAAAAGGCAGCACCTTGCCTCGAGAAGAGGCAGTCATGGAGAGGGCGGCGTTGTAGACGAGGAGACAGGGGAGGGGAAGGGGGAGGCCTTTAAGCGCGTGTCTGCTGAAAGAGGCTTCCCCGGATCGCATGAAAGCAATTGAACAACCAGGGATTAGAGGACGACTAGGGGGCAGGAAAATGCTCTCTTGTCGGCTTTAGAAAAGCCTTCATGTTGCGTGTTGTCAAGGGTGTGTAGCGCAAGGGTGCCCTTGCCTTTCTTCTCCCCACGTCGCGTTTGCATGTTTGCCCAGTGCACTGCTTGCGTAGACTGCCCCTCAGAGACAGACAGACAGACAGACTGCTGTTGCTGCTGCTGTTGCTGCTGTTGTTGCTGCTGCTGCTGCTGCTGCAGGACTGAGCTTCCCTTGGATCTGTCTGTGGCGTACTCTGTTGGGCGCCACGGTCCAAGCTGCTTCCCGCTTGCGGATACGCTGGAGAGCAGCAGCTCCAGCAGTGGCGAAGGCTTCGTCGAGATATCGGAGTACATTAGACAGCACATGCACGGCTTCCTGCTGCTGCTGCTGCAGCTCTTGCAGCCTCGCAATTCTCTTTTCCAGTCTGAAAGCGAGATGCTTCGACACTTGCTGAGGCACCAACTCATGCGGGGCCCACAGCCACACAGTACACTCCAGGATGTCGTCTGCTGGCCATACAAGCAACAGCAACAACAAACGCAGCTGATTGACTCAATCCTTGCAGAGGTGAGCAGGGGGAGGCATTGCTACACGCTTGTCTTTCCCTAACACGCAGCAGTAGTAGTGGTAGTAGTGGTTGGACTCAGTTCAAATGCGAGACTGCGGCGTAATGCGTCTCCTATTTCAAAGTATTTCTGGATGTGGGTGTGTATGTTTTCTGTGGGTGTTCGCGGTTGCATGTGTTCTGTGCGTGCTTCAGTGTGTGTATATGTGTTGTGTGCTTGTGTGTGGGTACGTGTTCTAGCATGTGTTTGTGGGTGTATGGGTTTGTGTGTTGTATGGGTTGTATGTTCTCTGTGTGTGCACATGTTGTGTGTGTATGTGTTTTCTGTGTGTATGCGTTTTTTCTGTGTGTGTACGTGAATTAGTATGTGTTTGTAGGTGTGTGTTCTCTGTGTGTGCATGTGTTTTCTGTGTGTGTGTGTTTTCTGTTTGTGTATATGTTTTTTCTGTGTGTGTACGTGTTTTAGTATGTGTTTGTGGGTGTATGTTTTCTGTGTGTGCATGTGTTTTCTGTGTGTATGTGTTTTCTGTGTGTGCATGTGTTTTCTGTGTGTGCATGTGTTTTCTGTGTGTGCATGTGTTTTCTGTGTGTATGTGTTATCTCTGTGTGCATCTTTTTTCTCTGTGTATATTTGTTGTGTGTGTTTGTGTGTGTATGTGTTTTAGTATGTGTTTGTGTGTGTATGTGTAATCTGTGTGATCTTTGTGTATGTATTTTTTCTGTGTGTGTATGTCTTTTTTCTGTGTGTGTATGTCTTTTTTCTGTGTGATCTTTGTGTATGTGTGTTTTCTGTGTGTGTGTATGTATTTTTTCTGTGTGTGTATGTGTGTTTTCTGTGTGTGCGCTTCTCTTGCAGATAAGCATGTACAGGGCAGCCCATGGAATGTCGTCTGGTCAGTTTGTTTTGTTGCCTGATCAGTGGAAGCATTATGATCCTCATTGTGCCTTTTTCTCATGGCCAGAGTTTCAACAGCTCGAAGAGGAGTTTCTAGCTCAGATAAAAGCGACTCCCGAGATCCTGCAACAGTGGCTTCCACCGGCCCCTCTTTCCCCTCCGATACCAGAAGTCTATCGCATGGGCTTTTTTCGTTTTGCCCTTAGTGATGCTGTGCGAGGCGTGGTGTTTCTGCTCCTTCTGCAGCAGCTTCTGCTGCAGCAGGAAGACGCAAGGTACCTGCAACTCACTCTCTCGCTGCTTCTGCGCCTGATGAGTCTCGAGGCACAGGCGAGTCAACAACTGCCCCCCGAAGAGCTGCAACACCTCCGGCAGCAACAGCGGCAGCAAGACGCACTGGTGTGCTTTCTGCAGTCGCATCCGGATGTCGCAAGACGGCTAGCTGCGCTGAGTGTCAGCAGCAGCACGACAGACACCAGCAACTCCAGCGGCGAGCTGGCGGGAGACACGCTGCTGCTGCACGCCATCGAAGCAGCAGAGATGGGATACGTGTCCATACAGCTGGATCACCCCGACGTGCTGAATGTTTCGCGATGGCAAGGATCCTGCATTTCCTCGTTTCTGCTGCGTTCCTACACTCTGACGCATGCGTGGTCAGCGCTCAGTCCAGAAGAAGAGGCAGCCTTTGTCGCAGAAGCGGAGGGAAGCAGCGGCGGACGTTCCGGAAAAAGCTACGCGCTCCAGCTGCGACGAGCCGCGCGGGAAGATTCCGATTTTCTTGCCACGCTGCCGAAGCAAAGACGACCCGCCGCAGGCAGCAGCAGCAGCAGCAGCAGCAGCGAGCAGCAGCAGCGGGGGGCAGCAGCAGCCGCTGCAGCCGCTGCAAGACAAGCCAGGGCAGCCTTCGCGCGTGCTCCTCGGGAAACGAATGCCGATATCGAGCAGCAAAAGCAGCAGCAAGAACTGGCAGACGGAGGGGGGGAGGGGCAGGGGAGTGCGACTTCTGCTGCTTCCAGCGCCAGCGGGCGGTCGGCAACAGCCCACCACCAACCCGCCTCAGGTGGGGTTGTTGTAGAAACTTCTCAACACGAGCCACTACATCAGGAGAAAGCGCAGGCCACCAAGCAGCAGCAGCAGCGCCAGAATAAAGGCGCGCAGGAGGCAGCAGCGCCAGCAGAAGAAGACGGCGAAAGATTCACGCAGTGGCTACGACGACGTCTGCGACTCTTCACAGCTTGGCCTCTCAATGCGCAAATCACGGAAGAAATCCTCGAGTGCTTGCCTGCAGAAAGTCGAAGAGTCTCCCCTCCTCACCCTCTCCCTCTCGTCCTCATCAACGACGCGGGAGAACTCCTGCAGGATCTCACTGCGCAGTACCAAGAGTATCAACGGCAGCAAGCGCAGCCGTGTGACTCCAAGAAGAGAAGGCACCAGCTGCAGTCTCCCGCAGTTGCAGATCCTTTCGAGCTGGGCTTTGCATCTTACCTCAATTACTTGCAACAACAAGAACAACAAGAGCAAGAACAGCCACAACAAGAAAACGACTTGGAGCCGTCTTTACCAGAGAGGTCTTCAACGGTGTCAGCGACATCTTCTTCTTCTCAGTCTGCGTCGCTCTCAGCGCCTTCTATTCGCTCCTCTGCCTCCGAGTGGTTGTACAGCAGAATTTTTACGCGGATCCCTTCGGAAGGCGGAGGAAGCCTAGCCGAGGCGGAGTGCGCGAAGGCGCCGACGGAAGCTGCTGCCTCTGCTGCTGCTGCTGCTGCTGCTGTAGCGACACCTGGTCAGCTGCAGCATGCGGAGTTCGAGCAGCAGCGAGGCGGCCAGCACGAGAGACAGCGACTCCTGCTGACTAGTGCCCTCAGTCTCTTCGGCATGAGCTCTTCCCCGCAAGATGCGCATACGGAAGAGGCCGTTCAGATCCTTCAAAGGCAGCGCGAGCAGCTGCTGCAGCAGCAGCAGCAACCCCGCGGACGGACGTCTACGGGCAGGAGGCTGCATCGCAGTTTTTCAGGATCTGTTGCACATTCTCGAAGGAGCAGCAGTACGAGCAGCAATGCCGCAAGCTCCCCCCGGATGCAGATAGACACACATCGAAACCAGCAGCGCCTGAGCAGTGCTGGCGAAGGGGGTGTCGCGTCAAGCTTGGACGCTGCTGCATCTCTGCCTGACCAGCGCAGCAGCAGCGAGAGTGAGGCGCCTAGCAGAAGCAGCAGAGAGAGCAGCAGCGAGAGCGAGGCTCCCAGCAGAAGCAGAAGCAGAAGCAGCAGCAGCAGTCTGCATGCACTTTCTGTGTCGGCAGCAGGCTTTTCTGCAGAAGGGAATGCAGATATTCGCGAGGCTCAAGCTGAGACAGCAGCAGAGACAGCTTACCAGCCAGACTCCTTGGGGGCTTTCATTTTCCACGTCATGCTCGCAGGAACGCACGGAGTGCAGACAAACTTGCTGTCTCTACAGCAGGTGGCTGCTGGCGCTGTTGCTGCTGCTCAGGCAGATCGCGCAGCAGCTGCTGCAGGGGTCGACGACCCCACAGCCGCTGTCACTGCAGCAGCAGTTGCTGCCATGGCGGCAGCAGGAGCGAGGAGCGCCATCTACGGCTCCTCACAAGCCGTTGCCTCTCGCGTGCCTCCTAGAGAGCTTTCAGCCTCGCGGCGTGCCTGCAGAGCGCCCCCCGAATTTCCGTTTGTCATCAGATTCAACCTGCTGCAAGTGAGCGGCGAGCGAACGCGAAGGCCTAGCTCTCGTCTGGCTAGCCATCTAGCTAGCTAGCTAGCTAGCACGCCTATGTATGCGAGTGCTCTTTTCCCTTCGGCGTCATGCCGTCGGCATGAGGCGCCTCGGATGCAGTCGCGCTTGTGCGAGGCTTCTTCCCCTTCTCGTCGAATCCCCTCCTCTCTGCCCCCTTCCTTTGCTGCCTTCTTCCTCAGGTGCTCTATGGGCTATGCCAGAGCTCGCGCTTCAAAACACACAAGCGGCAGCTGGAGTGGGTGCTTGAGTCTGCGTCTTGTTGCCCACGGATTGCGACTCGGCTGCGTGCTTGGAAGGCAGCCGCTGCAGGATTGTCTGCAGCTGCAACTTCGTCTGCCAAGGGTGCAGCGGGAGGAACTGTTGCTGCAGGCAGAGCTGGCGCAGGTCTCATCACAACAAGTGCTGCTGCCTCAGCGCAAACAGAGGGGACCCCTCCAGCTAACGAAGCCACAGGAATGCAGCAGCAGCCTCTCTCCGAAGAGCTGTCTGAAGATCGAGCGAACGAATGGCGAGAGGTCCATTGGGGTAGCAGCGTCGTAGCAGTGGCTAGTTTTCTCTATGTTTAGGGGTGTGTGTGTGTGTGTGTGTGTTTATATGTATGTGTATTTGTGCATATGTATGTGTATGTGTATTTGTGTATATATGTATGTGTATATGTATGTGTATATGCATGTATATATGTATGTGTATATGTATGTGTATATGCACGTAAATATGCATGTGTATATGTATGTGTATATATGTATGTCTATATGTATGTGTATATGTATGTGTATGTATTCGTATGTATGTGTGTATATGTATTTGTGTATGTGTATCTGTACGTGTATGTATGTATGCGTATGTGTACGTATGTATTTGCATGCACATGCATGTATGTGTGTATGTATACGTAGGTGTATGTTTTTTTTCTGTGTGTTGATGGGTGTATGTGTTGCATGTTGGGGCCTCTTTATTTATGTCTGTGGTCACTTGAGTGGTAGAAGAGTGGCAGCAAGCCGATTTTTTTTCTCTTTCGTCTCGTTTTCCTGTCTGACGGACCAGTTTTCTGCGTCGTTTGATTGTGAAGAGGGCAGGGCGGCGTGAGACGTGTTGCACATATCTGAGGATTTAGGGGTTTTTAGAAAGCAGCAGTGCGTGTGTTGCGTGTGTGAGGGGGGTCCTTTGCAGGAAGCCAGACGTCGGCAGGTGGAGGTTCTAGCGGCTTTCAAGAAGAAGCAAGAGAGCTTCCAACAAGGCCATGCAGCAGAATTAGCGGAGGCGTCCCACTTGGCGCATGCAGAGATTCCCCGTTGTGTTTCGTGTCGTCTTGAGGATGAGGCGCTGCTGCCGCAGCACCCGCCAGCGGCAGTCGCGGCTGCTGCGTCTGCTGCAGTCAGCTGCACGGCGAGTTACTTGGTGGAGACTCACAATCCAGTGGGGCTCATGTGTCACGTACAGTTTTCTGCCGTAGGATCTGCGCCTAGAGCGACGCTTCCACCTTTTTTGTGGCCGTCTCCGTGGATAGCGAACGACTGCGCAGCTGGAAGAGAGGGCAGGGGGGATCGCGGGAGACGCAGCATGCACGGCAGCAGCAGCAGCCGCTGCCGGGAGTGGCTTGCTGGCATTGCTGGGGAGAAGACGCCGATACTGTTGAATCCGAACGCAGAGCACCATGGCCTTGTCTTGCGGAGTTGTGGGCATCGCATGCATCTGCAGTGCTACCTCCGACACAGCAAGGCGCAGAGTCATGCAACCTTGCTCGCAGAGCAGTCGCTGCCCTGCCCTTACTGCTGCCAGCCCGTCAATCTGCTGCTCGTCGACTCCCTTCCTGGATCGCTCGCGAACTTGCAGTTGAAGCGCATCCTGCAGAGCGAAGTGTCTCCCCAAGCGGCTGAGGCAGCGGCTGTCTCCTCTGGAGCGTGGGGTTTGAGGGGATCTCCGCCCCTCCTTCAAGCTCCTCCTGGAAGCAGCAGTGCTGCTGCTGCTGCTGCTCTCGCTGCTGAAACTAGACTCGTAGGACGAGCAGCTGTGCCCGCTGCTGAAGAGGGCTTTTCTTGGTGTCGTCTGCAGCAACAGCTGGCTGCACGCCTTTTGCAGCTCCAACGCAAGCGCCGTGCAATCGCTCACACCCTTGGCCTCCCCCTCAAGTGCCAGCATGCCAGCTACCCCTTCCCCGCTTCGCCCTCCACTGCCGAATTGCTGCATCTCTGCAGATCTGCCATGCGGCTTTCGCCTCTGAGCTTCCCTGCTCCCCTGCTGCTTACCAGAGACGCAGCGGCCTCTATCTTGGCTGCTGCAATGCGAGAAGCAGGTGCAGCTTCCACCGACACGAAAAACGCAGACAGAGACAGCTCCTCTTCTCGAGCGAGAGGGCCCTTGGATAGCGCAGCTGCTCAAGACTTCCCGCATGCGCTGCCCAGCACCAGCAGCCATGCGCTTTCGAGCAGCTCGAGAGGATCAAGTGCTTCCGTGACACCTGAACGGGAACCCCTAGATGAGGCGGAGCGGCACAGTCTGCGAGCAAGTCGACATGAGCAGCTCAATCAAGAACGGCAGCAGGGTCGTGAAGCTTCCGCGATGAGGATTATCAGACACCAGCAGCAGCAGCAGCGCAATGCGTTGCAGCAGCAGCAACGGTTCACGTACAGTATGCGGCAGCTATCCGAACCGGCAAGGCAGCAGCGCGTCGTAGGCGAGGCTACTGCAGCAGCAAGAAAAGAAAGCTCCGCTAATCTCCCCAAAAGCCCCAAACCAACACGCCAACGAAATTTATCACGCCGCTCTCTGTTAGGGCATCCACTTGCTGTCATTGCGAAGCTCTTAAGCGATGCCGTGGATCATGCAGAGGTATGCTATATAATTGTACATCCAAATACATATGTAAATATATATGTAAATATATATGTGAATATATCTATATCTATTTATAGCTATACATATCTATGTATAAATATATCTACACATATATATATATATCTACAATGCCCTTTCGAGATGCTCACGAGCGCTGTCTTTTCTTTCTACTTGCCTCTAGAGATTTCAACACACATTCCCGTGCGGCTGTAGACGCTGAATGCTCCCCTTCTGCTTCCTCCTCTTCTGCTTCCTCCTCTTCTGCTTCCTCCTCTTCTGCTTTTCCTGTTGCTGTTTGCGTTTTAAAGAGTGTTGTTGAGTTTATGGCCGACGTTGGTGGTGCTGTATACGGCGTTCAGCTGACACTGCGTAATCAGCAGTGGGCCTTGTTGTCATCCTGGCGGCCTGAGGCTTTGCACGCGCTTCATGCGGTGTACATACACTTCAGCGAGCTGCTGCGCTCGCATGACGTGGACAGCAGCGGCTTCACACCAAGGGACCTTTATCAGCATGACACGGAGCAGCTGGTGCTTTGGGGGGTGCCCTTGCTGCCCAGTCTCGTGGCTACTCGCGCAAGCAGCAAGAACGACGCTGGGAGAAGCGTGTCGGCAGCTGCTGACAGCGGCACGCGAAGCTGCAGCCCAAAAGCGAGCGACTTTCTTGCCGCCTCAGACGCAGCGCTCGAAGCAGCAGCGCATGCAGATGCACGGCCTCTGTTGCCGTCGGAAGGAGGCAGCACTGTCGATTTGGCTTGGGCAGTATCTCTGAAAAGGCTTGACACTCGCTTCTTCTTGCTGACACGCGTCCTCTTAGATCTGCATGCAACTGTTGCAGAGAAAGAAGCCACTGAGGGGCCTTCTGAGCTGCAGCAGGCTATGCATGCTGCCAAAGAGGCAACAGAGCAGCGTCGCGCGCGGAAGGAGATGGGGGGGGTGCAGCACCAGCAGGAGGTGCTGGCGATGCAAAGGCACCATTATCAGCAGCGGCGGATAGACGCACCGAGTCGGCATTCGGGGAGTGCTGCCTTCCTTTCGGCCTCGTCGGAGGCTAGTCGCGTGCGCATGCGGTTAGAAGAAGCGCTGCCGCAGCAGCTGCGGCTTGAGCAACCTCTGCATGACGCTGTGGCTGCTCCGGCAGGCACCACTAACAGCGATGCTAGTGACTTCGAGTTCTTTTCCGTGGGCTTAACTACGCCTCGATCGTCAACAAGCAGCAGCAGCGACAACATGGAAAGTGGGGAGACCAGCGATCGCAATCGCAGCAGCAGTAGCAGCAGTAGCAGCAGCAGCAATACCCCTAGTTCGCTTGCGCGCCAAGGCAATGTGGGCGTGGGCGAAACACCCTCCAGCACCGCAGTCAACGAAAATATGCGACAGCAGCAAGAGCGTTTGATGCACAGCACTCTGGCAATGCAAGGGCTGCTTGCCACGCAACAAGGCCTTCCCACGGAAACGTCGCGAGAAGACGCAGAGACAGCGTCGCCAGACGAATCGCAACGCATGGAGGATTCGCAAACGGAAACTCAGCGTGTGTTGCTGCCGTCGCAGCAGCAAGTTGGGCAGGAGCAGCAGGAAGAGCGGTCCTCCAGAGCGCAACAAGATCAGCGATCTTCTGAAGTGCAGACTGGGTTGGGGGAGTCGAGCAAGGAAGACTATGCATGTGGGGAACTGGGGGGCAGTCAGCGTCGACAGCGGCCACTAGAAGAGCAGCAGCAGCAGCAGCAGCAGCAGCAGCAGCAGCAGCAACAGCAGCAACAGCGGCAGCAACAAAACGGATGCCCTTCTCTTGAGGCACCTCACGAGACATCGGCGTGTGCGCGGGCTGCTGCGCGCATGTATTTGCAGCTTTTCTTCATAGTTGAATGCTTCTGCGTTGTGTGGCAGTGGTGGGAACGTCTCCCTCTCAGCGATCGACATCGGCTCCTTGTTGAGCGTTCGGCTGTGCCATCGCAGCAGCAGCAGCAGCAGCAGCAGCGCGCCACCCCACGGCGGCCGCACGAGGCGTTGTGGCAGTTCCTGTCTCGGCTGGCTAATCTTGAGCAGCAGCGCGCTGCAGCAGCAGCAGCAGCAGAAGAGGAGGAGCAGCAGCGTGTCGGCAGCAGCAACAGACACAGACAGCCGAGGGATTCTTCGACGGAGGATCCTGTCGTGGAGGCGAAGCGCCAGAGGCTTGGCCGTTTGCATGCGGGAGTGCAGAGCGCCGCGGAGGGAGAGGAGGAGGAAAGTTTGCAGGCATTTGCGACGAGTGCAGCACGTTATGCTGCTGCTGGGGAAGCTGCAGGGAGTGCTCCTCATATGGCAGGAGCAGCAGCAGATGCAGCAGCAGCAGATGCCGCAGCAACGCGTGCAGAGATAACTGAGGCAGCCTACGCAGCGGCTAGGGCAGCAGCCGAGGAAAGTAGAGACTCAAGCAACGACAGAGATTCTGCCATTGAGACCTCTGCTGCGGATGTCTTTTGGGGTAGGTTGCATGTCGGAGTCGTGCAGGAAGATGAATCGGAGGCGAGGCAGGAGCGTCAGGAGCATTTGACAGAGCGTGGCGTCCGTCTGGGGGGGGAGAGGAGCAGGAGGCGCACCAGCACGAGCAGCAGCCGGAGCAGCAGCAGCAGCAGTAGTAGTTCTATTTTCCGGAGGTGCGCAAGTGCGTTAGAAGGGTCGCCTCATTCCTTGCATGCGAGCAGCGAGGACGAGAGGGGGGGGAAACTGCACTCTGGAGGCAAAGGAGACTTCGCTTCGCGGGGAGGAGGCAGCTGTATGCGTGAGGGGGCACTGCAAATGGACGGTGCGTGTGATGCTCTGGGGAAGCGAGATGCAGCAACAGCAGATGCAGCAGCAGCAAGGGCGGATAAAGAGGCTGGCACTCCATGGCTGCAGTCTTTTGCCCGCGTGCGACGGTGGGAAGGCGAAGTCGAGGCGGAGTCTTTGGCGTTGGAAGACGATTTTAGACCCCTGAAGGAGACGCGAGATCTCGATGCAGCCTTCGCCGTGTGGTGTGACGACATTCGTCTGATCGGCAGACGGCTGCCTTTCCCGCCGAAAAGGCAGCACTTAGGAGCAGCCTTTCTAGCGATTCGTCCCCCCTCCCCCCCTTCTTCCGCTGACGCATGTGGAGACTGCTTCCCCAGCAACGCAGGAAGTGATGCTGCTACTCAGAAGGCCGCTGCAGGGGAATACTTGAAGCGTGTTGTTGCAGCGAGAAAGTTGCAGGAGGCAGCGATGCAGCAGTCACACGACAGGGGGCGCTCTGCTTCAAGACGAGCCAGCCAGCTCATCACGGCACCGTCTCTCTCCGGTGTATCCTCAACACGCTTGAATGCTGTTGCACCTCCCTACCCGCTAATGCAGGGCCTAGCAGAGCTTCCTGAAGCAGCAACAGCATCCGCATCTGCTACGCCGCTGCTGAACACAGCGAGAGAGGCAGACGAAGCGGCAGAAAATTCCAGCGAATGCGTTTTGACCGATGAGGAACGCCGTGGAGTACTCTTGCGTGTGGTTGCCTTGGGACTGACGCCGTGGCTTCGCAAGGTTCACTTACTGCTCAAGGCGATGCATCCTGATCAGTATGTTTCCTCTTCCGCGTTCTAAGCGCGGTGTAGATACACTGGCCTAGCGGTTGTTTCCGAAAGATAGGCTCGTGGGGTGGGAGGAAGGGAAGAAGATAGCAGGGGAAGAAGTTTCAGGCGGACTCTTTTACCTTGCCTGCACATATCGGTGTAGACGGCTCGTATCACTTGTGCTTGTTGAATGCTGGATGGCTGCTTGTTTTCGCCGTATGGCGTGAAATTTTATTGCGCAAGGGAAGAGAGAGAGAAATAGAGAGAAAGAGAGAGGGAAGCAAGCACACACGCATGTGCTCTAACTAATTTTCCTCGTCCTCTTTGCTTGCCTGCCTGTGTATATGTATCCCTTGCCTGCCTGTGTATATGTATCCCTTTCCTGCTTTTCATTAGAATGCGTATAGGGAGTGTTGTCGCTGTTTCTTTTGTGAGCCTTGAATTCTTCCTCTGTCTTGTGCTTTTTTGTGGCTAGCTCCGCGTGCTGTGCATGCGAATCGATGTGTGTAGCCATCCTTTTGGCTTGCTCTGGAAAAAAAGTTGCGCGTTGATCTCATTTGGGGGGGGGCGGGAAACGCTGTGCGTTTTGAAACACAGGCTCTCAGCGGTGGGGTTGTTTGTTTCACACTGCTGTGGGGTGTTGCAGCAAACTGCCCTTCGAAGAGGCCGAGGCAGTGAGTGCCTTTGGAGTTTCGGGAGCACCTCTGCTGCCTTCGGGAAGTCTGAAAAGCATGTCTTCACCAGAGTCAAAAGCAACGGCGTCTGCTGCTTCAGGGGCTGGAGAGACTGGTGGCTCCACCCTCGAAGATGTATTGACTTCCTTAAAGCCGTTCGCGCCAGACGCCGAATGTGATTGCCTCCTAGAGGGACTGCCGCTTCCTCAGTCTCTCGAAGTCTTCCTGTTTGGATCGGTGGGTGTCGAGGCTTAACCCGTGGAAGCGTCTGCAGCTGATTCTTCTCCTTGCTCTCAGCGACATCTGCAGAAAATGCAGCAAGAGGTGGCGTCGATTTGCCGCCTCGAAGGGCTGTTGCCGTTGTGTCGGCTGTGCGAGAGCAGCAGTTGCACGAAACATTTTACATATACATATATGTATATGTGTACGTATATGTCTCTGTACATGTTTATATGAGTTTATGTATGTTTATGTATGTGTGGGCATATGTCTGTACGAGTGTGTGTACATGTGTGTTTGGATATGCATGTATATGTACATACATATGCCTGTGTTTGCATGCATGTATGTACATGTGTATGTGTGTATATGTATATGTGGTTGCAGATAATATATACATATATGTATATGTGTATGTATGCGTGTGTACACACCTGCAGGCTTGAGTGCAAGCATGTGGGTGTAAAAGCAGATTTTTGGAGTGTCTGGTGTGTGTGCCTGTGTCTTGCAGGAGGAGGGAGCTGAAGACGAGGATTTGCAGCAGCAAGAGGCACAGGCGCTCGTGGAAGTCTTTAACGAGCTGCAGGTAGGTTGGAGTCTTATAACCGAGAAGGGGCAGTAGAGTGGCCAGAGAGTGTTTTGCTTCTTGTTGCATGCAAGAAAGTGTTGTGCCTTTCGAAAAAAGGCAGTCAGCAGCGCATAGTAGGCAAGGAGTTTGGAAAAGAAATTGCACGAGAGCGTGAGGCATGCAGTCTAGGGAGTGCATTGTGCCTTGGTGGCTTTTCGTGCAAGGGCTTTGTTGTTTCTCCGCGTGTTTTTGCAGATGCTTCACGCATTAGCTGCCTTGCCGCCATCTCTGAGCGCCCCGAGCTGTGTATTGCCGGTGATAGTGGCAGAGAAGGATGTGCATGAGCAGCTGCTGCAGCTGCTTGAGAATTCGCTAGCCGTTGGAGGGCGTGTGGGGAGCGCCTTCCTCTCGCATTCCCTGTATTACCAACCGCTGACACGACGCTTTCTCCCTTCGGATTTCCTGCAAATGCTTGAAATCACTGGCGCAAAGGCTGTGCTCCTGTGGCAGCGCATCAGCAGCACAGCTGTCGACAGACCGTCGCTGGCGATATTTGCTCTGCAAAACTTGCCCTTCCCTGCAGTCCTTCCCAAGTCGTATCAGCAGCTTTACAATCACTTTCTGGATGTGCAGTACGTGCAGGAAGCCTGAGTTTGGGGTGTCATCTCTCTCCGCTGCCACTGCAACAACAGCTGCTGCTGCTGCTGCTGCTGCTGCAGTCCACACATACACATTCTTGGCGGCTGTGTGTTTGGTGTATTCTGTTGCTTCTCAGGATCGCGTCGCCAGTTGTGGGGCTGCATGCACCCCCCGTTGTTTGCATCTGCCTGACTTGCGGATTTCTCGTCTGCTCTGCAGATTGTTGCGAAGAAGAAGTTGCGTGTCTTGGCAAGCAACTCACGCGATTTGCAGGGTTGAGACGGGTACGTCTTTGTGTCGGTCTGATGCGCCTGTTGAACATGTCGCTTGCTCTGCGGATTTTTGCTGCTTTTCTTTCTTTTGCTTGTGACTACCATCGCGGGTTTGCAAGTGGCCATTCGCATCAGCGCGGAAGGGTGGAACAGGGAAGGAAAAGGCGCCGACTTCTTTATGAGGCTTGCAAGCAGGAAACTGCTGACAGCAGACGAGAAGAATACGAACTTCTGCGACTGCTACTGCCCTTGACACACAGCCGATTCATGCGATCTGCTGAGCGCATCATCGTGGCGTGGCTGGTGGGATGTCGGCATTTTGTAGCTTGCATCTTTGCGTTCTTTTCTTTGCTTTGCTGCAGCATGCATCAGTCTGCGGCTTCGGCTTGTCACTTTTCCTGCAACTTCCAGCATCGGCAGTCTTAGTTGTTGCCGTCGATACTGTAGGCGACAGAGCCGCCAAGTGGGGATGCCTGCACTTAGACGAATACGGTGCGTTGGCTGCACAAAGCTGCAAACTGTGTCGAACCTTGGGGTTGTTGTCTTATTCCATTAAAACACTCAAGTTCGTGAAGGTGTGCATGGCGGCTGTCTGCACATTTGCCTGTAGACGCGCCTACATACATCTAAATGCGCTTACCCCTCCTTGAGCGCTGCTTCTTCTCTTGCTGTTGCGTTCCTTATACGTCCTCCGTGTCGTCTGTGTCTCTGTGCTTGTGTGGCATCTTTGTGTGTGTAGTGTATGTGCGTCTTTGCGTGTGTAGTGTGTGCATGTTTGCCCTCTTTCCCGTTTTGTGCCGAAACAATCTTGCGCTATGTGTCGATGCATGGGTAAAGCATTTTGCCTAGTGCTGTGTGCTCCTGTAACTGCATGCCTTCTTGCTTGTCTGGTCACCCCTTTCCTCTCCTCCGGTGTGCCTTTCTGCATGTGCATCAATACGCCTGTTGTCTCTGTACCCTTCCAAGCACGCTGCTTCTGTGTTCAAGAAATACGCATCACGGTTGCAGTGGCTTGCGATTTCCCTCGGATATCTTCAGGAGAAGAAGATTTATTGCTGAAGCGTGGCAAGCCTTTGAGACTCTCTTCTAGCCGCTTGAAGCGACTAACCGCGGAGTGGGCAAGCCACCAACTTCGAGCACTTCGACGCCTTACGTGGGCGCGCTTGAGGGGCATTCCCCGCATTCGAGATCTAACATTCTGATGGACAGACTGCACGACGTTCGCATATATGCATGCAGGACTGTAGGCAGTCGTGCATGCATCCATGTATGCAGGCATACATGTATGTATGCAGGCATACATGTATGTGTGCAGGCATACATGTATGTGTGCAGGCATACATGTATGTATGCATGCAGGCAGTTTTCAGTCAGTCCTACTTATTTTGCGGGCTGTGTTTAAACATGTGCCGGCGACTCCGTCTGCGTGCAAGATAATACATTTTTTCGGTATACTCGTATATATATACATATATATATATATATATGTTGATGTTGATGTTGTGCCGCCCGCTTCGGCATTTGGGGGTATCTCTGCTTCAACAGAGCGGCGCGTGATGAGCAGTAGTTTAGCCGAGAGGCGTGGTCGCCAGGCCGGAAACTGGGAAGCCATGATTGCCTTGCTGTATATATATATATATACGCTAGAGCATGCTGCTTTCGGAATGTTTGTCGTAGAGGAAAGGGGAGGCGGGAATCTTTTTTGTGCCCTTCCGTGCCTTCCTCCTGCACACCCAAGCTGCTACGTTTAGGAGCCCACCTTGCTGCCACATGTTAGAGTCAGTGCATGTGATAGGTACATTGATCTATCCAACTTTTGACCCCTGTATCAGCTGTAGTTGATGTATACAATTCTCGAGGCCCTCTCCGAGAAAGTACTTTTTAGCTCACCGCATTATAGGTTCATGTCTCGACAGCGGGACGAAGAGAGAGAGAGAAAGAACGCCTCTAGATAGAGGGGCACGCGGCTACCACTCCGCAGAGCGCACAAGAGGCTATAGAGTATACTGGAAGACAAACGCGTTCCAAGAGCTTTGGGGGCCCCTAAGGATCCCCCAAAGCCTGCCTGCCTCAGGAGCGTACAGACAGCGGGTAATAGACACCGTTTCCAGCAAACTCCTGCTGCCGAATATCATTCAGCTGGCCCTCTCGAGGTCCGTCTATCTGTCGCGTACAGAGTTTTTTGGCTCAGCTGGGGGTACGTACACTGCGACATGAGTTCTCTCAGGAGTGTTGCTGAGCGGGTTTGCCGTGCTGAGTGCAGGAATGCGTGATTTTGGCGTCCGCGATTACAACGTATGTGCCCACAGAAGAGCATTTATGGAAGGAGGGGAGGGGAGGGGAGTAAATGACTAAAAACTCCCCCCGTGGCTTGGCTCTGACAAGAATGCATGTGCGCTTCCACCATGAACGCGCGTGCCTCCTAGCGTCCCGGGCAGACTACTAAGTACCTCATGGCACCTAAGGAGCCTCGAGGGTGCAGCAGGAGCTGCCAAACGCGAGTCTACAGTCAGTGCTTTGCAGTGTCTTCTACTCTGCTGCCAGGTTGTTACAGGCCGCTCAGGCTCCCTACGCAGGCCGCCCCCCCGTAGGCTTAGGCACTCTCTCGGTGCCGTCTGTGTGCCCCCCTTATTTCTGAGCATTTGCGGCAGCACGCAGTACTGCTGCACACATCACACGAGGGCTGCTGCATAGCCCGTTGGGGTACAGAAGGCGACACACAGCCACGCGGTGGGGAAGCGCAAGCAGACAGACACAGACGCAAGGTGCCTGTGCCTGCCCAAAAATGCCACAGCAGCAGGCGCGCTTCACGTGGCCTCTTCTGGCAGTTCAGAACCCCACACAACCGGGAGCTGCCAATTGTTTCGATATTTCCGCCCCGAAAGTACAAGGGGATCTCCCCAGTAGAGTTGCGCTTTTACCAGATCGTCATACGTGAGGGCTTCACAATCCTCAGCGGACTGCAAGTGGCACTCCTCCCACTGGGAGGCATGCCCGCCTGCGAGCGCCTCAGGCTCTCGAGTACCTGCTCCTCTACAGTCTCCGCGGGAGCTCGCCAGCATCCTGAGTCTGTTCCACCACTCCGTGTCTGGCGAGTCTGCCTCGGACATGGCTTGCGCCGCTGCCAGCTGCGCATCCTTCTCCGTCAAGAGCTCCGCGAGGGAGAAGCGCGTCGGCAGTGTTGGTCGGCTATGTCTCAGGGCGGGAGGCAGAGACGAGGCGGGCTGCTTTCGCCGCAGACTCGCAAGAACATCCTGCAGCCTTGGAAGACGCGGCGTAGATGGCGGTAGGAGGGGCGGCACTGGTCCTGCAGCTGCAGCTGCTCCCGCTGCTTCGACGCCGTTTGGAATTTCTCCCTGAAGCCGCCAGTGCGGGCAAGACCCTTGCAGATCGGCTCGTCTAGATGCGTGCGCGTCCTCGTTAGTCGTGGCGCGAATCGCAGGAGAGCCGGAGGACGGCTTTCCGATCGCCTGAGGCGCAATCTCCTCTTGTGCCTGCGGAGCTTTGTCCAGAGACAAAGGCCTTTGAGGATCATCCGGAGAAGCACGCGGCTCCTGCAGGATCGCCCTCAAGCGCCCTGCCACGCGGAGCAATCGAGCGGCAGATCTGCGTGAAGTCGGCGTATCTGGACGCCTCCTGTCAGCATGCAGAGCGCCCCCTTTACGGTCGACTTGCATCTGCAGCGCAGCCTCGACATAACCCCATGCACTCATCGGCTGGCTAACGTCGATAAGGTCTCCTCTGGGGAGCCTCTCCACGCAGCAGCAGCAGCCGCCGACGCCACTCCCTCCCCCACAAGGCGCACTCGGAAACGCTGAAGGTCCATACACCCCGTGAATCCTGTACAGAGGCTGGCAGAGATCATTGTCTCGGAGAAGAAAGTCGGTCGGGAAACGAGCAGCTGGCTGCTGAAGAGTCTCTCCCCTGAGATACGACGCATACAGCAGCGCTAGTTGAGCATCCCGTTGCGCGTCTTGCTGCTTGCGTCCCCCCAGAGAGGCGGCGAAGGCGGAAAAGGACTGGCGGTGACGAAAGGGGCCTGCGGAGAAGCAGGGATAGACAAACACACGAAATGCGAAAACTCCAGAGCCATAGGACCGACACTGGCACAAAGACTCAACCGCAACACCACTGCATGGAGAAGACTCAACAGCAACACCACCGCATGGAGAAGACTCGACAGCAACACCACCGCATGGAGAAGACTCGACAGCAACACCACCGCATGGAGAAGACTCAACAGCAACACCACCGCATGGAGAAGACTCAACAGCAACAACATCGCGCGGCAAAACAGGAGCGCTCACACGCTTGTTCTGCCGAGGAAAAGAATCAACAACATACACTTTTTAGTAAAGAAGACGCACTTCAAAGACGCAGCAGCACACAGAAGCGAAAAGACTCGGCCCAAGGTCAGTCAGCACATGTTGAAGAAGTACACGCCCAAATTTTCCAGAGAGAGAGAAAGGCGTAAACTGCAAGACACTAAGAAAGACCCCTTCTGCTCCCAGGTTGTCTCTCCCTACCCGACGGCTGCTGCTGCCGCTCTGCTTCCTGGAGAGACAGCCATGCGGACGGGGGGGCCCCTTGAAGCGAACGCAAAGCTTCAAGGGAAGAGCCTTGCGTCTTGAGAGCCAAGTGATTGTGCAAACACGACAGCCTCTCATGCCGCCTTCCCGGAGATCCCCTCTCCGAGCGCTGCCTTCGTTTGCGCAGTCCACTCTCTTCCGCCTCGCTACCACCACTACTGCTGCTGCTTCCCAGGTCGAAATCCCATGGAGCCTCCAAGTCTTGCTTGTTGCTGCTGCACGGGGGGAAATGAATATATGGCTGGACAAAGCACACCTCGGAATGCGGAGAAGACACATGTCTCAGGCAGCCCAAAAAGCGGCGATGCTCGGGGAGGACCAACAGCGAGGCGTTGGCACGTGGAATCCATTCCATCTGCGACATCACAGCAAAGACAAAGAAGTAGCTGTAGCTGTAGCTGTAGGTGTACGTGTAGGTGTGTGTATGAGTATGTGTATGTGCATGTGTCTGCATATGTCGGTGTGTATGTCTGTGTGTATGTGTCTGTATATGTTTGTGTGTCTGCATATGTCTGTGTGTGTGTCTGTGTGTATGTTTGTGTATTTCTGTACATGTTTGTGTGTATGTGTATGTCTGTGTGTATGTCTGTGTGTATGTTTGTGTATTTCTGTATCTGTCTGTGTATGTCTGTATATGTCTGTGTGTATGTCTGTATGTGTCTGTGTGTATGTCTGTATATGCTTGTGTACTTCTGTATCTGTTTGTGTATGTCTGTGTGTATGTCTGTATATTTCTGTATGTATATCTGTATATGTTTGTGTGTACGTATGTGTATGTGAATGTATGTCGTGTGCATGTAAAAGTATGACTGTGTACATGTACAACTATGTCTGTATATCTGTCTGTACGTCTGTGAGGGTCAACAATTGTACGAGAATGCACAAAGTGAGTGGAAGGGACAAGGAAACCAGGACTGTTGCACAGGATGGATAAGGCGCACACGGCGTGAGGAAGCTCCGCGAAGAGACAGACTGGCAGGAAGACAAAAGTCTATATAGAGACACTAAAAATACCTGAAGGATCATCGGGAGGAAGGCCGTCTCTAAGCGCAGCTCCTTCAGGGAGACACCGCGCTGACCAGGGGCCTTCAGATGCAGGAAGTAGAGCACTTTTTCCGTCTGAGAAGAGCAACCACCCCAAACACGCATGCTTGCAGACAGACAGACGCAAGCAGGAAAGCACGAAAGACAGACAACACCACGCATGCCCGAAGGCCTGTACAGACAAGCCAAGAAGCACTTGCGAAGAGGATCGTGACATACGCAGGAGAGGGGCACTCAAGAGCTCCCGTTGGTCGTCCCCCCCACTCCCGTCTCCCCCCCGACCAAAGATGCACGAACTTTGCATTCGGTGAACTTCCCGTGGAGACTGTGGAAGACGTTGTGGATACAGACAGACAGGCAGAGGGCGGAGGAAGGAGCACAGCAATAACAGCGGCCACGAGAGAGGTAAAGGAGGCGTGCATGCGAGAGAGAGAGAGAGAGACAAACAGACAGAGAGAGACAAACAGAAAGACAGAGACAAACAGAAAGACAGAGACAAACAGAGAGACATGTGGACACGTGGAGAAATCGTACAATCCCCTTGCGAGAAACAATGGCGAGCCACTGCAGCATTGGATCCTTGGAAAAGGTGAGGATGGAAAAACGTTCCATCTTAGCGCCGCTTTGTCCATAGCGTGCCCCCACAGGCAGCTCCCCCTGCACTCGAAGAGACAAAAGATCCTTTTCCTCTGCTGCTGCGGCGCGGGAGGCGGAGAGAGAGGAACACCGCAGACCACGCTGAGCAGCTCCTCCACCACTAATAGAAGTGCCACTTCTTTCGCAACTGCCCCCCGAAGAGATGCCTGCAAGACCCTTTCCTGCACGTTGTTGTCGCAAGCACGCAAGGCGGAAACGTAATTGGCAGAAGAGTCTGCATCTTCCCCTTGCAGACAGAGGCATTAGGAAGCACCAGCATACCAGGATGATGCTCCTGGAGAGCTTGCCGCACGGAGAACGGCTGCCCTAAAGGCCCAGCGCGCAGCTGCTTCTAAGAAGCCTTTGCGACGACACACCCCAGGTGAAGACGGCTTCTTTTCTAAAAAGCTGCTGCTGCAGGAGGAGGGACAGTCTCTCGCTAAGCCGGCAAATCGTGTTCTGCTGGCGCTCCCACCCAATCTGGCAAGGGATCTTACGGACTGCTGCTTCGCTTGCAATCGCTCATATAGCTGGCTAGCTGGCTAGCTGAATACATATCGCTGGCTAGTAAGAGCGCTGCACACTAGCAGCAATCCGATCTGGCAGGCGGGCAAGCATGCGGTGATGGCACTTGAAGGTGTCTCTGTCTCTCACCCTGCAGGAGATCTCGAGCGGTATGCAGCCCCTTCTTTTCTCGAGAATACAAACATCGCCTCGCTGAGGGAGATGGCCCTATTGACGCACTCCGACTGCAACTTCTGCTGCTGCCTTCTTCGCTCCTCCGGGAGCCTTCATGATGCCTTTCCTCATCGACCTCCTCCTCATGCTGCTCTTGCGGGTGCCGCTGCCTTTGCATCGATTCGGCAGGCTGCTGCTGATCCATGATGGCTTGCACGCGACACTGCTGCTGCCCCTGCTTTCCTTCACCTTGCTGCCGTTGTTGTTGCTGCTGTTGCTGCTGTTGCTGCTGCTGCTGTTGTTGCATCCGGTCAGCTGCGGGGAGGCTCCAGAAGGCCTCTAGAGGGTCCTGCAGTGTCTGTACGGCCCCTGCTGTTGTTCCTGCTGCTGCTGGGAGTAGCGAGAACAAGACACAGAGCTTCTCTCTCCAAGCTACCAGAAAGGACCCTCCCTCTTGTGCTTCCAGACGATCGAAATACCCCGCTTTGGGGGTCGGAAAGCGGTATCTGAAGCAAAAAGCGCAGCTGTCCGCATTCCCAAGTCCACTCACACACAATGCAGCAGCAAGGCAGCAGCAGCAGCAAGGCAGCAGCAGCAGCAAGGCAGCAACAGCAGCAGGGCAGCAACAGCAGCAGGGCAGCAACAGCAGCAAGGCAGCAACAGCAGCAAGGCAGCAACAACAGCAAGGCAGCAGCAGCAGCAGGGCAGCAGCAGCAGCAAGGCAGCAACGGCTGACCTAGCCAACACTCGGTGATGGAGGTCAAGCACAACAATCATCCCGCAAGGCAGCACGATCGCCACGAGCCACCTGCCGCAGTCACTCTCTGGCTTGGAGATCCCCATTGCATTCAACGTGGATGAGGAAGCAGATGCAGCAGCAGCGGCGGGAAGAGGCGGCAGCGGCACGAGAGGAGGCCTCCCCTCTGTTTGCAGCTGCTGATGAAACGCAGCAACGGGGAAATCCCTCTGCAGCTGGCTGATAGATTTGGGGAAGCCCTCAGCAGGAGCAGCAGGAGCACTGGAGAGCTCTTCCGTGTCAGTCGAGGTTGCCCAATTCCCTCGATAGACGCCGCTGGTGAATTGCAGGCAGCAGCCTACAGTATATTTGAAGAGGGCAATGGCGTAAGTGCCTTTTTTCAGCCGTCCAGTGCCCCTCTCCGGAGCCACAGGAGGCCCTCCTGCAAGCCCACCTATCTCGGATGTTTCTCGCTGATGATGCCTCCCGTCTCGCTTCTTTCCCCCCCCTGACTTCTTATTGAGGCTTCCCGTGCGCTGGAAGCCAGTCGGCTGTTGGGGAGGTCTTTGCATGCCCTGCTCTCCCTGCTGCTGTTGTTGCAGCTGGTATCGCTGTTGCTGCTCTTGCTCTTGTTGTTGTTGGAGGGAACCTTCGAGCGGTTGCTGCTGTTGCTGTTGAGACTTCGGTTGCATACCGAGAGAAGGCGGAGAGCTCTCCTCCAAACGTTCCCCCTCTCGCACGTCCCTTGGCTCCAAGGGAGAGCCGCCCTTACTGTCATAGGGGGCCCCTCTTCCCGCTGCTGCTGCTGCTGCTGTTTCTGAGGCGTCGCCTTGTGGCAGCTGTGGCTGCGCGGCGCTGCGAGCGCTTGAAGACGCAGCAGGAGCTGCGAATGTCAAGCAACTCAAGGCCAAGTCCAAAGACAGAAGTGACACGCAGCGCAAAGTCCTCTTTCCCGAGAAGTCTAGCAGCAGTCTGAGAGGCGGCGCTCCTGAGAACTGCAGCAAAGCCTCTGCGTAGCAGTAGGGGCCGCCGAAGGGAGGAAGGGAGCGGGGGGAGAGAGGATCGCGATCCCACGAATCCTTTTCCTCAAGGGAGAACAGCAAGGCGGGGCTTTCGTGCGAAGTTTGCACGAGTTCTTCCGCAGAAAAAACGTCGTCTTTAGCTGCTCCGTTGCAGCCAAAGCCTCCGGCTTCTGCAGCGGCCTTGTCGCCTGCTGCGCTGCTCGAGAAGCCTTCAGCCTCTCCCTGAAGAGGGGCTTTGGCGCGAACTTCTTCTCTCCCCACGCTGCATGTAGGCCCCCCCCAAGCGTCGATCACCCATTGCGAGGAGAGGAGAGCGGCATGCTGAGCCTCGCTGCCGATTTTCCCCAGCCTAAGGAGGCGAAAAAAGGCGAGCGCAGATCCCCCAACAACCTCGGGAGGGCAGAGCTCGAGCCGCGCCAGTCGTTGGGGGTAGTGCCCCTCAACGGCTGTAGTGACTGTAGAGACAGCAGCAGGAGCTGCTGCTGCTGGCTCTGCTGCAGCGTAATCGAGGGGGTACTCTGAAGCATGCGCTGCAGCCGCCGCTGCCTGCGATGCATTCGAAGCCTCTTGCGACGCTTCAAAGGAGCTTCGCACGGGCGTCCTTCTGGTGCCAGCAACTAGCGGCCGTAGAGCAATCAACTCGACAGTCCCCCGAGTGTCTACCAGCGTGAGGCAGATATCTCCGCAGTCAAAGGAGAGAGATGAGCAGTGAAAGGCGCGTGAACTTGTCTCTGCAACTGCTGCTGCTACTACTGCTGCCTCCGGAGATGCAGACGCGCTGTCTTCGCTGCGTTCGCTGCCTTCGCGACGGCAGCGAACGCAGAGGCCTAAGTGACATCGATTGCAGCAGCAGCAGCAGCAGCGTATCGGCTGAAGCAGCCTGTCTGCCTCAGTCGGCGCGGGGGAGCTCGCAAGCGGCATTTCCCACACCGGCAACAAATGCCGTGTATCAACAAGAACGATGCACCCCGCCTCGACGTCCTCCTGCTGCACGGCAGGGGGGGAGGAAAGGCGCAGGGGAAGCTGTCTTTGGGGACGGCTTGCCACTCGCGGATCGTCAGCCCCTGTAACAAGCGTCGTAGCAGCAGGGAGGTAGCCGCTGCTGGCCTCATCAAGCAGCGCTCCCTTCTCCTCATTCTTCCCGCATCCTGGAGAGGATTCGGAGGCTGCCGAAGTTTCCCAGCTAGAAGCGGCGCTCTCAAAGAGCCAAGGCGATCTTTTCAGTGCCGCTGCAGCGTCCCTGCATCTGCCACGGCCGTCTCGCAGTGGCAGCAGCTCTGCGTCTCGGTGCTGCGGAGAAGAAGAGCTTTTCTGCAGACATACAGGAGCGGCAGAGGGGCTTTCAGAGCGAGAGTTCTTTCCCCCTCCTACTGCTACTGATGCTGATGCTGCTGCCTTTCTTGCGGCACGACTCCGCAGCCTCCGCGCGGCGTAGTAGGAGTCCTCATCAGCTGGAGAATCAGCATGAGGAAGCGACTCCGAGGCGGCCTCTGTGTGGCGGCTGTTTTTCGCCTCCTTTGGAATCTCCAGAGGATCTCTCCCCGAAGCTGCTTGGAAATGCTCGGCACTGTGAGCTCGCTGCTCATTCTTCCGCTCTCGCACGGACGAGGCTGAGCGCGGCGAGCTCTCTGCCTCGTGAAGAAAATGTGCCGCTGCTTCCCGCTGCAAGGGTTCGGCTGTCTGAAGTCGCCGTCGCGCCTGTGCCTCGGAGGATTTTGGAAGTGTCTCCGAGGGCCTCTTCGAGGCGGGAGCGCTCGATCCAGAAAGGCCTTCCCCCCTTGTTGTTTTGCACTGCTCTGAAGCAGCCGCGAGAGCTGCAGCGCTGTACGGCTCCAGACAAATCGCCGCCACTGCGCCTGTCTGACTCACTGCAAAACAGCGGACGGCTCTGCCCCTGGGGTCTGCATACAGCCGGGCAAGCGAGGACGGCCTCTCCCTGCTGATGGCGTGATTGATGCAAACATCCATGATGCTCCTCTAGGGAGGGAGGGAGGGGGGTAAGAGGAACGACAGAGAGAGAAAGAGAGAGAGACAGAGAGAGAGTATCTCTGCACAACGGGGGACGGGGGCCCCCCGGAAGGGCAGGGTGGTGGAAAAGGCTCAAATAGGAAACGGCGGAGGGCGCTCGGAGGCCTCCCGCCGTGTGAAAGATATGGGAAAATCGAATAAAAAGCCCTTCTGAAAAATGAAGATCCCGCGGCAGGAGGAAGAGTTTTTGCTGCGATCATGCCGTCGTCTCTTGCTAGGCAGCGAGTGCTCCCGAGTGGCACCCTCGCGAGATGGGCAAGTAGGAGGGGGCCCCTGCGAAGCCTCTCGCAGTGTAAATCGGTGAAAGGCGTCATAACAAAGCCCTACCACAGTTTCAAGTGCGACTTCCTGGTGGAATCCAGGCGAATAGCGATTCCGAGAGGCGCAAGATGAGCAGCGGCTCGAAGACGAGGGGACGGCAGCGGGAGCCATAGGGGGGGGTCGGTGGCCTTTGGGGTACCACGAAAAGGGGGAGCAGAAGAATGGAGGAAATCCTCGAAAAAATTACCCCCTTGTTCTCCCCCCGCTCATGCTCACACTGGAGAGTACATTCAGACAGACTTCAAGTCTGCATAGAGAGAGGCGTATTACGTAGGCGACAAGGCATGTCATCGCTCCTATGCATGCACAGTCACACCCGAGAGTCACCTGAAATTTGTCTGCCTGCATATATCTGAACGGGAAGTGTCTAGGCTTTTCTTCCACTCTTCTCGATGCACATCCGCCATTGGGCGTGAGAGGACTTTGCGCCAAAGGCATTTTTCCCCGACTCTCAACCCCTGGTGCTCGCCTCGTCGCTCTCTCTCTCTCTCCTTTCCTCCTCTTTCTTGGCACTTTCGGCGCCGTTGGAGATGTGAAAATCCCACATCCTTGGAGCGTCTCCGAAGAAGGATCCCCTTTGGTTCCTTGCTGCTGCTGCAAGGAAGAGACAGGGTGTGAAGCGCATGTTCCACCAAAGCGTGGCCATAGAATGCAGCGCGAGAAGGCAATGCAAGGAACAAGTGCAAGAAGAAAGGGGTCAAGGTGTACACTCAAATCCGCCTAGAGAGTGCACGACACCCCTGTTGGAACGGGGTTGCTTGCGTCTCTCCACACACGCGTCTCTCCGCGTTTTTTCGGCCCTTACCCTTCACTGTGCAGCTACAGACAAGTGCTCCTCTTCTCAGACCAGCCTTACGTCTTATGAGCCGTATCTTTTTCTCTCTTGCTCTCGCACGACTAGCAATGGGCTTCCTGAAACTGTCTCTCGCGTTGCACGGTGTTCTGGTTGCCCTTACAGCCAGATCTACAGACGCGCTTGCTAGGGGTACTCTGTGCAAGACTCCCTTCGCCTTCGTGGGCAAGTATGCCTCCGCTCAGGCTGTACCAAGGGCTGCTGCGGCAGTAGGCTGCAGACACTTGACCTCTGATTTTTCCGCGGCAGCAACTGCTGCAGGAGGGGGGGATGAACGGGGGCATCAAACTGGTACGCCTTCAGAGCGGCAGCATCAGCATCTGTCACAGCAGGAGGCAAGGGGCACTTCGGGAGATCGAAGTGTCACAGAAGCTTCTGAAGAGGAGATTGGAGGGCAACAGGCACCTCGGCAGTGTCTTCTAGATTCGCATGCGCGCAATCCGACTCTTACAGCAACTGAAGAGGAACTCTCGGCAGAGGCGGAGGACGTGTCTAGTGGTGGCGATCGTGTGCCTCTTACGGCAGAAGCAGTGGAGGAGGTTCTGCGGGAAATTCAGCCGATGCTTCGTTCGCACGGGGGCGCTGTACGGCTCGTTCAAGCAGACATAGAGAAACGCCAAGTGTACTTGGAACTGCTGGTCAGGCAGGCCGCTCTACAGTGTAGGGAGGGCGGGGGAGGGGAGTGGCACAAGCGTCTCGACTGCCTTCTCCTTTTTTCCTGTCGTTGGTGTTGGTGTGGCTGTCGGAGCGACGCGGCTCAGCTTCTACGGCCGAAAGCTCAGAAATTGTGACCCCTGCATCGGATGTGTCTGCAGGGAGCCTGTGTGGGTTGCCCTTCTTCCTCGGTGACTCTGAGGAACGGCATTGAGGCAACCCTTAGGGAGGTGTGGCCTGGGGTGGAGGTGTTAGAGGCTTCACCCTCCTTCGAGAGAAACGCGGATGTGGCAGAAGCAGTCGTTAATGCCGAGACAGTCGGAGATGCCCTCAGCGCCATACTGCCAGCAATTGAACAGATGGGAGGCAGCCTCTCCATAGCTGATACGGGCAAGCCTTCGAAGCACGCTTGGCTAGACGGAGGAAGGGGGGGGGGTTAGCATGTGGTTCTTAGGGTGCAGCAGACTTTGTTCAAGGCCCGGGGAGTTGCCGTCTCGCATGCGGTGCAGATCTCTTTGCAGCTGCGCTTCGGGGCTTCTCTCGCATGAAGCGTCGCCTATTTTAGCTTGCGATTGTTTTCCGAGTCGAGAAATAGGCGGTCTTAGACACTTCCTGTCTGGCATTCAGCTTCGTGTGTGTTGGGGTGCTGCACAGAGAACGGCGGAGTCTCGTTGCTTTATGAGGGGCCGAATGCGATTACCGTCAAATATGGTCTAGAGGTGAGGCCTTTTCGGAGCTACCAAGTTCTACGAAGAGGCGACTGAGGCTGCTCCTCTGCAGTGTTCAACTGGTGGGTACGCGGTTTCCGCTGAAGAGTTGCGTATTTTTTCTGAAAAACTGTGCGAGTGCATTGTGCGTCAGATGGAGCTGAGAGACAAGCTTCCCGGGGGGCTGGACACTGTGACCGTCGAGGCCCGAGAATCGGATGCATAGAGAGGCGCGAAAGCCGCCTGCCTTGTGGCGCCTGCCGCTTCCAGCACTGCAGTTGCCTCCAGCACACTGAGTTATTACTCAGCGAGAAGAGCAAGCAGCAGGGGGGAACGGACAGGGATGGTGGGGAGGCACACGGACAGTGGGCCTGCAAACGGGGAGTGACGCGTAGGGGGCTTCACGAAAACATGCACGCTTGTTCATACTTTCTTCATGACAGAAACTAAGGAATTATCCGCAGTTTTTCCTTGCGCGGCGCATCTTTCGACGTTCTTCTGCACTACGCAGTCCCTCAATTCGCCTCTGCGTCATTTTTGAACTCACCCTCTCTAACACACACACCCTTTCTGCATACATCTACGACTTGCACCAGCAGCGCACCGCTTCACGTGCAAGGCTGGCTTCTACATTCGCGCTGCGTGGAGGGTGCTCATCCTCCTGGGGACTTGATTTTTCTGGCACCCGCTGGACACCGCTGGACTACTTTGTGGAAAGGGTGGGAAGTGTGTGAGTGTTGCTTTCCTGGGCTGCCGTGCGAGCCAAGCGAAAGGGGCCGCCCCCTGTACCCCCACCTACCCACCCCATCATTCGCCAAGAGGACTATAACCCTTTTTTAGGAGGTTGGAACGAGGGATAAAGAGGAACTTTTTGCTTCTCGCCTCGTCAAGTTACAAGCGCTTTCAAAGCCTGTGCTCTGTTCGTTTCGGAATGGGCCGGAGAGCTATTGAACCCAACACTCCCTCTTCGCACTCTCTCCGCAGAGACCTGTAAATAAACGGAAGAAGTTTCTCATTAGGCGGACCACGCATCGTGCATCAAGCTGTTTTGATAAATCGGCCGGAGACTAGGTGCCCCTTGGGTGTTCAAGTGCCGATTTTGCACGTTGCTTAGGCGTAGAATGCAGAACATACACATGCATATGTATGGTTGTAACCTGATTTGATATAGGCGTAAAGGTGGCGGCCTCGCCCTGAAACATCTTGTACCCGACTGTTATCGTTTGCATTTTTAAATTCCAGACATTGTTGTATTATCCAAGGAACGAAATAAGCTGCTTTCTGGGGATTCATTATGTTCAGTTTAGGTCTGGAGTCTATGGCGCACAAAGTTTCGGACGTGCAGCTCACAGTTCAAGGGCTCAGGGGGCCTCTGGCGCGCGATATAGGGTGCCTAGTGCAAATTGCTCTATTCTTATGCTTTTCATTGTTGCCCAAAACAACAGTCGCTTATGCCCGTTGCATTGGCTCATGGTTTATGGCGCTACTATGGTGACCTGGCATCTTCGCTTGCTTCTTCTGAAGTAGCGCAATGCACTTTCAAGACGTAGAAAATGTTTCGCGTCCATGGGACCTAGGGTTTGGGCCATTTTGAAAATATTTTAGGGCAATTGGAACCCACGAAAAGGTGCTCTGTCCTCCTGTATGTCTATTTACTCCGATTTGCCGTTTTTCGGGACCGTCCGGCAGACAACAGGTTTTTCTAATCATCCCTAATTATTGGGATCACTTCGCGAGTAGCTCCACCGTCGGTTCGCGAGCAGCCCGCTTCTGTCAGGATGTTGGCTTGTCGCGTAGCACTCCTTTTACCCACAATGCATGTCTATTCGGAAAAAGGCTGGTCTAACCCCTCTCGGTGAGGCATTCTTGTCAGTAGCGCATCATAACCTCTGCGTTCTGGCTGTTAAAACTCAGTTTCTCGTGGCATCCGCCAAGGTTTGTGTGTGTGCCGCTGCAAAATGTAGGAGTCCTCACCAAGTGTTCTGCCAGCCTTAATTTTGAATATGACTCGGAGTTTGGGCTACATTCAGCTACGTGTACGAGCCCACTGACCGCCGCGTACCCTATTTCGCATCATCAAAATTAAGAGGACTAATAAAATCATGCCCTTTTCTTCTTCCATCATCTTTCAGGTGCTGTTGAACTTCCCACAAAAAGATGCGCAGCAAAAATAGGGATGGCAGTCTTGCGACTGTACAACACATGCAGTGTAGGTTCAATGTCTATCCAAACGAAATCAGTGGTCTAGACCGCCTTTTACTCTTTGAGTGCCCGTTTCCCGTCGAGGCAAGCATCCCAAAACACTACTTTCCAGGCATTCAAAGCGCTAAAGATGCTTCCACAAGAGTGCCGCGAAAGCATGATGAGAGTTAGCAAATACACCCCATTTTTAGCGTGTTCAGACTACTCTGCATGCATCTGTCAATGTCCCGCCCTGCTCGGGTCACTGTGTGTTGCACTATTTGTAGCCATGGGTTCTCCATCCTCATATCCACGCTTTCCTGCCCCCCGCTGCAGTCTGTGCATGAGAAGGCCGCGCCGCATAATTGCATGTATCTAAAGCGACTTTTTCTCTAAGAGAAGAAGTCCAACCATAGACAGCTCAGATAAAGTGCACCCCTGAACCCGCCACTACTATCGGTCGCACTGACTGGATCAGTTGCGATACGCGCGCTATCTGCACAGGGACCAGCGGCACACGCAAAGTATGCTCCTTCCTCCCAGTTAGCGTGCTCCCTAGAAAGGAACAAGAGGCGTGCAGTCTTTGGAACAGAGGCTCAGCAAAGCGTAATACGCATGTCTTCCAAGGCGCAAGGTTAGCCCTTTCTCCGCATGTGGGTTTAGGAAAGCCCACCACTAGGTCTCTGCGTCGCATTGCTTGTTCCAAGAGGCAGCGAGGACAAATCAACCGGCCCCGGGATTAAACGCTTTTGCTCCTCCCCTTCTACCCCACAGAGAGTGCCTGTGGTCAGTCGGTATGGCAGCAGATGATAGGCGAGGCCACCGTTGCTGTTCTCACTGACTGACACGCGCACGCGTACGGTGCACCCTTGAGCCTAAACCCTCAACATGCCACGAATAATGGGTTCGCTCAGGACGCTTCCACCGTCCTTTCCAGCTCTACTTGTGCGCACCAGACGTAACCTGGGCATGAAGCGTGGGCATTCATTCACTGGGCTGGCTTTGCACAAGCACAGCCAGGTCGCTTGCCTTCCTCCTTCAGTCTCCGCTTCTCCTTCTGCTGTGCCGCCTTCTGTTTGCGGGCTTCCACCTGTTCCTGCAGGGCCTTCTCCTTGACCCTGAGGTTTTTCTCGTTGTGGATTGCCTCAATCAACACCCGCTTGTTCTTGAACTGGTTACCCTTGCAGCGCAAGTACAACTTGTGATACCTAATCACGCACCCGTTCCACACAAAAACGATGCGACGCTACTAGATAAACATACAACAGCACAAAAAAGGAACGCTTGCTTGAACGCTGGATCCCATCATCCACGGACAGTCAACCCCGATGCACCAATATCTCCCCCGACGTTGACGGCCTCAAGCCACTGTCCAGACACCGCGGAATCAACCAATGAAAAACACGCCTGCCTGCCCCCCGTCCCCCCGCAGCCCCTAGCATCCTCGAAGGCCCCTCCCTCCATGAACGATTGTACTGCAGGAGGCTGCCTTTTGCAGAGAGAGAGAGAGAGAAAGAGACCTACATGTGGCTGTCAATCTTCTTGGCATCTCTGTACTTCTTCAAGAGACGCCTCAGCACGCGCTGTCTGCGCATCCAGAGAACCTTGGCGGGAAGCCGTGCATCACGAGTACCCCTTCTTTTGCCAATGCCCATGTGACGACCTAAACCAGACAATGCAACACAACAGCGCGCATTGTCACTGCCACGTCCCACTGCCTCCAACAAACCCCTCAACTCTAAAATATACACTTCCCTTTGATTACCATTCGGAAAAACAAAAGGCACTGCCGCCGACACATCGATATGCGCGGCGGAAGGCCGCTGAGACCTCCTGCGCGGGCACCACGCTGATGACGCTTGCTCACGAGACTAACTGAAAACCAATGACAGACTCACCCTGACGCTTCGCTTCCTGGTAAAGCCTGTATCTGTATTTGGAGTGCACCGCGACGGCCTTGCGGATAATGAGGTTATCCCTGATGAGTTTGCGTACAGAGAAGCGGCTGTTAGCCATTGCAATGTCGCTGGACTCGTTGGGGTCTAGCCACACGCGGCCTTTGCCGCATTTCAAGATGGACGCCGCAAGGCGCTTCTGGAGCCGCAGAGACTGAAAAAAAACGCATGCACACGACGGAGATGCTCGCATAATTCGCGTATCTTCGCCAGGCACGGCGGCTAGCCACTCAGCGGCTCCAAGGAGCACCTAGAAAAGCGGAAACGTGCGTCCAACAAGAATAGGCACGCATGGAAGCACCCTACCCTACACGCAAACCGTGCATGTAAAAGGGTGTCAAATCGTGCAGACGGCCACCCCCCCGTGCAAAGCATGGTACAATACTCGGGTGCATCTCCAGCACACGGCTTCCTATAAAATGATGAGTTTTCCCCAAAGTAGAGAGGTGCTACAGCATCGATGCGTGTCTGAACGCGGGCTAACAAAGAAGTGCGTCCACAGTGGAGCGTGGATTGCCGGCAAGCCCACGGAGCCACTAAGGCAATTCACATATGTTGTTCATTCCAGCCCGTTTCGGGAGATACAATAGCTCAAAATGAACGAATAGTTCATGAGAGGAACAAAATGAGAGACCCGCAGATAACTCCCTTGCGTAGCCAGAAGCCCTACAAGAAGCAACAAGGCCTTCTCAATAGAAAGCCGCACGGCTCATATTTTCCTTAAACGCCACACCCAACACAGCAGTAAATGAAATACAAGGGATATAGTTGATTCTAGGAATCAAAACCCATGGAGTTTCAAACGGGCAGCCCCCACCCCACACGCCTCTTCCGGGAGCTCTGCACTCCCGCGCGCAACAGATCACGTGGCCTCTCCGCGAAATTGCGCATAGACCGTTCGGAGAAAAGAGAGGAATCAAATGGAGAAGGCATAACGGCCCGTTATCGAGGATCCTGGAGCTCTGGCCGTTTGTGCCTCGGTAACCAGCTGGGGGCAGGAAGAGGACATACCATTTTCACGGGGGAGTAGCAAGAGAGGGGTCCACCCGTCAGTTCTTCTGAAAGGCCTCACCACCGAAATTCTGAGACTCAGGAAGCCTTATGGTGCGCCAGAGCCCCAAAGAGTCCTTTGCTACGAAAACACCAGTAGCAGCAACGCTCAGCCCGCAGCAGCTGCACAGCTGCAGTAGTGGCGACGGTAGCCTCCGTGCATGCACTTTTGTTGCCCGGGGCTTTTATTCTGTTGTGCCTTGAACAAAGGTCATTTGGACTTATAGCGGCGCATAAAAACACTTAAATCATGCTTCGATTCGCGCCACCAGATGAGAGGCGGAAGCAACACTGCTGGCTCCCCTCTACCAGTGGTGCTTCCGATTCCCTATGGGCGTTTGCAAGCCACCAATCCTGTTTTCCCCCAATTCTTCCAAGATCAATGTTATGAGAATCGATTGAATATGCTTCCTGCCAAGCTGGATACGTGTTTTTTGTGTAGCGTGCCAAGCCCTAATTCTGCAGTTTTGCATCCCCATTATTGCGTAGCTATGAATTACTTTAAAACTGTTTGTTTAGTGTGACTGTTCGCACGGGCTATTTAGAGCGCATGAGGATTGTTTTATTATTGTGCAAGAAGAAACTATGTGTAACGCGCCCTCTAATGTCTTCGTGGCGAAAGAAATCCAAAGAAACAGTGACACACGCAGTAGCCAGTAACGAACCCGGGGACCACACCACTACGACCGCGGTGGCGCCATAGCTTGCTGTATTCGGGGCGCTGAAATGTGTGGGCCACCTTCTACATGAAAACAGAAGAAAAGTAAAACAAATAAGGGGAAGAAAAATGCACACTTGTTACACTAGCTCAGCAGTGCCGCCGCGCTTCAAAGAGCAATCTCTGCATGCAGATGCATTTGGTGCATGCCGGTAGTGTCTTCTTTAGAGTCTTTAAAGACGCACAAAAAGCAAAGTAGGGACACGATAAACGAGAGCGCCTGCGCATAAAGTAGAGGGTAGAGAACATCTCTACACTCTAACAGCCGCTATCTTGTCAAGCAATACCCATAGGTGAAGGTGGCGTTTACAGGCTGAGCATGCGCTAGGGAAGAGCAATTATCAATAAATCCGAAAAATGCCTCCAATAAGACTAGTATTGCTAAACTTGCAGAACCCCTAACTGGTCCTGCAAGTGACAAACTCTGCCACTGGTCCCCTGTCGCCACCGAGCTTGGTGTCCCTCACATTATTTCACCAAACGTTCCCGTCTATAGTGTTCTCGAACCTTGATAATGATTTAATCCTGCATTTTAATGATTCCATGTCTATTTTCTATCTCCACGCGCGCCACCTGTCTGCGCGGCAAAGTTTGCAAGCAGTCCGCGGAGCTATGAAGCTGTTAAAGGGAGTCTCAATCAGTAGTTTTGTGGGAGTACCAACTTTTGAGAAATCGCTGGAGTGGCAAAGATAAATGAGTCGCAAGAGGACGTCCGATGGTCCTAGCCACGTTGCCACAAACTTCCCTGTCTTGTCACTTCCTGGTGGACATCTGAAAGCCGGCCGATACACCAGGACCAAATCTCGAGGCTCGTGACAGACAGCCTACCGCCATGATTTAAGAGTTCCGTGCTTGGTATAGCGATTGATAGCTGAATTACCATGCTTCACCTTTCTTCATTTTGTCAAAGCTTGCTGTTGAGCTGATTGCGGCATAATCGATTGGCCAAGATTTGTGAAAGGGCACGAACTGTAGTGATCCCTGCAGGCAGATGACTTCCTTTACTCTAATCTCGTGATTATAAAAGTGCTTCACTCTCCGGTAGAAATGTCGGATGGACAGCTCTTTCTCTGTATGCCTGAGGCAAAATGCAATGTACTCCTTTAGGGGAAGAATGCAGTCTTCGGATATTTGCCCATCCTTTCGGCCGTCATATTTTGCTGGCCGATCTAACCTCATCCGCGCATCCATGAACATTTTCGACTAATGCTCCATTTGAGTTCTCTGTTGGGAGACATCTAGCTCTAAAGCCAAAACAAACTTGCTAAAAGGTTATTAATGACTTTTAGAGAGAGCTCCCATCCTCCCCTGCCCGCCTCACTCGAAGTTACTAATATGACAGCGGAATAACAGCTAGGGTGCGCGTAGCTGCACCCTCTTCGGACTGTAGCATTCACAACATATTAAACCTAGTATCTGCGTATCTGGCTCAAACAGCATTGCATCATCTTTTATCGAATTAAGAGTACCGTTAAAAACATCGAGACATACGAACCTCCAAAACAGTTAGTCAATTTTGAACTAGATCTTAGTCAAGTTTAATCGTGCAGCAGAACGCGTTGATGTGTAGCAGAGCTCGCTACACATTAAAGCCTTCGAAGATCATTGATCTACATACTACCGGCTACTGCATTCATTGGATCATTCAACCGTTAAGTACCTCCACTATGATTCCATGATCCCATTCGATGTCTCACGACGCATCAGATCAGGCCCGTCCCATCAGCAAAGCAGCTTTACACGAAGCTGTGCCAAAGCTCGCTGCAAGTTAAGGCAAATCAGTTATGCGTCCTAGCAATTCATGTAGGACATGCACACAGAAAGTTCTTGACCTGAATCACCCGTTGTCAGCTGTTAAATCTAGATCTACTTTTTTTCTCCAACGGGCACTTCAGCAAACTTTACCGCGTGGCCTCGAAAATTTTTGGCCTAAGAAGAAGAGAAAGCACAGGAACATTCCCTGTTGCACGCTCAGACGAATCGATATAGCTGTCCTTGAACAGCGAACTCAGTCCACATGTACAGTATTTTTTTAATAGTAGTGTATGTTCACATTGGAGAGCAATACACGCTGGTTAATGGATACAGCACATGAGCAGCTAAGCCATACACTCGAATGCAATAAGTGTTTGAGCTCAGTACTTTTGAACTGGACAAGATATTACTCGATCTTCATTTAAAGTCTGCAGGGCTATTTCTGTAAGAAATTCACAGCCGACCGCTTGTCTTAGGTAATGTTAGTGGTGTGGTCTTCTTCCCTCCACATTCATGTGATAGGTGAGGTGATGGAAATACGTGTGTGTACTTTTAGGAGTCCAAATACACAGAGCTGAGCTGGAAGCTTAGATGGCACGACGAGTCTGCTGTATGATGTCAGTTTCAAAGGTCACAAGCCTGCTCGTGTATTTTGGAACTGCCATCGCATAACGCAAGAGTTGTTCTGTTGTTTTCCCATCATAAATAGTGCGTATTGTATCTTCGTGGGTTATATTGGTACCGCAACCGCTTACGCTGCGCATTTTGGAAGCTCGAACATAGCTGCTACTCTAGCAGGGCCAAGGAAGCCAGTTGCAAAATGATGCAGTGTGGCTCGTCTCCCCCATTTATTTCCGAAAATTTCCTTTATTTTATTCGCATTACTCTTTAAAACCACGCAGGTCTCATCAATCTCCTTGATACTTCTGCCCGTAACATTGCACTCCCCTCAGAATGGCACGAAGGGTGTTCATCGTAACCGGAGGAAATAAAGGAATTGGCTTTGAAACAGCCAAGAAGATATGCAAAGAACTAAAGAATGAAGACGCAACTGTTGTTATTACCTCTAGATCTCCGGAAAATGGCGCGGTAAGGGATGGCATGTATCCTCGTGTACTGAAAGGCAGTAACAGTTTTGCTGTATACATGTAATTTCTCTTCGTGCTATAAAATCGGACAAAAGTACCACCAAGTAGCCTGTACACTGTAGGCAATGGCTTGTGAGTGTACAGGAATTGCTATGGGGAAGATAAAAGGCTATGCTTTACCTGGACATGCGGTTGTGAGTTTTCTTTTCTACCCAGCAAGCTGTGGCAAAACTGGCTGGAGAGGGTCTGAAGGTGGAAATGGTGCAGCTGGATATAGCGCATAAGCTTAGCAGGGAAATGTTTGTTGAGACTATTCGAAACAAATACGGACAAGTCGAGTGCCTTGTAAACAATGCAGGTAACTACAAGACAACTCCGTACCCCAGGCACTTTCTATAATCCTTTGAATACTCTAAAGGATGGGCTAGTAACGCCAAGCTTCATGAGACCACTTGTCTCCTTTTTTATCAATGTGAAACTTGGCAGGCTTCGCTTTCAAGAATGATGCAACTGAACCCGTGGGGGTGCAGGCAAGGATGACCTGCGGCATCAATTACTACGGCACTAGAGATGTAAGTTCGGATTCTACATCATCTTCACATAGTATGAGACTTCAAAAGAGCTGCTGTTATAAAAAATGCGCTTCCGTGTGGTTGAACTCCAAGCGCGCTGGTCACTATGGTTGGGTGTAAACGTAGGTCATAGTTGTATTAAGAACTAATAGTAGACCAGCCAGTCTGCGCTGGCTATCTCGGAGCCGCACGCAAATCGTTGATGTCGAAAACTGGATGTATCTAGGACAATAAGTATCCTCGTATTATCAGTGTGCATCTGGGTGGTCCCCCCTAAAGCCCAATATTGACCCTTACGATGTTGACAAGAGTGTTGTTTCGATGTCTACACATATGAAGTAAAGGCGTTCTTGTCTATCTGATTTTAAAGGTAGTTTGGCCCTTAAGTTGCATGTGAGTGAAAGGTAGCTTGTGCGGGCTTTCTGCTAATATTGCATCAGATTTTTCGCATTGTGTGCCCCTGTGTCTGCTTTCTAGCTAACGAAGGCCATGACGAGCCTTTTCACGTCGGGCTCTCGCATTGTTAACGTTGCATCGATGGCTGGACAAAGGGCCCTTACCCAAATGACTCCAGAGAGGCGACATCGCCTGATGAGCAAATCGGCAACGCTGGAGGTGCATCCCCTGCATGCAGAAGCCTTCAATTAAATATTTTCCCCTTCCACAGCTTAAAATAGCCTTTTGGGCGTGTCTTCTCTCTTAGCCTGCCTGTGCTTGATGGCGCTGGTTTGGCCTCCCCTTCTTCAGTTGCCTTGTTTTGTGCAGGCCGATTCCACGCATGTCCGTGTGTACCTTGGCTTTGGCCTACTTCGTCTCACTTGGCCCTGCTAGATCTTGTTTATCCGAGAAAATATTCTGTTACCTCTATTTTGTCGTCTCAGGATATCGACAGTGTCGTTGAGGAGTACCTGGCGGACTGTGCAACTGGCCGCATGGACGGCTGGCCTTCTACAACATACGGCTTCTCAAAGGTAAGGGTTTGCACGCGTGATTCATGTCCTTTCCTTTTGCATCGGTGTGGAAACAGAAGTGACAGTGGAATCATAATTACCACGGAGTATAGATGCGACAAGGAGGGAGGAATGATTTAATATTACGCCAACTGCTAGTACACTTTTCACATCCTACGGCAGCTACAAGGGATCTTACTATGTCCTCTCACATGAATGTTAAATCGTTGTATTTGCGTGGACGCTCTATATTTAGCGACAAAATCGGTGTTCGTATGTCTTGAAATTATCCTCTTTTTCCACAGGCTGCAGTAATCGCCATGACGGCAGCTTTGGCCCGAATGTCCGATAAGTGTCCAGCACTCAAAGACAGAGAGGGGATGGTGGTCACTTGCTGCTGCCCAGGTACACATGCAAATAGGTATTCGGCGTCAGGTGGAATAGGAGTTTGGAATAATCGGGCTCAGGCGTATTCTTCTGGCTTGTTGAAGTCGTCTTGTTTCGAATAGTACACGTGATCGTGTAATCATGCATAATATACCTCCTCTGCAGCGTATATCTATTTTTTCGTGGACCTATGTTTGCACGTCTGCATAGGTGCGCGAGTATTATCTGGGTACAGTGTACACCATGCGTGCAGGCTTATTCATGAGATTGTGTGCATGCAACTCTCGAGATGCAGAGAAAACTCGTTGAATTCTCTGGGTGTTCAGGGTGGTGCAAGACTGACATGGCCGGATGGGAGGCTCCTCCCCTCTCCGCAGCAGACGGCGCGGAAATCGTAGGGTCTCTGGCGTTGGGAGCCACCAAAGAACACCATGGAAAGTTTATACAAAAGGAGGAAGTACATGACTTGAGGGAGGACTAGATGTATATTTTCACGGGATAAGATAAGGAGTCAATTCCTAGTAGTGGTCAAACGAGGAAAAAGGAACATATGCCTTTCTTGATAAATTCATACAGGCGTGAGCATATGTATATAGAGAAGTGTAATGGTGCTTTTTGTGCGTATGCAAGCCTGTTGTGCGCATATCCGATAGACATATCGATGGCTCACCAGTCTACAAAAAAACCCATTACGTTCTAACATCAAGCCAAACTTAAAGTGTTCCAATCTAATAAATTTGAGCTATTTAAAGACTTTTGGCCATTTAGGTATGCACGCACAATTACCCCTGTCCCCGTCGTATTTTAGTCGCAGAAAACCAAAGGGATCTTCGGCATTGCACGGAGAAACAGTTTTGCTTGTTGCTACGTATACAACACTGGACAAGCGCATAAAATTATTGAGAACAAACCCCAGTGATGTAGCCCGGAGTAGCAAATCACAGCGTCTATTGCGGAAGGATCGCCGTCTGCCTCTGGCAGGTTCCACTGAAAGGCCCCACCGTGTTGTAACGAAGGTAAATGATTAGTACGAAAGCTGTAAGCATGGCAGAGCGACTACTATAATCTCTTTACAAAGGGACTGGGTTTGCAAGAATTGGACGTAGAAAGAGGGTTCTTCCTAAGTTTTAAAGGCCACCCATGATGGAGGGGAGTAATGCCTCATCGTTTATGCAGTGTGTGGCAGGCTTTCATATGGCCGCTATCCTCAGGTATGCTTCAACTTTCTTGCTGTGTTGAGGTGTAAAGGGTCAAATTGGTTGATCTGGACTGCGTCGTCGGTGGTGGCATTTGTCGGTGCAAATAGGCGGAGTTCTCGGGGAGGTACTTTCGAGAAGGAGCGAAAGCATGAATTATATAGGTAGAATGAAGTAAAAATGGCTTAGTCCTTAAAACTACGATTTTTCTCTACATGTATATTAGCGTGAATCGACGGATACGATGACCGTCAATGCGTACATTCGCGATCGTGTAGCATGAGCAACACCAGCTCGTTTCTCTTCCTGCTTCCCATTTGCCATGCACCGGGTGCCTGCAGTGTCATCCAGTTCTTCGTTAAAATTCGAGTACGACTGTACATACCCCTCTGTCGGATATTTTCTGGAAGCGAGCACTCCCCGGAGGAGAATAGCGAATTAGGACGTAGTCGAGTTTTCATGGTGACGGAGGCGAATTGGGGTGTTAGACTTTGGGAAATAGTGAAGTAGCTTCTCCAAAAGCGAGAACCTGAATATGCCACTGTTGTCTTCACTTTAAGATACCTACCTTCAGGAAACGTTGGCAACCACGATCCGCAGTGGCGCGAGCCGTAAGCCCCTTTTGGTTCTTTGTTTTTCTCTCGCAATTGCATGTTCCATCCGTTTACTAAACATTGTGGTGTTACTTAGCAGACCTTTCCTCTGACAATTCGGTGAAACCTGTCCCTTCCCGTTGCGGGGGTGTTCCGACGCACCAGCGCCTACCCCACATGCGGACCCAAATACCCATCTGTTTGCGTCTTTGGTTTGCTGAGCGTGCGAAGTGGTGGACAAATTGAGGGGCAGCGAGGCGAGAGCTTGTTTGGAGTATCTGTAAATTTTAGGGTTTGCGTAGCCGCAAATCCCTTGCCGCTTTGCTCCAAGAGAAGCACGGAAAAGTCGCGTATTAGGAGACCAATGGGGGTACAAGGGATTCATAAACAGAGGGTAACCGTAGAGCCAACATGTGGAGAAGAGGGCTCTCACATGGATTGGCGTGGTGTTCTCATACGTCTGATACTGTGGGGTGCTGCTGCGGCTAAACTTCCTGCTGCTCTTTACGCGGATCTAGCTGCTCGAAGTCGCCCTTCCACCATGCCTCTATAGCTCTTGTTGAAAGGCCTTCGCTTGAAGGTGCTGGTTTCGAAATGAACCTGCCGCCCCTTCATTGCGGTTACTTCTGAAGCTTGCAGTTGTTGCTGCCCATGCGACTACTCTTCATGAGTACGGCCGCACCACCAGTGGATCGACGGGCGGAAGCAATCGGCGGTGTTTCTTCCTCCGTCACTCGCGGCGAATGTTTGAACTTATATGCTGTAAACTCTTGAGCGGGTCATGTAGAGCATAGAACTGGGTTGCCAGCCTTGTGACACGAGGTGCCTCTCTCCCCCGCAAAAGGGGGCGACAGATGGAGCAGGGCACAAGGGACAGAGATTGAGTTCTTGATGATCCAAATTGGCAGATCGCTGCTGTCTGAGGGGTGGCTAGCTTTTTCTCACCCAGGTGCAAAATATCTGCTTGCCACACCGGGGCCTTCGTTTGCCAAGAGTAGCTACAACGGGAGCACGCACGCCACTCTATCTGGACAGCAGCTGGCTCGAGAAGCAGCCTGCTTGATTTTCTTGGGAACTCGGTGGTGCATATGGCGGCACAAATGGGTGAAGGTCACCGCAGCCGAATGGTGACGGCGGAAGAGCACAAATGCATGCGGAGAACATCAACTGTTGCAGTAATAATCGTTCATCTCACCGCGTTGCTTCCCCTGCCGCCCGTCGGACTGTCACACAAGCTTGACTTCTCTACCGAGATATCAGCACGTTGCTGATACAATTCATGTCGAGCTGTCTTTGTCGGGTCCTCTTATGCCGTTACCTCCTTTCGCTTTCCTTCCCGCCTCGATATCCGCATTTTCGCCGCCCTTCCAGTGTTGCCCCTCTGTTCTGCTTCTTTTCACTCTCCAGTGGCTCTTCCGTGGCATATGGTGACGGTGTCTTGGGATTGTGGGTGTGAGAGTGTTAGTTAACTGCCATGATGCCTACTCGGTTGCAACAGAGTCCGTTGGAGGCTGTGCAGCGGCCAGCATGTCGGCGAGGTGAGGTGCCTGCCGTGTGAAGTATCCCTAAGCTGATCCTAGTAGCTTGCTATATTTAGATGAATTAGCCTGTGTGTGTATGTGCACCCTTTCCGGTCCGTTCAGGCTTGTTGTAGCTGTTCTGCCACTGTGCTTTGCAGTCTAGTCTGCACGGTTTATGGAGGCGGGTTACAATTTGCGTGCAGGCTGTAGCGGTTGCCCCAACAGCACTCGCGCATGGCTAAGAATGCGGCCGTGAAAAGTGGTACGAAATGAATCGTGAGCACAGTTTTTTGAGTCGATATTTCTCCTGTAGTGCTTTAAGAAGGATGAGCATTGCAGGGCGGTTGTTTCTTGTATATACTCCATCTTCTCTGCGTCGTGTGTATCCATCTACTTATTGTGAAGTACATACTCGTATCCACACACTATGATTTGTGGTTTCTGTCGACCTCCGTATGCGCTGTGTCTATCCGTGTCGGTCTCTCAGGCTTGCTTTCGTTGGTGCTTGTATTGATGCGCAGGTTGCATCTCAAAAGACATAGATACACAGATATACGTGCTTATCGTGTCGATTCAGGTGCCATAAAGAGATCTCTATTGTCTCTTCCGCTGGATATCTTCATGCCCATATGTGTGTTTGTGTGAGTGTATCTGTGTGTTAGTGTGTGTGTGTGTGTGTGTGTGTGTGTGTGTGTGTGTGTGTGTGTGTCCACTGCCAGCGAGCGTTACTGACAACTGCTGGCACTCTTTCTGCATCCTGTAGTTCTCGGCTTCTCCCTCCCTCCCCTTCTCACCGCGCGTCCTTATAACAGTGAAGCTCTATTTTCAGTTGGTGCACCCGCGTAGACAAGAGGGGAGCTTGCACAGCGCACCCGTCACTGGAGGAGATGGGCTAAGCGTCATACAAGGCGGAAGGGGCGAGATGGAGCAAATAGGAGAGGGCTTCCAGCAGAAGAGTGTAGCCCACTGTATCCCATAGCGTAGTGTTGCCATGGCTCGTTTCGCATTAAGATGTCCTAGTCACCGTCACCCAGCCACTACCCTGTATGCCACCCGTGCTTTCTCTTGCCGTTCCAAAGAGGGCCTGAAACGTATACAGGGGTCTCTGCTTGATGTAGCTACCGCTCGCGCGGCCGTAGTTGAAGTCATTGCTATCGCGTTTCTGGCCTTTAGAGAGCCCCCAGGAAGGAGCGCACAGAGCTAGTTTTAAAAGTTGCTTAAACATGGATTCATAGGCAGTGGTGAATTGAGAGCCGAAGCGAAGCAAGCAAGGCCACAGGAAGACATCACCACCGCGTTCAGCACGGAGTCTGTATTTGCGCAGTGTCAGGTGCAGGAAAAGCACACACGTCTCTCTCCCACTAGTCGCCTCAGCAACTCCTGTCATAGCCTCGTGACAGCGGGGCCTTGGCGCTGATACACCAAGCGCATGGCCCTTGGAGAGCGGGATTGCTGCTCCCCTCAAGACCAAGGCTTCCACGGGCACTTTGGAAGCAGTCGACTGCTTCCAAAGATGAAAGGGGAGCAGAACTTGGAAAGCGTAGCAGAGGCGTGGAGCAGGCGCAGAGCATGCGCCAGCAGGGGTGATCCTGCCAACACGCAAAAGAGGCACTATGCGCACACGGCTTGAGGAACTGGAGGTGCTAGAGAAGGCACAGGCAGTCAGTGTATCACTCGACTTACGGTCTCCGTAGGAGGCACTTGACTCGAGGCGCGATACAAACTAGGAAGAAGTTACTCAAGTAATCGCCGAACAGAACTGCTTCAGCCCGCTACCCCAGCCAGTCAGGATCCCAGGAGAAAGCTAGGGTGCATGGGTCGTGCTGCACCCTCCAGACACTCGAAGTATTCCCGGCTCATTCCATCTGTTTCTAGCGCATACGCACATGGCATTGCGTCGTGTTGTATCAAGCTGACACTACTTGGCAACAGGTAAGATGTACGAACAGTCACCTCCTATTCGCCCGTTCTTTGGATATTCCGAGTTCAACCTAACTGTTGTAGTAGGGAAGGACGAAATGCTGCTTTAATCTCGCTACTGCCAGCAATGCGAGCAAGCCGCCACACAGGCAACTGAACATAACGAAGGAAGGTGACGTTAAACATTCAGGAGAAAGAGAGAGAAGGGTTAATGCCACTAACAGAAAAGAGGTTTGCGGACCCAGGAGAGACCGGCTGGTGGCCACAACGACAGTCAGTATGAACTCGTTTTTCAAAGCTCGGTGTTGCCGCCTGTGCCTCTTGTGAGGCTCTTGAGTTAAGAATTATGGCCTGAATGCAGCTGCAGTGCCTGAAAATGCAAGTGGCTAGCCGCGTGGCTTGATTGTGGGCTTTCGCTCTGCAACCGCAGTCCCTTGGCGGAGTGCGTTCTTAGGCGCACCCCGTACACCGGGACCACCAATGCCTCTCTCTCTATGCCCTGACAGACGACGTTGCGCACGGAAGTTTTACATTGCTTTCTATACCAATGGCCTAGTCCATCACTCATTAATTGCAGAAGGACAGCCCTATCTATGCACGCAGAGGCCTGGGAAGGAGGCGGCAGACCTGTCGGCCCTCTACTCTGCTGCTTCATTGAATCAGTGTGTGCCCAGGAACCCAGTGCGACGAGAGCAGATGCTTCTCCATCTGCCCTCCACAGAATCCCCCTCCCACTGGTACTTTGAAAAGTGCGACCTTAATCATGCCACAAAGGCAATTGATGCCGTCGTCAGCGCCCTGGCAACTCCTAACGCAAATCGTGCACTGTAACTACGGCTCCTGGCGGGACAGCGAACCGCGCCGGTTGGAAGTTTGCGCATGATGCGCGCGTATTGCAAGGTGTGCAGGCGTCCGCTTTCTGTAAATGAGGATGGATACAAACAAGTTCTCCATCTAGAGGCAAGCATAATCGAAAGCAGCCATAAAGGGGATGACCTAGGGGTCCCCTGCTGCTGTTACTGGCGGTACAAAATGCAGACGGCCCACAGAGCAGCATCAGCACGCTTACCAGCAAATGCAGCAACCGCAGCTGAGCGTGTCTAGCACCGTCAATAACTTACATAAGATGTATCTTCAGATAGAAGCAGGAATTCGGCTCTAGTTGTGAGACAGAACGAAGGGGGATTGTGCGCACCCTCGCACGGCCGTCCGCTGTATCGATCTGCCAGTAATACTGCTGCTGTTTGGCCCACAGTAGGAGCAGCCACGCCATCTGCAGCGGCTGCTGTGCTGTTCTCTTCCTAGCACAGCATTCGATACTTTTTGGCTGCAGTGTTTTGTATATGCTTCTTTGCTGCAGCTTGTTTGGCTCAGATGCTTGCCTTTGTCCTCCCTACAGCAGCAGCGTCAACGGCAGCAGCAGCAGCAGCATCAACGGCAGCAGCAACAGCAGCACCCTGTTAGGGATTTCTTGTGGCACCCCGTTACTCCCTGTTGCTGCACCTTGCCGTCTTGTATTGCCTCATTATTTATTTACACCTGTTTTTTGGTAGTTTTCTTTATTAATAGTGTTGCTGCAGCAGCAGCAACAGCAAGAGCAGGGGCACCAGCAGCACTGCTTTCTGCTTACTGCTCTGCTGCTGTCATGCCGAGTGACCTCGTCGGGCCCTTGCCCCTCGTTTTGCGGTGCCACCTGAATATATCCACACCTTTTCCATTGGAAGGCTCTGCCTATTGAGAAAGCGGCTTGCTGCAGCTGCAACAGCGGATTTACTGCTGCTGCCAGTGCTTTGAGGGCCTCCCTACGAACCGTACCAGCTGGTGCGGCTGCAGTTTCCAGCTGCATCTCCTCGTGCAAGGCATTGTGCATCTGCAGCGTCTAGTACAGCAACATGAAGGTTGCTGCAGCAGCAGACATGCGCGGTCGCAGCTGCCCGCCTCCAGAAGTGGCTCCAGCAACTGAGGCGGAAGTGAAGAAGGAGATAGAGCGGCAGCAGCACCTGTCACACACCTCCATCCCAGCAGCCACTGCCCACGGACAGCCTGTATCCTTGCCTGCAACACCGCTTGCTCCACACATCGGTGAACGACCTTCATCACTGCAGGGTACTGCTGCATGTGCTGCGGCTGCAGAGGCCCCTCAGCAAGCCACAGCACATGCACCGACCTACCCATTCAAGCAAGAGGCCTCCCTCTGGCATGCGGCGGAGTACCATGGGCAGCCTGGTAGGCAGCAGCAGCAGCAACAGCAGCAGCAACAGCAGCAGCAGCCAGTCGACCTGCTGCAGCAGCTGCATTTGCAGCAGCAGCAGCTGCGGCTTCAGCAGCAGCTCCACCTACAGGGGCAGGAGCAGCTCCAACAGCTGCAACAGCTGCAACAGCTGCAGCAGTTGCAGCAGCTGCGCCTTCCGCAAGCAGCGCCAGGCGATGAAACTTTTGAAGGCTCCGACTACAAAATGTTGCTTTCCCAGCTGCAGCTGCAGCTGATGCTGCAGGGTGTGCGCTTGACAGGTGCAGGCCCTCCCTCCGTTGAAGCCTTGCAGGCAACCTCCAGAATGCAGTCGAAGCAGCTGCAGCAGAGACACAGGCAGCGGCAGCAGAGACACAGGCAGCGGCAGCAGAGACACAGGCCGCAGTTGCAAGCAGAGTCGCAGATCCTCCCCGCACGGCAGCAGCTGAATGAAGCGGAGGAAGAGCTTATGCGGCTAGTAGACGTCCCTGAAGTGGAGAGGTGGATTTGCGGTGCTCAGATCCAAACGCTGCAGCAGCAGCAGCAGCAGCAGCAGCATGTATGCCGTCTAGAGCAACAGGAGCACGTGCAGCAGCTGCTGCGAGCTACGAAGACCTCTCAAAACCAGCTTCACCAGCAGCCACAGGAGTCAGATCAGCGCGAGCAGCAGCCAGCTGAAGACAGCAGAGGCAAAGAAGCCTTCGCACGACGCAGCAGCAGCACCATGAGCAGTGGAACTACAGCTGCAACCAGCAGCTGTATTAGCACAGGTGCCCGTAACAGCACCAGCAGCACGTTGACAGGAGTTGCTGCTTCCTTGCCTTCGGCTGCTGCCTACTCTCAGTATGCAGTCAAGAATGCCAGCAGCAGTTCCGTCGCCAGCAGCGGGGAGGGCTCAGGGGAGGCGGAGGTGCTGCCCGTAATAGTGGATCTGAGGCTTGGCAGGCATCCCACGCCGGTCGGAGCTCCTGTTTCACCGCACGTCGCTGCTCATACAGCAGCAGCAGCAGATGCCGCCTCTGTGCGTCAATTCGTCGGCTCCCCCCCGCAGCATGCAGCCGTGCTGTCAGGCCGTAGCCAGAGCCACGCGGCAGACACGAGCGGCAGCAGCAGCCTCAACACCCTCGCCGGCAGCAGCAGCTGCAGCAACATCGGCGGCAGCAGACCGCGCCCCTCGCTCTCTCTCCCGTCTCTGCAGCAGCGCATGCAGAAGACGAAGATGTGCAGGTTCCACTTGCAAGGCTGCTGCAGCAAGGGGCCTCTCTGCGTCTTCGCGCACGACGCAAGGGAACTGCGAGAGAGGCCGAACCTCATTCGCACGCGACTGTGCCCCTACATGACGAGGACGGCGAGCGATCGCGCCACCGGGAGCGAGCAGCAGCAGCAAGGACCCCTTTCTTGCAGCAAGGGAGACGCGTGCAAGTTCGCGCACTCCGTGGAGGAGCTCCGCTCGACTCCCGAATTCTTCAAGACGGCGGTGTGTCCTCTGCATGCAGCGGGGGGCCCCAAGGCGTGCCCTTCGGGAGCCGCCTGCCGCTTCGCCCACGGAGAAGCGGAGCTGCGACCAAGACCGCATGCAGGCTCCTTTCCCAGTGCTGCGCCTGCAGTCTTGGCGGGAGCGGCGGGAGGGGGCAGGGGAGGCAGCGCTGCGATAGAGGCCTCTAGGAGGGCGACGTGGGGGGGAGGGGGAGGAGCCTTAGGCGCTCTGCCCTGCCCTCCTCCTGGCTTCGGTGTCTGTGGCGAGGCGGTCTTCTCGAGGAGCGGAGGCGGCGGCGAGCTGGGGAAGACTGGCTCCCTGCAGCTCTCGAGGAACGTCGCCGTCAGCGGTGCGAGCGGCGCGCTGAACGGGGCGGGAGTTGAGGCTTGGCAGCAGCTGCTGATGGCCGCTCAGAGTGCTGCGGGGGGTGAAGCTGCGGGAGGAGGAGCGCCCAACGCCACTGCCGTTGGTCAAAGAGGCGCCGCGCCGACACTAGAAACTCCCACGGAGTCGGCTGCTAAGTCGTGGGCTGTGCTGCAGCGGCAGCTGCAGCAGGAGCAGCAGCAGGGCAGCAACGCTGGCAGCGCCAGCAGCAACATTCGCTGGGGCTTGGAAGGCGCGTCACCGACTCCCCTCGACGCGCGAGAGGCCGTGCAGCATCTGCTGCTCTGTGCGCTGCTGCAGCAGCAGCAACAGCAGCACGTGCAGCAGCACGTGCAGCAGCAGCAGCAAACTCGCCCTCCAGTGCCTACAGCGGGAGTGTCGGTTGGGCTGGATGCAGCGCTGAGAGAACCCTGCTCGCCGAACCGGCCGCTTCGCAGCAGCACCAGCAGCGACGACAGCACAATGGACAGCCATGCTGCAGCAGCGGCGGCGGCAGCAGCAGCAGCAGCAGCCGCTTTGAAGCCCTCCATACTGCTGCCTGCTGCTGAATGTAGAGGCACCACTCCCGCATTGGGAGGGCAGTTAGGGCCTCTCGACATTGCTGCGGCTCTCGCAGCCACGGCTCGCAATGCAGCCGAGCAGCAGCAGCACCAGCAGCACGAGCCACAGAAGCAGCAACCCCTCTTAGGACGAGGCAGCGGCGACTCCGCTCTCGCGCGCATGGTCGTTGTTCAAACGTCTGGCGGCAGCAGCAGCACCAGCAGCAGCAGCAACAGCAGCAGCACCAGCAGCAGCAGCAACAGCAGCAGCAGCATCGACCTGAAGCAACTGGGGGGCCTACCCACGGAGTTCACGTCGGAGTCTTCTACTGTCTGCCCTTTTCCTGCAACCTCCGTCTCCACTCAGAGCGGCAAAGAGACGAAGTAGGCTTGTAATGTGCGTGGAAGTACACTGGTGGTAGCGGCGCATGCGGCTGGTCAATGCATGATGCATCTGTATGCAGCGCGTCTTTTTTTGGGTGCCCTCAGTTCATGCCGCTGCACGCGTTGCATGCGCATTATTATTTGCTGCATGAGGAGGCAACACACGTGGTGACTGCATGCATCAAGGCAGGCAAGCGTGCATGCATTAAGGCAGGCAGGCATGTATGCATGCAATCCAAGTGTGCAGGCCGTTGTTGCATGCATGCGTGCATACATGCATGCATGCACGTATACATACATTTATGTTTATGCTGACGGCGTATATACATATATATATGCCTTGTTGTTGCAGTTCTCGTCTGTGAGGCGTGCTCTGCTGCATAGGGGCCCTCCCTTTCCCTGCTCCGCCTCCCGTGGCAGGGACGGGCGGGTCAGAGAGGCTTCACATCCTCGTATTGAGTGTTTCTTGTAGCGTTGGGCTCCCTAACACTTTTTCACACATGAGGGACTCCCTGCCCTTTGTCCAATAATAAGATTGTTGCGCTTCCCTGTTTGTCTCCTTATTTCTACCCTCGCTTTGCCATGCATGCATGCATGCACTTTGAGTATGCCGCGCCGTTCCTCTGGCAGCACGGATGGCGGCTGGATCTGGGGGAACAAGGACGGGGGCCCTTTGAGGCCTTCCACACAGCAAGGGGCCCTTCGAGGCCCGCATCCTCTTTACCCCCATTTGCGAATACGTCGGTATTTCCCGATGCAGCAGCAGTTGCGGCACTCTTGCTGCTTTTCTCGAGGGAGTTGTCTTGAGCTGCCACCACAGCGCAGCCGCTAAAAAGGTAGTATTCTTGTTGCATGCAGAGCCTGATGACACACGCTCGTTTGGTGAATGATTATACACGCACTTCCTGTGAGTCCGTGTTGTGCGTCCTCTCCATGTGCGCTGGCTTGCGCGGTTTCGTTTGCATGTGCATACTACGCGCTCTTTCCATTCTTGCATGCATGCCCTGGTCCGCATGCGTTGACGAGCCCTCCCTGCCTGACCTACCTACCTACCCACCTGCCTACCTGCCTATTTACTCGCATGATGCCTGTATTAATGCACATATGTTGTCTGCATGTATTCACAACGCATTTGCATGCACGCATTGGCTCGAACGCACGTATTTGCATGCTTGCATTAGACGCACCCCTGCATACGTGCATGCAGCGGAGTTTATTTGTTTTGTCTCCCAAAGTGGTGGGAAGGCGCATTCTGCTGCGTCTTGCATTTTCATATCCTATCAGCCCCAGTAGGAAGAATGACCATTTATCAAGGATTCATTAGGTGTATGTGCAAACACCCGAACCCATACGTATTTTGCAAGGCGCAAAACTTGCAAGCAAGTCAAAGACGCTAACAGAGCAGTTTGATATGTTCATCTCTTCTGCATACTCTTACCTACTTGTGCACGTATTGATATATGAGCGATTAGAGTAATATGCATTTGGCCCTTTCCTGCTTTTAGCAGTCTAAGTTACCCCTAAGCACGTCCTACAGCGAGATGCCTTTAACGAAAAATTACTCAAGAACTGACCACTTGGTAGGTCTATTCATTTGTCTTAATATCTTGAAGAATGCCCGTAGCTCGATGGAGTGAGACACAGTGCTTTGCTTATCTGCGCTAGAGGCCATGTGCAACCGACTGTAAATGCTCAGAGTGCATAGAGGGTGCAGCTACGCGAACCATGGCTGTTCCTTTCCCCTAATGTGGGGAATTTTTGCAAGCCCCGGGCAGGGGAAGGCAGGAGTTACTTGGGAAACACTCAGAAATAAGTCTCTTTTAGGTTCTTGTTGCGCCTGGAGTTCGGTGTCTCCCTACTGAGACCTTAGATGTTCACGGTTGTAGCTCCACACGGTTCGTTTTAGATTTTCCCTGCTCGTTCAACGGCTGTGGACGCAGTGGCATGTTGGGGTTCACTACAAGGCTCTGGTGTCTGTCGTTGTTTGGTGATTAGATAATCCGATTTTCTTTGGCTATAGCTGACTTGAAAACGCCCCTCTGGTGGTGGAAGTAGAGGGTGACACAACTCCTATCGATCGCGGCGGCAGATGCCAGTATGCAAGCCGATATAAACGCAGTACTTCCACAGCCAGTGAAAAGCAATGATTTGTCAGCCGATAAAATGTTCATGGACGCATGGATGAGGCTATGGTGCTTAGAAAATATGGCGGCCGAAGGGATGGGCAAGTGCTCGGATATTCCATTACCCCGCTAAAGGTGTACTACGTGCTGAACACTAGACATGAGGGAAACAGAGTCTTCCTTGCGGCGTGTTTGTTGGAGGGAGAAGCAACTGATGGGATAATGTAGAGAGAGTCCCTTGTCTGCGGGGATTCTCCTACTCCAAGCTTTCCTATACATCCATGACTATTTAGGATTTTCCGGGACCAGCTCAACACCTGCTGTGGGAGAATGGGCAGAGCTGGATAGGGGAAATTTAGCAGTGCATCCCATATCCCGCAAACTATGCTTGCTTCCCAAGAACCACAACATTGACCAAGAGCTGTTTAATTAGTGTTTATCTCAACTCTACAGAAAGTGTCACGTCAGTTGGTCGCGGGATGGGCAGCGAGTTGGCAATTAAAACAGCGTCCGATGTGTCTTCCACGGATAATGAACTGCTTGAGGTTTCAAGGGTAAGTAAGCTCATCTTCTGCACGTTTTGATGGAATTTAAAGCCAACTCAGGATCTAGGATTCATGAATATCGGGGCAATGTACCCCGGCCCCAGCCTACAATGTGAACCGAGCAAGAAGCAGCTGCATTGATTTAAGTGGTTCCACCAAGTGTAACACTTCTTCGAAGGTGTCCATACAGGCACCTGACTTTAGGCTCGATAAACGCTGACCAAAAAATTACCATGTATTTGTAGCTGCGAGCGCCTTCAACAGCGTGTAATACTAGGCGGCTGGACTAATCAGCGCAAGGAAACTTGGCAAGCAACGAAGGTGCATCGAAGAAATGGGAAATCCCCCAAACCGGTCGCGGGGTAGCGAAGGGGGTTAAATGGGGTAGAATCACAATTGAGGACATGTCTTGAGACAAAGTTGCGCAGGCATAGGCTCACATTAGTGAAGAAGATTGCTACCTTTACTCGAGACTGGATGGGGAGTGTAGCTATTTTGTAGCTGGGCGACGGAGAAGTGCAGTCTGCTTGTACACTCCCGGTCCACAGTCCCTAGGAGTCAGGTCTGCTGAGGAGTAGCACAATAGAGACATTGGCACTTTCGCGGCATTTAAATGCCACTGTCGTTCTGAGTTGATATAAACAACAGTGCCTTTGACTTCTATGTTGGACTCGTGCACTACGCCGTAATCCTAGGTCTGCCATGATGATCCAACGAAAGGAGCATGAGGCGAGAGCTGTATACCCTCAAGGTCAGTGTGTGAGAAGGCGATAGGAATAAGCGGCTGCTGGTCCCGTCAACACCACTCATCTCATTTAGGGTGAACAAGGTAGATTTCGTGCCTCCAGTGGATGCTGCAGAGTCTTTATGCAAACAGCCAACCGGAGCAGTAATAGAACGCGGTTCTGAGGATGTATCTGGTCTTGGTTATGAGTAATTTGCTTGAAATCTTTTTAAAGGAATAGAACAAATCGGCAAATTTCGCGGAGTCCGGCGATGTGCAATTGCTCCATAGTAACGAGCTACCAGCAGCCTGGCCACCTGCTGGTCGTCCAGTGCAGCGCATTGAATTACTCCCCAGGTCAGCCCCAACTCATGCTCCGCGGTATTGCAAGCCCCTTATTATGAAGAGGACACGGAGCGGCAGGCAAGTGATTTGTTGAAAAAGGTAAAGTGCACAAAAGGACCAGCACTCTTGGGCATAGCCCGATGGTGAATGCGAACAAGCACACAAGATCTTTAGTTAAAATCACTGTACAGTAGCCTTTTCCAGTGCTTTGAACTGGGGGATGGCTTGACAAACCACTTTGAAAATGAGTCTTCTTGGCATCTGACTTCACAAAGGCCTTCGTAAGAAGCATCAATCATCCTCATGACAAGCACAGCACGGCATTCCACACTCGCAGTCGCAAAGTCTAGAATAATTGTAGGCCGTTTAGACTGGTTACTACCTCAGCTACACTCCAGTGGCAAGTTAAACTGGGTTTTCCTGAGCATACCAAGAAGGTCTGAATGCCTATCTACGCATACACCGACTAGTGATTTAAACGAAACGCGTAAATCCACCCACACTATCTATGGCGTGCGCGTCGGCTCTTGCGGAAAAAGGAGTGGTATTCTAAGACATACAAGCTTTTGTATTTCATTGACAGCAATCGTGGCTCTGGGATTCCGAACTTCGGCTATCGGAACTCAGCTACCAAGAAGCTTAAGCAATCACGGCCTGGCCTTTACCTTTACACACTCGCGAAGATGTTGGAAAGTCCAACAGCCTTGCGTCTTATCACCGAAATATCATTCTTGAGTCTGCTCGGATTGGTGCTCCTTTGACTGACGGGCGTCATACAGCGCACTTTGTGGAATGGAGAGAGGAGGCTGTTACCACAGCACCGACGCCCATTGGCTGCCTTATTTCTCCTTCTCTACTTGCGTTGCCCGATTATGATCAGCATTTCTTTCTATCGGCCAATACTTATAGCATGCCTATGAGTGTTATTCCCTTTGAATAGGCTAGGGGTGCTTCAAAACACCGAAATCTTGCTTATGTTTTCATCGCTTCACCTAAACCGAGAAGCGGTGTCCAAAGTGGGAATAATTATGGGCGGTGTAGTGGGGCATGAAGAAATTGTGGCTTTATTTATCAAGGCTTTCTTTTACTATCCAGACCTACTATCAGTCTTCAATGTGCTGTCGCAGTGTTTGCAGGGCTTAGATAGTCGTAGAGTCGATCATTGGCTCGAACGCCTCTTGCAGCGCTGCGTTACAGTTCATACTAGGCTACCACCAACATGGTCGCTGATGCGCTCTCGTGGCTTCCTAACGATATATTGTTGTGCAACGCAACCGCTCTCGTCGGTGATTGTTTTGCGATTCCGTCGAGAATGGGCGGGTGTGATGCTTTTGGCACCCATGCAGCCGGTACCAATGTCAATATCCAGAATGGCAAGGTGGTAACACGCTCTCATCTCAAGGAAGGCCTGGTGTGGTTCACAGCGAAACGGGGACTACGTCGCTTGTACAGCCAAACTTCAATCCGCAGTGCCGTTTCACACAATGCGCGTGAAATATTTTTCGGGTCAGAGTGGGATTCACACTGCAGTGGACAAGATTCCTCATTTCTTCCGCTGGCCTGAAGTGAGCTTTGCCGTAGAGAATTATGCATTGTCATACCTAGACTGCCAGCAGCTTAAGGGGCGCATTTCTCCTAAACCCGGCGTTTTGTAGAGCTTTCTGATCATGAAAGAATTGACTGATTCGACTATGGACTTTCTTGCTGGGCCGCCTAAGGTCAAGCGACAGGATAGCACCTACGTCGCAGATATACTCGGTAAATATGCCCATTTTCTTCCGTAACGTGCTGTAAGCCTTGTTACTGAACCATCGCACTAACCGTCTGTGCGTCGTTGGAAAGTGCATCCCTCTAGCTCAACTCTCTTGCAGCCTGGAATGAACCTTGACGTTGTTGGTCAAAGTAAGGCAGAGACGGCTTAAGAGAGAAGCAGAAAGGGAGAACAGCAATGCCAGGCAAGAAATAAAATGCAGCAGCATTCAAAGCAGTTGCCCATTTGGGAGCAGTAGCTTGTTCAGGGGGAGGATTGGGGGCCAGTGAAATGGCTGCTGCGCTGCTGTACCACATTTGATTGAATCTTTCCAAAAGGGTGATAGAGCTGGAAATTAAAAAAAACTGTTTAGGGACGGACTGCACTGTGCAGAAACGGTCGATTGCATGGGCAGGGAGGTTTCTGGAAGAGACGTACTTGCAGAAGAGGGATGAGAAGAAGCGCAAAAGGGAGGGCTCCTTTGTCCATGAAAACATTGCCCGAAGGATGCCGCCGAGAGGCGAACCATAGAGTTGTTGCTAGCCAGCCAACCCCTTTGGGCACAAGTAAAGACACGCACGTACAGACCACCCCTAGAGTTGCTACGGCACCCCAGTATGCCAGCAGCTGTAAGCTGCTCGCATACAGCGGTGCAGTACCTGCAGCTGCTGCAGGTACTGGGGCTTCTCTTGTCGCTGCAAGTGCAATAATGGTGAGGCAGGTGCAATGGTGGTACTGCTGCCACTATTGGGGGTGTCGATAAGACGGTGACTTGTCAGGCAGTATCCCCTCTGGTCCATGCCCCTCCGCCTATTTCCCTGTGAGTCGGTGTCGACGAGGCTTCAAGAGGACTGACTGTTAAGGGCCCCAAGGACTATTCTGAAGCTGCTTCTCTACGAGTGAAACTTAGAGTGCACGTGAGAAAAGAAGCTATTTCTGACTCATGTGACGTATTACTCGCGTTCCAGTGGCTGTGTGCAACGTGGGGTGGCGCTTTGCGGCATTCGTTGTGCTGGGGGTGATACTGCGCTACAGCGGGAGTGCTGAGCGTGTCTGTCTGTGCATTTGTGCTTGGCCTTTCGTGGTCTTCGTTCCCCTGTCCCCTTTAATTGATGATTTCTAGCTCGGGGACATAGCAGGACACCAGAAGGAAAGGGAGGATCTTGCCTGCGTTGTCGCATGATCGGTTAGCTGCCGAGTCTCACAGTTGGCTGTGTGACGTGCGGGCTTCGTGCCCCCTAAACCATGAACCATATATCGTAAACCCTCTCTCCAGGTCGATCATTTGGCTCCCTAAAGCATTCAAGAGAGTCTCTTTGTCATGGTTTCGGCCAGGAGCTTCACTCTAGCGAACCTGTACACGTCCTTGCCGAGCGCTTCCATCGATGGATGGTCCGGACGGATGATGCACAGCGGCAGCGCGCGGCTCTCTGACGCTCCTTCCCTTCCTCCCTCTCTCCTCCCTCTTCCTTTCTCCCTTTCTCTCCACAGGATATTCAAAGTCGAGGGCCTTCAGAGCGTCGGCGTCGGTGCATGAATCGGCGAAGGAAGCGTCGGCGCCCTGCCCGCTGCGTCGAGGTTCTTGTTTGCCACTGCCGCCAGTGCTGTACGCCTGGCTTTTGTTGCGCGTCTGCAGCGTGTCGCCGCTCAACCTGGATACTCTCCGCAGAGGTCGTTTCAACGCGCGAATGCCTCAATGGACTGCCCCGGAGGGGCCCTGTCGGAGGCTTCGAGGGTGTCCTTGCTGCATCATGAGCGGCAGAGGGAACGTCTAGCCGCGCGGAAGCCTCTGAGGCCAGACGAGCACTTGGTAACTAGCATTCTTAGCGGCTCAAAGAGCTACTGGGAGGCCCTTGACGACTTGCGCCGGCTGACGGCCGAGCTCAGCAGGGAGAATGAACGCCTTCGAGACAAGGCGGCTGCGCAGCAGTCCGCGATGCAGCAGCGGGAGTCAAGGCAGAGGCAGGAGCGGAGGCAAAAGCAGCAGCTGCTGGAAGAGCAGCAACAGCAGCTGTCACTCGCGCTCCGATCGCTAAAGGACGAGAATAGCTGCCTGAAACGGGAAGCAGCGTCCGCGGCAGCTGCAAAACAGGATCTGCAGCAACTCTCGTTGCAGCTGGAGAGGCATCGCTCGGAAAGCGAGCGAAAGAGTGGGCTCCTAGCAGAAAAACAAAGGGAGATCGAAAGATTGCATGAAGAGGCTACCCGCAGCAGTGCCGCAGCGAAATGTCTCACAGAGAGGACAGAACGCTTGCAGCGGCAGCTTGCCGTTGCCTCCACAAAGAAGAACATACTGCTTTCCAAAGTCAAGCAGGAGATGAAGGAGATAACAGCCTCTGCTGCCGAAGCGCGAGCCGTCCTCAAGGAGGAGCTGCAGCGGGCCGAGGAGCGCGTCATTGCAGCCGAGAAGGGAGCAGCTGCTCAGTTGGCAGCGAAGGAGAGGCAGATACGCTCACTCCAGCAAGCGGCGGCTGCAGACGAAAGTCAAGTCACTTACAGCGTCAAACGGCAGGAAGAGCTGGAGAGACAAGCCGCAAAGTTGCGTTCCCAGCTGCAGCAGCATCAAGAAAAGGCAGCAGCAGAGGCTGCGGCGAAAGAAGCGAAGATCGAGGAACTGCAGAGGCACCTCGCGACTGCACAGAAGATTCGCGATAAAGTCTCCGTCGAGCTAAATACTCTACGCGCGAGCACTACAGCGCTGCAGCAACAAGCCAGCAAGGCGGAAGATCGGGCAAAGGCCCTCGAATCCACGGCTCACACTACACAAGTGAGTGCACCAGACTGCCAACAGCGAAAAAAAGGAAGCACAGTAGCAGGGAGTGGGTGGGGCGAGGGGGGGGGGGGGAAGAAGTCTGCCGCCATCGAATATTTTGACGGCCGACTGCGATTCTTGCTGTTGCTTGTGCTATTGCTCTTTTATTCTCGTGCTCTCTCTCTCTCTCTCTCTCTCTCTCTCTCTCTCTCTCTCTCTCTCTTTATCTCTCTCTCTCTGTCTCTCTCTCTCTTGCGCCCGCTCTTCTTCCAGCTTCTTTTTCTCTGTGCCTGCGTCTCCATGCCTCTGTTCGTTTGGCGAAGCTGTGCGATCTCCCGCCTGGTGCTGGCTGCCTTTGCTGCTTCCTTTCCCCCTTGCGGCGTCAGTGTTGCGTACTGTTGCGGATATTCGGCCTGTGATGCGCATGGATTCGCCTGTCTGGAGGGTGTTGCCCGGATAGTGCAGTGTATCGAGAATGCGCTTGCTGTATTGAGCATGTTGTTTGCTTTATCCTTCTCTTGGCGTCACCAGCTTTTCGATTAGGCAGATCGGTAACTCTGTTGCTGCCGCTGTCCGGCTTTCGGAAGGTGTGACGCGGCTGGTGCCCCTGGGATGCTACGGCTGCCCGCCCCCCCTGCTACAGCAGTCTTCATCTCCCTTTTCCGTGTTTTTCTTTGGATTTTTGGGTGCCGTGCGCAGAGCAGTCTAAGGGACCTCGAGCGCCAGGTAGCAGCAGCAACAGCTAGAGAGTCCGATGCAGTGGCAGAGAGAGACAGGCTTCATAAGGAGGTCAGGAGTCTGCGGGAAGCAGCGGCGACAGCGGCGGAACAGAGCCGGCGAAACAAGGAGGCACTGGAGGCTTCATTTCACGAGGACCATGCGAAGATGGAGAGGGATCTTTCTAAGGCCATGGCAGACTTGCGGGCAGAAAAAAGCAAGCACTCATCCCTGCAGTTGCAGCATGAGCAGCAAGAGCAACAGCTGCAACAACTCAGGGGAGCAGACACCAAGCTGCAGCAGCTGACCCTTGTATTCTCTCGCGTCCGCTCAGCGTTTGCAGCGCTCTCGGGTCGGCCTGCAACGGACGACGGAGAGGTAGCCGCTGGCATCTCCCAGGCGCTCAGAGACTTTGCTGAAGCAAGGCAGGATCTGCAGGTGAAACTCGTGTAGACACTTTCCTGCTTGGGGGGGTAATCGTCTCGGCGAGCCATCTAGGCAGACAGGCAGCTAGAATTCCATCTAGAAACGTTTTCTTAAGTGCCAGTGTTGACCAAGCGGCTAAGCACTGGCCGCTGCCCCGTGATGCTCCTTTAAGGGGTGTAGGTGCTGGTGCTGTGTCGGCTTGTTCTGCATTGGCTAGTGAAGTTCGTTTGATATATTGTTGCTTGCTTGTGTGCCGCCCGCTGCTTCTGTTGGCGTTCTGCTGCTGCTGGTTTTTTATAGGCGCAAGAAGCCGCATTGGGTACTCTCCAGCAGCAACTGGATGAGGTACAGCGGCAGGCAGCAGCTAATGCAAAAGCAGCAACGAACTTGGAAGCTGCGCGAGAGGAGATAGCATCTCTGAAGGCGGCAGGCGCCCAGCTAACAGCAGATATACGGAAGTTAGGAGATCAGCACACGACGATGCTAATGGAAAAAGAGAGGTTGGAAAAGATGCACAGCAACAAAATGCAGCAGCTACAACAGCAAAAGGATGAGACGGAGCAGCAAATGAATAAGGCCTTAGCGGACGCAGCAGCAGCGGCGACAGATCGACAGCAGTATTTCCAACAGCAGCTTGATACAGCGGCAAAGAAAGAGGCCATGCTGCAGCAGCAAAAGGATGAGGTAGAAAGGTTGCTTCAGGAGACAAAGAATCAGGCAGAGAGTGCTGCTACTGCTGCAGCTGCTGCCATGAAACAACGGGATAGCACCATAGAGGACCAGCGATACGAATTGCAGCAGCGGCAAAAGGACCTTGAGTCTCTTCAAAAGAAACTCACACAGGAAACTCAATCAGCAGCGGAGAGGGAGGGTAAGGCACGCAAGGAGCAGCAGCAGCTGCAGGAGCAAATCCAGCAGACTGCGGAGGCAAAAGAGGCCGAAGCCAAGAAGGCGGCGAGACTGCAACAGGAACTTGAAGCGCAGCAACAGGCGCAGCAGCAACAGAAACAGAAAGCAGATGCGCAGCTGAAGGAGAGAGAGGAGCGGCTTGAATCCCTGGAGCAGCGCTGCAAGCAGCAGCAACAGCAGATGGAGCGGCAGCAAGAGCAGTACGAGCAGAAGCAAAGGCAGCAGCAGCAGCAGCAGCAGCATATCCAGCAGGAGGCCGAGGAGCTGAAGCAGCAAATCCAAAAACTACAGCAGCAGCAGCAGAGAGAAACGGAAGAAGGCAAAGAGCAGGTGCAGCAGCTTAAGCAGCAGCTTGAAAAGGCGAAAAAGCTGGCAGATGAGCGCCAAAGAGATCATGAGCAGCAGAAGCAGCAGCAGAAGCAGCAGCAGCAGCAGCGGCGAGAGGAGCAGGAGCAAAACGAGGCCGAGCACAACAGGGCCTTAGCGGCTTTACGCGAAGAATCAGCAAAGTTGCGGGAGAAGGTAGAGGAATTGCGCGAGCAGCAGCAACAACAACAGAAGGAGATTGAAACAAAGAGCGCAATGATCGAGAGCGCCAAACAAAAGTATGCAGATCTAGCCACCAAGCACAACGAATTGGTGAAGAAGTTTAATGCTGCTGTAGCACAGGAGAAGGAGCAGCGCAACAAGGGAGACGAAGCAGCACAAGCCGCAGCAGCGGCTGCGGCTCTGGCGGAGGAGAAGCAAAATGAAACATCGTCGATCAAGCAGCAACTGCGAGAAGCACAGCAGCAAATCGACAAGCTCAAGAAAGAGTTAGAGGCATCAAGGGCTGCCACTAAGGCTGCCGAACAAAAGGCTGCTGCAGCAGCAGCTGCTGCTCAAGGCGCAGCACGAGCCAAAGAGCCGCAGCAACAAGCCACAGGAAGAGCGATGGCTGCTATACCCACAGCAACCGGGGGTGCAGCGCCTCCACCCGAAAGTCAGTTGGCCACTACGCGTGGTGCAGCACTTGCTGTTGCTGCTGTTGCCACTGTTCGCTGAATCCTGCATTTTTGCCAGCTACCCATTTAGCGTCAGCAGTGTTTGTCTCACTAGATCCTTTTTGTCCCTGAATCAGGCATGTTCGCTATTGCTGCTGTAGGTGTTGTTTGCTTCTAAACTTGTGCTGCGTATTATTGTGTGTGCTCATTATGAGCCATGTGTTTTTTGCTGCCGACGTTTTTTACGCAGCACCAGCAGCAGCTGAGGCAGCTCCCCCAGCGGAGGAGTCCGGTGGCTTTTTCTCCTGGTTTGGAGGCGGAGCGGCAGCCACGCCAGAACCAGCACCAGCAGAACCTGCGACGACGGGCGCACCGCCCCAGCCAGCTGCAGAAGAAGCTAGCAGCGGCTGGAGTCTTTGGTAAGGTTTTAGCTTTCAAGCGAACACAGAATGTGCGCGAACCCCAACTTTTTAGTTCAGTGTGAACTCCTCTGATTCGCAATTGCCAGAGAAGAGACGGATAGGCTGTAGGAGGTAGTGGGGGGGAGGGGGGGCAGGGGGAGAGGCGCAGGAGGATGCCCGATGATTGATAGACACGGTGAGATGTACAACCAACTGGCATCGAGCTACTCCCCCATAGGGGGCAGCCCAATAACAGCAGCCTAACCAGTGCGTAACGGACGAAACTAGGCACAGAGCGAAACGCATGCACGCAACCGCAGAGACAGTGCAGTCACAGAAGGGATACGGAGAGGAGACTAACAAAGACCCTCTAACGGGCGCCGCTCTCTCTCTGGCGCAGTGCCCCAAGATGCTGAGGCGACAAAAGCTCCCGCCTACCCCGCATTTGGGGGGTTAGCTAGCCAGCCAGTCAGCTTGAAGGTGCACAAGACACTTTCTGCACGGGCATGGGGAGAAAAAGGGAGAGAGAACAGTAGCGTGTGGGTGGGTGTGGCCAGTGGAGCTGCTGCCGCCATCACCGACCGGAGCGTTCATGCAGGGCGCCTTCCAAAAATTCCAAGGACCCCTCTACAGCCAACGTCATTTTATCCTAAAGGGACACAAAAATATGTGTCAGTGTAATAACGGCGAAGAGAGAAAGTAGCTAGGGCAAATGCCTGCGGCACTCTCGTACACAAGGCAGCATCGACAGCTCCTGAAACACCCCCTCCCAGAGGGAGGGAGGCCCCTGGCTGGAGGAGGGCCCCTCCATCGCGTTGTCTCGTGTCCCCCTTCTGTGTTCGCGTCATCTGGCGAATTTCTTGTTTTTTAAAGGGTCGAATTCTGATTTCTCCAGAGATAAGGGCGAGAATGTGGTGCAAAGGCGGGCAGGCAGGCTGGCTGGCTGGCTCATGGGATTTCCATGTATAGGGCGCTTGCTTGTGGCGAGCCCGTTCCCTGCGAACTCAGTGCGAACACCGAACAGCGTTCTCGGTGTTGAACAGAGAGGCCTTTGCGGCCTCTGAGAGGAGTTTTGCAAAAGCTTCCTACCCTCCCCTCTCTCCCCCGTTCCCCTTCGGGAGTGCGCTATGTTGATCCGCAAGGCTCCCTCAGAGGTCCCCCTGCAGGTGATCTCTTGGCGAGGGTCCCCATGGGCAGTGAAGGCCACGTGCATGCTCCTCAGAGTTTCTCTTGGCTGGCTGAGACAAGGAAGCCTTGAAGAGGTCACCCCTCCCGCCCCCCCGCCTTGGCAGCCTCGAAGCTTCCCGTACCGAGTAGGCCTTACCAAAGGGAGTTTTGCGGTAGCTGCCTGCCGTTTCGCACAAGCAGCGACACAGCATGGACGTGTTCTATGGCCTTCTGGCATGCAGCGCAGCAGTGCAGTGCGAGCGGCGTGTGGACGTACAGCCGCCCACGAACTTCACACCCAAGCAAGGAGGCGCACCACAGGCCGACAGCAGCAGCAGCAGAAGCGGCAACAGCAACAACAGCAGCCACGGAATCTGCTCTTGCGGCGGCACTTACGCTTCTTCTTCTTGAAAGTGCATCCTGGTGAGCCGCCTGCAGCGGCAGCACATCCGCAGCTCTGCACGAGGCACCCAGTAGGACAGTACCCCAAAAGTTGAACAGACGCAGGAGAAGGCGAGACAGCGCAGGTGGCAGAGGCAGCAAGACTATGTAGCAGCGTCTGAACCTTTGTGCGTTTGCCGGAGGCGAGGCGTGTTGTTTGTACAGATCTGACGCAGGGCTTTCCTCAGGAGGCACGACAGCTCAATGGCAGCTCTCTGTCGCAGTTCAACGCTTATATCGATATGCTGCAGCAACTGCTGCAGCAGCAGGATACGCAACTCGCGAATCGGGTGCCTTTCGTAGGGAAAACGCTTACTTTCTTCTTGCCGCAAAAGGGAGGCGCCTCAGTGCCCCTAGATGCATTAGACGCGATTCAGCAGCAGCAGCGGGAGGAGCAGCAGAAGGAGCACCCAGAGACGAAGCTGCAAAGACTTCGTCCAGTATACATTCATCTCCATTCGCTACCTCTAGAAATTCATCGGTCTCAAGTTGAGGCCATTGTTGAAAAGTCTGCCAATTAGACAGACACTAAAAGCGAAGCTAGCGAGCGCTTGCCCGTGTTGCGCGAAGCCTCCCTACAAGACACCCGCACCCGCACTTTGCACATCAAGCGATTATGCATAACAAAGAAAGATCCTCCCTTGCGCAGACGCTTCGCGAGCCTTGGAATTTTAGAGTTGATGGACGTGCGTCGTGTGGGGTTTGCAGCTTGTGCCTTCGACTGACGGCCGCTGTCGAGGGGAAAGAAGGCCTCTCAGAGGTCTCCCCGAATCCAGCGCCTTTACTGACGCCGAAAACGAAGGAAAAGTAATCGTTAAACTCTTCTTCCTGGCCTTAAACTAGGATATCCCCCTTGTGCCCTTAGCATTGAAGCCCTGTACACCTGGAAGAGCTGTGAGCTTCTCGTCGCAGCCTTTGTCGTGTAAGTCTGGGATTTAGAGTTTTGGCGTTTACGCTGTTCAGAGATACGCTGGCGAATTTGTGGCAGCAGCAGATTGACGACATTGCTTTCAAGGATGCGCTGTACCAGCAAAACCCTAAATATATAGCGTAAGCCGTAAACTCTACACCTCTTATAGCCCTATGCGTATGTATGCCTTGCTAGCCTCAAGCCTAAAAGGGTTTCAGGCTGCCTGGCGCGTCTACAGCGGATGCTTTAAGACACCATCACATCCACGAGGAAGGAGAAACCGCAAACGCAGCAACGCCATGCGTGAGGATAGGCCCCCCCAAACGCTCGTTCGTAAAAGCCAGGCCCCACATGTTCCACGAGAGATTTTCCGGAGTGTCTTGCTGTGATTGCAGTCGAGTGCGAGCCATGCGGCGCTGTTTCCGCCTCTACGAGCAGAAGCTTACAGAGGATGCACTTCGCACCCAGGTATCTCTCGGCAAAACCACACGTCCTAGGGGTTTTTGATTAGCAGAGGACAAACAGAACTTGAGGGTTGCCGCATCCTACCTTAATGCAATGAGCCTGTCTAAACGCTTCCAACCATGACCTCACCCTCAACTCTAAAAGCCGAACCCTGAGCAGTGGTGCTGCAGTTTTTACATGCATGCAAGTTGCGCGGCGTGTCCTTGCAGAATAAGAAGGCAAGAAGGCGCAAACTCTCTCGAGTGCTACATAGAGCTGAGAAAATTGTACGTGCATGCAGACTGCCCGGCCCCTAAACAGGAAACCGCAGAATTCATGCACCCGGCATATGGCACTGCTAATGGGTGACCCTTTTACAGCCTCTTTGAGCTGCTGCAAGCTCTGCGGCATTGTTTCCACCTGTGCAGGCGTAGGTTCTGCAAGTGTGCGTTTCAGGTGTATAGACGTTTCGGGCCAGACCCCAAGACGCCTCCCGCAGACGCTGCAGATCTGCTACGCAAAGTCGCAGTTGCCGAGAGCGGCTATCACCCGGAACTGGTGTATGTTAATGCAAGTCTAACACAGCAGCAACGGCAGGTAAAGCGCCGGCAGCACCAAACATGTCAGAGCAAGAATAGCTGCACTACTACCAACAGTAGCGGCGGAAGGTTGCAAATTCGCTGTTTGGTGTAGGTGCTTCAACTGTACGTCGCTTTACCCGTCGCCTTGTAAACACCAAAGTAACGCAAAACCTTGGCACGAGCTTCAAACGAAGTAGAAAAATACTGTCCGAAAAGAATGATTGTGCTTTCAGGAGGCGCTGGACAGGATATGCGGCTGCCGACCCTCCACAGTCTCTCCTAGCGATCGATGGCTTCTTTCTTCTCTGCTCTCCGCCCTCAAGAAGAGCAATCCTCCAATCCCCCTCCTTATTCACAAGCAGTACAGATTCATACGGGAGGCGGGCATTTTAGAAGTAAGGGAATACCCTCGTGTTGCCGCTCTTGCACCTTAGAAGAAAACCCACTTCCCCTTTGGTTTCGCAAGTGTAACAGCTCCTGATGTTCGTGTCTTGAAGTCTGCCATCTATATGGTTACTGGCCACCTACCTGGCGCTGATATGCTAGCTCAGATACGCATGACCCTGCAATAAGCGGTGCCAGTATGGAGTGGTGCGCGTGCTGCTAAACGTTGATAGCTCTCAGTGTGTGGTATACGAAATGCCGTTGCAAGTGCTGTCGGCGCTGCTGAAGGTCCCGTTTGATTTCGAGGTGTGGGCATTTGCTGATTTGGTCGAAAAACACCTTGATGAAGCGGCGCGCACAAGGAAGGAGGTAATTATAACGGAACAGGAGTGGCAGCAGCAGCAGAAGGGGGGGCGTAGCTGGCATCGCGGTCACATCAGTGCTCGTTGGAACTGTGGCAGAAAGTGTAATAAGGTTTAATAAGCGCCCGATTAAGGAGTGTTGCTGCTACTTGCTACTCGCTGTCTAATGCAGTTGTTGGGTGCGCTGGCGAAGGGAAACGTTTGAAAGGCGGTTGGCTACCTCGAGCTTTCAGAATCTCCCTTTAAAAACGAGTGGAGGCACTTGCATGCGCGCACGCAAGCAAGCAACCGTGGATGCACATGAGAGGCCGGCAGTGCACGGCCAACCTTGTTCATGTATGAATGCATGCAACAATAAAAGCAACTCCTAACGTCTTAGAACAATGTACGGCATTGCATGCTTTCCTACATGCAGCTCCGCGAAACAGTTCGCAAGCCATTTCCCCCTTCCACCCCTCAATCCCCTAGTCGGAGTGACATCATCACCTGCTCCAAAGGACTCCTAAGAGCCTTAAGAGCTACACCGCAGCCCACCTACAGGCGGCGCTTTCTGCATGCAGTGCAAGTATGACATATGTTTCTGACTCCGTTTTTTTGTAATACCTAAATGCATCGCTTAGAGGCTGTTTAAAACGAGTTCGCTCCTACGGCTGTTGTCTCATTTTTTGATTATCTGAACGACGTCTTCATCGACAAGTTGGTGTTCGCGTCCGACCTTTTGTGGGTTATGCTTAACGCTCTTTCCCCACACGATGGCCTGCTTGAACTCTTCAAGGAGAGACTTATGAATTCTCATGCAGAAGTCTTCCACCTTTGATCGGCTAGAATTCAGAATAACGGGTGCCGTGTAATCCGGAATCTGGCCCTTCGGCTTCGTGTAGACGCGAACCAGGTCGAGATACTCCCAGATCTTCTCGAGGAGGCCATCCAAATTTAGCTGAAAGTCGAAAGGCCATAACGGGAAGGGAAAAGATTTACAAAAAGTTCCACTACCTCGGACAAACACGTGATGCCCCGCGAAACAAGTGCACGACGCCACGCCTCATTGCAAGGTGCAGAGACACCCAGGCATGCGAAACGAATAACCGCATTCGACCCAGAAAGAGTAGACCCCCGATTTTAGAGCCGAGAATACATTTCCCCCAGATATCGCTGTACCCTTAACGCGCTTAGCGTTAATGATTTAGTGGCCATGAAAAGCAGAAACCGTGATCACACATGCACAGACCTGAAATCACCCCCGCACGTCATGAATGCCTCAACCTCAAACCCACTGGAAGAAACCACCTACCTCCATTTGCGCCGAAATAGGGACGTAGTGGGGGACTTGTTGCAGAATATCGAGTTCCTCGATGGTAATTTGATCTATTTTGTTTATTGCATACACGCAGGGAACGTATAGCCGGTTGCCCTCTATGACGTCGATCAATTCGTCAGCTGTGGCGTCGCAACGGAGAGCTACTTGGGCATTCATGATGCGGTATTCTTGGCAGATAGATCGAACCGTTTCTTCATCCAGGTGAGTCAAAGGCACCGTATGTGTGACGCTAATTCCGCCTGAAACAGGCAACTGGAGGCACTCGCAGGTGAATCGGTTAGCACAGCCAACGAACCAACAGCGCAACAATGCAGAATCAGAACACGCGCACGCCCCTGCCTGTTCTCTCTCTCTCTCTTTATGGTGTTATATATATATATATATATATATATATATATATATATATGTAACATTAAAGTGCATGCATAGAAAAATGCTACGAGACCAACCCTTATCCTTTTTTGTAAGAGATATATTTGGAGGTTTCTTGTTGAGCCGGATGCCAAATCCCTCGAGCTCTTTCTCAATGATCCGCTTATGGACCAACGGCTTCAAAACGTCAAGTACAATTAAAATGAGAGAGCACGTCCGTGCGACAGCAATAACCTGACGGCCACGACCCTTGCCATCCTTCGCCCCTAAGGAAATCCCAGCACACACACACACACACACTCGTATAGGAAGACAATGCGCACAAAGGTCATGCATCCACCCGCTGCAATGACATAATGAATAAATACAAACATATACCTACATACATATACATATATATATATCTTAGCGTGCAATAGATATCTGGCCTGCTGGCCAAAGTTGTCTAACTATTTGTCCATCTGAGACCAAGGTCGACAGTCAAGTAGCAAACAAGATTTCACGTGCACTTGCTGCTAACACGGGAAAGATACGGCAGTGTCTTTCAAAAAAGCAATCGCGCATGCAACTAGTGCCTCTCCTGCGCATGTTGCCGCTGTTACTACGGATTTTTGACATCATCACACGACCAACAAATCTGCCCAAGCCTTTCGTCTCGCTGTAAATACGCCCAATGAGCCCTACGCCGTCGACACACGAATCCCAGCAACACCGGCTTACCCTCGATGATCCCCGGCAGATCTAACAGCTGCACTTTGGCACCCTTGTACTTGAAGACGCCAGGAACACATGTAAGAGTAGTGAACTCATAAGCGGCAACTTCGCTGAAAGTTCCTGCAAAGGAGCAGCAAAGATAGCACATGGTTCGATCGAACGCAGCGGCGATACCCCCCAGAGGCAGCAGGGGTACACGGCAGTACCAGCGCCTTCAGACCTGTAAGTTTGTTGAGCAGCGTGCTCTTTCCAACGGATGGAAATCCTACGAGTCCGACTCTTGCATCTCCCGTCTTTGAAACATCGAACCCTTCCCCTCCGCCGCCTCCCCGCTTGCAGCTGCCCTCGATAAGCTGCCCCCTAAGCTTTGCGAGCTTGGCCTTCAGCAACCCCAGGTGATAATTTGTTGCCTTGTTCTTTTGCGTCCGCGCTATTTCATTTTCCACCTCGGCGATCTTCTGCAGCACTGTTGACATCTTTTCCAAGGCGCTGAGCCTTAGACTACCAAATTACCGACAGGCGCCTCCGGATACGAATAAGCCCACCAATGGTCAAGGCTCGCTAGGAGGCGCTGAACTACAGCAAAACAATGTACCCTGAAGCAGAAGCCGTAGCCTTCCCCCCAGAGAAAGCCCAACACATGAACCACGAACCTTAGCCTCGAGAACGGCCGGGAGGCCCCGTCACGTAGTACCAACCAACACGCAATGCCCCTTAGGAAGCAAAAAGCTTAACGAGAGTTTCCAACTACCAAAGTTGAGGGGTTTTTCCACGGTGTAGGTAGGCGCAGAAGCAGCAGCGCGAGGCGCCGTAGGACACCCCCGTGGGGCTGCATGCACTGGGCAATGCCCTCGATTGTCTGCTTCTTTTGGCTCGAAAATACGTATTTTCAGTGCGATCATGACGAGCGATCGTCATAAGAGCGGTGGCTCCACCATGGACGCAGACACCCGAACTCCGCAGGAGCGGCAGCCCTATCACGAGCACCATTTTTGCGAATGCCCTCTCCCCTTGCGTTTGCCTCCAGCCTTTTGCTGCGTGTGCGTCATGCCGGTTCTTTTAGAGCTTCAGGAGTGTCCTTAGCTAGAGGCTCCCAAGGCGCGACGAGGGGTGAAACATGCCCCTGGTGCCGCACTCACGTAGCATCTGTGAGCTCGCCAGCTCACTCAGCTGCTGCTAGAACAGATTACAGCTATGCCTCGGCATCAGCAGCTGCGGCAGCCTCTCCCGAGGCAGCTGGTCTCAGGTTCTCTTCAGCAGCTGCGGCGGCTGCTGCCGCCCCCTCTGGGGGTGATGGAAACCACGTGAGTAGTTTCCACTATTTCTGGAAGCCGCAGACTGGAGGCAGCGGGTCGGCTGCGCAGCAAGTGCAGCAGCAGCTGCAGCAGCTACAGCAGCTCGCAGCGGCAGCAGCAAAGCAACTGACGGAGTGCAGCACGCCAGATTTCTTAGCATGGGGACCTCGCGAGGCATCCCCAGAGCTTCGCACGGAGACTGCACCTGCAGGAGAGGCAGGCAAACACAGTGGCGGCAGCGACTACCAGCTGACAGCTCCCCCATTCCTCCTTGCAGCAGCAGAGGCGCATGCTTCGCCACTGTTGCTGAGGATTCGAGACCTCGCTCCTTCTCAGCTGCATAGCGTCATCCAGTCAACCGCCATTTTGCTGCTCCTGCAGCGCAGGCAGCAGCAGGAGCAACAGCAGAACCCTTGCAGCAGCCACAGAGGCACAACTCTAGAGCACCTCGCAAGGGCCGCCTTCTGCTGCTACGAGGATAAGCTGCATCTGGTTCCTTTTGCTGATGTAAGGGCATGGCAGTGTGACTTCTTCGCTCCTCGTGCATGCCTTCGACTGCACAGCGATGCAGCAACAGAAAAAAACCGCACCCGCACCCGCCATGAGACAGACTGCCTGCCATCTCTGCATTTTTTGTGATGTACATCGAGATGCCGCTGCGTCTGCAAGGCAGAACTTGCCAGTACAGCTGCATTTTCGGCATCCACTTTTGCTTCTTTGAAAGGTACAGGCTTGCAGGAAACAGGCATCAGTGCACGCTGTGGGTGGGGGTGGGGGTGCTACTGCTGCAGGTTGGTCGCTGCGCTTGGCTGGCTGCCGCAGTGTTGCCTGGGGGTGTCTCGTCAAATTTCTTTCCCCTCGCCGTGAATGCCAGGATGCATGCTGGCTTGTTGCGCGAGCAGAATCAGCAGCAGGATCCCCTGCAAGGGCAACAAAACGGCTTATCTCTAAACGTTATAGCGGATGCGCTGCATCCTTTCAGCCATGAGGCCTTGCGGCAGTCGATGAGCTTCCTGAGAGATCCGCTGCTCATTCATCACATCAGCAGCAAAGTTGCTGCGGCTCCTGGTATGTCTGGCAGCAGCAGCAACAACAACAGCAACAACAGCAACAGCAACAACAGCAGAAATGCGAAAGTTGCTTCTGCTAAGAGCATATGGTTTGTTTTTCTCAGATGCGCCGCGGGATACGCTTTTAAAGCTTCTGCATGTATATACTGGTATTCCGGGTATGGTAGTTGTTATTGTTGCTGCTAAAGACTGTGTTTTGCTCGAATTTCAGGTGGTGCTGTTTATTTAGGTGTTTCTGTTTCCGCTGCCACTCGCGTAGCTTTCGCTCCAACTGGTGCTGCTGGCCTGTTGGCTGATGCTTGTGCTGCTGCTGCTGTTGCTCAGAGGCACGTGATTTGCTTAGTTTACTGTTAGATCGCCTCGGGGGCTGTTTTGACGAACTTCCGGATGCGTGTAAGACCTGCAACTGCTGACGATCACCAGCTGTCTAGCTAGCTAGCTAGACAGCTGGTGCAGGGGCACTTTTTCCAGCCCCTAAAACCTTTTGCTTCGTTTGCAGAGCCTCTGTGCAGCAGCTGCAGGATCAGGCACTGGTAGTGTAGATGTACGTGTAAGTTATGTATGTGGATGTATGGGGAAGGGACTGCGGTGCATGTGCCGCAGTGGTGGCAGATCTGTGTTCTGCGGCGGGTGGCCTCCCCCCAATGAGTGCGGCTGCAACAGCGGTGAAAGCAAATTTGCTTTCCAGAGCGAATCAGTTGCATCCACAGGCTCTGGCGGAAGCAGCTGTTGCTCTTGCAGGTAGCGCAGATGGAGCTGTATCCCTGCGGCTGTTACAGTCGAAAAAAATATGTGCTTCTCGGTCTGCTTGCGGAAGCTGTTGCTCCCTCCGCTTTCCCTTGCGTACAGTGCGCTGGTAGTGGCATGCTGTCGCTGTTGCAGATCACATGAGCGCAGAGGAGCTGCTCAAGCTGTCGGCGTTGCTCCTGCCGGCAACAGAGGCACTGCAGCAACAGCAGCAACTGGCCCTCTTGCTGCTGTACAACGACCGCTGCGTTGCAGCTCTTCCCCTGCTGCATGCCCTAGAGGAAGTAAGTGCTTTTCTGCCTCTTGCATGAAGCAGACAGAAGGAGCGCAGCTGTGGGCCAAAGGCCTCTCTACAGCGGCTGCTGCGGCAGCTGGGGTTGAAGAGTAACTGCTGATGGTGGAGGAGTTTGCGTGTGGCGGCTGTCTGCAGCGGCTGCTGCGGACGGGAGCCTCGCTACGGGGGGAGTGCCTAGCGCTCTTGGCCGTTGCGTGTTGCAGCAGCAACAGCAGCAGCAGCGCTGTTTTGCGGCAGTTGCATGCAGTCCTCTGTGCAGCACTTCGCAGCAAATCCATCTCCATCAACGGGGTATGTGTGTGTGTGCGTGAATGCCTCCTTACCCTTCTCCTACTGCGGTTCATGCCGGGGAGCCCTATCATTTCTCCCTTGCTGGCGGTATGCTGTTGTTTCTTGTCATGCCGACAAGAGTTATTCTACTGTCCTCTTTTTCCCTGGACTCTTTAAATGGCTGTTGTCGAGCTCCGCCTCCGCGTTTTCGGACTGCTTTGATGCGCGCATGTTCGACTGCCTTGGTGGAAGCTGCGGCGTAAACGTGTGCGTTAGTTATGTTTTGCTGGCTTTGCAGGCGGTTGAATGCCTCCTGTCCCTCTCCATCGCAGGCTGGACTTGCACAGAGGCTTTGTCGCACTTGAACTGGCCTGAAGCTCTCATGCTCTGCAGTCCTCGAGCTGTCAGTACACTCGCGTGGGTTGCTGCTGCGCAGCGCTTCAGAGATCCTACGGCCTGGACGGCGCTTGCTGCAGCGTGAGTTTCTGGGATAACCGCTCACCTCAGCTGCTGGCCTTTCGCATTCGGGTTCTTTATGAGCCTCCTACGTTCGTGTTTGTTTTTTGCTCGATGTCGTGTTGTGAGAAACACGCGTGGAGGACCTGCATCCTCCGCCGACTTGGGCTGCTACTGCGCGTGCGTAGGACGTCCAGGATATTGCGGGGAGGCTCCCATGCCGTCCAGTTCTACGAGGCCTTTACAGCAGCGAGCATTTTGGGGTTGCATAGCGTGGATATGCAGCTACAGCCGCTGCAGCAGCAGCAGCAATGGCGGCGTGCTGCAGCAGCGTGGCAACAGCACGAGGCTTGGAGGGCAGCAGCGGCGAGAGAGGAGCAGCAGCAGCAGCGCGTCCCTCCCTACGGTCAATTGCTGCAACATTTGGGCATTGATTTCGCTGCTTCCGTTTCCACCAGCTTGTACACTGCTCCCTTCGTCATAAAGCCCCTCAACCTCGTCTTTGAGCCCCTCAAGGCCTCCCCCATACACTTAGTATGCCCCCGTTTCTGCCGATGCCATACTGCGGCTGCGCTGGATGCTACCTGATGATAGGAATTTTTCGAATCCCATTTCTGCGCATGCTGCCGCTTCGCCGGGCTTTTCCCCTGGCCATGACGCTGCTTCATTCTTACTGCTCGTCGGTATTTACCGGTGCCGTTTCTGCTGCCGCATGTGCACTTGTTGCAGGGCAGCGGTCTACAAATGGGCGAGGTGGCATTGCGTCATGGCGTGTGGAGTGCGCTGGGATATAATACGCTTTCCTTGATGGACAGCGAGTTTGAACGCTTTTGTCTGCATGCACCCGAGGTGTATGTACACCCCAGGGATCCCCTACAGCAGCAGCAGCGCCGTGCTGCCAGGCAATACGACATTCCTGCTGCTGCTGCACACCTTCAACAAAAAATAAACGCATGCAAGCCTAGACTCAGGGAGCTACAGCAGCAGCAACGACCGCGGAGCACCAGTGGTAGACACAGGTTGGTGCTGCTTCAGCACCAACGGGAGGATCATCAGGAGCAGCAGAAAAAGACGGCATCTGTTGTGAGAGTACCGGAGGGGCCCCTTAGGGAGTCGCCGCAATAATGACTCTATAATGTTGTTGAAACTTTATCAAAGAGACCCTATGTCACTTAGATAAAACAGGGCGATATGCGCATTGCCGTTCACCTGGTTGTGCACCATTGGAGCTGTCACTAGTAGCTGCTCAAGGGGAACTTCTAAGGGCTACGCTACCACTAGTGTTGGTCCCCTAACCGTTGTCACTAGCAAGCTTTTTACAGCGCAGCCGACTGCAACGCACGGCGGGGGAAGAGAGGGCGGACTGCCTTCAAGGTAGTAGAGTGGTTGGAACAAACAGCTGTACATCCGGCTGCATAGCGTAATCCCTCCATTGCCTTCCCTCAGTCCAGACTGAGCCAAAGGGCGCCATGTTGCGCGGAGCTCTTCTTAGGCTCGAGGCAGCCAATAATCAATAAACAACTCACAGGGAGCGAGGCAAGGGGCGGCCTCTTTCTCTGGCAACCCCTTTCCAGGGAGGGGCCTGTTGCTACGCGCGGATGGCGGATCGGAGTGCAAGACGAATGTTTTTCGGAGTCACCTCGACAACCTCTCCGGGCTGCGGCACCACAGGAAGACAGTGAATAGCAGTTGGTGAAGCATGCAGACGCAACGGCCGTAGTAGAGACAGCGTGTGTGCCTCGCTGACAGCGGTAGGGACAGCCACCACGCGCATGTGCGGCGTCGTCCTCGCGGCATCATCGGCATAATTCTCACTCCAATGAGGTCGAGCGCGCTATCCAAATTAATCTTGATAGGCGGTGCAATGCCCTCAGAAATGCCCTTAGTAGCTGCCCGCATGTTTGTCAGCTTCTTCGCTTTGCAAATGTTCACCTGCAGGCAAAATACCTTCGCTAGGCACGCCATCTGCTGCCTATTCTATCAGTTGGATGGCAAGACCTCCCTCCCCCCATCTGGATAGCTAGCTAGCAGTGAGCTGCTCGGCCTTCCGTTGGCAACTTCACAGGAATCATCTAGCGAGACTGCCGCCGTAAGGCAAAGCCGGATCGAATAGGGACGAGGGAACATATGCTTCTAAGGGCCTTTTAAGGACCAGTAGGAGCCAACCAACAAGGCTGTTAGCTCCTCTGAGTAGGGTGCGAGACATACAGGGAGGTCATTGGGCCGTTTATGTAGACCAACAAGCATGCCGGCATAGACCTCATCTCCAGGAGACACAAATACCTGCCCGCGTTCCTGCAGCGACAGCACCAGACATTTCAGCAGCAAGCCCACCAGCGGTACGTGAACTGTGCAAATCGTTGAGCTGGCTGCCATCAGCTGGACAGCTAGCTAGACATCAGCGTAGGAAGATATCAAAAGCGCTAGCCGTCCTCTGCTTCTCGATCAGCAGAGGTGTTCTAACGAAAGAGCAATGAAGAACGTTCTTTCAAAAACGCGCAACACACAAGAGAAACGGCATCGGGCTACTTTCGCCGCCGCATGCGTGTCAATACAACTGTTTGTCTGCTGGCCGGCTGTGCCAGCTCCGCATGTATACCTATAGACAGAGCGCTACGTAGCGAACTTGGTGATTCGGGGGCTAGCAGTGGTGGTTGGGAGCCGGTAGTGTGGCTCGAAAATCACCTGTGCATGCAAGATGCCTTTGACGGTTGCATTGCCGGCCTCTACTGCCACCAGGAAGCCGCGGTGTCTCTCTTGGCTGTCTCCTCCCTCCACATGTCTCTTCACGGCAATTACGTTGCGGCCAGGCCCCTGTTGCTTCTCGCCCTCCTTGGGCAGGCGCTGCTGTTGTTGCTGCTGCTGCAGCAGGATCTCCATTTCATCGTCCTCATCTAGAGCGCCTTTCTCGCTTCCTCCCGCTGCTGCAGCAGCCGCAGGAGGAGGGCCCCTAGCCGCTCGCGGAACGGGGGCCCCTTCAACGAGAGGCAGAAAGCCCGCGGGGGACGAATGCAGCAGCGCTGTTCCCTTCGAGGCCTCCATTAGGGCAGCCTTCAGGCCAAAGGAGAAGCGAGTGGCTACACGGAAGAACAGCGTGCTGCTACCGGTGCTGTCGCTGCTGCTGGACGAGGAAGACTCTCCAGTCGCGACCTCAGTCACTGTTCCTCGCCTGGAGATGCGCAGCAGACACCACAGGCCAGTTGAACATGCAGGGGATGCGGCAGCCGGCCAGGAAAGCGAGACGCTACTCCCAAGCCGTCGATTCCTGCGGGGGCCCTACCGCTGTGGGGCCCCTGCGCAGTCAGGAAAGAGGCCAGAATACTGAAAAGCGGCGATTTCGATAGGCCAACACTGCCACAGAATAAGAGGCAGCTAGCTAGCTGCGCACAGAGGCGGCCAGGAAAGAGGGCCACGAAGGCGGCCTTCGCGCAGCGGGAGGAGGCTCCCACAGGAGAGTGAGGCAGCAGCTGCTCCCATGCGGCGGCAGACACAGACGGCAGCAAGGGCAGACACACCCATGAAGCGCAGGTAGGCGAGCGATAACAGTATGCATCAAGGCGTAGAAGCCAAGGGGAGCTACAAAGCCGTTCACTGACTGACCGATTCTGAATTTCCCTTAGGGCAGGCCCTAGGCCGTCCGCGGCGACAGTCAGTTCAAAATCCTCATAGGGCTCCAGCCATTGTGTGCCATCCCACCTAAGGCCACACGTCAACACGTCAGCGCTACAGAGACACATACAGGTCGCCCTTCCGGCTAAGGCCCCTTTCGCAAGCGGCAAAACGAGCAGCTTTTCTGGCTCAAGCGAGCCTTGACTGAGTATATTTTTTCGCACTTGGGAAGAACGTCTGGAGCTGCAACTGCCAGCTCGAGGCCCTGTCGCCTAAGGCTCTCGATGAGAACTGCAAGGTGCAGGGGGCCTCTGCCGCTCAGGCAGAGGCCTCCGGGGCCGACTGAGACCCTTGCTGAGACGTCGCTAGTATACACACCACACACCACATGCCACATGCCGCTCGGCAGCCTGCTGCGCACGCGTACCCGGGGAACTCCTGACACGGGGCCGTACCTATGGCGAAAGGAGCTACTACTACTTGCACACGCAGAAGCATGTGGGGGAAGACTCGGCAGCGTTTTTTTTCTGTCTGAAAATTCCTTGTGTGTGGCTGGTTGGAAGGGCCTAGCGGGTCAGAAGGGTCGCGTGTGTGGACAGGAGAGAAGGGTGACCCTGCAGAAGGGGGCCCCTCCTGTTTGTGCGTGCGGCGTGTTAGCAGGAGCAAGGGAAACAAGGCATTCAGGATGGGCGCTACACATGAGAACTGGAAAAAGTAGTACTTGCGGATAAGCGTCCTGAGCCTGTCTCTAAGACCCAGGATGGTCGTGGGGGCACCGCTGTCTTTCCCTGCGAGGGGAGAGCCGTTCGGCAATAGCAAGACAGACACTGTAGGGGATTCGGCCTTGATGGCGGATAGAGGACGCGGGTTCTGCGGCAAGAGTGGCACAGTAGGCTAGTGGTGGTTGCGAGAAGCAGAGGCTTGGCAGAGACGCAGGAGAAGAAAGGCCCACAGAGAGCCGCAGCATGCGCGGAGTCGCAACACAAGCAGGAGAGCCGGCAGCAACTACGAACGGCGCTGGTCGAAAGCAAGCTGGAACGGAGCAAGCACGTTGACGGGAATTTCGCCCGTCTAGCTGCACTGGCAGCAGCAATTAAAGTAAACGCACAGACGGATGCCTCAGCGTACCGCAAGGTCAACAAGGGAGTCGCCCACCCGAACCTCCTGCGAGAGGCCTCCCACAATCAGCAGATCCCCGTCAAGGGGACCAGGTGCCCCTTTCTGCTGCTGCTGCTGTTGTCGTTGCAGCAGGGCAGGGTCGACAGGCGTCAACTCCAGCCCCTCGTAACGATATACCGCAGTGAATGTTGCTGCAATACTCGCAACAGCGGCAACAGAACACCACCACGCGTCGTGCACTTTCTTTGCACGAGCTTGCCGCAGCAGTCCAGGCACTGACACCACTGCAGCCACGGGAAGAAAGAAACCCTTCGAAATAAGCAGGAGAGCGCAACCCGCGGAAGCAGCAGGCCCCATAATCTAAACAGTGCCAGCAACACGGCAGAGGCAACATTTCTGCCAGCAGCAGTATCTACAGACAGACACATACACAGAGAGGCAGAGAGAGACAGACAGACACACACACACACACACAGACAGAGAGACAGACAGACAGACACGCACAGAGGGACAGACAGACACACAGACACGCACAGACAGAGAGACAGAGACAGAGACACAGACAGAGAGACAGACACACAGACAGACAGGAACACTGAAGGCATCTCAAGTCGCAAATGAGCAGCAGACGCATGCCAAACAACAGAGCGCACCCTTTTTGGGTGGCTCTTCGGGAGCTGTCGCTCGGATGATGCCAAGGGGTGTTCCCGGGAGGAGGGCACCCCCCTGGAGTTTTCCGAGGGCCAAGCGACCCCTAAAGGCGTCTTCTTCAACGTGTGCTACCTGAAACTGCAGGCTGCTTGCTGAGCCTGATGCTTCTTTCGCCACAGCCGCGTTGTCTGCTGGAAGTGAGGCACGCGGACTGAGGCGGAAAAGAGCAGAGACGAGGGGTTCCATGGAAGGCCTTAGAGCTCCCGGAGAGTCGCCACTCCGACGTTGCAGCGCTGACGTGTAGACAACCTGCATACATCCGACAGGGGGTGCGACGCTCGCCACGTGTAAAGGCGTTATTGCAACCAAACAAACAGCGTCCACAGACACGCACAACAGCCCCCGTATTCAACGCACGTGTCGAGCTACCCGAAGAAGACGCTGGAGGAAAAGAGAGGACAGCGAGAGAGAGAGAAAGAGAGAGAAAGAGGGCCTCTCTGGGGACAGCACCCGCAGCATGCAGCAACACAGGTAGAGACACCAACGCCAGCAGCAAATGCAGTCGGGCAGGCAGCGAGCGACAAGAGGAGGCGCAGCGCCAGCTGCAGCAGCACTAGTAAACAGAGCATGGCGAGTGACCTCAAAGTCCGCTTGGTCGTCCGAGGCGTTGAGCTGCAGGAATAAGTCGAATACGCGCGACGCCACCTCCCTGTGCGGAGCATGCATGCATGCATACACGCGGCAGCAGCAACACAATCAAACGCTTCAAGAAAACAAGTCGATTACAGCCTGCAACCTGTGCTGTTACGTCCAGAAAGCGGCAGCACACTCAACAGACAACACGCAACATCGGAGCCGCCACACCAGGGACCTGCTGCTTCAAGGAAAAAACGCAGACACAACGCGCTTTTTGGCAGCATTCACAAGCAGGTGCAGTGCAGCTGTTTACTCCGGCTTAGCCGTCGACCTGTCCACCTTGTTGATAGCCACGACAGCTCGCAGTCCTGCCTGAAGTGCCTTCTGCAAGACCACACGCGTCTGCGGCTTGGGACCCTGCAAAAGACAAACGCACAGATACACACAGAGAGAAGGAGCGGTTCCAGGAGCTTCGGGCCAGACAACAAACGCACACAAACAGAGGGGAAACAGAGAGAGAACAAGAGACAGACAGACAAGCAATTATTCAGATAGATACATTTATACACATATACATACATACGCACATAATATATATGTATATATATATATATATATATGTATACAAACACACACTTACATAAACACACACACTTACACACACACACTTACACAAACACATACACTTACACACACACTTACATAAACACATACATAAACACATACACTTACACACACTTACACAAACACATACACTTACGCACACACTTACATAAACACATACACTTACGCACACACACACACGTGCACACACTTGCACACACTTACACACACTTACACACAAACATGTACACACACATTTACATGCATACACACACACACACCCACCATACACGGGACCGCGCAGCTCCCTTCCTTTACCGCGTGTTGCATGACTCTCATTAGTCGCAGTAACAGCAACAACTACAGCGACAGCAAAACAGCAGCAGCAATAGCAGCAGCAGACCTCGTTTGCGTCTACAACCAGAAGGATGCCGTCTGCGAGGTGCATGACGCGCTCCACTTCGCCTCCAAAGTCTGCATGACCCGGTGTATCGATGATATTGATTCTTCCAATAGTGTTGCTGCGGTTGGAGGCGTCAAGAGGGAGAGTGAGCGACGCCACTTTGGCTCTGATGGTAATTCCTCTTTCGCGCTCGAGGTCCTCCCTGTCAAGCTGCCTCTCCATAGTCTAATGCATGCATCAAGGAACGTGTTGATGCCCAAAGCACACCAAAGCACCACACCAAGGAAGAGAGATTCGAGGTTACATTTTTAAAAAATCGTCTTCCTGCTTTCCCTTCGACCCGCTATGAGCCCGCCGTCGCTATATACGAGCAGTCTGGCGCATGAAGATCTGCGAATGGCTACACCATCTGAATATCGCTGCCTCGTAGAAGGGCAGTTTTACTGAGGTGTAGCACTCTGCGGAGGGGCTTCCCGCTGTGCGTGTGGTGGCTTACGGGCTTCCTGTGCTGTTGCTGCCCTTGCTGCTGCTCTGCCGCGAAGGCCAGCAGCGCGTCAACAAGCGTTGTTTTCCCATGGTCGACATGAGCCACGATGGCAATGTTGCGTAGTGGTGCTGCCTCGCTACACTGCGATGCTTCCCGCTGTGGTGCAGCTTCCGCCGCTGGCAGGGGCGTTCGTGGAGAGGCTGCAGAGCACGTGAAGGCTATTGCCGAGCGAAAAGGCAGCTGCCGCCGAATAGAGTGGCTGGGACTGTTGGTCTGGCGAATCTGCTGTAAGAAGAAGGCGCGGGGGGGCCCCCAGGGGCCCCCCCTTCCCTGCCTGGGAGGGAGAGCCTCTCTGTACTGCTGGCCTTGAAGACACCAGGCAGCAACCCTAAAGGCGGGGATCCAGTGAGGCAGCAAAAACAGCAGCAGCAGCAGCGACAACAAGAAGAAGGAAAAGAAAGGCTGCTGCCGTAGCATGGCTGCTACACAGCGACGAGTCCACTCGGGAACGCCCAGTGCCGTCGCCTCTCCTGCTGTCTACTTCGCGCTGCCGTTGCCGTCTGTGCTACGCTGCGTGACGAGAAAAACGCCACTAATAATGCTATTCAGAGGTCGAGGAGGGACCAGGATGCGAGCAGCAGCAGCAGGGAGCATCATCGGCACGCGGAGCATGAATGCCTCGAGACATCCATAGACAGACACACAAACGCAGATACACATACACACACCCCACACCCTCACGGCCTCTGTCGATTCAAGCTCGTACCCCCAACAGCTGGCTTTAATTTACACACATATTAGAGGCTGGAAGGCAGAATTAGAGGTCTCTATGCGCAAGCCCTCATGGAGGCATGCGTGCCTACGCGCAATCGGGTGAAACACTTCGGCTGCAGTGCGCGGGTTTCTCTGACGTGGATGCTGTAGGCCCCCTTCAGCGCGAAGTGTGTATGTAAACCCGCTATTTCTGGCATGCCTACACTCTCTAACAGGCATTGTTTTGTTCTTCGATTGTTCTTGTTTCGAAGTTCTAGGGGAATAAACGGGAGCAGCCGCGTGGGCTTTCGAGGGAGGCCCTCCGAAAATCGCGGGCTGCTCGCTATGAAGGCGCCGCGTCGCTGGAGTGCACATATATCGTGTTTGCGGCTTTTTCTCCCTTAAACGAGAATTTTCCTGTGCGGGAGTAAGTACTTCCTGCTCACGTCTCCTCTTATATGGTGCTTTTGGTCTTGCCTTGCCAGCGTTTCCTGCAAGGGCCTCCAGGATTCCAGCTAGCAGCATCAGCAAGCAGTAGCACCAGCAAGCAGTAGCACCAGCAGGCAGTAGCACCAGCAAGCAACACCGGTTTACAGGAGCTCCCCTTGCACGAAGCTCCGTAGCTTCCGCTGGAATTGCTGAAGCGATCGCGCTGCTGCTGCACGGGCAGCAACGGCAGCCAAAGCAGCACCAAACCCGTCCTTCGAAGCGTTGTGCCTTTCGCCGAGTGGCGATACACCGCAGCAGCAAGCGCCTACCAGCGCTGCCTGCCCCTCCTGTGATTTCTTGCCGTCATCAGGGCTTTGAATACCATGCGCCTAGGCCTCTGGAATGACAGCAGCAAGGCTGCTGGAGAGGTAGGGGGTGAACCACAGAGCGAAGCCTCGAGGATTCGAGCTGCCACTCCCTCGACATCCCTACATACTGCATCCTTGCTCACGAGGGAGTCTACGAGGCGTGCTAAAGTAGCTCCGGAAGGCCTCACAGGGGGATCGCCTGCGACTGGCAGCGAGGTTCTTCGCGGGTGTTACTTGGCCTTCCGCGATGTGTCTTATAGCATCAAAAAAAGGAGCTTCTCAGGGGAGGAAACGGTTACCATTCTGCATCCTATCTCAGGCAAGCTGCTTCAACGGTGGCTCCCAGTGCTGCCGCTACCTGCGGCATTTGCAGCATGCAATTTTTTGTCAAAGTGGTGGGAGCGCCGCTACACGAGGTGTACAAGGCTTCTGCATGCAGTTCGCATATTGCTGGATTGCTCTCTGCTCAGGCGTCATCAAGCCCGGCAGCGTAGTTGCCCTTATGGGCCCCTCAGGCAGCGGCAAAACCACCTTGCTGGACTGCCTTAGCGGAAAAAAGGCGAAGCACGATGGCGATGTCTTCCTTAATGGCGTCCCCCGAGTATACAGAGACCTCAAGCGCGTCGCAATCTATGTGCCGCAGGTAGGGGTTTCCCGGCAGGTATCTATTCGAGGCGAATATATATATATATATATATATATATATATATATATATATATATATATATATACATGTACCACACGCGGACCGTAAAGACGGCCAAAGTAGGATGCATCTGTCTTGCTTGCCTAACTGATATATACATATATATGGACGTATATCCATATAGAAGTGTACTTATATATATACATATCTGTGTATACATGTCTATGTCTAGAGAGATGTTTATAGATATACAGGCTTTCGATTCATTCATTAGAAGGCGCTTTGTGACCACTTTGGCGGTTCTGTTTGCCTCAGGACGCGATATATACGGGGCAAGAGACCGTTCAGGAGGTTCTCGAGTTTTCTGCAGCTCTAAAGACGAATTATACGAAGGAAGAGAGGCACCAGCTTGTGGATGGTGCGATTGAGTTCCTTGGCCTTTCCAAGGTTGCACATAAGGTATATCCCTCCTTAAAGCCTCAAAACGCAGCCCTTTGAGCGCAAATTCCTAAAGTGCATTGCTCACTCCCGCAGTACCCTTTGGCTCTCCAGGGACCCCGAGATTGGTCCGCTGTGTAGCTCTGCGTGCATGCGTGTGTTTGCATCGAAATCGGTATTGTGTTCTGCTTTATATAACAGCGCGTAGGCAACATACGCGTTCGCGGAATCTCGGGGGGACAAAAGAAACGGCTCATGGCTGGCCAAGCACTCGTGTCGCTAGCGCAGCTATGTTTTTGTGACGAGCCAACTTCTGGTGCGCCTCTCTTGTTGCACGACCTTTGTGGCATACAGTCTCTCTGTCTGTCTCTGTTTCTCTCTGTCTGTCTGCCTCTGTCTGCTGTTTCTCTTTCTGTCTGTCTGTTTCTCTGTCTCTCTGTCTGTCTCTCTCGCTCTCTCTGTCTGTCTCTCTCTTTGTCTGTCTCTCTGTCTCTGTTTCTCTCTGTCTGCCTCTCTCTCTCTCTGTCTCTCTCTTCCTCAGTCGCCGCGTGTCCCCCTCTATCGGCCTCTCGGTTTCTCCTCTCTTGCCCTTCTTCGGCTACTGCTGTCTTGTATGCTCTGTGTCTCTCTGTGGCGTGGCGACACCCCCCTTCACCCCCTCTCCTCTCTTCCCTCCCCCTCCCATTCCTTTGTCCTGGATCCTTTACCGGCTTTGCTCTCTGCTCTGCATAGCCGATCGCCTGCTTGCCTTCGTGCTCCGCGATCAAACTAACGCGTATTGTCAGCAAACCGCCTGTTCGCCTTCCTCATGCGCGCATGCTCTTACCCACTCCGCCTCTGTGTTTGAGTCTTGATGCCCTGCGCTCTGCTCGATACACCTGCAGGCCTGAGCTCGACAGACGCCTCTTCACTGGTCCTTGGCTTGCGCCGCGTCGCTTCTCAGTGTGGTGTCACCTTCATTGTTTCCATTCATCAGCCTCGCTCGGAGGTCTTCGAGTGCTTCGACTCTGTTATTCTGCTTGCTGCCGGCCGCTGCATCTATAACGGACCCAGGGAGTACATGGAAGCCTATTTCACGAGACTAGGTCAGCCTGCTGAGCATGAATTGTGTGTCTCCTTCAGCGCTTGAGGGCAGGCAGATGCGTGGAATGCCTGCCAGCTGTGCAGTAGGCTCCAATATGCGTAGGCTAACTACCGGGCAAGCACTTACCGTGGGCAAATGACGGGCCGGCTTGATGCGGCACTCTACTCCTGGCGAGCGCTTCGCTTTGCACGCTTGCTCTATTGCAGCATGGACCTCGGCGTGTGTCTGTGCCCCCTTCTTGCGCTTGGCTAGAAATCCCTTTCGTGTGAAAAAAACGCATAATGGCAACTGCCGATGGGCATAAGTACCGCTTGTGCGCTGTGATGCCGCCTGCAGAACATCCCTTGCCGCTGTACTTGAATCCTGCGGAATTTTACTTGGAACTGGTGACCGTCGGGTGCCCCTCCTGCTGCTTAGAGACTCTCGCGAATGCTTACGAAGCAACCGAGAAGAAAAAGCAAGAGAGCCGCGTCTGGGAGCACCTGCAGCATATGCAGCGTGTTAAAGAGAGTAAGCAAATCAATATCCTCTTTGCCGTTTAAGGAATTCCCTAGTGCTCTTTCACTGGATCCGGGATCGCGGCTCCACAGGCTGATCCTCTTGTTGCGCCCCCCTCCCGTCTCTCAAGCGTCCTCACGTTCTTTGGACATGCATGGGGTTGCAAGGCAGCCAAATGCAACGCGAGAAGAGACAGACAGAAAGACAGAAAGACTGACAGACTGACAGACAGATTGACAGAGACAGGAGCACCCTATTTTACTCCTTTTTTCCTTGCTCCCTTTCTTCCTGCCGCCTGTGCTCTTCGCTCGTCTGCGCACCGGCTGCGTTGATTGAGTGAAAGCTACGCAGCCGCAGCATATTCAATCTAAGAAAATCTCCTCCCTTCCTGTTGAGGGGGGGCCGTTATGGGGGTCGCTGACACGTGCATGCTGGTCGTACACTGGTGTGCTTGTGCTTGTGCATGTCGGCTTTATGTCGATTGCGGCAGCCTTGTCCAGAGGTTTCCCAAACATCCAGATAAATGTGCAGTCTTATTGCACGTATCTGCGTGGCTCTGGCGCGTGTGCAAGCATGCATGCATGCTTGCATGCATGCTTGCTTGTGCATAGCGCGGTGTACATGTGTTGTGTATGCTGAGGTTGGCAGCTAGAGAGACCCCGCCTTGAAGCTATGAGGCTTTTTTTTGTGGGTATTCGCCAAAAGCTGCTTTTGCAGGAGAGGGGCTGTGCGTCAATAGTGCGTCTGTTGATGTTGCAGAACCCCCACATTCGCAGAAGGCGCAGTGGTGGACTGGCAAGTCGAAAGAGGAAGGAGAGGCAAAGGATCGAATAGGGGCTAAGGGAGGCTGTGAGAGAGAGACACAGGCTTTCACGCCTCCGGGCCCAACCAAGGTGACAGAGGGCTGCTCAAAAGAGACGCTGAACGAGTCTGCGAAGGATGTTGGAAGCACAGAAGCCGAGGAAGAAGGACCTGGCTCTGCTTTAAATATGCTCTTAAGAGATGGAGGCTCACGGAGGTGAGGCCCATGGCAGACGACAGCTAAGAGGGATGGAAATATGTACAGGCTGCACTATCTTTTCCCTCTGTGGTGGCGAGCAGCAGCAGCAGTCTGCCTGCTCCACCCTGCTTCAGCTTCTATTCTCTTTTTGCCTGCCTAGTGCTTGCCTAATCCGGGTGTGACTTTCTTTCCACCCCTGTTTGCAGAGATCAAGCTTCCTGGCTGAAACAGTATTGGGTGTTGCAGCAGCGCTCAATTCGCCGCACGGTGCGGGACCGCCGCTCCCTGTGTCTGACAGTCCTCTCTGTCTACATATACTCCCTTCTTACCGGTATCCTCTTCCTGAATGCATACTACAAAGGCGCTGTCTTTTACCAGCTCTCTGCGCACGTCCTGGTCAGTGTTGCGCGTGCACCGCAAGCCCAAGAGAGAAACGCCCCCTTCTCCTTCCCATCCCTTCTCCTCTTCGCCCCCCTCTGCTTATTTTTAAGAACGATGACGCAGCTGAAACCACAAGACAGAGCCGCCGACACATTGAAGTTCAGGGCTGAGAGGTCCGTGCTTTTCGGTGCAGATGTGCATTGCGCTGAGCATCATTCCCTTCGTGAACACGGTTATTTATTTGGAGAGAAAACTGCAGCTCTTGTACGAGACTTCAGACGGATACTACTCCCCAGGCCCCTACCTCCTTGCTGAGGTAACGTTTCTTTAACGGGTGTGGGTTGTAGGATATATACGGACTTTTGCAGCAGATGCCGGTACTGTTGAATCTGCCTTTTCGAAGGTTTTGCTCAGCTACGCTCTGAGCAGACCGCGGTGTGCCTCTACTGGGCTTAATGCATGTTGCCTAAGGGTTAAGGGCCAGGATTTGGGCTTCACGACTGTGTGAGCGTGTGCCTAGTTGTGTGTGTTTAGATTTGTACAAGTTTTCTGTTGATTCTGGTGACTCTGGTACCCTCTCTCCTCATCATCTTTGGCCTTTGCGGCTTTCCCTTCGGCAGATTGCCCATGGTCTTGCTCCTATACTTCATTTTCGAAGCTGTAAGCACACAGTCGCACCGAGTTTTCCGATTGCTTTCCTTTGCTGCGGTTGATGGCGAGGCAGCTATTCGTGTGGCTGATGAAGATCTGGCTGCTGTTGGGATTGCAGCAACGTAGTCCTCAAGGTTCTTCGTGTTGATATAGCTATTGTTGCTGGCGTTCTCGTTCTGGGGCGGTTAAGGGCCCACTACCCCGCCGGCTGGCGTGCTTGACGGGTACTCTCGTTGGCTAGCAATGGCCATATTCCCCAATGTTCTGCGATTATGGCGCTGGTGCTGCTGCTGTGGATGTTTGTGGCAGTTCGTGGATTCCATAATGCAGCTCTGTTCTGCCCTTCTTTCTACTTTTATGGGGGTCAACGCTGTGGGAGGCGGTTGGCTCTTCCTCACCTCGCTCCTAAACGGACTCAATGCAAACCCAAAGCAAGCAAAATACGAGCGTTTGCGTTTGAAACATAAAGGAAAGGTTTGAGGGCGCGGCTGACCGTCTGGAAGCTGGGGCATTGGAAACTGGAGATACAGATATGAGTTTTTTGTTACACTTTTGGGGTTCTATTCAGGCCTGTGTGTTTGTGATGTATGGATTGGGAATATAGGGGTCGTGCGGTGTCTTTTCATAGGTCGGTACCTACTGCTCTGCGTTTCCTCATTTTCCTTTCTCCTTACTTTTATCTTTTTGAGGGTTTGGCCATTGTCCTTTACAACGACGACCAAGACATCTTCAATGTGAGCTGTAAACCCTTAGCTATCGCCGCAAGTTGAGGACTCTCTCCGCTGCTTTGCCTAGTCTGAGATTTGAAGTAATTGACTCATCAGCATGCTCTGCTCGCTTGCAGGAGTGCAATTTTTCAGAACCCAAACTGTTATACATTTGCGGTTGACGCGTTTTTCAGGATCCGGAGCGGAGAGCGATTTTTGGCTATCCAACAATCGAAGAAATGTACAAAGCCTTCGGACTAGCTGGAACATTTGCTGATTCATCACTAACTCCGAAGCAGTGGCTGTGGCTAGCCGACATACTGCCGCTGGCGGGCTCTACAGTGGCTGCGCACGGCGCCTGCATCCTCTACTGGATGAATAAGAGACTTGCTAAGTAATTTCCTGCATCCGTTGGTATTGCTGTAAAGGCAGAAGCTATTGATACTGTGGGCGCCGATTTGTGGAAGCTCGGTAGTTCATTGGGGTGCGTTTCCGGACAGCAGACCCTACAAGGCCTATACCCTTTTAAATCACATGTTTATTTTTCGGCCTTGTTGATTGGAATTATCTCATTTTCATATCGTGAACATGGTTTTGCTGCTCCGCGCAACTGCGTGGCAGTGAAGGGGCATATTGCCTCTTACCGTACTGCTGACTATGAGGTGAGCATCTCGAGTGCCTTATGGAAAATGGGCAAAGGATGCATGTGGACTATGTAAGGCATCCTCACCATTCACGATTGGTATACGCCCCGAATGAGCGTCAGGCAGGCACATAGGCCGACGTGGTCACCAGCGTGAGATGTCTGGTGTACATTTATCGGTGCTGCGTAGCACCTTAGGATAGCGGATGTGAATAATGATTATCTACCGTTATTTTTTAACTGGGAGATGCTATGGCAAAAGCCTTCAATAAGAAAATTTTCATCTAGCGATTCACGGTGTTCGTTGACCACACTAGTGAGCCCTCTCTTCATAGTAAGAGAACTAACTGTAGCGTGCATTTCTTTGCTGTGATACTTTTGGGCCTCCAGTTCGAAAGTTTTGTCGTGGTTGTAGTAATGGGATGGTATAGAAAGCGCTATTATAGTTCTGTAGCTCTTCAGTTCGTTTGATTAGTGTCCAATTTAAGCCGTTTCTGAGAGGAGGCGTAGGATAGAGGCTTACGAAATGCTGGAGCTGGCATCACGGCCCTGGCTGCTGTGCACCCTCCAGGTTTGTATTGTCTGTTCCTGTTTAATGCTCCTTCATTGAAATATGGCAGGACATTATATTTTATAAAGTTATCAACTTCAATGCGCCATTATTTCATCTTTTTTCAGTCTTTTTGAGAGCATGCTCTGTGTTTTGTAAGGCTTCGACCGCTGAGGATTTGCAAGAGAACTGAAATGTGGATCAAAAAAAATTCTCCCCAAACATAAAATTGCTCTCTCTTTTGTATTTTTTAAGCTATCAGATTGCTAGAGTTATCACTTCATTTGTCGCAGTCGCTTGTGCACCCTGCTTACTAAGTCACAATAATAAGCGCAGAAAATGGTGGTGACGGCAAGTCCGGACACATATTATCATTTGCTCGAATATGGGATGAGAAAAACGCGACTCCGTCCTGATCGACTTTTGCTTCAGTCCTTCATGGCCGGAGTGTATGTGGGTATGGCGGGTCACTGTTGCACCACGATTGGTAAGCAATACTTTCATTTGTGTATACATATTTTTGTCAGCTCGTGGCACTTCTGTTCAGCATGTTTGCACTATCCCTTGTCTCAAGAACAGCGCGAACAGGTTTTAACTGAAGCCTGATTGGATGCGGTGACCTCAAAAGTTTCTCGACCTGCTCAGACACGCGACGCACCTTCCCCTAGTTTTTAGTTTTGTGGCCTTTCATACAAATCTCCTCACATCTCAAGCCGGTGTTCGGAGTGTCACATTGTCTTTCCTTTGGTTCTTTGGCCCCAATTTGTGTTCTGTCTTCCTATCCTTTCTCGCGAGTGAATAACCTCGACAATCGTGACAGATCCTCAAATTCACGTCGAGAAACAGCGTTCGAGTTCACGTGTCAGTTAGAAGCCCTACCTGCACAGTCACTTAAAATATTCACAACAGAATAAAGTAACAAACCCTCTGTGTTGTGTTCCGTGCAACAGCGGGGGGATTTTCGGTTCAGGACGGCGACCCACTGGCGGTACCGAAGTCGCTGCAAAAGTTGATTTACGGGATGCTCTTCCCTGTGGCCTTTATTGCTATCATTTGGACTGGCGCTGAGCTGTTTACCGGGAATACCATGACCATGTTGGTTTGTATTCTCGAGAAAAGGATCAAGGCTTACAATCTTTTACTAAACTGGCTAGCCAGCCTTTTTGGAAACTGGCTGGGAGCCCTGTTTGTGGCATATTTCCTCTCGTATCTCACGGGGGCCCTCGATGACAAGCACGTGTCCTACTTCCTCTTCTCAGCAGCCAAGGACAAAACCAGCTACTCTTTTGGTAGCTGCTTCCTCAGGGCTGTAGGATGCAACGCCTTTGTTTGCCTTGCAGTTTGGTTTGTTATTGCAACGGATGATGGAGCTGGAAAAATTTTAGCTCTGTGGTCAGAAATGTCCCTACCCCGCAATCAACCTAGGGTCACGCACAACGACGTTTACAGTGCATAACTCTACCTTTGCTTAGGTTCACCTCAAGTCTTTGGGCGGGTAGGGATACAGAAACAACTTTTGCAGGATACGCTAGAAAAGAGGAACAAGCCACATACACAAGAGCCTACGCCTAAGGGTCTACGGTCTAGGCACAGGAGTTTGCGTATCCAGGTTTCCCATCTTGGCATTCTGCGTTGGCGGCTATGAGCATATAATTGCAAACTTCTACACTCTCCAAGCTGCCCTCATGGCGGGAGCTCCCGTCTCTGTGGGGGACGTCATCGTTAAGAACTTCATTCCTACTCTTCTGGGCAACCTGGCAAGACGGCCCCCAATTGTGGCTTCTGCTCCTTGAGAGCGAAGCGCTGGACCCTCAAGAAAACAACTGGAGGATTAGGATCCTCCGTGAAGATGTAGCTTTCACTAATGTCCCTCGCACGCAAGCAGTATTGTGCGCAAGCTTTCTGAAAGGCAGTACCTGGAGTGCCTTGCGCCCTTGCACATGCGTTGGAGTGCCGATTCAGGTTGGGGGTTGCTGTCTGATAGGGGCAGTCTACTGGTACAACTTTTACCCCACTGTCAGTGTAAGGGAGCACCTACTGGATGCCGGTGGAGCCATGCCTGTGCAAGCTATTGAAAGCGACAACACAGCAGGTGGAGATCTGGAAGAAAATGACAACCCGTCCTTAGGCGGCTCGCTGTCAAGAGGTGGCGTCTCCCAGGGAATCTCGGAAGCACCCCTAGTGTCCAGCGGGCCGGGACTAAAGCGTTTTTCCGTTATGGGCAGCAGAGTTGGTGCGCCATCCGCGGGGCATATGGAAACTTCCGCTGTGATGGTGCTGCCCAAAGAATCGTTTGGGGGTCATTATATCCTGGCCACCCCAGGGGGCGGCCCTAGTCGGCTAGGGAAAGACATCAAACAATTCTCTTTCTTGCCATCGGCAATGGGGTTGACGGGTTCGAGAGTTTCTCAGGGAAAGTCTGCAACTGAAGCATACGAAGACGCGACGCTTAACAATACTGCACAGGTATGCAACACGCAGCTCTTCAGCCATAAGGTCCCAAGCGCGAAAGGTAACATTGGTCGCTAAGCCCGTGGAAGAGCGACAGGTGTTCTGCTGGCTCATGGATGGACGTCCAGTGTGGCTATATTCTGCGGTCTAGGATCTATGTTGAGGGATCTAGGGTGTGAGGGTGTTTCCATGTACGTGTGCGGAGTAGGTCGCGCATGACAACGGAACTGTAACAAACGCACAAGATAGCTTCAACGTTTAGGCTTTATGTTATATATCGCTTGGGGCTACCCCATGGCTCTCCAACAGGATATTAAACTGCGGAGTGATAAAGTCGTATGGGGGGATCGCCAACCAACGACTGTGGAATTCTGCGACTACCTTAGCGCTGTTTTTCTTCAGTTGCTTGGCTATCAGAAAAACATTGCATGATCAGAAGACACGCATACCCTTTGTACTGCCTGCTAATCCAGCGCTGTACCCAAGCAGCTCGAGCTAGCCGAGCCACAGCAAGCCTGTGCAAGGAACGCTGGGTTTTCGCACTCTCCAAAAAACCACCGCTGCACAGTACTGCTGCAGACAGGCCGGATCAGTCATAGGGCTCGGCTGTATAAGTGACTTCTGGCTTACTCCTAAAGTCTGTTCTGAACTTCGGTAGGAACCTTTTCCTTCGTGTCGTTCGTCTTCGGGGGAGGGCTAGATTTCTGTCGCGGCAGGCACAAAAACTAAGTGTAGACAAGGTTATTGGGCTGCTTCTGATCTCCGAAGGCTATATGCAGCGTAGCGTTTTTTATTGCATCAATATTCAAGCTATCCCGGGAGAGCGGACTCGATTCGGCTGTCCGATCGCCCCTTACCCCGAAAAGCTCCTCTACAACCCCTTAATGTCAGTTTAAATTCGTGGCATAGTTAATATACAGACTGCACACCCTTAAGACGGAGGCACGTATCTAAACCGGAAGTGTAGCACGAGCCTTCCGTTCAGAATGCTTGGGGGAGCGCGGCCTCTGAAGCCTAATCCTTTGGGGGAATATACAAGGACAACTAACTCCCCGCTAGCCAAAAATTTCCCATCACTCTCTGTACCCCTGTCTAGCCCCTCAAGAACTCAGGCTACGCACACAGGGTGTATTGTATAGTAGTTGAACGTGAGAGAAATGTGGATAAGGGTAGATTGAATCATTCGAAGCTGGTATGGGCTAATTGATGCAGTGCGAGTTCCACGCAATACGACTCAGTGCTGTTGTCTGTGTACTCTTATTTCGACTGCAACTTAGTGCAAAGAAAAAGCGTGATTGGGAGGCTGAGGCTCGCCTACCCCTTGTATGGCTACATTCAAGGTCTTTATAGGGTAGCGAACACTTCACTCCAGAATCAATACAAACAAAGAGACAGTTATGGAATGCTTTCCGAAGGCGCCACCCCCATTTTCAGAAATAGCCTCTGGCAGCATCCACATGAGAGGAACGAGGCAGCTAGGGTGAGCGTAGCTGCACCCTCAACGGACTCCGAGCACTCACAGCTACTTGAACGGAGCATCTAGCGCGCGCACACACACACACATACCAAATTTTGAGTCTTCTATTGTCGAGCTAATACTGCTTCAAGTAGGGTATATCAGCACATAAAGCAAGCAGGCAATCGTTTACTAACTCTTTGCTGAATGGTACCAGTGTAGCAGAAAGGGTTCGTGCAACTCAGCCCACCACACCGCAGCCTTGCCCTCTCAACTAACGCTGGACGCCGGTGAGTCACGGGGGCATGGGAAATGCAGGAGCAGTGTGAGGGGGGAGCTCAGTAGCCTCACACGAAGCTTCGCTACTGAGTTTATGGGCTAGATAGTCCCCTTATGGAATCAAAATGGAATGCTTAGCACTGCTGCGGCATCCAGCGACCGTTCTCTGGGTCTGCCAAAGGTCCATTTTTAAGCAAATCGAATGAAATCTGCAGACACATGCTCGAAGAGGCATATGTTCTTAAGTATCTGGTGCCATAGCGGCCCCTCTTGGGTACTAATGCCCAGCAGTCTACACGTGTAGAAGTGGCTCCGTAGCGGTGGAATGCTCAAGGGAGCCGAGATATGTTGCCAACGACTGCTTCATGAGACCAAAACACACATGCATATCCTTGTTTAGCTTGAATTTGGGAGGTGTACGAAAATTTCGCCCACATCTGCGGTTTGTCCATTGGTCTGTATCGTCCCCCGCACGCAGGGTGTTACAGTCGGCAGCAGGACCCCAGGAGGAAACCAAAATGTGGACTAACCACCTGACCTTCTTTGAATCTTATGGCCTGTGAGATTCGGAGTTTAAGTCTATCTAAAAGACTGCACTCCGACTGAATTGCATTTTGCAACTGGCAGCTCTGCGTGGTGGCGCTGCTGGAAGGAATGTCTGGTGGACTCGCTTTCCATCGGATGCTCCTCACCTGTGTATGTTCCTCTTCGTTGAGCCAAGAGGCCTAGACCCTCGGCACAGCCGCTTTATTGTGCTTTATGTTTTCCAAGTATGGGTGAAAAGCGTGTATTTCGTAAGAAGTGCTTGTTTCTAATGCAAACAGTGGACGGTGTCGCTGTTCACCTGCGACACACGAGCCGGGCTGCTGTGCCGTCAGAGCCTCGGCCAGTGCTACAGTCTTCCGTTTCGCCTCTTTCTCTCCCGCCTCTTTGTCCTTTTCAATTATAATGTGCGTAAACATGTGTCTTCGTGATTTCTTTTTGGCAGTGAGAGAGCATCAAAAATTCGCAGGTTCTCCTGCGAGGCGTTAGGGGAGAGATCCCTAGGTCCCCTCTAGAGGCCTCTCGTCCACTGTTGCCGCTTATACCCCTCTGCGTTCCCCTATCCGCTGCCACGTGTTGTCAGAACGCGTATAGCCCACCAAATACACGGGCCGCTAAATCCACGTCCTCATTCGCGCCACCTCTCCCGCAGACAGCCGTAGTTTTGCCACACCGGCAGAGCCTCCGTCCGCGGCGTTCCTCTACCGCACCCTCCCGATTGTGCATGCAGCTGCACGCAGAGGGCCATGAAGCCCCTCATCCCTTGGGCTGCGGCCTGTGCCTTTTCTGCGTCGAGTGCTCACGCCTATATCCTTGGGGAGGGTGACCCTCTGGGAGCTCCCCTGGAGGGCCCCTTCGGCGGATTTCCGATTAATCTGGATTTGGATTCGTTTTTGGAGACTGATGAGGCGGAGCTGTCTTCCCTGAATCCTCCCCTCACAGAACAGGACGGCTGGGGGGGGGAGAGAGCAGTGGGAGTTCCCAGGAAGGGGCTTTCCGAGGACCCTCAGGAGTCATCCGCATCCGGGGAGGGGGCCCCCCCTACCGCACTGCTACAGCAGCGAGACGAAGGGGGAGCCGTAGACACCGTGGCGAGCAGGCAGCGACACTCTCGTGCCTTCGTGTTACAGCCCGAGAGTGTGGCGAAGGCAGCCGCTCACCCCAGCATTCGCGGTGTTTCTGCCGCTGCGTCTGCATTGCAGGTTAAAGATCAGGGAATCCTAGCGGGAATCGGATCAGCTTTGTTAGGTTCGGCTGCAGGAACGATCATTGGGGGGGCACAGCAGAACCTGGCGGGACCCTTCGCCTTGAACACACCCCAAACAAATCTAACGGCCAATGTAAGTGGTGCAGGGGGTTTGGGAGCAGCGCAGATGGGTGCCACCTCGGAAACCTCATCAGACTCTTCTCATAACGTCACTGGTGTCGTGATTGGCGTCATTGTGGGCCTTGTTGCGCTGTGCCTTATCGGCGGATGCGTGTGGAAGATGACAAAGGGCAAGAGGAAAAAGTAACAAGTGCACGCTCACTGCCACAAAAAGAGCCAGAGGCCACAACAGTCGAAAGAGGAAAGGTAGTAGGCGAAAGCGCCGCGGAGAAGGAGGACATGCCGGAGGGAAAGTAGAGAGAACGAAAGGCCATCCCATGAAAGGAGTGTCTAGAGAGAGCCTTCCACAGACGGCTTCCTGCTTTGTTTTGCTCTACACTTCTCCTTGTGCTCTCTTGGAGTCTTTACTTTGTTCTTCTTTCAGCCCGAGGGGGCGGTAGACCGCTCTCCACCTCTGTAGTCATGTGGCTGTCTGCGTATCCCTTGGAGTTCCTCTTTCTGAGGCACAAGGCATGTACCTCTGCCTTGAAAGAGGCCGCAGAGGGGCAAGGCATGAAGAGCGAAGGAATGCATGCGCGCAGTAGCGGAAGAAGCAGTAGATAGAGCGCCACAGGAGGTGCCGCAAGTCAGAGACGTGCAAAAAAGGAGCACCCAGGAGAACATGACACTTAATCAATGCTCCAAGGTGGAACGTCGCCAAAAACTCAATGGAGCACTTGATTTCTCTCGAACGGGCAGAAGGAGAGCAAAGGATGGATTTGGGGGTGTGAGTCTAGTGGAGCAGCATACCCATACAGAGCTGCTTGCCTCTTTCTTGATCTTTTCGCTATTTTATGCCTCGTGCCCTCAGGAAAGCAGGCACTGCGGAGGCGAGCAAATATGTGGAGAAAGCGCACTTGACGGACTCTGCAGCCCTGGCGCGTGATGCGTGCACAGCAAGCACATTGTATCAGGACGAAGCAGGCACTCTTTTTTAATTTTGTTTGAAGCTGTAGACCCTGTCGCTAGACCGTTGGGGAACGGGTGAACCCTCATGTGGACGCACATCGACTTTTTAGGAGTCCAGGGGGTCGTACGGTGATAGTGGTAGAAACCCAAGAGGAAATGCAGTTACAGGATAAGCAGAAATAAAGCCTAATGAGCCTACGATGGGTGTGCCCCCTTGCGTGAAAGTGTTTGTCTGCATTCAAAGAAGACTTGAGAAAATGGTGGGAGCGGCGCATGGACCTCCCAGAACAAAACTGTATGCGAAAAGAGACCCTAAGTCGTCCACGGGGCTCTTGCAAGTGCACAGTGTAGCACCCAACAGCAGTATCGGGAACAATAATGCCACGCGAGCCGAGTTCCTTCGACATAAAGTTGGTGAAAAGTCTCTAGCAGATATCCTGAGAGCATCTGGCTTTAAGCGGCTTTCCGCTTGCGGGCTTGTGTCGGGTAGAGAGTCTAGTACCCTGGGGGCATATGTGCCAGAAGTTGCTGACATGGGGGCATCGCTCTAAATGGCTTCTCCCGGAAGTTAGGGGGAAACGATTCGCGCAAAATTAGAATTATTTACCCATTTCTTTTCTAATGGCGAGAAATTAGGGACTCAACGCTCATCGCCGCCGCACGTAGTATTCAAGTACGCCCGACCTTCGACTGTCTTCCTTGGAGGATTCAGGCAGTTCCTGTGAATTCTCCCTCCATTTCAGATCTCAGGAAGCTTTTTTTCTCTTGCGTCTGCCGACCACGCCTCTTGCCAGCCTGTAGAGGGGCTTCTGCATAGGCTCGTGCAAGGCCCCCAAGGCAAACTCCGTCCTCTGTACAGGATGCGGCACACAACCCCCCCCCCGGATTCCAGCAGCCCGTGCTCGCCCGATTCAACTGCCGAAGAGCTGCAAGGGGATTCCGAGGGCGTTCTTGCTCCTTGCGGTGAGGACGCATCAGAAGAACCGAGCAGCAGGCGGCCCTTAGAGGCCCCCTCCCCCTCCCTCTCCCCGAGGGAGACGGGCGGCAGCCGTCCTTCCCAAGACTCAGGAGCTTCCTCGGGAGTACTGGCGGCTGCTCTTGAGCTGTCTGCAGCAGCAACGCGCGTAGAGGCTGTGTCAGAGTCAGCAGGCGGTGAAGCAGCAGATGAGGCAACCGGCGTCGACGCTGAGGGCCCTGCTTCTTCGGGAGCTTCAGGTGTCCATACACCACCTCCCGAAGCAAAAGTGTGCCCCATTTTCCCTGGAGGCGACCCCAGAGACTGGCAAACTGCTGCATTTGCAGCCGCCGCCTCTGGGGGGGGGGTGCCAGGTTCCGCCTCTCTCCCGCAGTGGGAACCACGCATGCGGTTCACCCAGGCAGCGCTGTGGCCAGAGCAGCAGCAGCAGCAGTGGCAGCAGCAACTGCAGCAGAATGCGTTTCGCGCGGCTGCTGGCGCTGCGAGTCAGCGCGCTCGAGGGAGGGGGGCCCCGAGTGAAGGGGCCCCCGTAGGTGCCTTGGCATCCACGAGACTGGCCTTCGCCAGTAGCAGTGCCTGCAGCAGCGTCGCTGCACCGCTTTCCCTCTCTCAAGGAGCAACAGCACCTTTTCCCTCCCCCACAGGCAGCACTTGCAGCGACCGCGGCGCACCAGCGGAGCCACAAAGGGCAGCAGCAGCAGCAACAACAGGCGAGCAGCAGCCGGTTCTTGCGGCAGCTGTGACACGGTATGTGCAGGCGACTACAAGGGAGGCGCTCGCCTTCTGCGTCGGTGCTGATGCATGGGTGCAGCGTCTGCTGCCTGCTGCGGTGAATGCAATCGGCTCTGCTGATTTCCCGACTGCAGTCGCAGCAGCAGCTGCAGCGTCAGATGCGTCGGACGCGTCTTCCTCGGCTGCTAGGAGAGACGACTCGAGCTCTGTCGAACGCGCATCTCCCACAGGAGAGAGGAGTGGAGTAGCAGCAGGAGCACCACTGCCACCCTTGCTATCGCCGGAAGGGGAGACGGGGGCAGGTTCAAGTGCAACGCCCCTCTTGTCCTTGCGCCAGTCTAGTTGCGGCATAGAGACCGTTTGGGGGCCCCCTGTTGCAGCAGCGGGGGCCCCTGGCTGGCGCTTGCATCTACACTCTGGCTTGTGTGGTTTCGTAGTTGGGGGGAGTGGCTCCCTGCGAGTTGTCGAGGGGGAGAGGGAAGAACAAGTGACACTGAGCCGAGGATCCGTCTTTTGTATCCCTCCGCTCATTCCCCATCTCTTTGCCGCTTCTGCCGAAACACCACTGGTGATGTTTGTCTGCTATTCCCCTCCACTCACTGTCCACTGCAGTAACGGTGCCAGCAGCAGCAACACTGGTACCAGCAGCAGCAACACTGGTACCAGCAGCAGCAACACTGGTACAAGCAGCAGCAACACTGGTACAAGCAGCAGCGCATGCGGGGTCGACAGTGACGCACCGTGCGGAGGCAGGCATGCGGGGGATATAGGGGCTGCTACTGTCGAAGCCGCAGCTGCCCAGCAGCATCTGAAGCAGCAGCTGCAGCACCATTCTTCGCAGCAGGGGTCTACTGGCAGTTGGACGCTGCAGATGAATGCAGCGCATGCGGCTGCTGCCGCTGCACTCGAAAGGAAGCGGTAGCCGCTTTTGCGGATGATGGTGCAGAGGCACGATCCATGGGACTTTGAGGAGGCAGGGAAGCCCCCATAGGAGGGAGCTGTAGCAGGGGGTGTATCGGCAGATGTCGTGTGAATGCGTAGGCTGCTTACCCTTTTGTGGCACTAGGAGAATGAAGCGCCTCTCCCGGCTATGTGTTTCTTTCCAGCACGAGGCAGGTAGCAGCACTCCAGCAGCAGATCGATGCCCTCCTCTCGTAGTGTGTGGGCTACTGTGTGAGTAGTAAGCCTCAGTCTTTTGTGCTCCTGTCGCACTAGTGGCACACTATGAAGACGCTCTAACAGGCAGAAAAAAAGCGGCTCTCGTTACACAGCAAAACCACGGCCGTAACGCTGTGCAATCTAAGCTCTCTGTACCGGGGGGACGCTTGACACTCCCAACGCAACACAATATCCATAGAGGATTCTGAGGAATATTTCTCGGAGGAGTCCCTGCCTCGCCGGTCAAAGCTCTCGACACGAGGAGAGAGGAATAGTTACGGTGCAAGAGCTGCGCGGCGGCCTCTAATGACTCCGAGCGTTCCCAGCGAGTTGCTTCTTGCACCCACGCACACAAAATCGCGTCTTGTTGTATCGCGCTGACGTCATTCTGCGACAAATTATAAAGTTTGAACAGTCTCCCGGTAATGCCACTTTTTTACTAATCTTTTAATCCAAATATGACCATTTGGTGGAAAGTGCCGTAGTGCAGCTTAGCCCGCTACAACTAGAATCTAGCGCACATGCCAAACACTCTGCCGTAGTGTGCCAATGCAAATCTGCAATTCAGCGGTAGACAAAAGGCAAATGAATCAGAGACTTTTTTCGCAAACTCGTTAGCTAAGTATATCTGGTAACGTTGAATGTGCTAGACTGCAGCATATCCCGTTACACTGACTGGGTGGGCGTGTAATCGATTAAGGATGAGGGGGCCATGCGACTTTGGATCCATCCATAGGCATGCTTCTCCATCCATATGGCTAGTCCTGGCTCGTGGAAGGGAGGCAGCTTGCTGATGAAGGAAAATTGTTGCTCAGGCTTACATCGCTCTGAAATTGGTGAGAGCTCAGCGTGTATGTTGCTTGGCAGTTCGGTCCAGCAGTAAGTATAAGCATGCGCGTCAAGACTCCAAAAGATGATTTAAGGCTTTTGCACCTGTCTCAATGTGTATCAATCAAAGGTTTTCGCGTCTGTCTCAGAAATGTAGGTGGAGTCGAATATTCTGCTCTGCCAACGCCAGTAGCCTCGGTTCGGCGCACGTCTACGTAATCCAGGCTCACATATTCGTACCCTCACATTCACTAAGCTTTGAGAAGGCAAGAGGTGAGCATTTAAACGCGCACATTCTTCCTCTCCCCTGCACAAACACTGGCACCGACAGGGGTATTACCAGAGACACATACACAGGAACATTATAAGAATGGCAAAATTCCCAGAGAGCACACACGTAACGATAGTACTCAATATTTTGCATGCGATTTCTTTTTGTGGGTGTTCGAATCCGGTACACAGCTCGCCGCTTTTGCATGTGTGGCGGAGGACGTAGCGGAGGGCCCCCGGTCGGGGTAGCGGCTCTCGGTGTTAAACAGGTAGAAAACGCAGTGTCTGCCACTGTTTGCAGGATGGAAAAAAAGCCTTGCAGTAAGGCGGATTCCTGCTGCCTTTGTCGAGAAGAGGAGTGTTGACACCTTTGAATCCACTCGGTGCACTGAGGCCTCTGATGCCACACCATGCACAGATTCGCAGTCCGCATTGTGGAAGGCTTAACATTTGACGGTGTATTCGTGTCTCTGGAGCCTGTGATGGGGCCAACTTTTGAGATTTCCAAAGGAGGTGACAATGCATTCTGGGTGTACAGACAGCTCGGAGGCGGTCGCGCTCCGTGATCTGCGCTGAAAACTCCGTTTCAGCTCCCGAAATCTGCCTTTTCCCCTTGATTTTGACCGCTCTATCCCTCAGTGGTGTTAAAGCGACACATTCATTGTCCCATGTGCCCTCTTGCCTCCCAACCGTAGAGACACTCCAAATCTGGAGCTCCCACGCCCCGGTGCTCTGGCAGACTAGGGCTTCGCGCGTGTCTGGGTGACGCCTATCGCAAGCCCTTGTCCATGTTCCCCCGGAGCGTGCCTCGAGAAGTGCCTTTTTCCTTTGCATTGCCCCTGACCTGTGGTGACACTGGAGGCTTCTGTTCGCGCGACTCGGAAGATGCAGCAACAAGAGGAAGCAGCGGGCAACGCCCCATGGGGCTCGTTGGGGGGCCTCGCCATGCGACTGACTATTGGAGGCCCTCGTCAGCTGCGCCGCAGCGGCGCGGTGTATCTGTGCTCCCCAGGTCGGGTGTACGTACAGTGGCTGGAGCGTTGGCTGCTTCTGGATGGCTTCATGCTGAAGTGCTTCAGCAGCTGCAACTCTTTGAAACCCAAGACTACGATTCCTCTAGAGTCTGCGGTTGTGGAGGGTGAGGCTCGAGTGCACCTGCAGCAACCTCCCTCTGCCCAGTGTAGCAAGAAGAGGATGGAAGCTCAGACTTGCTATCCCCTCCTGCTCCCTCGTTGGTGGGTGGCCTCCCTACGGCGCCTGTTCTTGTCATCGCTCCTCAGGCATTCGCCGTATCTACACTGCGCTGCACCTACACTGACTGCCGTGGCTGCTCCTGCTCCTGCTGTCTCGCAACAGGCCTCTTCTCGCCGTCTGATAATATGAATCGAAGCGGCAGTGAGATGTACAGCTTCTCTATTCGCTGGCAGCAGCAGGGTGGGGCCTTGGGTGAGGCAGAGGGGGAGGAAAAGGACTGGCTGCTGCTGCATGTAGGGCTAGAGGATGCAGAGGAAGCAGAAAACTGGTGCGTTCTTGTTGCTGCATAGCAGCGCTTTCTCCGTCTGTCGTCTGGTGAGGCGTCATTGTACGCCCTCAACACCTATTACCTCCGCCTGTAACACACCCGACAGGGCCGCTGCGGGTGGCACAGCACCTCCTTCTGTTGACTGTTAGTTGCATCTCCTCACATTTTCCTCATGATACCGCCGCGTGCACTTGCATTATCTGTGGGTAGCGTGCGCCGTCCTTGTCTGCGGCCTTTTTCGCGCTGCACAGTCTGCTTGTGCGCTTTTTCTTTCTTTCTTTCGCGTGTATGTGTGTGTATGTGTGTATGTGTGTGTGTGTATGTATATATATATATATATGTGTATGTGTGTATATATGTGTGTATGTATGTGTGTGTGTATGCGTGAGTGCCTGTGTGTATGTATGTATGTGTATCTGTGTATGTCTATGTATGTCTGTGTGTATGTATGTATGTGTATCTGTGTATGTCTATGTATGTCTGTGTGTATGAATACATGTATATATATATATATGTATGTGTGTGTGTTTATGTCTATGTATGCGCTGCCGCTCTCTTACTTTCCTGTTGATGTCTCCTCCTAATGCCTCGGCATCTTCAGCGCTCACTCTTCTTTTTAAGGCCTCTGCCTTGCCCGGTTGGGGGAGACGCTCCACGTGGCGCGTTCACAGCCTCTTTCTTTTTCGCTCATGCTGCGTGTTGCTTTGTAAGGCTGGCTGCCATTCGCGCTGCAGTTGCTGCCTGCAACGCAAAGCCTCCCCCCCTGCCCCTCCCGTCACGTCTTGTGCCACTACCCTACACTCCACTGCCTCTCTTGCGTCTGCTCAATGCAACGCAACTCCCTGAGGAAGCCGCTACAGGCGCAGCTGCAGGTGCTGCAGTGGCCGACGAAGGGGCCCAAGCTTGGCTCCAACCCGGAAGCGCACCCTTTCAGGTGTACGTACACCCCCACCAGTGGAGAGGTGCTAAGCAGCGCACGCTGCGCTTTCCCTTACCGCTGAGACGCACTGTTTCGCAGCTCTTTCGAGATTTTGAAGACCTCAAATGCAATTCCAGGTGCGATTTTGGTGTGCCGAGTAGTAGGCTGGACGTTTCAGAGGCTTTGATGCACACCCCCGGAGCGCAGTCTTGCTCCCTTTGCTGCTGTGTTTTTGCCGCTGCGGTGTTTAGGAGCTGGCAAGAGCTGCATTGCAGCAGCCTCGGCTCTCTCTGGCGAGACTTGAGGGGCCCCCTTCGCTTCGCCTCCCAGACGCATATCAATGCCCCTATGGTAGAAACACACGCCAGAGTGCAACTCAAGCCTGTGGTCTCTCTCGCTGTGTGTCTTTGCATGCGTGTGGAGCGCGTGCGTATCTGCCCTTTTCTGTGCTGCTACTGCTGGTGCTGCTTATGCTGCTAATGCTAACGCTGCTAGTAGTGCTGCTCTCAAGATTAAAGTAGAGCACCAGCATCCCTGCCTGTGTTGTGTGCGAGTGCCTCCGCAGGAAGTGGTGGCGCGTCTGCTGATGTGCACAGAGTGTCTGTACAGCCCCAGTGGCTTCGCTCTGTGCAGCAGTGAGCAGAAACAGCAGCAGCTGCTGCTGCAGCAGCTGCAACTGCCGCTGACGCTAGGCACTTGGAGCACGAGGGATGTCATAGACACCCCAACACTTGAAGGGGACTTTATTCGTGTACAGACACCCCCGCCGCTGCTGCCCTGGTGGCATGCGGATTCTGCAGCTGTCAAGACAGCGTTTGGTGCTGCCGCAGGAGAGGGAGCCTCAGCAACGCGAGCTGGCTTCAATGCAGAAAGCTTCGCTGGCACAGGCCTTCATTACCCCACCTGGCTGGTGCTGTCTGCGCCGCTGCTGCTGCTGCTGCTGCTTGCTGCCCTGCTGCTGCCGTTGCATGTCTTGCTCATTTGCTGCTGCGCTGCTGCCGCAATCGCGCTGCTGCTCTCCCCTGCGGCACGAGGCTGCGAGATGCAGCTTATTCGGTCTGGCTTTGTTGGTGAGTTCTCGCAGCGGCGATATATATATATATATATACATATATATATACATATATATATATACATATATATATACATATATATATATACATATATATATACATATATATATACATATGTATACATATATATACTAAGAGCCGCATTAGCAGGATTCCATCCATAGAGCAAGGCACCTTTCCCCCGCCTCCTACGGCAGTCGGCGCAGTTGCGGGAGCAGGTCACATAACTGCGCACTCACCCCCCGCTTAGAAGAAGCCTCTCTTAGCTTCCTTGGCAAAGAGTCGTAGGACGCTGAGTGTGTGTGTGTGTGTGTATGTATGTGTGTTTGCGATTTTGCAGATGCCGACGGGACGGTGTATATCATTGCGAGCAGCGCTGACATGTGCAGCTTGACGGGGAGACTAGACGCATCGCGCTGCATTGCCACTGCTCCTGCTGCGGCTGCCCCTGTCGAAGGTTGTGGGGTAAAGACAGAATCCCCCTCTTGTTTTTCGGCCTTACTGGAGCGTTCAGCAGCAGCAGCAGTTGTTGTAGCAGCGGTGATTGCAAAAACAGCGCAGCTGCTTGCGGCATCTTGCTGCTCTCTTCTTGAGCCACTCCGCCCCTCAGTACCCTCAGTAGGCTGGCAGGTCAGTCGTCTTTGTTGGTGCTGCTGTATGCTGCTGTGTGTTGTATGCTATATGCTGCTGTGTTCTGCATGCTGCTGGTTGCTACATGCTGCTGTGTGCTGTATGCTATGTGCTGCTGTGTGCTGTATGCTATGTGCTGCTGTGTGCTGCTATATGCTGCTGTGTGCTGCTGGTTGCTACATGCTGCTGTGTGCTGTATGCTATATGCTGCTGTGTGCTGCTATATGCTGCTGTGTGCTGCTGGTTGCTGCATGCTGCTGTGCTCTGTATGCTGCTGTATGCGTAACTCCTACTTCATGTGAGCGGCTGCATCTCTGTGTGTTCCCCTTCCCGCTGTTGCTGTCCACTCAGATATCTCGGGATGTTTCGCACCCCTCGGGTCGTTGCATTGTCACATGTGTTATCACCGTAGCGTCTCCCCCCCCCAAGGAATTTGTGAGGGCAGCAGCTGCACGAGCTGCAGCAGACGCAGCGGCTGCGCTCACTCCCTTCTTCGAAGGGAGTCGCAAGACTCCCCAAGCTGCGGATGCTGCTAAGCGCTTCGCTGCATCTGCCGTGGCTTGTGTCTTGACAGCAGGCGCATTCGAACTGTGGCAGCCAGAAACCCCTAGGCAGCGCTTTCTGCCGTGGCTCATGCTGGCAGGGATGGCGGCTTCGCGACGAACAGCGCTTGCTGCCTCGGTGTGTCTGAGCTTTGTTCGGCATCTCTTCGTCCTCAACAAAGTCTTGTCTGCTCAGGGGAGAATCCAGCAATCGACCCTTCAACGTATGTTCTGGGAAGCCTGCCACGCTGGCAGCACTTGTGTGCATGCAGCGGCTTTCTAGCAAGCAGACACGTCTCTCTCTTCTGCGAGTTTCTCCTTCCCGCCTTGCAGACCGCAAAAGCACTTGCCAGCGGTAGCCGCGAGGGGATTTCAGCGCAGCATGCTGGCTGGCGCGGGGTAGCTAGCTGGTCGGCTTGGTGGAGACTCTCGCTGCTCCGCTGTGCATGCGGCTATGCATTTCGCATTGCAGGGCATGACACTGCTGCCGCTGCGAACAGCCTCTCCTCGCCTGCAGCGGCGGCAGCAGACGCCAACGCAGAAGGAGCTGCAGCTGCATTTGCACAGGAAGATGCAACAGCCCCTACACTCAAGTGCACTCCTCAAGGGTGGGCATACTGCAGTGATCTACAGGGTGTTGTGCGTGGCGATGTTGCTCTTCGAGAACAGCAAATACGGATGCTCTCGCTGCAACGACTTATTGCTGCAGAGGAAGGATGCCTCACAGAAAGTCAGGCGAGGGCAAGTTCGACATGAGGCCACTACTGCTGCTGCTGCTCCAGCTGCTGCTGCTCCAGCTGCTGCTGCTGCAGCTGCTGCTGCCTTCTCTCGCGGAGGAAGCCTTCTGCCGCCGCTGCGTGTGCTGCTCTTCTGCGCCTGCGGGCCTGGCTGCTGCCGTGGTGCTTATTGTACTACGACTGCTGCCGTGGTGCTTATTGTACTACGACTGCTGCTGTGGTGCTTATTGTACTACGACTGCTGCTGTGGTGCTTATTGTACTACGACTGCTGCCGTGGTGCTTATTGTGCTACGACTGCTGCTGTGGTGCGTATTGTACTACGACTGCTGCCGTGGTGCTTATTGTACTACGACTGCTGCTGTGGTGCTGCTGCTGCTGTTGGCGGTGTCATGTGCAGTGCATGCACTGAACATGTTTCTTTGCAGCCGTTTTACGCGTGGCGCTGCAGGTCACACAGTCGCTGCTGCAACGGTTCGCGACGTTGGGAGTCAGCAAAGGGGATATCGTGCGAATGTTACTCCTCTCCGACTGGAAGGTCCAGCTGCTTTTTGTTTTGCTGCCGCTGCATCTTTCACGGTTCCTCCTAGACGTGCATACAGCCATCGCTCTGTGTGTCTGTGCCTGTACCTATGGGCTGCTGCTGGAGGCTTTCAGCCTTCTGCTGACACGCAGCGAATCGTCTTCTTGCGGATCATATCGTTTCTCGCACACCTGCGCCTATCCCCCCCGTTTGCGCCTGTACCCCCTGCTGCTCCATCCTCTTTCACTTCTTCACTGGTATTTCTGCATGCATGCCTCTGACCGCGGCTCAGGAAGCTGACGCTGAAGCACGCTTGTTGAGTCTCTTGCGCTGGCGCGCACAAAGCCTCGTCAAGCAAATCGACTCCCGACATGTGGCCGCTCACTTGGCAAGGCGTACGACGACGTCGCATGCACATATCCCGCCTCGCTCTCTTTCAGCTCTCTCCGCTGGGCTGCCTTGTCCTCTCTCTCTGCCTGCTTTCCCTCCAGCCTCCGTCCTCTGTGTGCTCTCTTCTTGCGCCTCCCTGTGTGTCTCAGATTGGGGTTATGTGTACTGCCAAGACCGCCTCTCCCGACCCTGCATTGTACTGCGCGCCGCGAACATCTGCCCAGCGCAGGGGGCCCCCGGGGGGCCCCCTGGGGAGGCTTACCCCACGGACTGGCGGCAGTGTGTGCTGTATCTCATCGAGGAGGCGCTGCAGGGCAGCCGCAACAGCGCAGAAGAACAACTGACCCTCCTCATCGACGGAGCTGGCCTCCATCTAGAAGCCGTGCCTTTCCAAGCAGTGCTCAGTCTTATTGCGCTGCTTTCAGCATGTTATTCGCAATATCTAGGTGCGTTCCCATCCTTCGCACGCGGTATATATATATATACATATACATATATATATGTATATATATGTATGGCGCATTGCCTACCCTCCATGCACCCTACACATCTTGCACGTGGGGGCTTCACCATTTTCACCACACTTTTGAGGTGGGCAGGCCGATCTTCATTTGCGCTGTCGGATTGCCGCCACTCCCTGACTCTTGGCTCGCCCTTTTTGTACTTGTCGTCTCCTTTTTCTCTCGGCATGACTGCCAGTTTTCCTTCCCCACTGCCTTCGCCGTACCTGGACGACTTGCTCTTAAAAAGACCACAACGTCCTTCAGTCAGCCCTGCCTCAACCTCTCCTTCCGTTTTCGCGTGCATTCATTCATGCTGTCTGTCTGTCTATCTCGCCCTCATAGGCATGGCCATTGTCGTCAGCTGCGGCGTCGATGCTGCTCTTTTCTGGAAAACCCTCGAGGTACGACTCATGCCGTTCCGCGCATCCCTCTAATGCAGCGAGGCGTTATACTCTTAGCTAGCTACTGATTACCTGGGTGCTGCGAGGCGTTATACTCTTAGCTAGCTACTGATTACCTGGGTGCTGCGAGGCGTTATACTCTTAGCTAGCTACTGATTACCTGGGTGCTGCGAGGCGTTATACTCTTAGCTAGCTACTGATTACCTGGGTGCTGCTCGCCATCCTCAATTCTCGAGGGCATCCAGCCAGATCGCCACGGGAGCCATTCACACTCTTAGACGATTTATTAGCTGCCCACCCCTCCAACAACGTGCCTTGCTACGTGGCTGTGTTTCATATGGATATATATATATATATGTATAAGCATGTCTGCCAACCAAGCAGGCTGTTCGAGGAGGGATGTGTCCGAATAGCTAGCTAGCTAGCAGGCGATTCGGAGACACCTCGTTCCTGTTTATGTGTACCTCTTCTGCGTGCTTCTGCATATGTGATCCTGCAGCCCTTCCTGAGCGCCGAGACGCGTAGCAAGATCTTCTTCCTGCCTCACCAAACTAGCGAGGCGGCCGCCTTTCTCCTGCAGTTCTTTGAATGGAAGGTGTTGCCCGCCTGGCTAATTCAGAGGCTGTCTCCTACGATGCACATGCCCTACAAGGGCGCATCAGGAGCACCTCTTACGTAGGGGCGTTTGCCTCAGAGGCCTGTCACGAGTCTTTATTCAAATAAGGCTCATAAACCCTGTATCAATGCAAGACGCCAATTCGCGTGGCTGAACGGCTACCTCTCGGAGAGGAGGGGTTCTGAGCAGCAATGCTGGTGTGGGGCATGCAGCATGTAACGTCGGTGCGCAGACGCTGTGTGGGCGAACCGCTGCTGGAGTTCCCCAAAATAACGGACTCGACGTTCGTTTATTGCGCACATGTGGCATAATATCAATAGTTTCCAGTTTGTACTAACGTCGCGCAAGGTTAGCTGCTTATAGAAAGCGGCTTCAAGCTACCTCTATTCGGGCGGGTGCATTGAAGCGGAAATCATGCCCATTGACCTTATGCGGGCTTTTCCTCTTCCCCGTTTCTCCTAGGCTTTGCTGAATGTTTGCTAAGACGTCAACTGCCCGCTTGTCTCACAGCGTTGCTGCTCAGTTTTTGCATTAGCTCGCTGACTCCCCGCGTGACTCCCTTTTTCATCAATCGTCTCACACATCACAAAGGTCTCTCCTGTTTGGCCGCTGTTGCGCCTTCGGTGTTGCTGCTAGTACAGATCTGATTCGTTATATATAATCACATGAACCTTAAAGCGCCTTTCGCCGCTGCATGCCTCATGCCTTGGCCACCTCCCCGTTTCCTCATTGTTGCCTTTCTCTGTGCCTTCTCCCCAAGCCAGCCACTTAAAGTGTAGCGTCAAGGACAACACTGCAACACTTGCGGCGATAGAAAGGTTTTTGCATGCGGGTGCCGAGTACTTTTATTCATCATATCAGGCTTTACGGATAGAATGGATGTCAACACTACCGACAAGCTCGAAGCGGCATATGCCTGCATGGACACGCAGACTGGATGCTTCCCGCATAAGTTTCAGACATTATTCTCTCGTTGTGTGTACCTCTCTGGGAACAGCAACTCATGATAATCAGCGCCATCAGCAGCACTCACAGCTGCAGCTGGCAAGGCAGTCTCAGCCAAAAAGGTACTCATTCTACGTTGAGTCAACTGGGCGGATGGTACCGATTGACGTTGCTGACGGTTTCCCGCAATTTTCACACTGAGGGTTTGTATAATTAGCCAGCTCACGTTTTTCGGTTTAATCGGGGCCCCCCGGTATTTTCTCGAATCGTGAAACTCTTGATCTACTGTTTCCTCATGGGGACACTGACTTTTTCACTCAGCGCAAACATCATATAAACTCATTGGCTGCATGCCAAAAATTACTTTTCCTTCTCAGCTAGCGACCCTGGGGGCTTCGACGTGAGAGGAAAGAAACAGCTGGATTGCGTGCATGTTGCTGCAGCGTCAGAGCAGTCCAAACGTTTCCAGGTGATTGCGCCTAGCGTCTAGTGCAAATGTACACAACATAGAGTCTTGTTGCATCGTGCTAACACCACTATGCCTTACATGAGGTGTGAAACAGCCAGCTTGATTCGTCAGAACCTTGCCGACTCTTAGAGTTAACTTGAAACGACTGTAGGAGAATGTGTCAAGTTGGTGCATACCCCGGTACAATCCGGGAGAGAGCCTCTGAAGTCCATTGCGCTGGATAACTATAGTCAATCGCTGTAGTACATCCTTTAACAGGCCTTTCACGATAGGAGGTCCTCCGTTCAGAATCACAGCGATTTTGTTGCACACACGCGTAACCCTCTAGCAGACAAAAGCACCGCGATAGGGTGCTTCGACAAAGCAAATGACACGGCTTAAGCTCTCAAGAAAAAGACATTGAGGAGACGGTCGAGAGTCTTTCTTGTCCAACTCTCGCTGCAGAGTGGCGGAAGAGCACTGCGTCTTCAGGCATATGCTCTAATCTCATCCGCTCCCGCACCTACAGAAAGGCAGTCTGTACACACTCCACTGGCTCACCGCTTTTTACGTGCATTCCACGAGGTGCAAAGGGGCCGTTGGGAGAGAAGAAAGCAGTGTGCACATAAGAAACCGTATACAGAATGGCGACGAGGTTCTTCCCGAGGGAGAGGATTTCGTGGGATACCCGGAAGTCCTTATGCAACAAGAGAGGGCAGGGAAAGGGAAGGGGGGGAGACGAAGAGAAATCAGAATGGATTGGAAAAGCATGTGACAGGCTTCTCATAGACCTTATGAGGAAGATTGCATTCTCAAGCCAACGTGAGGTCCTACCTCTAACTTTAGGGTAGAAGCGTACAGAGGGTTCTTCTAGCTGCCTATTGCCATTGGCTATGTGACCTAAAGCGGACTCTCTCATGCAAAGGCCCATGTTATCCTGCTTGGATCGGGTGCCTCTTACATGCCTGCCAGGGGCCATTGAGGCAAGCTCCTACACCAGAATCGGTCTATCTCCTTGTGGCTTGAAAGGGTGTTGGTTGAGGACTAGTAACGTTGTTACGCAGGGGGGAGTTGTTTAGGGCCTTTTGGGATCACCCGCCATTCTTGCTCTTAAGGAAGTCCCCGTGTCCAATACCGAGCTGTACTTCTGATGAAAGCTGAAAACTTGAAATGCGAGGAAAAGCAGGCACTATGCGTGCCTTTGTCCACGGGATCGGGCGGACAGGGCTTCCAACCACTATCCACAATCTAGGATAGAGATCAATACAAGTTTTAATATCTACCAGCTTGAAATAACCGTCCAGAGAAAGCGTTTTAGATGGTCTTATGTGAAAGTAGCTGCAGACAGGGCTCCCCGGCCCCCACTGAATCGCATACCAGGTCAGTCAGTCAGAATCCAGAGACAATTGCAACGACTCTCAGACTCTCTAGGTGCGCTCCGTAAGTTGGCAGAGGTTTAATGAGACCCCGGCGCTTAAAGAGGGATTAGCCGACCCCTCGGCTAGTCATCTGGGGAGCAGAACAGGGTCTCTCTAAACTGAATTTCCGCGAACAATCCACGAAGGGCCTCCGCACGAGAGACAGAACAGCACTTCTGTACGTTGGATTTGGCATACAATGGGGGCTGAATAAGTAGGAAATATCTCGTAGGTGCAAACGTGTCGCGTGGCAAAAGGACATCTTTCTCAAAAGAATACACCCCCGTATACCACTTTGGTGCATGAGAAATAATGTCTCCATCCACATTTCAGTGAACCCTAAAACTTGAAATTCTCAAACAGCAACTCCCTCGGGAAGCTCTCCTTACGTACACATCATAAAGCAGGAGTAAAATGAGAAATCCTCAAGATCAAAAAGCTGCTGATGCCAGTGGGTTCCAGAATTCCTCCCCGCGCACAACGGCCACACCAGATTGTCACGAGATGTTGAACGATGAACAAAAGGGCTGTCCAGAGTTTGTGCGTCTTGGCGTCATAATCTTTGCGTGCGCGATCATGCGCATGAGTGTTCAAAGAATGATCGAGCAGAGAGGGCGCTCGATTTGGAAATGCAGGGTATTTCCTGCGGTGTTCGTAAGGGATCCACTTCCTACTTATAGATTCAAGTTCGCTGTTGCGTCATTGGAAGCGTAGGGGTGGGATGTAACCGTACAGGTTTTCCCCACATTGTTGATTCTGACCTTTTAAATGTACCGCTACTCCTGTTGCTGCCCACACTGCTTTCGCTACGTAGACTCTCTGGCCTCGCAGTTTCTGAGGGTTCTCCGGAGTGCTTGCTAATTGAGAGCCGTTAATGTCAAGATCAGCGACTGGTGAGGCCGTCGGCCGGAGAACTGTACAGCTCGAAACGAAGCGCCTCTCTGACGAAGCAAAACGTGACGCAGCACCAGTTTAGCGAGCAACAAATGCAAATGACGATTCAGGGAGAGCGCAGACTGCTGCAGTGCCGCTGCAAGACTAAGCCCAAAAGAACAAAGTACAACAACTGAATCCGCAGGAGGTAAGAGGAAGGTAAGTATTCTAGCCCCCTTTCGTACGAACGCTCTCGTCTTCCCAGTGACTGCCCTGTGGCATAGTATTGCGTAAGGCGAGGTAGGGCTTGGGTACAGGCACCCGCCGTGTCCAGGGAGCATCCCGAATTCAGTCAGCGAACGGGATCTTCTCCTATCCCTGGTGGCTCGCCGAGCCTCTACAAAGGCAACTGTGTGTCACTGTGCCGCCTGTTCTGATCTTATTGAGGTCTACTGTCTGTACAGGTCCCCGCCCTGCACGCTGATGGTGCTTTCCCCCTTCTCCTACAACCCTTGCCCCTAAAGGGCCCTCTACATCGTCTCTTCCTGTTTATCTTTGACCACCGAATAAAGGCGGACATCGCTGCCATTGCAAAAGCTACAGGTCTTATACAAAAGCCCCTCTCCCCAGTCTGTACACAGGGGGCCCCCCTTCGCTAACAGCAGGTCCTGGGTGCCTGTGATCGCTGAAGGATAACCCCGTCCGTTTGTGTGCAAGCCTTTTCGCCGTGACAGGTGGAGTTCTTGTCCTCAAATACGTGTGGCAACCTTCCTCTGCTTCGAGAGGCACACCTTTGCATCCCTGAGAGGCCGTTTCGCATGGCCGTGTTCCCTATCTTAAGGTGCTTTTCCCACTCTATGCGGTGCTACAGCATAGTCCACCTGAGCCGCCTCCTGAGCTTGGTGTAGCTTCTTTCGGGAGGCGGTGAGATCCCAGGATTTTTTTTGTGTCGCCTAGCCGCGGATGAAGAAATAGAGGCAGATGAGGCTTCCAAGGAACCCCGGACCAATGCCTGTCCACTCCTGCTCGAACAACAAAGGCACGCCTAGATGCTTGAAGGCCATGCAGCTACCCGAGACGGGAAACGAAGCTCCTATAGAGTAACTTTAGGGGCCAAACTGCAGCCCTATCCCGCGTGGCCTATGCATGCATGCAGGCTTATTCCTCCCTACACATGCCAATAGTGGCAAGTTTCGCTGGGTGGTACAGGCAGCACTGAGCCTGCCAAATCGAGATGCATTGGGAGATGCACGAAGCAGGAGGGAATGACGTACACTCGAGGCCATCGCTACCAACAGCGAGGTTGCAAGGGAAACAGCGAGAACTTGCTTGAGGCGAGCTGCGAAGAAATGCCGCACCCGACAATGCCAGCGTCAATGAGCAGCACCTCGCACAAGGAGAGCTATTACTGGGATAGTGCACACCAAATGCCCGCAGATATGACATGTCTACTAGCCTGCGTGTTTGGCATGATACACCGACACATTGCGTGACGCCTTGCAACAAGTGCGCAGCATCAGGCGGTGCGAAGAATATGCGCTTTCTCCCCATGGCTGCGATGAACTTACGGTGGGGTTCTAAGAGGTAAAAGGGCAGCCAGAAGGAACAGCACTTAGCCGCAATCGCGCCGATCACAACGTCTGAGAGAGAGACGCAGACGCAGCCTAAAGGAGAAGTTGAGGCAGCAGGAGCAAAGCCTGCCCAGGTGCAGGCAGGCAGGCAGGCAGGCAGGCAGGCAGGCAGGCAGGCAGGCAGGCAGGCAGGCAGGCAGGCAGGCATCCATGGGCCTAAGAGTCGGTAGCGAAACTTAGAGTCCGTGAGTTTAAAGTTTTTGCAAGAAGTTTCGTTTTCGATGACGCCCTTCGATAAGTTACCTTGGTGTGAGAGAAGCAGCGTGTAGAGGGCAGGGCGCGGTTGAAAGAAGCTGCAGGAACAAGCCAAAAGACAGCAAAAATTGATGGCGTATCTGGTGTCTTGTCTCACTCATTGGATGTCTCCTTGCGATGCGTTATCTGCCTCTCTTTCCCCGTTTCTGTGTCAGCAGTAGTGAGCGTCCGCCAACCCCTCCTCCCTCATGCCCGCTGCGCGTTTCCCATCTTTCAGAGATCTGGCAGCAGCCTCAAGGAGGAAGAAAGAGGATGACACAGAAGGCCGTCATCGCACGATACGAAGACTGGAGGGAGGAGCACGATCGGGTGTGCAGGTTACAGAAGTCACGCAGACAGTAAGTGAAGCAGCAGCATCCCCTTCCCTCGCTCCGCCCCCTTTGCCGCCTTTCAATGAAGGCGAAGGTACAACGCACAAGCCGTAAAGGGAACGTGGGGTGGATTGAAGGGAGAGGGGTAGCCAGAAGAGGCAGGAGCAACAGCCAGCAACAAGACACACGCGGCGCCAGAGGCCTTCGGGGCGCTGCAGCACACGAAGGAGGCAGCACGCACACAGACGCAACCAAGTGGAAGAAGTGAAGTGTACCGATGAATGAATTTCGACGGAAAGCGACGACTGGACAGACAGAGGGAGAGTGCAGCTGGAGGGGTAACGGGGCGCTGCAGAAGGCGCTGCTTTGGTGGACGGGAGAAGGAGGCATGGAATGGATGCGACAAATTAAGGAGACTATGCATCAGCTCGCGTCTTTCATGAACACAGCACCGAAAGGACGAAGACAGCACAGGCATGGGAACTCGAGGATGTTATGACAAGAGAGACGGAGGAAGCATCCCGTGAGACAGCGAAGCTGCCGCTGCCTCCGATCTGACGAGAGAGAGCATCGCTCTCTGTCGAGTGCTATGGTTTTGCCCTTCCCGTTCAATCGTGCATGTAGGAAAAGGGTCGGCAAGGAGGACAAGAGGCGAGGGGAGCCTCTGTTTCGCTGCAGCAGGCGTCGAGTGTACCTACCCTTTGAGCATCAACTAGCCATACGACGGCCTCCTTGTGATTTGAAATAAGCCCCATAGTGGCTGCCGCACCAAACGCTGCCAGGATAACGCCCGAGGGAGTGTGCAGCACCTCGGACAGGGGGCCCCCGCTGGGGAGGGGGCCCCCCGTAGCGTTTGCTGCTGCGGAGGCTCCAGCTGCAACTGCAAGGGCAATGGCGGCGGCAGCAGAATGCCACGAGCAGCGAGAAGCGGCGGCTATGAGCGCAGCGGCACAGGCGGCAGCCGTCAAAAGAAATATGTCATACACTGCGGGTTCGAAAAGGAAGAATCCAAAGCAAACGACCGATAGAAACCAGCGGATGGACGCCAGGGGGCCCCATCCTTCGGCGCCTCCCCCGACTGACATTTTCTGTGGATCGCACAGAAAGCGAAAGCAGCAGGTGCAAGGGAGTGCAGAGAGGCTCGCTGCAGCACGCCATCGGAATCAGCACAGTCTTCTGCGCTGCCCCCTCTCTGCCCAGGATGGCTGCTAAGGAAGCGGCAGGTTGGCGAGCCATGCTTGCCTCGACGAGAGGCTCTCACCGGATCGGCAGCGAAGACTAGGAAGTTCAGGGAGAAGAGAAGGGGCAAGAAGCCGGCAATGCAGACGTCCCCGTAATCCGCCAAATGAAGCAGCAAAACAAACAACAGACCCGACAAGAGGGGCAGCAGCAGCAGGAGCTGCAGCGCAAAGCCTGCAGCAGCTGCAGGGGCGTCCTGCACTCCAGGCCGCCTTTGCTGCTGCTGCTGCGCTTGCTGCAGCAGCAAGGCAGCAGAATACAAGACGAGAGGCGCCACCAGCAGCCAGATAACACCGCTGTTGCTGCTGAAATAGTAGGTGTGCAGCAAGATGCGCCAGTTCAGCTGCTGCGCAGCAGCGAACGCCCAGTCCACGGCAAGCTCCAACCCCCCCGCACCTGCAAGCTCTGGCAACGCGTGCCTCAAAACTACGGGGCGGAAAGCATACGAGCCGGAGAGACAGGCGTCCGCGGCTGACAGTGCTTCCTTCCACAGCAGGAGGGGCAGCAGCCGAAAGCCGCAAAAGGCGATGAGTGGAGCCAGCAGCAACAGCAACGCGGGTGTCTCTTTAACGGCCCTAAAGGTTCCCCAAGGGCCTTGTCGGAATAGGGCGGCGATACCCTTGAGCGTGCTTTGCAGCAAGGCGGAGCCGGCAGCCATCCACACTCCGAAAACCCCTGGAGCGCCGGAGTCTCCTCCGACCACGTGCACACAAACCACCAGCACGAGCAGGGGAAAGCACGCGAACAGCATGTGCGGGAAGTCGGGGTAGGGGAGGCCCCCAAACACATCGCTCGCGGAAAGCTGCATCTTGAGTGCAAAAGCAGCTCGACAAAGCAGGGCAGCAAGGCCAGGCGGGGCCCTTCACGAAATCTGTCTGAAGGGGTCCTCCGGGGACCCCCTGCTGCTGCGATGGAAGGGCCGTTAGCGACGAGAGGACTCTGGAAGGAGCCGCGAACGCTCCGCTGCTGCGTGGTGGCTGCGACGCAGCTAAAAAACTCGCAGGTCGGTGGTTGGAAGTCTCAGAGCACGCATGACGCAGGGAGGCAGCGACGGTCCCCAGTATCGTGATGGGGAGGCTTGCGGCTCTTGCCGCGCAGATGACACTCCTGTGGGAGCTGAGTGCGCTCTCGAGCCTTTGTTTCAGATTAAGCGCCAGCAGTCGGAGGTTTAGAGAAGGTGTCTGAGCGCTTTCGGTGCATCCAGCCATGGCGGACCGCCGGCACCGGCTGCAGCATGCGTGAGGAGGGGAGTGCCCAAGGTTCCATGACTGCAGCAAAAACAACTTTTCCGCCTTCCTTGTGTTTTCCTCATTTAAAAAGTAAAGGATGTACAGCAGATGTGCTGAGAGTTCTCGTTAATGGGTATTTCAGTTGCGCCCTCCTACCTGCCCTCGTCCGAGTGGACGGCGCCAAGCACCGAACACGGACTCGCGTGTATTGCGCTACACAAAGTCGTTCGGCGCCGATCAATCAATTAGCAGACTCTCCGCGGCAGCGCTAAATGTGGAAAACCGGAGAAATTTTCGCGAGTTCGGAGAAAATTTTCATGACATGACCAACCAATTTTTAGGCGTGGTCCTATGTTTCGTGCACGAAGAAGGCTGACGGACTTGAGTGTTCTCCTGTCAGTTAACAGCAGCAGCAACGCTATTTTTTAAAGGAAAGCTACCGGACGATCAGCTAATGATTCACACGATCGAATTCACATGCCCCGCCGCACGAAATAGCCCGAACTGACGGCACGCCACGGAAGATTGGGTAGCACTCGCAAAACATGTGGTGCGGCCTTGTGCATCCAAGCCAAACATGGTCATCTCAAGGATGCCACAATATCTGATAACTGAAGCTTGCGGCGATTCACTGCGGCCAGTGGCCACAACGCCTCCCGGAAGACACTTGCTTGTGTCTGGTTACTGGGTGCACAGACTCTACAGACCCACTTCACGAACTGCAGTAATGGCAAATGGAACTGCAGTAATAGCAAATAAATTACAGCACCTCAATAGCCATGCGATAGCTATCCCGATTGACAGACACCCCACAGAAGGGAAACAGTGAGCTGAAGAGTAGATATGCTGCAGGAAATTAACCAAAAACGACGAACTTCCGAATATGGGGGTTCCAGTACTAGATACGACTCAGCTGATTAAAATAGCCGCTAGCAGCCCACACAGTGTAAACCCAATGAATGCTGTTTCCTATAGACCTGTGTTCCCAAACTGAATCGGGCAGAAAATACGTTATATTGCTGGGCTACGCTTAGAGAAAGATTAGACTCCTCGTCTCAAGTTCTAACATTACACCAAATAGCGCCAAAGCTAGCTCCAATCCGGATTCAGATGCTATTTGCATCCGTCACCGATTCCCTTATACATATTCCGTAATCCTATGAGCAAAAACCTCCAGGCAAAAAACTGAAATACGCAATAAGGAGGGCAAGAACAAATAGAAAAGCGAACGGAATACACACGATTTAACCATCTTGTTTGGGCTTCCGCAATGACGGCCGCTCGAAGTCGTGGGAACCTTTGAGGCCTGCAGTTCAAAAAAAAGGGACGGCAGAGGCAAAAAGATGGTGTTCTGGATGTACTCCGACAAATTCGTAACACGTCAAATTGCAAAACGCAGGGTAATTTTAGCTCAAAAACTCGTTTCAACCCTTTCCCTCCTAGCACTATCCATGGACTTGCACAGGAACCTGCATCGTGCATAACTCCAATCATTCGTGTTTACCTCCAGCTTTCTTGAGAAGCTTTTGGCCATGCAGATCTCTGGTAGCCTGTACCCACGGATGTGACAAATCGGAGGTATCCACATCCACCAAGTGCGTGTGCTTCGTTCTGCCGCCCCGTGCCAATTCCCCACGACGCAGTTGCAGTATTTTTGGCAGCGCCTTCTTGTCCACCGCGTCTTCTCTGCGGTCGAGGCACCCAAAGCAAACAGATGAAGGGATATGTAACAACAAAACACAAGCACGATGCACTTTTGCAAAAAACCTGCAACGAGCAACAGATGCGCCACGGCGCAAGACTGTAAGAAACTCGTGACAACTTTTACCGCAACACAAAGCGTACCCAACAGGCGCATTGAAATCGCGTAGATAAAGGGGCTCCTCTCCACTGCGCGCCAGATCTTGGAAAAAAGCACCCTACAGAAGACGGGTAGACGCACAAAGACACAAGCGCAGAGGCAATAACAAAGCGCACAAAGCTGACAGGCTGCGCATGCAGGCATGAGTGGCAGTGTTTTCAGTAAATGAACATCATGACACAACAACCAAACCCCCTATGGCCCAAACAAAGTTTTCAAGAGGTGATGGGGGGCATTGATATATGCAGTGGGCTTTCTTTGTTTGAGAGCAGCTGCCGACTCCTCCAGTTCTCCGTAAAATAAACAAATGTACGATGAGGAGCAAAGCTGAAAGAACACTCCTTCTTACTCTGTGGTAGTACTTCTGCATGAAGTGGTACTTGTGCCGAATTTCCCTTTTTGGCTGCATCTTGTCGAGCTCCTTGTCGTCTTCACGCCGCTCCTCTGCTGTCATTAAGCGGCGGCGCTCGACGGCCTCCAGCTGCAAGGAGAGGCAACAGATAACAACACAACCCCGAAGGACGACCCCTACAGCAGCAAATTTTGCGAAGAACTGCCACAGCAGCAGCGGCAGCACCGCATTCGGCGATGGTCTGGACAGGGGCAGCGAGCATGGCACCAACAGGAAGGGAGCAGGCTGAACGCAGCAGGATCAGCACAGAAGCCTGTTTTAACGACTTACGAATTTTTCTCTTTCAAGCAGCTCGTCCTTGTCTCTCCGGATCCGCTCAAGTTCCCGCAGCTTCCAGTCTTCGTACTGAGCGCATAAAAAGCGCATAGGAGCGAGGACACCTGACACCACGGAAAAGCCGCTCTGCACTGAATGACGCTCTCCGCGTAAGGAATGGCGAATATTCTGATAAGACAAAGAGGAGGCAAGGAGAGAAAGCAAGGATGCGTGGAGAAGAGAGAGCTGCAGGAAGTAGGAGTAAAAGGGCACCTCCTGTGCTGCATCGAGGCCATCCGTATCGTCTGGCATCTCGTCTCCCGGCTCCGCTTCTTGCTGATGCTGTTGTGGCTGCTGCTCCACGGCGGTGACAGGGGCATCTGCTGCTGCTTCGTCTTCCCGGGCTAGGGCTGCATACACCATGTGCTTTGTCTCTAACTTGCGTTGCTCCTCCTCGTGCTGTTGACGCATCTGCTCTTCCTTCTCCCGGCGCTGTTGTTCCTCCCGCTCGTGCACCGTCAGCCGATTTGCTTTGGGAACAAAAGTCTGAAAGGAAAAAGGAGGCCCGAAAAAAGAAGGCCAACGAGCAACACAGTATTATTCACACGATAACTGCATGCTGCTGCAAAAAAAGTGCGGTAGAGCACACGGCATGCGCAGACCGGATAGGAAAAAGGGAGAAGCCTCCCCCAGCCAAACAAGCCTGTCCGCTTTGCTTCAGAATGGCAGCTCCTGCGGCCTCTCCAATCTCCACAGAAGCACTTAGCAGAAGACATCAAACAAAATATGCAGAGAGCTTACGGGCTTGTGAAGAATGACATTCGTTTCGTCTGGCTGGTCATCAGAGGCCTCTGAATAGTCTGATTCTTCACTTTCCTCTGTCTCCTCGTCTTGCTGCTGCTGCTGCTGCAAGAGGCGTTCTTCCCTGCGGCGCCTCTCCAATGCAGCAGCGCGCAGCTGCGCTCTATCCTTGACACCAGTCTCTTCTGCTGCAACTCCCGTCCCCGCTCCCCCCCATTCGTCTTCTGGGAGACCCTCATCCCCCTCCGATTCCACGATACCCTTCTCAAGACGCTGGCGCTCTGAAAGGAGAAGCAGCCGCGTCAAACGGGTACATACAGACACACAAACAAACCGTAAACACCTGAGCAGCGATATCCGTAAAGTGTACTGGTCGCATAAAAATCCCTTGCCCGACCCCATAGAGGAACACCGTGCCGCCTGTGCCCCGCCGCAGTTGCCGCTGTATATAGATACCAATGGATTTATCTGTGTATACACATATAACCCTATCCGCAGAGAGTGAGTGGTGGTTTAATGAAAGAATCTCTTGAAAGCACACGCCCATAGGCAGTGCAATAGCCAAGATGAAGAAAGCACGCATATAATACGCAGACATACACGCATTCACGCCGTAATGTTTTTCTTCACCGTCTGTACCAGAGAAGATACCTGTGCGTACTCATGGATGCTCACGGAAGAGTGGATAAATGCATGCGTGTACCAGCGAACATTCACACAAGCAGGCGCCCCCCGTGCGAATGCGCGCGCACACACCACTATGTATATTAAAGCCAGGTGCAAAAGAATAAAGACTCCAAGTGCTACATCTATAAAGGACATGCAGACACACGCGCGCATGTCTGTCTCGGCGAGAAAGAGGATGCATGCATGGATGGATGTATGTATGTGCACGACGGAACGGAAAGCGGCCTATACTCATCAGATGCAGACGAACCAGATACGGAAGATGAGTCATTTGCACAGGAAAGGAGTGTATGTTCATGAAGATTTCATCAGGTCGAATATTTCAGAAACCGTCCTGCGGCAGTTAGTAAAGGCGGCAGGGAGGCAAGCTCCCTACGAGCCTTCCCTAGTCCCTATGAGAGAAACGATTTTTGAGCTCTTGCAGACTCTGAAGTAATCAGTGACATACCCTTTTCGGACTGAATGACAAACGCCTCTCTCCGTCTTCTTTCTCCCTGTGCTGCAGCAGCAGCGGCAAGACGGTGCAGCCGGCGGTCTGCGGCGAGCACTTGACGCATCCGCAGCTGCTTCACCTCGACACCTTCCCCTTCCGAGTTCGAAGCCGCTTCTGACTCCGAGCCAGAGTGCAGCACGGCGCCCTCTGGGGCCTGCGCAGAAGACGGCACAAGCAGAGTCAGCGGGGTGGAGTGACTGAACAAAGAGGGCAGATCTAGGGGATTGATGTAGATACGGAGCCGGAGAGCGGAGCAGGAAGGCATATATGTATGTACAGCAAAGTCAGTGAGGAGGGAGAGAGGACGGGATGGGGGGAAAGGAGAACGGAATGGGGAAGACAGTGTAAGGGACCTTGGCGGGAAGTGCAAGAAACTAAGGAACATGAACTGAACGCGAGCGCGCGATACAGAAAAAGAGGAAAGCAGAAATGCATCAATGTGCGTGCTGCGTGGACGTCTGTATGGCGTATATTGAATCTACGGAGGATTAGCCTTGGGAGGCATTCTCCTTTCAGGGAAACTGAAGGACTGAATTCCCATGCAAGTCTCGAAGGCGGTTTGGTGCAAGGAGCGGTACCTTTCCGGGCCAGTGGCGCGGCACGTGTGTCTTTTCTTCATTCTTTGGAACGAACTTTTTCTTCAAGGGGTCCTCCCCGCGATAAAGAATGCTATGGACATCTGCAGCCGACATTTTAGCTCAGAGCCTCGGCAACGAGGGATGAGCAAGCGCGCCACACGTTTCCTCTTTTCCCTGCAGCCTTTTCCCCCCGGTGAAGTCTACGGTGGCAGCACCTCAAACAGATCCCTCTCCTCTGGGAGGCGTGCAGGTTCAACGCCGAGAGAGAGAGAGAAACGACGCTGCAGAGAGCGTGGAGGAAGGAACGCCGATACAGAGGAATACTGATCCAGAAGGGCAAAGGGAGGAGCAGGAGTTGACAGTAAAGAAAAGTCAAGTGAATAGAAGACTACACAGTTCAAAAAAAGAATAGCGGTGAAGAGAGAGAGAGAGAGAGATAGAGCTCGGTGCAGGAGTGAGCAATGCGGTTACGAGTTAGCGCGCGTGGGAACTGCAGAGAGGGAGTGCCGGTTGGGATAGAGCCCCGCGAAAAAGGAACATACAGAGGCATAAGTCGAGCGAACACTCATTCGAGAGGTGGCCTATTTCACTGCCAAGCGCTTGGGAATACATCAAAGCGAAGCAGCCGTAGAGATGGCGCGAAAACAACGGACGAGGGAAACGGCGTTGCTCGGCCCCTAGCGAAGAGAGGACAAACGCCTATGGCCTCAAGCAATATTCCGAATACTCCCAATTCTCAGCTTTCGCAGAAGTGACTTCTCCCTTTCTTCCGGGGCTCTTTCTTCCCGCTATTCTCTGCATGCAGCGGTTTGGGGCTTTCGCCAGCGAAGACGCACGAGTCATGGAGGCAAATGCTAATCCTAGCAGTTGCCTTTTGTTTGCTTTGCTTTTGAGATATCTCGCATTCCGTTATGGGTTTTTGCCTAGACAAAACGAATAGAATGGATCTTATGCACATGTGGCCATGAACCTGCAATGAGCCACTAACCTTGCTTGCCTCCTTGTAGACTCCGCGTACATCACCTCCACATGATCAACCACTTGTACGGCGCTTGAACTTTGCACGCGTCCACCAATTTACAGCTTAAGCAGTTCGGATCGCTAAATTTTGCTGAGATTCGAGGACTTGCGCGCCAATTGGTGATATGTTCAGTGGGCCTTACGCTGCCATAAAATAAAATCCCCAACATGTGGTTGTGTACGCAGAAATGTGTTTTTATCGTGCGCCCAATACCTGCGGTATTCAGTATGGGCATTCCCAAGCAGTGCATTGGTGTCTTTCCCGTAGTGCACCCCTCTCGGCAGGCACATCCACGATAGATTCGAAGTTTCAGTAGTTATCAAAGTGCGTCGAGGGCTCTTAACCGGTTATTGATAGAGAGGCTGTGCTTAAGACAAGCCTACTAACGGGATATTCAAAGGGCTGTTACACACAAGTGTGTTGCGCCTCGATCGCGCAACACACCCTAGGACTGGGTAGGGAAGGAAAGTTCTAACTATAAGCGCAACTTCCACACATTCCTATGAGAATGACTCTGAGGTAGATGTTTGGGTGTGTCTATTGTGTGGCTCCCACCCGTTTGATGCACTGTGAAAAGGAATTTTTTCTTGAATTTCTTCCCCCACAATAGGCATATTCTTCTGAATCTCAGTTCCGAACTCACTGATCTTCTCTCCAACATCGCTGCCTGGGTGCGCCTTTTTGGGAATTCGCCGGTTTCTTTCGGAGTACAGCCACGTACACCCCGACTTGGCCCGAGGGTCGAAACTTCGTAGGCCGTCAACACTCACAGAAAACAGTCTGGCCGCCGAGGGCACGAAACCTTTAAAGCGAATTAAGGAATTAGGCACGTGTGTTGCCGAAAATCTAGGATGCTGAATGAAGACTAAAACGCGCACTGCCTTTGCCGAGTTTGAGGGAAGTGGATCTCTCGTAGTCAGACTTCCTCCCTACATTCCTTCAACAATTAGCATTTCTTTATCCTTTTCGAGCAAATCCTGTTCGTCTGCCAAATGCAGCTCACTGGTGTTCCGTACGCTGCATTTCGTTTACAAATGCAGCCTGAAGCGAAACGCACTCAAGGTTTTCTCCTTGTGAAGCCTAGAAGAGTGTTATTTGTGTCTGTTGAGCTCCGGTGATCTCTCATTGTGTGCGGGGGGCCTTTCGAAGCAAGTGCTGCCGTAGCCCATGGTGCTGTGGACTACTTCAGAAAATCTGTACCTCTTCTTCCAACCTTCGCAGCAGCACTTGCATTAGCTAAAAGAGTGCAGCTTCCAAATATGTCGAGTGCGAGAATTTCTACGTATCTCTCACTAAGGTGGCCAAGAGGCCCACATGTCTAGGCTAGCCCCTCTCGGCTTGCACTTTGCAGAACTGTAGCGCTTCTAGGCGCGATGGGAAAAGGCAAGAGAAAATTGCAGTCTTCCGTGTGAGACCTCAGGTAGCTGCACAGCGCGCTGTGGAAAGCCAGCAGACACACAGCGGGAAACAAAACTTAAAACGGAGGGGCGAAATTGCCAGACGGAGGAGTTGCACACCGTCACTCACATGCCAACAAATGACAGAAGACTGCCGTGAGCCGCCGGTGGTCAGCTTTCGCTGAAGGGCAGCCCACACAAAGCTGCAACTTGCAGAGCTTCCAGAAGCGGAGAACAGCAGTAGCCTCTTTCCAGCCTTTCCCACCGCGTTCGCTGCAATACCATCTGTGCAGGCGCTGCAGGAGACGGGCATTTGCGGGGGCACGGAAAAGAGAAGCCGTGTGACCTCTGACGCTATCGGAATGCCACTTCTAACACAACTTCTACCCCCGGCACTCTATTTGCAGTGGAGCACGACTAGTGCCTCCGCCTACGATCATCTTCAACATTGCGCCTTTTGCGCATCTGATCAACATCTCCATCCCTGCCCTCATCCCGAGGCCGACTCGAGCTGCGATCATGGTAACTTCTGTGGTTTTTCCGTGACCTCGAATCATCTCCTTTAGAAGACACTCTATCACGCTCCCTTTCGCTGCGTTCTCTGTCACGCGCACTGGAGCTGCTGTCATTGTGCGCTTTGCTGCTGCTGCTGCTTTCTTCTTGTCTGCTGCTGCGGTAGCTGCTGCCATCCGTGTCGCCTCGACCGCTACGGCTCCTAGTCTTTGCGTCCGTGTGAGACGCACTAGACTTTCCTTCTGACTGGCGCAAAGCCTCAAAAACCATCTTGGTGTTCAGAACGTTCAAATTCTTCACGTCTTCCTGCCCCCTGACGGCCTCGTAAAATCTGTGCAACAAGCGGAAACAGCACAGCCCTCCATGCATGCGGATTGCATGCCTGCGCCAAATAAGCGACGCGCTGCCGAGACACCCGAAAAAATGCAGAAAATCCTTCAGCGCACCGTCGTGCACGCAAGGCTCATGATTACAGCCGCAAAAGAACCCGAAGAACACTGACAGGAAAAGAAACAACGCACTGATTAAACGAAAGTGCAGGATCTCTGATGTCGAGTCCGGCCCGTTCAGCGCTCCTCTTCAAAATCTGCTTCAGCTGCTCGTGTTGCTCGCGCAGCCGCTCAACCGCATCACAAAACAACTCCCGTGGAGTGCTTCCGCCTTGCCCAACCATTGCAGTGTAGCGCGGATCCTTCTCGATGCGTCGCACAAAAGATGCCCACTCCGTCCGGCTGCTCACTTCCCCTGGAACACCAAACAAAAGACGGAGAAGCGAAAGCCCACACTGAATACCGAAATATTGCGCTAGAAACTGTTGAAAGGGAGGCGCGTACAAAAATAAGCAGCCCCAGTCGTCTAAATACGAGCGTGCGCTTGTCGATTCAACAACTTGCACACCATACAGAGATGCGCGCTGGGTGCGGTGTCTAGACACTTGACCGCATGAACCGATACGCAGTATTGAAAGGCATCCTGCGGGAGGTAGCACACCTTTGTCGACTGCATCTTGCAAAAGCTCTCTAAAAGCGTCTCTTCGCTTTCTTTGCCTCCGAAAGTTCTGCGCCTGCCGCTGCTTCCGCTCCTGGTCATAGCCGTGCCGTACCCACTCCTCCCACACCCTGCACGGAGCCATGCGAAAATCAGTCGAAACCGACAAGAAAAAGCATTCAACACGAGCAGCCGCACGGCCTTGAGATCCAACTCTGCTGCTCAAAGGCCTAAGCAAAGCGCACGGTTCAAATCTCGCGCCTTCCCACTATGGAGAAAAGCACCCAGCGTACAGCGGTCATTCACTCACTGCAAAACATCAATCTTCATCATGTTTTGTAGCTTTGGATGCGACAGAAGCTGGTCCCTGACTTCACTCCATCTAGAAAGACACAAAGGCAAACAAAATTATTCATGTAGCACAACGCAACCCGATACAAGTCTAATACAGAGGTGCGTGAAGCACGCGATCCGCTGCACATCGACATCCTTTTCGTGTGGCCACCACCCGTATCTGCACCGTAAGACCCCGAATCGCTTACTTCTTCTGAAATGGGTATTCCGTAGGATTCTGCTCGAGAATTTCCTCGAGCTGCACACAAGCAAAAACGCAAACGACCAACAGAAAAACCTGTTTTGTGTGCTGGACGCCTATCGCATGCAACTGCCCAGCAGAGTGCTCAAAACTATACTCGCATACACAAAGGGAGGACAAGAGAGCCGAAGTACACCAGGCAAGCGCATGCACCTACAACGGTCCAGGAAACACACGCGCTTCGATGAAAAATGAGTTTATGTGAGAAGGTGGCCTACCATGGCCACGTCTGCACGTCGTCTTTCCTTGACTTTGTTTTTAAACATTTGTTCATTATCAAACATCCATTCCTGGAAAAATTCATCGCGCTCGCTTTCTTGCATCCAAGTCCACCATTCTTCAAAGTGGAACCGATCCGCCACATCTCTGAAGCCGCAAGCCGAAACCGCATACGCCGCAGATGGCGCTTCATCAACAAACCAGCAGAACCGGCCAAAACGGGTGGAAACTGCTGCAAATATGCAAAATCCGTAGAAATGGAGCAGAAACGCACATATAGGTTGTCTTGAAACTGAGTTCCTTCCATTCCAGAAGGTTCTTCACCATCAAATCCTTCGCCTGAAACCAAAAAGCGCAAGCCATGATGAGCGCATGAGGCGATATGTGTGCATCCGAGTTGCTTGCACACTGTCCACGCAGAAACATGCATGATGCACACGATCTGTCGAGAGTTGCGCTGCATCATACCCCTTCAGAACTGATGAGCGCATGCATGCATATATACTGGACCCCATAGCATCTATAGGCAGGTAAAGACACGCGAAGTCGAATGCATGCACGTGCTCTCGATGATGGATGCACTGCAGCCCTGTGCAGTTGCAAAGCCTCGTATGCAGTGCCACAGTTTGAACTGACGCGTTTCCGCTTCTGGCGCTCTTCTTCAGCGGCCCGCTTCCCCCTTGAGCCCATATATTCTGCAAACGTCTGCTTGCGTTCTCCACGCGTTAAGATGGAAAAGCACGACCAGCGCCTGTCCGACTCGAGGATTTTGGAAGCATTTTCCCAACTGATTCGAGGAGGAAACTTTTTCAACTCGAACAATTTCTGAATGCGCACACCGAGACACTCCAGAAAAGGTTCCCGACTTCAGTGCCCCCCGCGCGGACAGACATGCCCCGCATCGTGCAGGCTCGCAGAGTCATCGTGCATCAAGAAGCACTATCAGCTTGCTCTCTCTCTCTCTGCTCTAGGGAAAGCGCCGCTTTTCGCCACCGATCCTGCAGAGCCATCGAACAGAACTGCCGGACGCACCACTAGAAACGTCTTAGCCTCATCCTTGCTCTTGAATTGTGGCCAGTCTTCTCGCTCCTCTTGCAGAGACTGAACGACACAAACGAGACGCAGCGGAGCCGAGAAATCTGAGTGGCGCGCAGAGCGGCGGCTGTGTGTATTGCGCGAATGCGGGCAGTTTCATGAGCATCCCGAATTCCACCCTGCCCCTACCGCCTTGTACAGGCAGTGCTTTGAAAGCAGAGCAATTTAGGGAGTGTCAAGTTGCCCCCCGTAACAAAAGGGAGACAGCGCCGCTAACCTTGAGCATCTCCTCCACTTCCTTCGGAGTACTCCATACGCTTCTCTTGGTGGCGCTGTGGAACCAGTAACTCTTTCCATCTGCGCTAGAGAACTCCTGCCAGCCTGTTTTCAGCAAAATTTGTGCCTCTTCGGGGGTTTGCAAGGAGAGCGGCTTCCCCCATTGACTCTCTTGCGTCTGCATCACAGCGAGAACCGAAGCCGCACATACGCGGGCTGACTCTCAAGCATGCGTGTGAAGGTAACAAAAGGCGCATCCCGGAGGAAATAAGAAAGATGCGCACCAGCGTGTTGTAGTAATACTTCCTGCCCTCCTTGGAAACATGCTCTGTCCAGCCATCGCCGCTGGTGATCATTGAGGGATTCGCGAAAAAAGGATCCATTCTCTAAAAGCACAACAGCGTCAAAAAAGAAACAAAGCGCTCTCAGAACAAGCTCCCTCGACAAGAAGCCGGGGGCTCTGTCCTGAAGCCTAACGTACCACGCAGAGAAGGAGGTGTAACTACTCACTGCCTGTACCGCGGGAAGTTTGTCAGCAACAGAAACACACGAATTCCAGGCAAACCGAAACACACGGTAAGAAGGATCCCTAGCACTACCTCGCACGAGTGCAGCCATGCATGCACCCCTCAGCCCACAAAGTACTGTGGTGCAGTGGGAGGGCAGGGGGGGCAGCAGGCAGCAAATGAGCACCAACAGCAAGAACATCGAGCAAACGTCTACCACCGAGCTGTATCTAAAAGAGAAGACATCATTGAGTCCTCTGTAGAACTGAGACAAGATAATAACTCGCAGGCTGCCTCCAGTTTACGCCGCTCAGCATGAACACAGAGGTGGATTTGCAGATCAAGAGAGACACCACGCACGATGGTAGGACGCAGACAGCAGGCGTTGTATATACTGCAGCCACTGGCCTACATATCCATCTACCATCCCGTAGAGAAGCTTCCTCGGGGTAGTCAACAACTGGGAGCTACAAAGCGCAACGCGCGAGCGTCTAAGTGATTGCTAACCGTGCATCGAACACGTAGGCTGCCACAAAGAAAACTACAGTTCAGCTAGTGAAGACAAGCGCCTACATGTGCTCTGGTTGGACTCCTGGATTACATCTGCCACTGCGACAGTGAAGTCCACCGCCCCAAAGGCGGACTGATCCGCCGATGTCATGAAGGCGAAAATTGCAAATAAGTTGAGGACTGAGCGAATGAATACTGGCTTAAAGTGGCATGGTCGCGACAATACGCATACACTGACTGCGAGGAGCCGAGAAGAAGCATCTCCAGATCGATATGTGCATACATATGGCCCCCTCGTTTTGGCGCACCCTTGTCCGACCTCCTACCCCTACACACCACCACCAACCCAAAATGTGCACGCCATAATTAAAGCTTATAGAACTCAAGAGAAACGACAAATAAAAGGTTGCTTTGAGTGCAATCCCAACGCAAAACTGCAGTGAGAAAGAGCCGACACCCAGACATGATGTGAAACAAGCCAAAGAGAACTACGATGGCGCGAGCGCATTTTCCCTGCCACTATGGACCAGCAATGTCAACACATAAACAGCCAACGTATGTGTATCAAGGGCCACCAGCCGCACGGATAGGCCTAGCTACAGCTCAGAGTACACCACCCATGAAGGAGGCGGGAGGAAGACCAGCGAGGCAGTCGCTTACGAACTGATTAGATCACCAGCGCGTCCAACGTAGCAAATCCCCAGAGGAAAGCGTCGAAAATACGGAGGAATGCTGCATCAGGAATGCTACCTTGAACGGGGTGCAAAAACTGATGGCCGAGGTGTTATGTACGTGGCAATCAGATGGACGGGGTGCCCCTAGCTCACCTGAACATGGATTCCCAGCTCCTTGTTTGCTTGTTCACAAATCTACAGAGTTCCAATTTAGATTGGCTCCCAATTGGTATACTTGTGGCTGCACAAAGGCACGTGGCGGCTCCCTCACTGCTGCAGTGCCCTCCCACCCCTGGGAGACCCGCACCAGGAATTGGCGGCAACGAGGGATAACTCGGTCTTTCCCTGAGTAAATAACCCTTTGGAGAAAACTAGAGGTAAATTTGCAACAAGTGATGAAAAAGGAACACACGAGAGGCTCCCTGGGCTCCGCAAGAATATGGCGGCATGAGCTTCCCGCAGCCCCGGCCCCACTCTTTGGGAATTCCGTAGAGCTGCGTGCAGGTCGCATATGCAAATTCCTTGTCTGCTAGTATTTAGCAAATGTGCTCATCGCATACTCGCGTGATTAGAGAGCAGCGAAGACTCCCTGATCTAGCCAGGACCTGCTGTCCGCTACCGCAAGTGCGCCTTCTTCCCACTTGGGTGTATTTCTTTCCGATCTCCTGCTCCTTACTGCCCTCCCCCTGTCTCCGCAGCTCCTCTCCCGAGCGCAGCGGCCTCTGTCCTCGATCAGCTGCGCCATAGGGCCCTCCTTGGCAGCTGTACGCTCAGCCAGCGACGGCGCTGCTTCGCTGCACCTACGCTGGATGCTCTTGGCCTCGCATGCGGCAGCCATGAATGCTACAACTCCATAGACGTCGCACTTGGGGGGGCCGTGCAGCCCTTTCCAGTAGACCGCAAGCAGGCTGGAATGATGCACATGGACGGCATTGTCATGCCTAGGGGGGTGGGTGCCCAAGGCGCAATCCCTTGGGAAGGTAACGCGCCTGCCCCCTACTTCGACCTCCCCTCGCAGCATTCAAGTTTCCCTTCCCACCCGGGTAGGTATTTCCTTCCCCCCGCCCCCTTCCCTACAAAACGCAGCAACGCTCCGCTGCACCCAATGGCTGCCTGCCTGCCATGGCTCTTAGCTGCCATCACCACTGCCGCTGAATATGCCCCGCCGCTGCTGAGTCCTCTTCCGGTATTGGGGGCGGGTAGAGCGACAAGTAGCAGGCTGCCTTTATGCAGCACTCGCCAATTTTCTCGTTTGCATGTCGGCCGTGCCTGTGTGGCAGCCGCATGCATGAGCGAGTTGCACCATGCTGCCTCTCCCTGAGCCGCGCTGCTGTCCTTTCGCTGCAGCAGAAGATCCAATGACGCAGTTCTTTATTATTCGTTCTTCCACGGAGCACAATGTCGAAGTCTCTATGCGCAGAGGCGTCTGGGCAACTATACCTCGGAACGAAGCGAGGCTCGCACAAGCCGTACAGGTGAACACCACAACCATTTGAAGCCGCATTAAAAGAAAAACGGGGAAGGGCAGGAAAGGAATATGAGGAGGTTGCTGCTGCTGCTGCGCTTGTTCTTATTGCCGTTGGGTGTGTCGGTAGACATCGGTGTTGATGGCACGAAGCCTGTAGGAAGGGCTCCCAAACTTCGCGTGTTAATCGGCTCTCCAGGGCTGCATGCGTTTTCATTGCCTTGAGGCTATACTCTTGATATCGCATGCCACGGCATACATCAGTACAAGTCAATATATATATATATATATATATATATATATATATATATATATATATATATATATATATATATGTGTATTGTGATTTTGGGGTGGCTGCGTTGGCGTTTGTAGGAAGCCCGCCATGTGATTTTATTCTTTCGCGTCCAGTCTTCTCAGTGTTGGGCAGGATATGCCCTCATGAAGAACGCACCGGGTGAGAGGCAGGCTAGTGGAAGGTGTTTTGTGGTGGGAGTTTGCTGATAGTGGTGTCGTCTGCCGCGCGAATCCCGTAGTTCTTGGTGTGTTTGAGTAGCTGAGATGCCAGCATTATACACGCGCATGCAGCTGCCGCATCGTTCTTCCCCATTTGTTTTGGGGCTTGGAAGCGGCCAGCGCCGAGACGGTGGCAGAGGGAAGCGGCCTTCTCCGGCATCGTGACGTGTGCGTATCTTGACATGCATTTAAAATGGAGTCTGCCGTACAGCAGGGCTGGGTTGATTTGAAAACAGTTTAGGAGAGGCTCTGCAGACATAGGTCGCATGCAACGCGTCGCATGATCGCTTGCTGTATCGAGATAGACATGCATCGATAGAGATAGAGAGATGTATCGATAGATAAAGAGAGGGATAGACATAGAGAGCAAGGGAGAGAGAGAGAGCAAGATGAAGAGTGCGAGGCTTGCTTTTTGGGGGGGTGGGGTGGGATGTACGTGGAGCTGCGTGTTGGTTTGTATGCGGATGTAGGGGCGATGAAGCATTTGCATTGGGGGGAAAACACATGGCTGCCTAGATTTGCGCGAAAGGCTTCATGTTTTGTGGTGGTCTGTGCTGAGTGCCTGTTTTTTTGACTGCTTTGCAGGGGAAGGCTCGTATCCTTCTAGCGTTTTCAGTGGACGGAGCGGTCGACCCTTTGTTGGTCTTACGTTTGACATCCAGTGGATAAGGCAGTAAGCATGTGATGGTTTTTGTCTCGTTTTTTGTGTGTGACATGCATGTTCCTTCCTTTATACGTTCCTGTGCCCTTGGCGTTGTGGGCGCTTTGGTTGATTTGTTGGTGATATTTTTTTGGCACACGCGGCTTCTCTTTCTTCCTTCTTTCGGTTGATTCGCCCCTGTCTCTAGGCCTTCTTATTGGAGTAAAAAGGAGGGGAAAGGGAGGGGGAGGGACGGGGGTTCGAATATATTTACAGCACTTTGAAACCCTCCCAGCGACAGCAGCAGCCGCACGACTTCTTAATGTGCTGGATGTGTGTGTATATGTGTGTGTATACGTGTATGTATACGTGTACATGTGTATATATGTATATGTGTATATATGTATATGTGTATATATGTATATGTGTATATATGTATATGTGTACATGTGTATGTGTATGCGTGTATAAGTGTATGCGTGTATATGTGTATATATATATATATGTTTATATGTGTATGTGCGCTTCCTGTAGGGTTCCCCTCAGCATTGAGAAAACACGTAATCTGCTTAACCGCTTCAACAACGGGGAATCTGTTAACAGAGCTATGGACGGACAGGTATGCACGGCGAGAGTTGGGGGGAGGAATAAAGGCGCCTTAAGGGCTGTTGATTTTTTAGGATTATACTACTGGGGTTGTCTGCGTCCCTTTTATTTGGGGGGCAGGGGGGGAACTCTTGCCGAGTTGAGTTTTTTTGCGCGCAATCGCGCGGCGGATGGCGGAGAGACCGTTTTATTGCGAATTTGGAGGCAGTGGAGCTTTTGCTCCATCGCAGCCTTTTAGACTTCTGACTGTCTCGCGGGTACTGACTGCGCTTGCCGCATGCGCAAGTCTTGAACGTCGGTTTTTGTATGTGTGTATAATAATACGCCTGCATTCAACAGCCCGTAGATCCCGAAGCGGGGAAGGCTTTGGCTTTCCTCTTCGACGAAATGGCAGCGAACACGCGACTCCCTTCCTACGCGCCAGCCTACCAAAGTTCTCCGCTTGCCCCCCAGCCTGCGCCCTCCGTGCAGCAGCAGCAGCAACAGCAGCAGCTCACCGCTTTGAGGCAGCGGCAGTCGCTGCAGCAGCCGCAGCTCCTGCGCGCAGCACTGTCTGTTCAGCGGAAGAAGCAGCAGGTGGTCAAGCGCATGCAGCCTGCAGGAGAGAGAGCGCCATCCTCAGGCACTCTCAAAGGCCCCCTAGGTGGGTGCAGCACAAGCAGTCGGTAGCATCTCCCGCGGCAGATGTTGTCTCTCTCTCTCTCTCTGTGTCTGTCTCTGTCTCTCCCTGCCTCTTTCTCTCTCTGCAGGTTCTAGTTATGCGCTCCTGCCCTTTTGCTTTTGAGGAAAATGAGTCCTATGCACATCGGCGCAGCCAGTTTGCGTGTTGGATAGAGAGTGCTGCTGCCTTGGGGAGAGGGGAAGGGGGGGCGAAGGAGTGTGGGAGGGGTAAAGAATGCCGGTCGGTTGCATCTGTGGCGTCTGATGGGGAGTCTTCGCGTTTTTAAATCTGCTGCGGGAGGACGCAAAAATCCAGGAGTTGCAGCAGCCTCATTTCAAATTGCTTCTTCTGCAATCCGAAATGAGTTTCCTTAGAATTGTGTTTCGCAGCCACTCATGTTTTGCTAGGGCGTTCAAGTGAGCCGCGCGGCGCGTTGCTGCGTGCGTTGGTTTTTGTGCGGTTGCCTCAATCGTCGCAGGAGGAGACGGACATCGAGCGCTCAGTAATAATCCAGCAATGCGAGTTTTCCCAGTAGATCTCACCGAAATGGTGAGCGCCACGCCAATGCATGGATGTGTTGCGGTGTATGTACAGACTGTGCGTTCCGATCACACCGCAGGGCCTTGTCTCAGCAAGCGTGGTGTGCGCGAAACGTGTGTTTTGCGATCGTTGTCGGTTTAAAGCGCCTTTTCGGAGGGCTTGTGTTTATAGGGGCAGCAAAGCAACCCCCTGTGAGACTCGCGCGCTTGCCGCATCAGCATCGATCCGATACTGCATGCGGAAGGGCTGTGGAGAAGGCGAGACGCACATGCATGTGCCTTTTTTCCTGGTGGATGTAGCGAAAGTCGTTCTTTTGCGTTCGCGTGCATGCATGCAGACGTATGAGGACTACATCGACACCTATGAGGCCTCGCAAGCTTTGTGGAATCGCGTCTTCGAGAAACACGGCTATGTCTTGGAAGGCACCAGTCCCTCTGAAACCCAACAGCCGTCTCCCCTGGAAGCGGACGGCAGTTCAGGGAGAGCCGCGGATGCGTCGTTTCCAGCAGATTCGCGTGCAGAAGAGCGAATCGCTGAGGGGGGTAGCAAGGAGCTGCATAGCGAGGAAGTGCCTCTACACGAGAGAGAAGAGATGCCTCCACTCACGGGTGAGGCGCAAGAGGACGGCGATGCAGCTGAAGAGCAGCAGGATGCAGGGCTCTCACCGACACCGACGGGGGAAGGCGTCGAGACCACGAGTGTTAAAGGGGAAGTTCAAGATCCAGCGCTCTTGGGGACTGTTGTGAAGTCAGAACCAACAAACACGTGATGCTTCAACACAGGAAGTCGGCGGGGGAGGCGAAGAGGGGGTTGGATAGCCTGGTAGAGAGAGAGAGAGAGAGAAAGGGAGCTGTGGGGGAGAGGCAGCCTTCCAAGAGGCCCCCTCCTCCCGTCCTCCCTTCGGTGCAACTCCTTCTGTCTGTCTGCATCTACGGCTGTCAGCGTCCTGCCACTGGCTGTAGTACTAGGAGAGGCCGCTCGCGCGTGTTGCTTGTATTATCTCGTCTATCTATTCTGTAGGGATGTTGCGCAAGGCGAGCCGCCCCCGCCCCTGCGTACAGCCGACGACAGCTCGGCAGCTGCTCTTTGTGCGCACAGGCTGCCTGAGGGCCTTTTAAGCGCATCTTTATATCGTTTTATATTTTTGAGCACTTTCGGTGGCTACGCTTAGGGCAGTAGAGCGTCCTACGGCATGCAAGGGAGCCGACACACGGCGGGCAGTCTTAACTGCGTTAGCACCTTGCCAGTTTTTCTAGGGACTCACCCTCTCTCTTAGTGAGCCTCTGATCTAGCAGCTACTGGCGAAAAAAAGCAATAGAACCAACCGGGCCATGTAGGGAACCCCATGAGCAAGCGGATCTACCGCTGCAGAGAACGCGCCAGTGCAGAGCATTCAAGCACAAAGATGATGGCTGTCTTACGCAACCCCGTTCTCCCCCGATTCAAATAGATTTACACAGATCAAGATGCATCTCATCTGCCAACTAAGGACGTGCTGCACGTAAAGTTCACGGCCTTCCTTGTGTGCCGCTGTCCTCCTTTGAAAGACTCCCGCAGTGCCTGCTGCCGTTTCACGGCAGCCCCCTACAACTGCAACGTCTCTCAGTGCGCAGACGTTTTTACTGTGGGAAGAAGAGGCGGGAAGGAACGTCTCATGGGCCACACACAGCATGCAGAAAAAAGTCATTCAGTCGAAATTTCTCCTTTCAGCCGTAGACAGAAGAAGCCTACCCCGCAGCGACCCCTGTGCGGAGGACGCCATTACGACCACAATCACGCTGCTTTGACGGTGAAACGACAGGAAAATTCTGGGAAGTGCCTCCGCTACAGGCCTCCTGTCACTATGGCACTTTCTTCGAAAGCACTTGAGAAGCTGGCTGCCTGTCTGCCTGCCTGTCTGCCTGTCTGCCTGCTTGCCTGTCTGCCTGCCTGTCTGCCTGTCTGCCTGCTTGCCTGTCTGCCTGCCTGCCTGTCTGCCTGTCTGCCTGCCTGTCTGCCTGCTTGCCTGTCTGCCTGCCTGCCTGTCTGCCCTCCGTTTCATTTTTTTCCAACATGGCCTAAAGGCCAACCCCCTGCGATTGGTGCTGCTGCAACACATGAGCCTTGATTCGCGCCAGCTTTGGCAACGCCTCTCTTAACGGTTCTTTCAGACTCCGCAACGGTTCCCATGCCCACGGAGGGGGCGCTTCGAGACTGCTAAAGGTCACCTCGCCCCCTTGCTGTGAGGCTTCGTCTTGCTGCCCCTGCTCCGTGGATTTTCCTAACGAGAATGTGTAGAACAAGGCGAAGAGGCAAATTGCATCCGGCTCCTCGAGTCTGTACACTACCTGAGAGAAAGGCAGCACACTAATACCCAGAGGAGCCGCCTACACGCATGCAAACTGCGCATGCGCTTTAGAGACTCCAAAATAACTGCACGAATATGGAAGCCCCCAAGCACGAACAAGGCGGCATAGCCCATCAAGTCAGCAGCGTCATAGGCCTTGTTTTGCAATTTTCTCGACTCGCACTTCCGCTCCCCGTGCGTCACTTTCCAGCTCTCTCTCCTTGTGTTTCTAGCAATTAAGGATGTCGCTCTGTGTCACATTTCGCTTCCTTCATGACTGCACACCTGGCTTCTCCTGCTAGCTTATGTCTTGCACAACTGCTGCGAGCCTCGATGCCTTTTTTCATCCCCTTACCTCGATTTGCGGCGGAACCGTCAAGTGCACTTGGACTTGGCCCCCAGCAGACTGGACAGCTTGCGCAACGAAGTTCAAATGCCACTCGGTGCTCCTCTCGCACCCTGTCGCATTTTCCGCTTTCGCTTCTCCCTTCGTAGCGTTTTGTTCGGCTGCCGCGGGGTTGCAGCAGCACGGCAGCAAGTGCAACACCTCGTCTATACAAAAGCGCACCCTCCACTCTGAAAAAGCATGCGCATGCCAGACATACCACTCGCAAATGCCGTTCACGTGAGCAGCACGCAAGCTATGGCGGTATATATATATATACATGCAGAGAAGGAAACAGGCAATCCAACAGGCAACGCAGGCACAAGCACTTGCACACACATCCCAACTTATACGCCTTCTGTACTGCACCTTGTTCGTTCCCCGCACTAGACAGTTGAGTTTTGCGGCTACCTGAGCCTCTGCCGTTGCTTTCTTTCCTGGTTAAAAGCGCTACTACCAATGCATAGAACAAGTACCTTGAGGCTTCAAAGCGCCACGCTCGAAGGAGTAATACGCGTCCTGCACCGCAGGCTCCCCCCTGGCCAGACTCTCAGCTTCCGCGATGTTGGTATCCTGCACCTGCTGTTGCTCTTTCTGCTGCATCTCTTTCTGCTCTTCCTGCTGCTTCTCTTTTTGCTGCTTTTGCTGCCGCTGCCTCGCATACAGCGAATCACCAACGATGCAGTGCTGCAGCAACGTAAAGGCCCAAGGAACGCAGCATGCAAGACATAAGCCTTAATTTTAAAGCGCTTCTATTTTCGGCTGTAAAATGTGTTTATGAGGCTCAACAATAAGTTAGACGGCCATAGAACCTGAATGGGATACATCGAGGTGTGCATATAGCCTTTAAGAGGTTTGTGTCTGGCTGTGCGCTTCGCTGCTCCTTGCGCATATCTGCGTACTGAGTTGCAAATGTCGCATCCATCAATCCACCTGTCTAATGCTGTGACGCGCAGTCTTTTTTATTCCCCACCGCTCCCTTTTTTTACCCGCCCTCCAGGGCCTTACTCACTCCGAGCAGCTTTAGATGCTTTCGTATTTGATGACTTCTCCCCGTGATGGGCATCGCCAACACCAAAGAGCTGTTGTTCTCAGCTGCAACACACAGAAAACGCACAGAGATGGGGAGCAACCCGCTCAGGCTGCGGTCTAACCAACGCTCCCGCTGCTGCTGAGGGGGCCTTTCTGCTGCGAGAAGCGCAAGCAAGCTTCAAGGATATTAAAAACATGAGCTTGTCGTATATGACTGCGTGCTGTTCGTCTCACCGGAGAAGGCGATCTGTGTGAAGACTGTTTGCGCAGTCTTCCCTTCCTCCTCGTCCCACGCCGTCTGCAACAGCTGCGCCTCCTTCGCCCCGCATGCAACGCGCAGCGTGTCATCGACAGCGACTGCCTGCGTTCCCTCGGATGCTGCACCCACGGAAGCAGCCGCAGCTCCAGAGGCTTCTACACGGGGGAAAGACGCTGCCTCCGTCTCCCGTGCAGCAAGCATCGCTGCCGCCTGAACAGTCCGAAGTTTGGCATTTATCATCACGAACGGCGTTGGTCCATTCAGCAGAGCCTCCGCCGATGCCGCTACATTTCCTTCTTCCCGCTGCTGCTGCTCTTTCTGCTGCTGCTCTGCTGCTGCTGCTGCTGCTGCTGCGATCGCGGCGGGAGAGCCTGGCGTGGCTGCGTCATTTGGAGGACCCCCTCCCAAGACGAAAGGCCTTATGAGGCCTTTCGCAACAGCTTCGGTTATTTCGAAGGGGCGCTCTGTGAACTGAAGTCTCAGAGCACGCTGGCGCGCTCTCCGCCGCTCTTCCTCTGCCTTCAGCAACAACTTCTCCTGCTTCAGTCTCTGCTTGATCGCTCGCCGTTGCGCCCTCCCTGAGAGACACGCTGAGGAGTCTGTCGCTGGTGCGGCATGCGCAGGCGCAGCGACAGCAGGACCAGGAGCTTCTCTGACCTCGCGCTGCTTCTCCTGCTCTTGCTGTGCAGCAGCTGACTGCGGGAAAAACGCCTCTTCCGCAGTCAAGGGGTTCGTCGCCACGCAACGGGAGTCGCAACAGGAGCCTCGCTCGCCGACAGACGCCGCTAAGCGAGGCCGCCTAATAACACACCCGTCCGAAGACACCAGCCTACCAGCAGTCTACATGCCCCCTCGACATATATCACCGCGCGTGGCATGGCACTAGCAGCAAGAGACAGCACAATTACCAACAAGCAATTCCAGCACAGCACCAACCAAGAACCGCTGCAAGAAACGCAGCTCCCCAAAGAAACAAAACAAGAAATGCAGCAGGATCTCCAAAGCAACCAACCTTAGCGATTCTGCGATTCCTTCTGTAGCCCTTCTTTTGCATCCTAACCCGGGGTCACATACAGCAGGCTCATGAGGCGGCTGCTCCTCTTGCAACTGCAATTGCATTTGCTCTTGCCCTTGCTCTTGCAATTGCATTTGCTCTTGCAATTGCATTTGCTCTCGCAATTGCCCTTGCTCTTGCGCTTGCATTTGCTCTTGCGATTGCTGCTGATAAGCTTTCTGTACAGCGTCAAACACGTCTGCGAAGCGGCCGTGCACCTGCGTGCGCAGATGAAGTAGCGCTCACAGCACACCGATCATCGCCGCCAGCAACTCAGCGCGTCTGCAATACGCAGGGGCATCCGGCCGCACGGCGAAAGAGCCGCTGAAGCAGCGCGTCAGAGGTGTACAAAAAAAGAGAGACTCATAAGAATGCGTGAGTAAAAAAGCCTAGAAAAGGCATATGGAAACGAAGATATGAAAGCAGGAGAAAGAGGGTCTTATGAAGAAGCTGCTGTAGAAAAAACCAGCGGCCCAGTGCGCGCTAGGCGCCTCGAAAATTCGAGAAAATCCGACGAACATGAACCCGTCCGTGGAGATATATATATATGTATATATATTTACACGCAACGGACGCGTCGTCTGGAAGGGAAAGAGCATGCGAAAAGGGGCTTAATGCGAAATGCATACTGTGGTGGAGAGCATCGGTAAAAAATCAGAGAATCGCTGCATGAAGAACTGTCCGTGAGGTATATGGCGGAGAGGGCAGCGAGAGAAAAAAGCGGAGATCTCGACGCGTACGTAGGATTGCATACGTGCATAGAACGAGACAAACGGAGGTTTTTCGACTGCCCCTCAGAAAAGCCGCAGAGAGATGGCAACGGGAGAAGAACTTGTGCTGTACCTACCCTACAGAGATAGACTTTTCCCGCCTCCGCGAGAGCCTTGGTCAGACTACGGGCCGTTGCCGCTGCGTCCAACGTCCCCGCATGCAGAGAAGAGGGTGCTTTCGGAAAGACAGCAACATGCCTTGTCTACTATGTCCTCTCTCACGAATAAAGGGTGCTACCGCGTGGAAGCCTCTGCCGTGTGAGCATGTGCAGCCGTGCTGCTCGAAGGGGAAAACTCTGAAAAGAAGCGTTCGCTTACGATTCTTGGCGAAGATAACGAGGCCGCAGGTAACGCGATCCAGCCGATTGATAGGATGTAAGTACACTGCAAACGTGATCCACATAGCCATACACATACATACAGATATGTACACACATGTATACACATAGATGTAGAGAGAGAGCTTCCTGAAGTAATATGCAGATCCCTTGTAAGCGTCGGCGTCCTGCTGCTGCTTCGTTTGTCTTATAGAAGCGTTTCTTTAGGGTGTGGCTTGCAAGAAAGTCGTTTGGATTGATGAAGCTCTGCAGCTGCGGCACTGCGACGAGGTGCAGCGGCAAACATTGACCGTTACCACGGTGTCCTCTCCGACAGACACCGGCTGTCCACAGATACGCCTCCTGCAGGACTGCAAGTGCGGTGTGTGTGTGTGTGTGTATGTCTGTGTGTCTGTGTATGTGTGTTTCTGTCTGTGTCTGTCTGTGCGTCTGTCTGTGTCTGTCTGTGTGTGTGTGTGTCTGTGTGCAGCTTCTCACCGTCTGGATTCTTTAGATAGAAGGACTTTAGCCGATGGAGGAGTGACTGCGCGCGGTACAAGCCCTGCGGGTGGACGCTGAGACGCATTATCAGCAAGAGCTCAGCTGTGCAGCGCAGCCTCACCGACGAAGCAGGCCATAGCAAGAAGATGCGGAGCGAGAGAAAGGGAGCAACACACAGATACACACAGAGAGAGACAGACACATACCCATAGAGACAGATGTCACAACAAAATAGACACATATATACGCAGACACATATACACAGGCACATATATGCACACACAGAGACACATATTCACAGACATACACAGGCACATATATGCACACACAGAGACACATATTCACAGACATACACAGGCACATGGAGAGACTGGATCCAGTCCTCGCGCCTACGTCCTTCTGACACTAAAATTGAAAATTGCTGCTTCAATAAACGCAAATACTTAGGGGTGCCAGCACGCACACAAGCAAGCAGGAAGGCACTGTTTCTACCTTTCACTGCGCAAGAGAGGCGCCCCCTCCGAATCTCCTCCCGCGTGGCATAGACAGCACGTTAGCGGCCTCATCACTTGGCCCCTACATGGAAGCATGCTGGGTATTTCCTAGAGCAAGCGGAGGCGAGATGTCGCCTTGCCTTTGCGGAAGAAAAGTTTAGAGAGGTGGAGAGGCAGAAGACGCGCCTCTAGGAACCTTCGGAAGCTCCGAAAAGTGGTGCCCCCTAAATCGTTCGGCAGTGTTTCTTTGTTGATCCGACACTTACGGGATTCCCGAAGGCTTGCAGACGCAGAGAATTTCGGGGGTTTCCTGCAGGATCTGCACGGGAGTGCTCGGAGCGGCTAGCTGCAGCAGCGCGCACCAAATGATGCGTGAGAGCAGCTGTGACGATAGACGCAGCGGGTAAGCGGAATGGACGGCGCGTGGAGGGGGAACGTTGTAGCAGCTAGCCAAAAAGAAGCTTAAATGGAAGAAGTGCTACCGGGCCTGTAGAGTGGTAAAAGGCACGAATTCCCCTCTCCCTTCTCTCCCCCTCCCGCAGAGAGAGAGAGACAGAGAGACAGATGGAGCCAGCAGCAGCAGCAGACGGAAGACAAAAAGGAAAGAAAAACGCAGCCGGGAAAGAGAATGCGTAGGCGAGCAAGAGGGTCGTCTAGGCCAGCTGAGGCGCGAGTTCAGCGAAGGCGAGACGTCCACAAGGAGATGACCAGCACAGATGCAAGATATAGATATATATAGACCGTTGTTCGCTGCAGCCGCGTCGCTTCTGTAAGGGCTTGAAATGACAGGCGTTCCGGCAAGCTCTAAGGGCTGGAGGAGACGAAAAGGGGGGGAGACACTGCTAGCTGCCTCATTTGTGTCTGCATCGCATTCTCCAGCTAGCACGTGGCAGGCGGCACCCTCCAACGTACAGCTCAGCGGCGTCCAGCAGCAAAGCGATGCCTCGCTCGGATGCCACGAGGAAGGAGATTTTTTATCAAAAAGCGACAGCACAGCACACGTGTGCGCAGGCACCCCCCGTGTGCCTGCTGCTCCTAGAAGCCTCTGCATGCACGCCGCGTGTGTAGTTACCTCCATGACAAGCGTGTTGTGTACAATGACATCTCCGTTCTGCAGCACTTGATCAGCGGTGCAGGGCAGCCAGTTGACCAGTAGAAGCAGTTCGAAGAGTCGAGGCGAGGGGCTGCCAGAAAATCCTCCTCCTGCGAAATCCTCTCCTTGCATGCGTTTCTTGCAAAGCGCGAGCGCTTGCATGGAAGCCTCGGAGTGAGGATTCTCCCTCTCTCGCAAGTCCCCCTGCAGGGATGCTCCCCTATGAATTGCATTCAGAAAGTACTGGGGAGTCTTCCACGAGAATTCGGAAGTGAAAGCCTCCAGTAGCCTGCAGCAAAAACGCGCGAACATTGGGGGGAGGCCAAACAGACACATACACATACACACATACACATAAACACATACATATAGACACATAGACACATAAACATACACACATACACGTAAGCACATGCACATAAACACATACACATAGACACATAAACATACACGTACACATAAGCACATGCACATAAACACATACACATAGACACATACACACATAAACACACACATACACATAGACACATACACGCAGGATCCTTCGCAAGATGCATTCTGTAGACAGGGCTCTCCCAAGTAGACTTCAGCTGTATGGGTGTGTGCGGATACTCCTACGGAACTACCCTCCGCATGCAGATCTCCAGTAAGGTGTTCGCACAAAAAGATATGCAGTTCTTTGTACGAAATATTGCCGTACATACGGACGGATATATACATAATTATGCATGCATACATATACATACACCTATATGCATGCATGCATATACATACATCAATATGCATGCATACAAATGCATACATCAATATGCATGCATACAAATGCATACATCAATATGCATGCATACAAATGCATACATCAATATGCATGCATACAAATACATACATCAATATACATGCATACACATACATACATACATACACATACATACATACACATACATACACACACTTACATCTGCAAACAAACGTCTATATGCATATTTGTGTATGTGTGCACATATCTAGTCATCGAAGCAACCGTGCAAGAACTGCAGTACGTAGATGGATGCGCATGGCTGCGTCCTGCGTAGGGTTGCTCGTCAGTCGAGGTGTGTTACTTTGGGGAATTTTGTTGCGCTAAGGTAGCGAAATGCATCTTTGTGACGGGCGGGCTTCGGAAGGGGGAGGGAAGAGCAGGATTTACAGATGGGGTAGGTGTTCAGCTGCTGCAATGTAGTGTACTAGTGCCTGCACAAGCTCTACATGTGCAGGTACAAATAGGATATTCCGAGACGCACATACCGTTTGCCCCTCCACCGAAGCTTGCAGTTGGTGACGTAAAGATTCCAGTAGGGTGGAATGACGGTCAGGAGTCTCTCCGATGCAACTACTGGCGCCGACTCCCCAGGCACGCCGTCAGCCTCGATTGTAGGGGCAGTGATTGACAGAGGAGAACGCTCTGGAAAGGCGCAAAAGTGCCGCGTGGCTCGACGGATGGGGGGCCCTGGTCCCTCGATGACAAGCGACGCTTCCGGCCTTTTTTTGTCGGTTACCTTCGCAGCAGCTGCAACGGCTGGAGGGGTTTCGCACGGCGTTTGCGCCTTCATCCTGCATGGAAGCTACCTTGCGGGGGAGTCGAGAGAGTTCAGAAAAGCCGCGTTTCAAACGGTTAGGAAGAAGCTGCGCTCGAGCTGCAAAAACAGGGGTATCCCACGACGGAGGGTGGGTGCTCTCGGATGTGCCCCATATCGACGCTAGACGAACATGCAAGTGAATAGTGCTTATAAAAGCCCTATTTTGCTGCGCACTTATGAACAAATGCGCTTGAAGCGCGGGAGGTTACTAAGTCTAGCTGGCCAAAGAGCAGCTAACAACGCTCCGTAAAAACCGTACAGGTTCTCTCCGGGAAGCGGGGGGGGCCCTTGTGTGCCGACCGCGGCAGTCTTAGGAGGGCGTGTCTGTCGGTCCCCTTTAAAATATAAGGTTAACCGCAATTAATACAATGCAATGGCGTTAAAGCGGTCTATATGGGAATAAAATGAGAGTCGGCAGGTCAGAATTCCACTACATACTACAGCCCATTCCCCTGTGGAACGCCACTGCTCGCGGCGACCAGTGCTTGGAGCCAGAGGTAGCAGATGGAAGAAGGCCTCTCTTTATCATTCATCTTGCTGCTATACATGTGCCCGCTGCATTCTTGCGGATTAAATTGGCATGAATAAACTAAAACAGGTTGTTAAGAGGCATCTTTGTACCAAATTTCCCAGGGGGAGGACGTGGCCTCCCTGCTGCAGTAGAGTTGCCGGGTACTGCATGCTTTTGTTGCTTGTTCCTTCCACCTTCGCGTTTTCCTAGCACTCCATTTTCTTTGGAAATTGTGTTTGAAGTCACCTTTTCCCGAAAGCTGCCGCTGCCGTGCCTGAAGTCCTCCCAGCGGGGACCGTAATGTAGAGCTGCTTTCTGCTCTTTTCGGTTTTCCTACGTTTACACTTCTTGTTTCCACCAGTGGCAGCCCTAGCTACCTTCGTTTTTACGCATTAGCGTTCATTCTCCAGTATAATGCGCATCAGCTGCCGCGAGTCACTGAGGTAAACATCTCCAAAACCGCTTCTTTGCATATTCGCTTGCCCCAAGCCAGAGGCTCTGCACCGCGGAGATGGGCAAGGAGAGCACTGATGAGGGAAGTGTCAATGCAACTTTATGGACTCAAATCGACAACTTAGCAGCAACAGCAGCAAGGGTGCCCTTACCTGCGGTGCCCTCAGGCACCCCATGCAGCAGCACGCTGGGGGCGACTACCCCCGAGAAACAGAGGGCAGACACCGTGTTGCTCCTCACCAGACCCTGCAGCCATCCTCTCCCCGAGGCAGTTCTAGACCAAGCCTGCTCTGCTTCCCTTGATTATCGCTTGAGCTCGACGCAGAAAAACACACGCCAGCAAAGTGTACAAGCGCTCGACTTGACGTGTACAGGGGAGTTGTTTCCTGTGTCGGACGAGGGCACTCCTCTTTACCCCACTACAGCTAATTCGTTCGTTAGCTCCTTGCACTCAGATGCTTCTTCCGTCTGCGAGTCTGCGTCACAAGCGAGCGCCGCCGTAACTAAGGCCCATTCCCAGGTGTCCGTGCACCTCACACGTGCTGGGGCTGATGAGGCTGCAGCTGCAGTCGCAGAGGGGAGCGTAGACGAGTCTGAAGATAAAGTAACGCGACCCGATGCATCCAGTTCCGACATCCTCGAGTACATGAATGAGCGAGACCTCGCGCTGTACTTGGAGCAGCACAATCTAACAGTAAGCAAGGAGGGGGGAGGGATATTCGGGGTAGGACTACCTTGAACCTATTTTCTGGTGTTCGCCTCTTGATTTTAAACAGTGTTGCACAAAATATCGCCAGGATTCATGTTAAGTGGGTGTGAGATTCCTTACAACGTCGCACTTTTCCAGAGATGGCAGTTGGAGACCCCTGCATCTCGACACTGCTTTTCTGGATCTTTCTTGCATATGTAAACTAAAAGATTCTTGCTGGGCACTGTGGCCTCAGGCTGAGCCTTATGCTGAAGGCGTTGCATTTTGCATTGGAGAGGGAGGGCGAGAGCTTCTGCGCGCCGCACTCCTGCATCATACTGATGGACGCGCATTGCAAGGGGCCAGTGTGCCGCAGCTCTTGAAGCTTGCACATGCTGCGTAAGCCTGATTTCAAGCCTTTCGGGAGAACATTGAAAGATGCATGTGCTATATTGGCTATGTGACCAAGTGCAGAGCCCCTGTGCAGCAGCAGCTGGACGTACACCTGGCGTGCACTCTGACACGGCACCCCAATGCATTTGGTGCTTTAGCACTTCAGTACTAATGGTTGTGGTCTGGGTCCTAGAGGCGGCCTAGGAACTTGCATTTGCGTCTCGCAGATGACTGGGAGCCTTCTCTGGGGGCTGTTCAATATGCCTCCCCGAAGCAAGATCGTTGTCTGCCCCCATCTCATTGAATGACGTTTCGCTCTCTGTTTGTTTGCAGAGAGCTGTGGCCTCTAGTTCAGCGCATCAGAGCTGAACGACTCGCAGGGAAACTGACGGGCTTGCATCTTGCTTTCTGTAATTTTAAGGCGGCCCAAAGCCGCAGACGGAGGCGCACTTGCACTGTCTCTATGCACGCTATCAGGAACGGGGAGGGCAAGATCCTGAATATCATCTATGAGTAAGCTGCCGAGGACTTTATTCATGAGATTAATATTACCGTTGAAGGTGATAGAGATATTGTTCTTGATAAATTTTAAAAGACGTGGAGTTATCGCACGAGACCCCCATCGGGCATAAGGGCCAGAGGGATACTGCAGCTGCTGTACTTTGGTGGTCGTGCTTTCCCTGTGACTCCTGGATGCAGCCCACATAAAACTTTGCACATAGGGTTGGAGGGACGATCAAGACTGAAACTTCTTATTACGAAGCGCATGGACTCAAATCCTGAGACGGCAGTAAGCTGTAGTCACACTTGCTCTTGTCGACTTGACGTATTTGGCCAGTGGCTCTCCGTGTCTACTGTCGCGCACATATTTCATTGAATTTTCCCGGGTTGATCCGCTGCGGTATGTGCGCCCTCAGATGGCTTTGCTGGTCGAGCACGGCCTACAGAACATCTGCCTGCGTTTTGCGACAGTGGCGGAGCTGTTGGCGATTGCATGGGTTTTGGGTTTGTGGCAGTTTGTCGTCGAGATAAAACAGGATAACGAAGACCGCAAACGCAGCCTGACGTCACAGAAAACTATGAGACATCGAGGCACGCGTCGCACCGGGGAGCGCCTGGATGCCTCACAAGGTCACCCAGGGAAGAAGGGACGCACTCAGGAATATCTGGAAAGCCCTGAAACAGCGGCGGATGCTCAACTAAACGGTATTTTCAGGTGTGATGTCAGCGCTGTGCGCTGTGATCCACATGCTGGAAAAGTTCGGGAGGCGGCTAGTTTGCAAGCGTTGGCTCCCGTCAATGGTTGCAAAGGAAGTAGTTTTAAGGAAACGAATGACAGACCTAAAGATATAGACGATGTCGGAACGGTGGCAAGCGTAACCGACAACCAGGGACCTGCTGATGGAGTAGCGGAGCCAGTGAGTGTACTGCCCGCATGTGAAGCCCCGCAGGAGGCACCTGCGAAGCCCACTACCCAAAAAGACTTGTCAGGAACTGCTTGTTCTTCATCTGGGCCCTTGCACCGGATCGGCCAGCTCGTGTCCCTTGCAAATCCAGCTGCTCCAAACGCAAAGGCGGTTGCAGCGGAAATTGTGCAGGAACTGCTTTCACTTGTCCAAAGGGGCCTATTGCCGAATCCACCGAAAGCTGTTCTTCAGCAGCTTCAAGTAGCAGCTTCTCGACTTGGGATTTGCTCTACGCCGCCTTTTTCCCCTCAGGTAGCTAGCTATGAGAGATGAATCATGCTAAACTTGACGCAGCCATGCTTTGACGTGCATTTTTTGAGTAAGGCGGTAGTTATCCGTCCAAACATTTTGCGGTTCCTTGGCACCGTTTCTGATCTCCCATAAAATGATGTAAGGCCATATTGCTGAATTTGGTTACCCCAACAATCTCGGAGTTATAACAACTGACTCACGAAGAAACTTGCGTGTTTCCTAGTCACTGCCGACACAAATTGGTACAAGATCTAGTTGACTACCATTATTGCTTAAGACTGAGCAGCTTAGAATGTAACGGAACAACGTTAAGAGTTCTCGCATCGATAGTGGACCACTGTCTGTACACTTCGATTTGCCGACACCTTTCGGATACGTGGGTTTGCGCGGAGTGGATGCAAAACAGGTCCATTGGGGAGCCAAGGGTTGTGTTTTTGCAAGAATGAACACAATAACAAAAATTAGTGCCGGTTTGGCATGGGTGTTGTCCAGCGCAAGTGCAGAATATACAGAATGGTGTCAAGCTGCACCAGAACACGGCAAGCCGGAGTTTGCGGTTTGTGCACCTCATGGAGCTGGGACAGCAAATTATATGATTGAGATCGTCCCTTCATTCGGCTCAGGGGTGGATCTTGCGTAAGTAGAAAGAAACAGTACAGAACACTCATGAGATTCTCATTGGAGTTGCAGAAACGATGTGAGCATTCAAATTGTGGGAAGCACGGGAAGAATGACGCCTCTAATATCCATCGCCTCTACGAAATCCGGGACACACAAGCGGTAATTAGTACTTAAATTAGTAAGCAGAGAGAGCGTGTTTCTACGGTTACCTTGCCGCAGCATATTTACCGAGTCCCTTGACATTGGGGACCCCGAGGAAATTCGTGCTGTGCTGACAGGGAGTCGGCCGTGGAAATGCCAAAGGATGATTGTGTGGAAGGACTTCAGATACTGGATGTTTGATTGTATCGGCACGCTAACAAGCAAGCATCGCGAATCAGTGAGTTTGGACCTGCTGCTCACCATGAAACAGTCCCGATGAATTTGACTTCATAATTCTGTTCGCACAGACATTCACAATGTCGGGTAATAAGATGTACGAAGCCATAATTCAGACCGGAAACGATGAACAAGGTATTCATTACAACTTTTGTTTCTAAAGATCAGAATTTCAGTTGCTGCACACAGCGGGAACCATCGGATCCATTGAGCTAACAATGACGGGCACACTCCGCCAAGCCAGTCCAAAAATTGTATTGGAAGGAGTAAAACCTGGGGAAGAACAGAAAGTTGCTTTTCGGGCTTCTGATGGTAACAATTTTGCTTAACATAGTCACTGCGTGCGTTTCCATGTACCAGTCGAATGCGCTGCAGTTGGCGACATTCAGTCTATTTTGCTCTACAATTCAGCCGCTGATGACCCCTGGTTTTGCGAAAGCTTGAGGATAGTAATAGATGGTGGCAGCGTCACCTCGTTTTCAGTGAAACGGTGGATTGGCAGTCCGTTCCAGTCGTCCGTTGTGGTGACCCTTCGGCCGTCTTTGGACACAGACATGTCGCCTCAAGACGTGCAGTGCCACACAAGGGGCACCGATCTCGTCAGCATGTAAGCAGGGTTCTGAATGTGGCATGCATATGTTCTATGCCTAATATATATGCACTGCATTCAGGGCCCCAAGTCACCTGGAAACCTTCAAAGTCCGGTGTCCAATGAACTGCTCAGCGGCTGGATTTGGACTCGCTGAGGGAGCATCGATCCATCCGGGATCCTCTTCGGTCTGTGCGGCTGCTGAATCCGACGGTGTCACTTCTGCATCAGGTTGGAGGAGTCATTAATATTGACTACCACTGGCCACCCATCTAATACTGTGCTGCGTTGAATACACAGGCGGAGTCCTCGTCGTTACTGTGGTTGGTCCACTCCCCCAGTATTCGGGCATTAAGCCCCTGAAGCCTGGAGAAGGTGAGTCCATACAAAGCATACGTTTCAAATCGATTGAACAACTATATTTATTATGATTTACCAGAGCAGCACGCGTTCGAGCTCTCTCCCGGGGCAAGGGGTGATACATTCAGCTTTTTCCTTTACAGAAGCGGTGAGCACACATGCGACCCTTCTTTACAGTCATTTTCTCTTTGAAACATATTGGCATTTGATGTATACCAGACTCAATTGATGACATCGTCAGCGACATCAGAGTGGTAGACGGTGGGCAATTCATTATACCTTTCTATTAGCCTGGCAACAGCATTCCCATGAGCTCAGCGCACGGAAAGCTCTCCGCAAGTGGACGACTCGAATTGCGTCGAAATGGAGTGTGGGGAACCGTATGGTAAGGGAAGATTGACGTCTCCTGTCGAAATAGAGCCATCTATTGCTTCTTAGCAAGCAGGGCGCCTTTATGGTCTTCACTGAAGACTCAGCACGTAAAGCGTGCCATCAAATGGGTAACACACTTCAATCCTCCAGCCTATTGCATTCCAGCATGGGAGTGACCTTTTACAGGATATTTACACGGAATGTACCACGAAGATGGCTGCCTAAATCTGTATGGTCACAACGTTTGTGCTGGTTCTCGATATCCAGTCGCTGCAGCAGGTGAGACATCAGTTTCTCCTGTGAGTGCACAGATCATCATTTCAATCTTTTTTCACATCTGCGCAGGAGTAATGGTGAGATTGGCATAAAACTTGCTGCGATGGACACTGGGGAAACTTCGCGCCAGTGTTTGGGGACAGAAAAATCATTTTACGATTGCACGTTTGAAGAGCCGACGCAAGAGTGCACAAATCATAAACAAGATGTCGCAATAGTATGCTCAAATAATCCGCCAGCCGAGCCCATTTATGGGGCGCTTAGGATTGTAAATGAAGACGGGTCCCCTGCTCTTGATGGGACAGGACGCCTTCAGGTTTATAAGAACGGTATGGGCTCATTACACCAAGTTCCTCATTTCTCTTATGGAGGCATTCCTGCAGGGTGGGGCAGCATTTGCGATGATGGATGGACGAAAGAATCGGAGCGAGTAGCCTGCATGCAAATGGGTTACACTGGCATGAAAGTAAGGGAGAAACATGCTCGTTGAAGCACCATCAGGGAACATCTGTTGAATGCGTTTACAGAATGGCGGTCTCTCTGGGAAAAGCTGCGAAGATATCAATGGACTCAACTTTTGCGGCTTACAAGAAGAGCCGATACATATGGTTAACGTTGCTTGCGAGGGTATGAAACGCATCAATTTTTGACTCTCAATCGGAATAATATGTTGCATGGGCTCTTGCTATGAATCTCGTATGGAATTGAACAACTCAGGCGACGAAGCTGTATTACGAAGCTGCTCTCATGAAACGAAGTCTGATATTTACTGCGCACATAGTGAAGATGTTGTGGTGTCTTGCCGCGGTGATGGAGACCCAACTGGAACCGGAGCTGGAAAGAAGGAGGATCTACCTGACGTCGTCAAACGGAAGTACAGGCCTATCATGCAGCTGGCTTGCTCTGATAGAGCTGTCTCCAAGAAGGGCATGATTGGAGAGCCTGGCGCTGTGTTTCTTGGATTCTGTCCAAGTGGATGCGGGTATGCCTCCGCCAATCTCTTTTATCGCACACATACATACGTATGCTCATGCACTGCAAAAGCGAGGAGCCGGCAGAAATTCGTGGCACCTTTGTTTACACTGATGATTCATCGGTAAGAGGACAAATACGCTGGCACAACCTTGCCCTGTCCTTACTAAAGCACTTTTCGATGCAGATTTGCAAAGCAGCTATCCACGCAGGGGCTATTGGGCACAACGGTGGCGAGATTGCAATAGTTTTGGGCTATGGACAGCAATCCTATTGGGGATCCACACGCAATGGAGTAACAAGCGAAACCAGCGAAGCACAAACCAAATCATGTAAGGTGTTGCGTGGACGTTAGCAATCATCGTTCCGTTAATGCGTGGACCCTACAGTTTTGGTAACGCGCCTCGTTAATGACGTAAAAGCCAGGACTGACAAGGAGGAAAAACCGAAATCGACGGTGAAATATGCGGGGGATTCAGCGCTAAAAGGTAAACCCGTGAGCGCAACATTTGGGGAGGCATAGAGTTGGGGCTCATCTAATGACTTCAGGGACAGCTTTCCGGTTGCAACAAATGGAGCAGCAGGGCACGCCAATAGAGATACCCCCCAAATTTGAGTGGGGTGCACCACAAGACTTTGCAGGCAAGCTTCCCAAGACATTCTCCTATGTACGAGGCCTTCCGTGGTTATGCGCGGTTGTTTAGGGTTTAGAGGAAAAAGAGGCGATTTCGTTGACCTGAGTGAACTTCCGGGGTCCACTGAAATAGCCGGGTTCAGCGATTTTACTATTGCTGTACACGCATGCATTAAAGGTACCCAAACTAAGCATCACTACTGCTCCAAAGCGGACAAATTTCAACGCGTTGCCTCCTGATAGGCGGGAAAGGCCACTGGCGAACAATGGTTTCGCACAGCGGATGTGGCGGGTTACTGCTTGCGGTAAACGAAGCGGGAGAAATAGTTTTGGAGCACAACTGCGATCCTCACATCATTAGCACCGGCATTGTGCCAGCAGTAGACGGTGGGACACAACACGTTATAAAAAATACAAGAGAGAGAGGGAGAAAGAGCAAACCATGATGCCCGTTGCAGAAAGATTTCACCTGGTAGTGACGTTCTTCTCTCCAGAGAAGAGGGTTTCGATCTACTACAATGGAGAGAAAGTGGTTTCTGAACTGACAGACTTCGACTTCAATATCAAGGCAAGTGGATGCATGTATATGTATCTGGTGCTGCATCTACTACGCCAAAGTTGTATGTTGACGCACTTGTCTTTCACAGAAAAATATCATCATCGGCCGTGCGGCGTCCACAGACACAGACTATTTCGTGGGCACCATCTCTAGCCTGCAGGTGTTCAACAACGTGCTTTCACCTGACCAAGTCAAATTCCTTGCTACGCAAGTCCCCGAAGCTGTTCCCACGACAGACATTTTGTCGGGGGGTGAAAGAAGAACTGTAGACGGCCGTGTGTGTCTCTCTCCGTGCTCCCCGGAGGAGCCTTTTTTGGAAGGAGAGCATCAGTGGCCTCACCCTACAAATCCGGCAGTTCTGTTATCCTGCACAGACAACGGATGGCTGCCTGCTTTTAACGGTTTTACTGATTCACGCTTTCTCATCACGTGTCCTGAGGACTGCCACAAGGCGAAAGCTCCTCTCAAGGGGAATAAAGTTTACACCCCGGATTCTTCAGTCTGCAAAGCTGCAATCCACGTTGGGGTCTTGGATCTGCATGGCGGGGAGGCCGTTCTTGTGGTGCACAATGGCATCAACAACTACGCTTCTGCCCAAGGGAAACACGGTATGAACACCATCTCGGAACGAGCAATGCTCAATAATCGACATCCACATACCTTTACAGGAATAATGAGCGATGCGGAACATGAGCCCCAAATGCGATCTTTCTCCATTATCCACGCACCCCCGTTCAGAAAGCTCGGCTGCTACAGTAAACAAATGCGAACTCTCGTTCAACTTGTACTTACACGAAGATATCCTGTTTTAGATGATGGATCCCTGGTAATGCACATGAAGATCGACGAGCTGATCCTGGTATCCTGTCCCCCTGGTATGTCTAGCTCTTTACTCCATTGTTCATCTGCTACATGGAAACAATTACTCCTTTCGATATCTCCAGGATGCCTGGCGGCTTCGGATGCCCGCGTATACGGCACAAGTAAGAACATCTTAGCCGCATCAAACGTTTGGCACAAAATGCAAACTGCCTATAGAAATATACAGTCCCCTATCTTCCGTCTGCCGAGCAGCAATTCATGCCGGAGCACTGGTAAGCAGCTCTTCAGCAGGAGTCTTTTTTTTGTGTATTTCATTACAACTACTGAAGGGAGCGGATGGAGGGCAAGTGGAGATTAGGGCTATGCCGAAACATGACACTTTCAGTGGAAGCGAACAAAACGGAGTTGTCTCCTTGAAAGGCGACAGTTACCTCCGATCCTTCGAGTTCAGAATGCCAAAACACGCTGGGCATTCAAATCACTAGTTCTTGTAAATTTATCTTCATAGATACCCTGCTCTACTCTTCATCGTTGACGCTGTTGACTCAACGTGTACCTGTCTTAAGTGCAAACCCCCTCCCCCCCAAAGAAACTATTATCATCTCTGCTTAAAGTCATAGAAAACAGTTAACAGCTCGTGCTTAGGTCTCTGCCTCTTGCTGAGGCAAAGCACTTAAAAATTGAGGGACAATTCTCCCTCCTTAGCAATTCATTCCCATTGGAACTAAACAGACGTTTTCACTGCTATCCTCTTGCAACCAGCAAGAATGGACACCTGTTTCCCTCCCGCTGTATCACATGACCCAAGGGCTAACAGTCGGCTGGTGGTGCTGCGGTAGCGGCTGCCTAACCTGGTGATCGACTGGCTGCAGTCGATTAGCCGTTTCAACTATTGCTAGTCTGCTTTTTGAATTCTCCCGACTAGATCGAAGCTCGTATGTTAGCATGTATGCATCGGCGGAGTGGCACTTGTCTGAACGCAACAGAAAACGAGGCACATTGCAAACACGGGGACGCGTAATGCAGCACAAGAGGTAAAGGGCCCTGATCAGCGTGCTTTCAAGCAGCAGCGCCCAAATGCCTCGGCTATGGGTATATATTAGAAAATCCCCTCCTGGCTGCCCTTTGCACTTACCCTCGTGTACAGGTGTGACACACGAGTCATTGAACTCATACCTGCATGCAACTCCTCACAACACCTGTGTCGCAGTGTAGCGAGTCACCAATAGCTATAAAAAGAGACGGCGGCGGGGAGCATTACGGGGGGCCCGCATCAGCAGTTTTCCTGTCTAGGCCGTCGTAGTGTTCAGGCGCATGCACTGCGAACTTACCACTGCCCCCTAATCTTCGTATATGCGTAGTAGTGCCCTCCGCCCAGTTCTCCCGAATGGACATTAACGCCGATGAGTTCGTACTCCGGTGAAAAAGAGGGCTGCACAAAGACACGCAGCAAAACAACGCAGAAAACGTCGACCGAAATTCGAAGACGACCAGCCACCGCCGTCATGCAGAGGCGTTGCGCCGACACGAGGCAAACAAGCGGCCATGCGCAGTGTTTCGCTGGACAGTGCCGCGCATGCAAAACATGCGGTAGACTGTGGTTCTAGAGAGAGACACGTGTAAAGAGGGGGCGAGAGCTGTGTGCCGCGCACATCTTCTTCCTGGAGTTGCTGCAAACCGCCAGGCAAAATGAACTGGCTCATATCGAGGTACTCCCCATCTGAACATGTCCAAATTCATAATGCGCAGAGGAAAGCATTCGCGTGAGAAATGCGTTGGCGTGCTCATACAGCCCTACCATAAGCAAGGGCCAAGAGGGGGGGAATTTAGGTGCCGGTCCTCCGCGGGTGGCAAGGCGGCAAAACGCGAGAGGAATAATCGTAAAACGAAAAGGGCAGTTTTTAGTCAGCCTCGCAACGCACTTTTGTAGGGGAAGCAAACGCGAGTGGTGATCTTTGATCGGCTCCATCGACTGCAGAAGCACACAGAAAAAGCTTCCTAGTGTGCATGCCGCATACACCGCCGCTCAAAGAGTTGCGGGAACCCGTCCAAGACGATGCGCAGCACCGTCTCGCAAGGAAACACGCAATACACGGGGCCGCCACGTGGCAAAAAGAACATGCGTGAGCGGCGATGACCTACTTCACGTTGTGAAATCGCTTGAGGTGAAGAATCAGCACTTTTGGCATGCGCCAGAGGTCAAGCTTTTTCTGCGCTTGCACATGTTTCCGGCAGGTTCCGCAGTACCTGCAGCGTCCCCCCAGGCGAAAAACACACATACACACACATATATACACACATATACACACACATCAATACACACACACACACATAGCAGCACACGAAGAAAACCTTTGCTGCAAGAGAATCCCCCCTCCAGTCGTAAGACGAGGTGAAAAAGTGCATGCAGGCTATTTACACGCTGCAGAGCCCACCACTACACCACCACCCCTTCGAGGGTGGTAACTCGTTCCCCTCCCCCATGGATGGATGCAGCTGCACATCGCGGAGACTGCTGCTAGAAAGGCCTACCCCGCATGCAAGACTACTCTGGGTGCTTCTATTTCTGCTCGTGCGCTTTGCTTTCTCTGGCGCTACGCGTACCACATGTTGTCTTCATCGAGAACTTCTCGCTCTGCAAAGAGCTGCAAGCAGTCAGCGAGATGAATTTTGTGCGACTGTCGAACGACTCCCAGTGAGAGGATGCCGCTGACCATGGTGCCCTGTGTTTCCACACTACTGCTGTTGCTGCTGCTGTTGCTGCTGCTGATGCTGGTGAGATTATCTACAGCCGATACGTCGAGATACACGAGCGCCATCTGCACAATCGCACACGACCATGCACCGGCAGCAGTAGATGCCCCCTGTGGCTCAAAAAACACATCTTTTCGCGTCGAATCGCGCTGTGCCTGGAGAATGCTCGGGCAAAGCAGCCCGCAATAGGGGGCTGGAAGCAGTTGAAACGACGTTCCCTCCCTTCCCCTCCCCCTGCCCTGCTGCCTGTGCGTAGCCGTCTGACACACGTAAAGCCTCAGTCCCCGATTCGCTGAGGCTTCCCCAGCTCCACCAAGCGTAGATGCACAGCCACACGCCTGCTGGGCGAGACTGTCAGCAGAAAGCCTCACCAGCTGCCCCTTGAGGGGTCTAACGTGCTGCAGCAAAGGCTTCCCCTCATTGGGGATTACACGCAGCTGGCCCCCCAACTTGTCTCGAATATACGCAACTCCTTGGCCAAGCACACTCCGCTCCACGTCATCCGCAGCAAACGGGTACGCCTGCACATGCATCATAGACAAATGCATACATCATAGACAAATGCAGGCATCATAGACAAAATGCACGCATCATACACAAATGCAGGCATCATACACAAATGCAGGCATCATAGGCAAATGCACGCATCATAGACAAATGCAGGCATCATACACAAGTGCATGCATCATAGACAAATGCACCCATCATACACATATGCAGGCATCATACACAAGTGCATGCATCATAAACAAGTGCATGCATCATAGGCAAATGCATGCATCATAGACAAAATGCATGCATCATACACAAATGCAGGCATCATACACAAGTGCACGCATCATACACAAATGCAGGCATCATAGACAAATGCGTGCATCATACACAAGTGCATGCATCATACACAAATGCCGGCATACAACACGGCAGGACAGAAGGAAAGGGCAGGTAGAGGGGGAGGAGGGGGGAACAGTTTTTTGTTCTTTTTCTCGATGCCACGCGTGGCGCATAGTGTGGGGGCAAAACAACACAGCAGTCACGCGTCCTATATCAATTCAGAGAGGTGTAGGACGTGCATGCACAAAAGGGAAAGAGAGGCTTAGGGCCCTAAGTAAGCCTGAGACAGAGTCGCTGTCGTCTGTTCCTGGCTCAGGGGTTGTTGACGAAAAGCATCGAGCGCACATATGTTGACACCCTTCTTTCACCCCTCCGTTCGATACAGCTAAGCCTCGCTACAGAAAAAGATTCACAGCTACATGTAGTAATAATCAGCAACGTTGTCACCCCCCTTAATCCTCGGCGAAAGGGACGTACCGCCTGCAGCCGCCACTTCCTTGACGTCGCCTCTGCGTGAGCTGCTGGTCCGAAGGTTTTGTTGATGGCCTCTACTGCTTGGGTGAACACACCGCTAATCTTGGATTTTTGTTGCTGCACGCATCCCTCCTCTGGCGAAAAGCTCGTTCGAGGACTAATGGCGAGAGCGCCACTGGAAGCCTCGGTGCCTTCTTCCGCCCGAGAAGCTCCCGGCAGAAAAAAAGCATTCTCCGCTGCTGCATACAGATCGCTGCAAGTCGTGGACGCTGTCACGAGCCGCAACACGGGCATCCAGGATCCAATGACGCGTGGATCTATGAACGCACCCAGTCGCAGAGAAAAAAAGAAAAAGCACAAAAAACACATCCACAGACTCTCAGCAGGTTACAAGGAGCCTTCGTTCTCGCAGAGCATCCCTTACACGCAAGAGAAGCACATGCACGAGGCAATACGAAAGATGCAACCTCGAGCGAGATATTCTTTCTTTCGCTAAAAACACATGGCGTGCAGTCACCGTGAGGCCTCCTTCCTACTCCTGCGCCTTCCCTTTCTTCACTCCTTTCCCATCAAAGAAACACATACAAAAATCTACGCCTCAAAAGTCGTGCTTGTGCTCGCTGCCCACAAACCAGCAGCAACGTACCCGCTTGATACTTCACCAGCGGCACGATCATCACGAAAAAAGAATCCGAAGCCTCCAAACTCACGGGCAGCCCCACAGACTGCATGCAAGCAACACCAACACACAGACACACACACACATATATATGTAAAAGGAATAAACACACAAACACACACTCACATACATGTACACAAACATACACATATACACAAATAAACAAACACAGGAATAAACATATAAACTCGCGCGAAACATGCAATGCGACGCGTTCATCACATGCCAGCATGAGCAGGTCATGAAAAAATGATGATCCATCAAAAGTTGGAAAACGTTTCGCGCGAGCTTGCGAGGCGCTTTGCTCCCTAGCGATGCGTGTCTGCCTGCCACAAGCCAATCGCTACCTCCGTGGTATGGGAGGGAAGAAGGCGACAGCTAAAAGCCGAATTTGAACGGCTTTTTCCCTTCTTCAGGATAATACACCAGCAGCTTTCTGCCGTTGCCCCCTTACTCGGCGCTTCTTCGCCATGGCTTGCAGTGCGTCTGTTTCGCTCCGGGGTGTTTGCGTGCCGTTGGATAGGGCGCTCCTCTCGCCGCTATTATTGCTATTGCTGCAATTATTCCCACTAATACTGCTGTTGTTGATGTTGCTATTGCTGTTGCAACGTGTCAATTCATCGGCATCGCTATCTCCTGCGCCTGCAGTCGGACCGCCAGCCGTCAAATTCTCGGAGGGCAAAACGCAGCCGCTGGTTGCACCCGTCGGGGTGTCAAGGGGAACCTGACCTTCCAGCTCCTGCAGTCAGTAGCAAGGCAGATTAGGGATTAATAAGCATCCTGAATGCTTTCTCTCGTCTTTCTCTTCGCCCCCCTCCCCCCGCACGCTGGGCTCGTGCCCCCGCTTTAGAAGAGGTCGCACACCGCGTGCGAACTGGCGAGGCAGACCCTTTTAGCGGCAAAAGAGACAGCCACTCTCCGCATGCGCAAGTCGGGAAGACGTAAAATTTCCAACTAAGACGTTAGAGGCATCGTGCTCAAGGGGCTTTGAACGCACTCGGACGGTGCGAGAAGGGAGGAACCATACGAAGATGGAGGTTAGCCGCTTTTCCGTCTTGGATCGCAGCTGAAGCGCATTCATACACATCTGACGCGCGGCGTCCAAGTAAGCGCAGGGGTTGCCTCGCAAACCGCTTAGAAACACCTTCCTTCCTCCCGCAGTTCTCCCCCCAATGACCTCTCACGCCTCCAAAAAATGCGCAACAGGCCGTATGATGCGGGCATAACCACCGCGAAGAGGAGCGAGCACCGCAAAAAACGTTTCTTAAAATATACACATGACGCAAAAATACCTCATAGATCGGTTCCGCCACACGCGCGATGGTGTAAAGCAAGCCTTTCCTGCTGTGCCTCTCTAGTCCGCTTTTTCAAAGATAGACAGCGAGAAAAAAAAAGAAATAAGAGAAGCAAGGGGGAGGAAACAAAAAGGGAAAAGGAGGTACCTCTTCTCCTGGACAGAAAGGTTTTAAACCGTTTGCGAGGAGGGGGGAGCCTGGAGTCATTTCTCCGATGCGCCGGCAGATGAGGAGCACGTTATCCTCTCGCAAGCCGTTCAGCGATTTGACTCCTGTCGCTGCGTTTCGAAGCGTAGTAGCACACGGGAGAAGGCAGCACAGCACAAAGCGCCAAGCAGCCGTTTACTCCAAAGAGATGAAGGCCATCCGCTATATGCGGCAAAGACAGCTCTCACAGAAAGCACACGACTTGCCAACGCGAGAAGACAAGCTGGCAAAAAGGCGCTTGCGCCCAGTACTATAGGTAGAGCCAACAACGCCTGCAAGGCGCATGGAGGGAAGCCCCTTTGAAGCTTCGAAAAAAATACTCTACTTCCCATACACGGACGAGCAGAGTCGTTGCATGCAGAGATGAAGGCCGATGCAAAGATGCTTCCTCAATCGACCCCACTACCGCAGAGACGCGAAACGTGAGCAACAGCAGAAAGGGGAAGGCGCAGAAGAGAGGACGAAGAGTCAATAGCGCGAAAAGGGTCGCAGGAGACATGTGCGAAATGGAGCCAAGTCACACGTATGTTCGTTCAAATCCGCATCTGCATGATCGGATACCAGACGGACAGTGGCAGATTTGAAGCCTGAGCTCCTCCTTTTCCTCCTCCATCAAATTCGCGTGCGGCATATCGCCCTTCATAGCCGCGTTGAGCAGTTGCTGAAACGCATAGGAGAGACACAGAGGGGGTCTAAATTTAAAAAATTGCCGCATGCAGCGCGAAATTCAAGTCAGGAGGGTTTGGGGGCTGAGACATGATGCAGCATTTCTTTTAAAAAAAGAAAAGGAAGTCCGTACGAGCGCAAGTTCCTTTGTTTGCGCCTGTGAAAGCGGCAGCTTCGCTTGCATTTCCGCCGCAAACGCTTTAGACGTCTCGAAGCACCCGGCAATGTTGAAGCGCAGTGGCGCTGCGTTAGGAAGGGGGAGTGACAAATTCAGAAAAGGGTCAAACGTAACAGACAAGCGACGGCATTGTGGACAGACGAGCTGTGATCGGTATTGCCCTTGAAAGAGATCAACAACCATCGAATCGTGAATCTCCTTATGGCGTTGCCAACTGCGAAGCGCAGTAACGCTGTCGCTCGCGCCCTCTGCACCCTCTATCTTGTCCTGTGGCACACCCGCAATCAATACGCTTTTGGCAATCAAAACCATACACACAAACACATGCATACATACGCAAACATACAAACAAATACATACATATACAAACAAACAAAGACACACAAACAAATACATACATACACACACAAACAAAGGCACACACACAAACACATACATACACACACAAAGACACACACACAAACAAACAGACGAAGACATATATATATATAAATCTGCTCTCATGCCCCAGACGCGAAATGCAAGAAGCGCCAGAAAGCACAAGGAAAAAAAGGCTGAGGCAGGCAGCGGAAGAGGTCATGCAATAGCATAAAATAAAGGTATACACATGAATATACATTTACGTATGTAGACATATATATGTTGAGATACACGACTTAAGTATATGTAGTAGACATAGATGGACAGACCGTCGCACACAGCGCAAGGGAAGTGGGATGAATACAAAACGAGGTGCAAGGCAACCCAAACGCAAGGCAATATCGGCATTGCATCTTCCCCCATGATGAAGCGGGGCGTTAGAACGAGAAATTTTGGGGAGAAAGAGAGACACACCTCATAATATGGCTTCTTTCGTACTCTGTTGAGATCTTCATGAATGCCATCCAACAGAAAGGCGAGGAGCTCCTGAGAATCTTGCTGTGCAAATCCTAGAAACTCCTCTCGCACTTCGCCAACAGCCCATTTCAACTCTCGAGGGGCAAACGCGGAGTCTCCTGACGCCCACAGGGCCTGCAGCGAGCAGACAGAAGGAGGTGTGAGGAGCCGAGAAGCACATGAGAGCGGCAGACAGGCAGAGAGACACACTGACATACAGACATACGTACAGACAGATATGCATACAGACAGACAGATATGCAGGCAGGCAGCCAATAAGGGCAGACAGAGTGACAGATTGACATACAAACATGCAAGCAGGCAGGCAATAGAGGCAGACAGAGTGACAGATTGACAGACAAACAGACAGACGGACATGCAGGCAGGCAGGCAATAGAGGCAGACAGAGTGACAGATTGACAGACATACAGACAGATATGCATGCATGCAAGCACACAAATCGTCTCTAGAGACAAGCAGCGGCCTATAACACGGAGGCCCTGCCTGGAAATTCAACGCTAAGAGCACACAGCTCAGAGAGGCTGATAAAACTGCATGCGCATGCACGCCACGAAGCGAGAAGTGGTAGCTTCACCAGCCTCAGCAAAGAGAGAAGCGCCTGCCCCCTCTCCCCCCCTCCTCCCTCTCCGGCTAAGTGTCAAAAAAAGGCCAAAAAAGGCACGTGGGAGGCAGCAGGGACAGAAGGCGCTCAAGCGAAATACGTAAGCCGAGAGAGGCTGACGGCGCAGTTTTAGGGATTATACACCCTTGCGGCGGATGAAAGAAGAAGCTTGCAATAAAGCTCCTTTCCCTCTTGAGAGGCGTTATCGTTTTCTTTCTGTGTGTGCCCCCGTGCAGACAGCACCCCGTCATGAAGAAGTCTGTCTCTATAAGACCACCAGCGTTGCGCCTCGCCTTCCGCTGTCTGCATGCGCATCTCTCCCGACACTGCCATCTTCCCCCAGTAAAAACACTAGTGGTGGTAATAGTATGAATCTCCACGCCCCTGCCTCACCTTAAGCGTCTTCGCATACGCATTTGCGAGCCTCCCCTGCGTTCCCATGCAGTTTTGCTCGTTGATATGCGCCTTGTAAGCGCCGCTCAAGAAGTACCGCGTGAAAGGAAGGACCACTGACAAGCACTGCACTGCGGCATTCATGAAGCACGTGTTTGCCAGATTCACAAGCCCCACTAAGCCACCCGTGGCTAGCCACACGTCCACCAAGGACTGAGCATGACATATTCCAGAGCTCTCAGAGCTTGAGGGGGCAGAAGCGACGAGCGTCGGTCTGCGTATACCGCAGAGAGGACGGCTGCCTCTCGCGACACCCATGACTGCTCCCCCCCCCCGCTGCACTGCAGAAGACTCCCCCATGGAAGGAGCTCCCCTCTCTGCTTCCCACATCGCATCATCGAACTCGTCTTCTTCTGCACTGGCCGCTTCCTTCCGCGAGCAACGACATGCAGACCGGTGTAACAACACGAGCCCAGCACCGTCCTCCACATCCGTGTCTTCCAAAAATGTCTCCGAAGCCTCCCACACACAATTCCAACTGCTCGCAGGCGCTGCAAGTGACCCCCCAGGAACCTCTCGCAGCTCCAGCGAAAAATGCAAACTCGCGTCATACGCCTCCACTGCCACGAGCTCTTTCAGCTGTACACAGACACACACACAACCAGAGAAACACCACGCCACCCCACATAGACACACATACATATTCACGCGCACCTACACATGAATATACATATATATTTATACATACATATGTATACATACATATACATACATACATATACATACGTACATACTAAGCATTGAGATCTATATACAGAGATAGATATGTAGATATGTGAATAGATATACATATATGGACATAGAGGTACATGTGGATAGAGCTACCGAGAGAAATGCGCGCACAGACGCATACGCCAAAAAAGGCCAGCCAGAAATGCAAACTGAAGCTGCCCGCAACACTTAAGAAAGAGGGCGAAAGAGCAGCAGCAGGTGCAGCTTTTTCGCCTGGCTGTCTCAAGGAGCACAAAGAGAAGAGGACTCCCTCTTCCCCCCGAACATATGGCGACGCAGATAAATCCGGGAAAAAAATGCATGCGCGCAGGGCGATACTGCCCGTTCGGCTTTGCTAGAAGCACTGCAATCGAGAGGCCAGGAGGGCACGACGGAAACTCAAGGAATGAGGCTACGAAGTGTGTAGCGTGTAGAGTAGGGGAGGCAAGCACCTTGTGAATTGTGAAATCCAGAGAATCTGCGCGGGCAGCAGCAAATTGACTGACTGGTTCGGCAACTGTCTCCTTGCAGCTGCTGCAGTTGCCGAGAGCTTTGAACGCATGCAGCAAAAGTGGCTGCACCTCCACATGAAAGTGCCCGGACTGTTTGTACACCCCACGAGGAATTTCGATGTCATGAGGCACCCATGCGCAGAGAACAGTCCACGTAGACGCCTCGCAGACTTGAAAGGCTATGCCCTGCGCACATGCAGGTAGACAGGCTAGTGGGGAGGCAGCGCCTCATCATACACTCACGCACGCAAATACATATATACATATACATATATACATATGTATATATACATTTATACATATGTATATACATATGTACATATACTCGACAAGCAAACAGAAGACAGGTCTAAGGGCGGCATGGTCGGGAGAAAGACAAAGAAAGAAAGACAATCATGGGGAAATGGCGGCAAGTGCATGCAGGCGTGCATGTCTATTAAGAGAGGGAGGCGGGGCGGAAGATGCACAGGGGACTGCAGCCACCACTAGATCATGCTGTTGTCAGAAAGGTTGCATGAGTGCTTTTTAAAAGTGGTGCACAGAGAAAAGGGGCGAGAGAGCACAGACGCAAAGCGCAAGGCCTACGTGCAAAACACCGAGAATCTCCTGAGGCAAGGCTTTCGGGGAGAGAACTACAGAATGAATGCTGTCGCAGAAAGAGCACAGACACGAGCAACGTGTTAATGCGGGATGGGACTGTAAGTTACCATTTGTTTCTCGACACCAGCGGCGAGTCGCGTTCGTTTGGTGGCAAAGCCCTTTCTGACGCTTTCTGGGGAGAGCAGTTGCGCGTTCACAATGCGCAGGTGCGATTGTGGAGGATTATTTCGCTGCTGCTCCAGCCGTTGTTTCGACAGCTCCACAAACTTGTCCAGCCCACTCAGCGCCTGAGCGACGGCCTCGGGGGAGAGTCTGCTCTTCAGTCTGTTTGCTTCTTGCTGTAGATTCTGAAGAAATCCCTCATTCACAATGTACCTGGCAGCGCACCGCAGCAGCAGACACCCCAGAAGCGAAAACATCTCCGATGCACGGGCAGAGGCAACCAGCACGACATCCACAGTAGCAGCACCCAATGGGAAAAGCTAAATAAAGGAGGGAAAAGGCTCCCTCCTTCTCCCCCTTTCTGCCCCTACACAGAAGAAAGGCTGCCGTAAATCCTTCTCGGTGCTTCAGACGGACCGCTGCGCCCCTTAAAACCCCAGAAAACGCACCAAGTTTCGCCCCGACTGAGCGGCGTCATGCTGCCTCTCTGCCAGATCTCCCACAAATGCAGAAAGGGAAAATCCGGTCCCCCATTCTCCAGCAGCCGCTGCTGCTGCAGCTGGTCAGAGCACTGCGAAACAATCGAGTCTGCGGCGCCATCGCCGCTTCCTGGCTGCCTTGTCATGACGGCGGAGATTTCGATGGAGGTCGGAGGTATCCCAAATTGTCAAAAGCTTACGAACCGCTCCACAGTAATCCTACGAATAGAGATACAGCGGCCGCAACTACTAAGGCAGCCGAGCCAAGCTGTGCGTATCTCCCTTTCGGGTTGTGCAGAGCCGTCGTCTACGGCTGCCGCAAGCGGTTCGTCAAGCCCGAGGGGCCCATAAAGACCCCGCAGACGCAACTGGCCCCCACCGGAGCTCCTTGAAAAGCTGCTCTGATGCAAGAGTACATGAAACGATGGAGTCCGTTTCCGGAATCTGTGGCTGGCCTTGCTTCTGTTAAAGATATTGCAACACAAATTTATTAAGGTTATTCCCTCGACAAGAACAATTTATATACAGGCCCGGCGGGAGGAGTACGGGCTGCTGCTGCTAAAGCTGAACGGGGCTGCAAGCACTTGCAAGAATTGCATGGAGAGGAGGCGAGCGGAGGACACAATGCATGTCTGTATGTTCCTTTCCAGTGAATAAAATGTAGGATCTCGGATAACAAAGCTCCAGATATTCCACCGTGCTTGGGGCTGCAGCAGGGGCAGTCTTCTGCCTCGCTACGGGGCTGGAGGGCCCTCTGTCTTTTGTTGCAAGAATCGGTGTTGCACTGTTTCATAGAATCTTTGTGGTCAATGTGCTTCCAAGCTTCTAGGGAAGCTGGCTGGCCGGTGGGCGGTGGGCTGAGTCTGAAGACCTATTAATTGTGGCTCGTTTCGCCGGAGATTGGTGGGAAAGTGAATCCCGTTGAGGCTGGTTGTGCCTACCCCATGGAAGTACTGCCATAACTGAGAAGTGCATGCCGGTGTGGTGCAACCGGACGTGAAATGATGGCAAAGGATGCGAGTGCCACCGACTCTGACTCCCATCGAATTTCGATAGCAACACGGTAGTAGTAGTGCCAGGGATATCTTTGAACGCAAAGATGAGCCAGTAGTAAGCCTGCATATGTAGAGTTCTCAGAGCCTTCATACATGCAGTTGAGCCGGCGCAAGCACGCAAGTCGGTCATCAAGGCACCCAACGCGTCCTGCAAGGTAATCCAGGACGTGGAAATCAGTGAATTAAAAGAGTATTTCCCCCGACGACACTGTACGGAAGCCTGCGTATAGGCGGAACTCCTTCTGTGGTTTTGGCGTTCTTCGCCGAACTAGCAAACACGACGTTTTCAGTGCATGAAAGGCGGACTGTAAGCCGTCCTTTAAGAATGGGCTAGGTACAATTACCAGGGCGTACGCCCCCAGCATGAATCACGTAGAGTCGCTTAGTGCCTCCGTCGCAGGCCGCAGCGCTTTTATAGTAAGAATAGGCCCCTCAACACTCTTTGGCTCCCCGCCGTTCTCTACAGTGAACAGAAGTGCTGTGACGCGAAGGAGTACAGCCTCCAGATATCTGTGAACTAAAAGCTTCTAAAGTGGTAATACAGAGCAAATTCCATAGAATGAGCGCGCCCTTTGCAAAGCCCCGGTAATGGCGCACAACGAGCTCTGTATATTATTCGGTGCCAGTAGCGACGGCATCACCCTACATAGAAGTATGCTCTAATCGAAGCAAATACGGCCGCTTGTGCTTAGCAACAGTACACGAGGGGCCGCTGCTTGGATTGTCTTTGATCTAGAAGCACACGGTGACTGACCTGAGCCTACCAAATGGGGCCCTATTTATGCCCTGGCTGGTAGTGATTGGCACAAGTGACGCGAAATGCGTTAGTTTCAAGGAATTTAGCAGTTACTGCTGGACCACGATGGAAGAGCGTGATTTCATCCGTGTTCTTCTGGCCCACGCACATAAACTATCCTCTGTGATATTAACCCCATCTGCCGATATTCTTTGTTGCAAGGACAAGATCTCGCTTTGACTGATAGGCGGTCTCATCCTTCAAACAAGGGCAGATGATTTAACGGTACTTATGGATGCACACGCATGGCCAGCTCGCCTTACCCGCTGAGAGCTTTTTCCAATTCATCTAAAGACTGCAACAAGGAAATCGGCAATGAGTTTCCGTCTTCCAGAACAAAAGGGGGCATGCAGCTTACGATCCGCTGGTTTCCATCAGTGTCAAGTGATTCAAACAGCTTGCCGAGGAGCATTTTTTGGTACTGGGGGTACTGTTTCGGATCAACTCCCAAAGAGCCCAGCAGCACAACAAAGGCCTTAAAATCGTCAAACTGCAAGTATCCGCTATAAGCAGGCCACACGCCATGTATAGCATTGTATCATGGGCAGATGCAGAAGGAAGTCGGATCATGAACAAACCTCCTGGTAGTGTCAATGATGCGGAACCAGTCCTCCGCAAAGGTCCTTGCATCTTGTTCGCTTGTCTGAAGGGCCACGCGTACGGTATCATTTTATAAGGTGACCGGTCTTTTTTTGTTCGCTGTGCGCTTACTGTTTCCGTTCTCGTACACCGGATTATATCTGCAATTACGTGCCTTGACACCACTCCCGGTACCTCTGAAGGATCCATGAAAGCAGCTCCTTATCTAGGAACGCATCACGGTCTCACCAGGATGCGGAAAGCGGTCTGCATGATCCGCCAGGCATCTAAATAGGCTCTCGATGTGAAGCTGAGCCATACGCGGTAGTCGGGCGTACGACGACATGAGGCTCTGAATCTGCACTGTCGTTGCGTTCTCGATTTTCCCGCCCTAATGCAACAGGTTTGCCAAATATACACCGTGTTTAGTCAGAAAAGAGGGAAACAGATGTACTTGATGCATTAAAAATTCAAGGATCTGAGCATCACGCTGCACAACAGCCTGCATGTTCGATGAGAGACAGTGTGAACACCCTTCTGGACGGTACGTGATTAGCCGAGTTTGTGCACTTACCTTGTCTTGCTCAGCTTCTACCTCTCTTATGGTAGTGGGATTTGCAAGGAAATCCACGTGAAACACGGTTGTGAAGGTTTTTAGGAGCTACAGAAGCACTTGTGGCACCCATGACCAAACCACCGAATTGCCACAGTCTTACCCGTGCCCAGAAAATGAAAGATACACACAAGGGGACAAGAGTCAGCGGATACGCCCAATAAGCATTCTTCCACCAAATGTATCGGGAACCGTGCTCCTGAGCGAAGAAACACATCAGCAAGATGGCGGTGTACGCTGCGTGGAAGAAAAGGAGAAGCTGCAAAAGCCGCCTGTAGTAGCGGGGATCTGAACCCTTATTAATGAGTCTGGTTGTCCACTCAAGACACCAAAGAAGTGCTTACTGCCGAAAGGAAACAGGGCTGCCGCACGATTGACGACCTGCAATCAATTCATGAGCTCAGGCAAAATTTTACGGGTTTTCGAGAACACCTACGTGTTTCCGGGGCCAATCCTTCATAGTTGCCAGTGGTCTAGGGCGGCGTAAAAGTGGATACCATGCAAATGTGTCTTATGTTATGTGTTGGAATACTATGGACCTCACCTGTCATCTATTGGGCAATGGAATGCCTTGTCCGACGCTTCGGGATCAACGGCCTGTGAGCTGAAGAGAGGAACCAGCGCTCCTGAATCCGGTCTAACTTTCGCATCCGCGAATTTGAGAAATGCATATGCAAGACATGTGAGCAAGAGCAGGCCAAATGCGGCGATGACCATGAAGATTATAATTTCGCGCCCTGGGAGTGACAAAGCAGGCCTCAAAAGTACCACTATGAGCAACGTAAGGACGAGAATGCTGGGAGGAAGTTCAATCATGACAGAGAGACTCTCCCCGAAGCAGTGGATCAGGTAGGCGGCGAACGAGAACTTTGGAAATCCAGGTTCGGGGCGCCGAGGCTTTGGCATGAGAGGATTCGTGGCCGAAATAAATCGACGTTTAATGCCCCAGTGCTCCAAGGCTTTTCGGACGCTGCCTTTGTAACCATAGCCGCCTTCAAGAAGAGAAGTGACGTCCTTTCTTAAATCATCTGAGGTTTTTGCATCCAGGTATTCAAGTTCCTTCATCGTGCGGTATCCAACCGCGGTGAGAACAGCCACTTGCACGATAAAGGCCACCATGATCATGAAAATTAAAACATGAATGGTCTCGAAGGTCTCTGTTAGATGGGTTGGAGGATATGGGACTTCGCCATGTGCTTCTGCTTCCTGTATCGCTACCTCTTCCGTTTTCGAAACACCCAAGTACTTGTCGTTCAACTTTCGCACAGCACCTAGGCGAGTGGCGCAATAGAGGAACAAACTGATAAAACCTAGGATTGTAAGCTCCTTGAATGCGCAAGTCAGCATATCTTGAAGCTTGTGTAACCCTCGATGCCGCAAGCACTCCTGCAACAACTCAACCAGCACCTCGAATATGATAGAAGAGATGATAATGACGATGAAAAGCCCAGTGAGGAGCCAATTCTCGATGAACTCTTCATGGCTTTCCTTCTTTGATGCTTCTTCGAGCTGAGCAAACACCTAATGGACCCATATGCAGCGATTTGCGGCGCACTTTGTCAAATAGAACGTACCCCTCCACCGACGAAACGAAACGGGCCCTGTGAACGAATTGATCCAGACTCTTGCATGTGTGCGTGGACACCAAGACAAAAGGCCAGCTGCACGCACGCGAGTGCAATGACTCTGTCGCATCGCCATCCCATTTCTGTTGATCATGAAGAAATAAGGAAAGCATGCACAAAAGTACGAAACACGAATTTTTGCGGCGCTCTGGTCACCCTCTCATGCACGGAACGCTTATAGAAAGTCACACGCAGTGACTTGAATTTTCAGTTTTTGAGTGTAGAGACAGGTTGCGATGGCGTTTCCGTCATGTTAAGCCTTCAGCTTCCTTGAATTCCACAGTTATGGCTGGCCACAAGTGTGTCCTCGACAAAGTTTTTGCCCTGTTAATCAAAAATATGCAGGAATAAAGTGGCAGGTGAAATCGCTAGAAAGTCACTAAGCTAGATAATGCCATATTTTCAGTTGTAGATTGTAGGGTACGCTGGCTCCTCTTCACTCGATGCAGAGTCATGGACTTGCATCCAGTAGGATGAATCTTCATATTTTCTAGAATGACAGCACCCGCATTTTCTAAAACTATATACTTTGTCGAGGAAGCCATGCACGTGCCCTCCCCTCTTATCTAAGCAGAATGCGGAAGCCTGAGCGTGCATGTTGTCCTTTGTTTCGCCGGGAGTCGTAGAGGCAAAGACAGAATGCTGCAGGCGTGTGGTGCAAGCAGTCAGCCAATTTCCTATTTAGTGCTGTTCATCACTTCTGAGCGCACATTACCCACTAAATACAATACTTCGAGTACGCTGTGAACCGTTACACCAAGAAAGGGATGTCCTTCGTTTCCATGTATCTGAAGCGTTGCTTGCTCAATAGGTTTATCACGTGACGCTTGTCCCAGAAATGGTGCAGTACTGTAGATACTTTTAGCCCTACATAGGGATACCACCATGGGAAGCGGTGTAGCACAGTTTAAGCGTGGGTGATTGCGCAGAGAATATACATTGGCTGTCCCTACTAAATCCTTGGCGTAAAAGTAGCCTGCGAATTAGTCGACTCATGTGAGGGTAAAGCAATGCATTTCGTAGAAATTTATGCCTTAAATTACATAGCTTGACGCATCTGTCTAAGTAAGGAACTTTCGAGGTTGGATAGAAAGCCCCGCGGGTCTGTGTGCCTTTGATCGGAGCGAAGCCATGGCTTCGAGGCCCTTCTTTTCCGCATATGCGGCGAGTGCGTTAGTGCGTTTGTGTCCTAAAGAGGCCTGGCTCCAGTGGCGGAAGCTTTAACGGAGCCTTCTTACTAGACCTTCAGGTATGTAGAGGCTTGCGTTGGCTCGGGCACCAGTCTGAGCTCCTGTTGCGGGTTTACAAGATTTGAACAGTGCGGTTCTACGCGCGGCTAGAGCATTTATCGGGGCATTCCGACCGAATTTATCGTGTTAACTCGACGGGAGGTGGATTTCTGGCTTCTCTGGATCTTGTTTCGCAGTGCCACCCCCGCAGCAGCGCTGGCAGTGGCTCCGCGGCGCAGTTCAAGTTGTTCCTCGGCTCATATTTGCATGGCCTTCTTTGGCGAAAACACATCAGGGGCCGCAGTTCTACGCAGAGCATCTCGATATCCCTGCGTTTTCAGATGCACCTCACTCCCACAGCAGTGTCCCTCATTTCGCCGAAGCCACGAGACTTCAGCCGCCTGCCCAAGCACTCTAACATAACTATGCCACATCACGTGGATGCGTGCGTGGTTCACGGTTCGCCAGCCTCTATTTTAATCTCACTAGAGCCCTGCATCCCCTCGTAGAGAGACACGGCTCGAGGCCAGCTTGCTCGGAGGCGGTCGTCAAGCAATGTATCCTTTGTTGAACGGGTACTCTTTTTTCAGTCTCTGAGTCCTTCTCATGGCGACAATGCCTTGCGAAGGCGAGCGTGAGTCAAGCGTTTCCACGCCCTCTTCTGGGCAGCACTTTTTTGGAGGAGGCACGACAGCACGTTCTGATGTACAGGCAGCGTCCGCAGCTGCTGGTGCCGCAACCAAAGGGGGAGATGGAAAGGTGGTGAACACCAGCGCTAACGGGAGTGCATCGACTTTCTCTGAGGAACAGCGAACAGTGTTCTTTCCCGAATCAACCTTTCTGCATCACAAGACGCGCGACAAAGTCCGCAGGGCAAAGAAGCAGCATAGGTAAACCTTGCTGCGGGCCTAGCCCACTTTACCACAATGCCACGATAGCTGAATGGAGCTGCTCCAGAGCTTTTAATTGCATATATATGGCGCGTATAGTTCTACACAAAGGATCACAGTAGCGATCGTCTCAAAGCACTTTGCCTCGGGCAAAATGTTTCTTGCTCTCAAATTTCACTTGTCCCGTTTTCCAGCTAGACGTAACACTCAGGAGAATTACCATTTGGCTGCATCCTTATTTCGGCAAGTTGCCGCAGGAATGTGAACCCGCATGCAGCAGGAATAGTAAGAGCGCGAGAACATAAGCAACCAGTAATTGTTTACTCTTTCTTGCATATTAGGGGCGACTTGCATTGGAGCGAATGGGACAAATTTGGATACGCAAACTCGGACTTTTGCGAAGTTTCCCTGCAAGTAAAGGAGAACCTTCCTCGGATCTACAAGAAGGATACGGTTCATGCTGGTTAGTATTGCTACTTTTCAAAGTGTTGTAATTTTATCAAGGCGCATGCGCTCTTCTGTGCTTTACGCAGACGTACGTTTCTCCATGCTGTGAACGCGTTAATACTCAATTACGGAGCCTTTAACGTCCGCACACTTTGCCTCTGTTTTTTCTGTTGCACATGAAGCCCAGCTTTGCTTGTGGGCGGACAAGTCATAAGTGGGGCGGTGTAAAACATTTGATCTCGAGGCCTTTTCCTCCTCATTTTCGTCGTTCCCTACTAGTTGCGCGCTTTCTGCTCTTATTTTGGGTGATGCACACCGCATCGGCATTCGTGCTTTTGCTTGTGTAAATTGCTTTTTGATAGCATCCTGTGTTTTTTTGCAGATTTTATAAGAAACTTTGAGGTTCCTGGTCGCCCTGTTCTACTGTGCGGCTGGATGGACGAATGGCCTGCCATGAAGAAATGGGACCTCGAGACGCTCCTCCACGACTACCGATTGGCCAAATTTAAAGTTGGGGAAAAGGATAATGGTGACAAGATCAAGCTCTCCATGGTGAGGGCGTTCTTCTCCATTGTGTTGCGTTCAGGCTGGTTCAACAGATTGGGGTTTTTTGGGCACTTTGTGTTCTACAGGCAGATGCCGCCATCTTTGTATTTGACTGCCTGCTCAGAAATATTTTATGGATTATTTGAAGCATCAGACAGATGATTCGCCGCTCTATTTGTTTGAATCAGCGGTCGAGGACAAGGCAAACACTTGGTAAGTTGCACCCACTGCCAGTGTTTTGCACAATTTAGACCTAAAACAGCGTAGCAAGGCCTATGGTAGAGGAGCCAGTTCGGTGCGCGTGAAGCTACAAGTATTAATGATGACAGCGATAGAAAGACAAGGTGGTGTAACCTCAGGTGGGAAAAGCCACCATCACCATCTCATAAGAGGCCACCACCCTCTTGTGTGCTCTGTAATTCTGGTCGGTATTTATTTGTTTTCTATTATTTCGCATGGCGTGGGAAAGGAGCTCATGCTCCGACCTTTACATTTTTGCTGCCCTTGTGTTGTTCCTGCAGTGGCCTCCTCAACGATTGGCAGGTGCCCGATTTGTTTCCCGTGGACCTGCATGCTATCGTTGGGGATGAACGACGACCCCCGTACGCAGTCTTCTTCTGTTCTTTTCTCACTCATAGCACGAATGTGCTTCAATCTTGTAACATTACTTGACTCATACTCCGAATGCGGTCTGCACAAAACGCGTGGCCATCATCGAAACAGATCTTCTCTTGTAGCATATACCTTTGCTACCTCTCTGTCTGACGCCAATATTCAGTCGGCTTGCCTTCTGCTGGGTGCAGACACCGGTGGTTCTGTGTCGGGCCTAAACGAAGCGGAACGACTGTCCACATTGATCCTCTGGGCACCGCTGCGTGGAATGCGGTTACTTCGGGATATAAACGGTAAGCCACGTTGGCGCGACTTTCCTTCGTCTTCACTGCGCATGCAGCAGACGGTTGCCGTTGGCTTTCAAAGCTGTTTCATAGGATGTTTATTGGCATTCTCTTTTTTCACCTCTTGCTTTTCGCTATTAACCGGATCGTGGCGTTTCCACAGATATTTTATGTGCATGGGCTATTCTGTCAGCTGGGCGCTGTTCCCTCCAAACGTATCAAAGCAGATTGTCAAGGGGAAGCACCTCATGAAGTCTGGCGAAGACGACGAGCCGATAATGTGGTTCCAGAACATTTTGCCACGCATAAAGGAGAAGTATCCGGATATTCCGGTATACGAGGTAAGCAAGCGTGCAACGAAACAAAAGGTTTTGCACGGAAATGCAGATAACACAGACCAGTATTGTCACGAGACGAAACCCTCATAGGCGTTAAAATAGAAGCATCATCCAGCTTGAGGTCCTGTCAAACTTGGACTTTCAACCGAAAGTATGGGTAGCTACCCGGTAATGAAACAGCGATCTTTCCTGTTAGCTATCTGCTGTCTCGTGAGTCACTAGTGGGCACAGCCACCATGGCAGACAGAGCAAGGTGTCTGCGATCTATCAAACAAGCAAACGTCTATATTGAACGTAGGATGCAGAATAGACGTTTAGGTAGATTGCACACATAGCATGCAAATGGCACTCTTCCAAAAGACCCCTGCAACTTTGCTATCTGTTGTTTGCAGTGCATCCAAGGGCCTGGGGAGGTGATATACGTGCCACCGAATTGGTGGCATGCGGTGCTGAATCTGTCGGATTGTGTAGCCTGCACACAAAATCATTTCTCTTTCGGCTTCTTGGAAGCTGGATGGCGCAAATTTCGCAAGGGCAGGCGCCGTTTAGCGGCTCATTGGTTCACCCGACTGAAACGTTATTTTCCTGAAAAGGAGGTCTACGGACGTCTTGACCTTATGAACAAGTGAGCTGCTACTTAGGACCGCGTGGATGCAATACTACAGCTTGTTTGCTAGATGGTCCTAGCAGAATTAGCAGTGCTCGTACGACGCTTGCCCGTGACGGCACCGGATCTGAAATGACGAGGACACATGGAGCGATTAGGTGGCTGGGCTCGTGAGCACCACAGCCTCTTCCATGTGCATTGCTCGTTTATTTGCGTGTGCCTGATTGCTGCAGAGTGGACGGCTGGGAGATTCGCTCGGGGAAGTTCTGCCGCGTGCGGGCATCAAGTGGTTTCGCAACCGATGTTAGTAGCGATAGCAGCAGCAGCAGCAGCAGCAGCGCCTCTTCGGATGACGAGGACGAGCTGTCTGAGATTGATGAACACGTACGGCGTATGCGAGCTGGCATTTCCAGAGAGGCGTGGCAGGCCTACTTCCAGACGGCTAAGGAGCAGCCCTCCGCCGCACCCCGGACGCTTCCCCAAGACACCACACCTCTTGCTCGACTCACGGAACCACACAGAGGATATTTCACGGAAAAACGAACTTTGCTGCTTTCGGGTTGCCCTGCCTCGAGCGTAACTACTGAGCCATCCTCTGCAGAACATCAGGGAAACGTTTCAGGTGCCGATGGCAAGAGACAAAAGACGCAGTCCTAGATATAGGATCCTTACCCCTATCCGAATGAGAGGCTATCCTGAGTGGCGAGCTGGGTGTGGGATCAATGTGCGCACCATGGCAGCTGTCTTCTCCACCTCTCTTTGGGAGTACCCAGCACTGCGCCTGCAATCCGCCGCCTGGATTTCTGAAAGGGGTAAGATTTGTTTTGTTTTGGTAAACGTGCCGCGCTTGATTGATACTACGGTTTGATGGATCTTAAGGCACCACTGGTGGTGTGCGTGGGTCAGTGCGGGCATTTCGGGTATGTGTGCCCCCGGTGCATTTGACAGGCCCCTGTAGCCATTAACCTGATCCCCATTTTATTAATATTTTGTACGAAAATTAATGATCAATTCGGGATGCTTAAAATAAAACCCATTGGCATCAGGCGCTCCCCTGCGTCTCTCAAACCTGGGGCCGTTTTTTTGATATTTGAACGGCCACTGCCCGGCAGTTTTTTCGCGGGCTTCACGAATTTACTTCTGATTCTGCTGCAGTGCCTCCAGAAGCTTACTCCTGACTTTTAGGGTATGTGCCTCGGCGTCGATTCGTTTCTTGGCATCTATGAGGCGCTGCACGCTGTCCATTGGGAAATAGTTGTTCTGCTCGCGGAACACCACTGGGAAAGGCAGCTTACCCGCCACAGCTTTAAAAGCCCTGTAGTTGGGGGACTGCGGGAGCAGTGCATGGAAAGGATTTATTTGAGGGATGTGAAACAATACCCGACCTGTGAGAAGCAGGGGCACGCAAAAGACGCACAGAGAGCGAACGAATTGTAGATCCTTCCGCCAACGGAGAAAGCAACAACACCCCTGCTGCATATACCCATAGAGCCCATGGCAAGTGCAAACGAAGCAAGACAAGGGGAAGGAAGAGGCATGAAGGCTAGCGAAAAATTGAAACGTATAGCACTTCTGCCGAGGAGCGTCGTAAGCAACGTTTCATCATGGGCCTTGGCATATGCGACTATGACGCATTAAACGTACCAAGTTGAAACAGCACAGAAATGAAAGTAAGCACCCAATAAGACTCCCTGGTACTTCGATGGTCACAAGAAAAGGGGAGCGCGCCCGGATTCTCTACAGGTATCGCTTGTGTTCGCCTGCAATGCCCGGATGAAAAGAACCATCTTGTTAGTCACTTCGCAAATTGTGTCTTACCAGCCGGAACTCTGGCTACAAAGTGGTCGATCGCTCCTTTACCCTGTCCCATCTTCACGCCTTCCGCCTTCCGAGTTACAGGATACGTCGCATGAACATTCGCCAGCATTTCTTTTGATCTGCCCAAATACCTATTCAGCAATACAGCACACGCCAATAACAGAGCTACGACTGAAGGGAGGATTGGGATACAGCTCAATGGGTCAGGCTGTATACTTCAAGCAGGAGAGGCATGAAGCAGGACAGTAATCGAAGTAACGGCACGGTTGCCCACATCCACGCCACCAGCCGTTAGGGGTGCGAGAGCGATGCAACGACCACGGAAACCGTGCGGTTGTCTGCTTGCTGCTTGAAAACGCGTCGTGTTTACCGTCTGAGGGTCCTTCTGGCTTGTTCTAGTTGCTCAGCAGTTATCCTGTGAGGAGCTGCGGCGACAATCGTTTTACCAAGTTTTACCTCGGGCTCATTTAGCGGCACAATGCGCCCCTTAGGACACTTGATTCGCACCTGTTGAGGCGGCTTGAAGCGTACTGGTGGCATCTTTAAAGTTTCGTATTAGACGATGCCGACTTCAGAGTTCGGTCAGTCATCTGAACTGAGGGGGGGACTGCCCGGCAAGCAAGGGCAGCCTGTTTCGGCCGCAGCAGAGGCAGCAGAGGCTCTAAGTAGATAAATGAGCGGCGGGAGCCGGAGAGAGGCGTAATACGCAGGCTTTATAATCAAGAGAGAGCCAAGAGTGGGAGTAATGCGAGCCGTGGCTTCTTTTGAATCACGAGGGCCTTGGGAGGCGGGGGACTCCCAGAGCGGCAGCCGAGCTTAGCTGGTGTTGGTTCGTGGGAACGAATAAACTAATGAATGAAAACTCAAGAAAATGACGGACGATCCCTCATGCGGTGGGGACTTGCAACTACGTGAAGTCACTGCGGGGCCCCTAGTTCGAAGGGCAGAGGCTATGCAGATTATTACAGCGAGACACGCCACAGAGCATATTAATAAGTATAATGTTTGCTCCAAGTTTCCTTCGTTTGTAGTGTGTACCTGTGTGCTTTGCGCAGGGCAAAACTAGGGCGTTAGTGTCTCCAGTACGTGGTGGCTGTGAAATGGCGCATGCGAATGTCTGCCCATAACACTGCTGAATCTCGTAGTCGACATACAATAAATAATCATGAAAAACAACCAGCATCTTCAAGTGCCACATGGAAAACGTTCATAAAAGCACACCAGATGGGACTCGAACCCACAACCTTAGCCTTAGGAGGGCTACGCGCTATCCATTGCGCCACTGGTGCTCGAGGCCCCCTCGTTCTCTGGTAATACACATCTTCCCCAGCAAAGAAAACATCAGCCGAGCAGTGTAGAAGAAATGTTGCAAATTCAATCCGTTTTAACGACAAACCGTAAGCCATAAACGTTGTTTATGCATGAAAAAAGAAGAAAAGCACACCAGATGGGACTCGAACCCACAACCTTAGCCTTAGGAGGGCTACGCGCTATCCATTGCGCCACTGGTGCTTATCCCGGAAGATTCCCTCCGAGCTCCCGCATCTGGAAGGCATGCTCCCTGAAAGATGCATTATGCTTGGTTAAACGGGAAAAATATGGAGCCCTCACGCTATGGTCACCTTGAGAAACTGGAAAATACCTTTAAATAGTACATGGCGGAGCACTTGTCGCCCGCGCTCGATTCGATGTTACTCAATGAGAGGGCCAAAGAGCAGCACACCGCTTTCATTTGATCACAGCTGATGCTCTCATGCCGGGCTACCTTATTGGCAACCAGCTGCAAGACAATGAGGATTTTCCCGCTGCACCCTTTGTAAAAAATGAGCATCACAACAAGAGGGGATAGACAAGGAGCTGCTGTGTTGTTAGAGCTCAGGATGCACGGCGTCGGGCAGATGGCTAGTGACTTCCTTCACCTTGATAATCAGGTTGTTCAGCAGCGACCAGTGGCTAGCGTGGGCCGTATCATCCCTCATGGCTTCCAACGATGGCCATGTTAGGGAGCTCAGGAGACCGTCGACGAGCCACAAAGCCCATGATGTGGCATTCACAACAGAATTCCAGACATGGAGAAACGCGCCATCTACGGCAACCAGCATGCGAAGTACCCCTTCGGCGGAATCTTCTGGCAGGTGGGGCCTGCATGAAAAGAGAGGAAAAGAGTGAGGCACCTTGTGCATCCTTCCCTTCTTAGGGTAGCAGATAGGATGAACCTTTTGAGGCAAGTTGAGGGAAACCTTACACAAGCATAAAGGCAGAGCAGCGGAGGCAGCCATACAACGTGGTGGTCAAGAGAACAAGTCCAATAATTGAAAAAATCGGGCGAATCAGCTTGTTCCACACAGCCTTCAACAGCAAGACTCTGAAGAGCACACGCTCAGCAGGCAAACAGCTCTTAGCAGCATGCCCAGCCAGACCCCGACTTGCAACTCCAAAAGTACTGCTGTATTCCCTTTACAGGCATTGCCCTTTTGATAGATCTCGACGCCACATTACTGTAGCAACACTGTGCGAGCTTGATCCAGATGAGCAGCTTCACAGCGCACTTCTTAAGCGACACAGAAGCACAGCCCTATGCATCGCTCATGAAATAGTTTCGGGCCTTGCACGCCATGTCCATGCATAATAACGCGCTCCTACATTCAGCTACCGTGTCTAGCGACGAGGCACCATCGGTGACGACATACGTAAAGGCTAACCACTCCGCGAGAGTGAGAACAGAGACAATCCAAGCCAAGTATGCAACGCAGCTATCTCCGCATACTTCACGGGGCATCGCCAGCTGGTCAACTGTGAAGATCTGCTTGACAAGTTTGTGAAACCAAGATAGCTGAAACACCGAGGCTGCAGCCAGACACACAATGCAGCCATATCGAAAACCGTACTCCATCCCCCATGAGTAAAAAGGCTTGGTGTTATGCCTTCGCCTTCATTATGAAGCAAAAAATATCCATTGTTCAATGATTTCCCACTGTACGATTTCCCAGGGATTGATACGGCAGTAAGTCAAACTTCAGCAAACTCAAGTCCTAAGGGTTAGTTCAATGGGCATTCCATTTATTTACTCACGAAGGCGGATGGGGATGGACGGATGGATGCCCTTTGTACCATATTTGTCGTGTTGTGACAAAGGATTTGTATGCACCATGAAAGTTGCATGGACAATGAGCCACATGGAAACCAGCAGGGCGCCCGCCAAGGATTTCACGAGCTTCATTTTCGCTGTACTCTTCGACGATGGTCTTAGTCTATGGTCGAACAAGCGGATGGAGGAACTAGCACAATAGTACTCAAAAACAGGGCAGCTAGGGTGGCGACAATCTGCCTAGGAATGACGTATATATTGAAATGTGACGCGATTAAGGACGGGAGTGGCAGTTACCTTTTAAGAATGAAGCGTGATCTTTGAAATAGAGTCAAAAAGAAACGTGGTGACAAGCACCCAGCATGGCTTGGTGTAAACATTCGGGAGATGCACAATGTGAAACCGATATCAGGGGGAGGAAAGCATGCCCCCTCCTGGCCAGATGCATGTAATCTGCTGTTTTCTGAGCCGATTTCTAATTTTCATGCGTAGTTGGTCATTGTGCGCCTCAAAGCTCGAGCTTAGCCGTAGGATCCCCGAACGAGACGGCGTTGTCGGTAGGCACCAGCTGGCTCAGGGCGATGCGGTCTGCGTCTGTTTGCTGCGCCGCACCAGCTCAAGAGCTCCAGAAAAGATGAATAGTGCAGAAATACTCTTCTTTACCCGAAGGCAAGAGCTGCCTGAACCCTCCACCGCTGCCGACACACTTCCTACTGCAGGGGGCCCCTCCCTCCCTCCCCCCCGAGAGAGCGAGTTCGGCCACCATCTGCGGATAAAGGTGCGCATGTGCCTTCAGCGCCAATTCTCAGCGAAGTAAGCGATTTCGGCTGGAAACATCATGAGTTGGGCCTTCTGGTTTCAAGAGGCTGCTGCCTAGCTCTGAGCAGAGCAGCCGCCTCAACTCCCGAGAGGGCTGCTGAGTGCAAAAGCAGCGCATCAAGCGCGGCATTCTTCCTTCTCCGCGCACTCTGCGGGTGTATCTGTTCAACTTCTAACAGCAGAAGTAAGTGTTCGGGAGGGGGGAGAGTCGATGCTTTGGAGGCGGCTCGGCAGCTGCACGGGCTGTGGCACTAAAGCCGCCTACGCCGAGTGGCGACTCCGCTCAGCCGCCTCCCCCGAAGCCACGCACGCGGAGAGGCGCAGCCACCTCAATTAGTTGCTGCAGAATCCAACGATGTGGCCAGTCGAGACGGGAGCGTCTTTTGCTCTGCCCCCGGAGGACGTACCGCCCCTCGCTTTCCCCTCATTCGGCTGTCTCGAAGTCAAGCGCTGCCTCTCTACCCCCTTCTCCTTGCCCCCACGAGGGCATGCGTCTGATGCGGGGAGTGCTCCGCAACAGCTGCTCTCCTTGCAGAAGCCATCGAGCGGCGGGGGCAGTCAAGATGGCACCGCTTCAGCTGCCGATGACAGCGACCACCCCTCCAAAGGCGCACCAACCGCTATCCAAACGTCGCAGGAGCGCGGCAGCTCGATGCTTAGCGGGCTGCTCCGTCTTCTTTTGCCGCATGCTCAGGAGCAGCAACACGGCGAGCGTACCGCTAGTTGCCGCCTTGGCTTCGAGCTGCCGATCTGCGGCACTCCCCAAGCCAAGCGAATCTGCAAAGCCTGGGGCACTGCGGGGAGACTGCACATCGACTCCGGAAAAACTTTCGTGTCTGTTGTCTCCTGGGAAGGCAGCCGCATCTTCTTCTGGATTCTCTGGCCTGTGTGTTCCTCTTCGCGCACTCCAGCATCAACGGCAGCCTCGGAGGGGCAAAAAGTCGAAGGGAATGCTGCTGCTGCAACGTATTTCTATGATTTTGACCAAAGCGTCTTGTCGTGTGCCTTGGTAGCAGACTTTTCGCTTTTGGCTGTTACTTTCGCCACGACGCCGGCACGAACTGAGCTGCTGCTGCTGCCCTCCTTCGAGAGGAGCGAAAGCAGCGGTTGCAGCAATCCTGAGAATACGAATTGCAGCGATCCTAAGACTGAGGATTGCCGCCGCACCAGCAGCAGCCATGCCGATAGCAGCAGCCCAAGCACAAGCAGCAGCAGCAGTGGCAGAGAGGGGAAGAACTCTACTGCGCCGCAGCCGCTAGTGCCGCTGCGGAGGCTTCTTCTTCCTCGCGATGACGTCGTGTTGCAGTGGGTAGGAAGCTGCCCGTGGGGTGTTCTTTTCCTCTGCTACTGCGTACAAACCAAGGAGGGCGCTCTCATGTTGCTGCATGCGGAGGCGATCCGCTGCCAGCAGCAGCAGTGCAAAGTGGAGGAGGCGAAGAGGGAGGCTTCGCAGGAGGCAGCCACTTGTGACGACTCGAAAAATAATGCAGCCGTCAAGGGAAGGCGTGATGTCACCTCGTCACGGCTCTCGGCTAGGGAGTTTTTCTCGGCATGGTTCCCACCGATGCCTTGCCCCCCCTCGGCTGTCACGGTGCACTCCACTTTGCCAGTTGTTGTTGTTTCTGGATTTTCGGCGGAGGAGGAAGGTGAGTGCGGTTGGACTTGCTGTATTCCTCTCCAGGCTATGCTGACGGAGAGCGAAGCCGAAGAGGGTGCTCTGAGTTCGTCGGAGGACGAAGAGAACCTAGAAACTAGAGGCGCGCAGAAGCAGAAGCAGCAGCAAAATAAGCGGAGGCAGCAAAATAAGCAGAAGCAGCAGGAGCAAATTCGCGCAGAAGGCGAGGCTGGGGAGAAAGGGTCGCTATGGCCTCTTTCGAGTTTTTCTCCACAGAAAATAAGCACAAAAAGGGGGTTCAGCTCGCCTACCCCGGTTCTAGCCATCCTCCCTTCTCTAAATCTTCTCCGCTCCCTCTCCGCACAGCAGGCACTGCGCGCTCTGGAGGCACATGTACGGCAGCAGCAAAAGGGTGGAGAGCAGCAGCACGAGCAGCAAAAGGGTGGAGAGCAGCAGCAGCAAGAGCAGCAAAAAGGCGAAGAGCAGCAGCAGCAAGAGCAGCAAAAAGGCGAAGAGCAGCAGCAGCAAGAGCAGCAAAAAGGCGAAGAGCAGCAGCAGCAAGAGCAGCAAAAACAGCAGCAACACCACACACAAGGCGAAGGTGTTTTGCTTTCTTGGCGGCAATTAAACTGCCCTGCATCGTTTTACGGTCCATTGTTTTTGAAGCCAAGAGATCTCCAATTGGAAACGCAGCGGTGGATTGAGCGGAGTGAGAATCGGCAAGGGGAAGGGTTGCCTTTACACGAAGAAGCCTCGCAAGCGCAGCAGGTTGCTCATCAGGAGGAGTTGCTTGTTGCAGAGCTGCAGAGGCGTCTTTCTGTGCGCTTTGAGGGGCAGCAGTCGGCGAAGCAGCTAGAAAACTCCCCCCTCCAGCTTGAGCACGTTGCTCTCAGCAGCTGCGGCAGCCTTCTCGCCATGTCTTTCTCCTCAGACGAGCTGCTGCTGCTGCGTCTTACCTCCGAGGGGGTGACGGGGTGTACAGACAGCAGCGCTTCCAACAGCGCTGCCAGCCTCGACGCTAGGGGTGGTGATAGGGGCACTGTTGAGGCTGCGTATTATGAGCCATTTGCCTTTTTGCCTGCCCCCTTCTTGTGGCTCCTTCGCTCGCGGGGAGCTGAACACTTCCGGCTGCACGGTAGTCTTCCGCGCAAAGAACAAGTAGCTTTGCAGCCTCTCGCCTTCTTGGGGGCAGCTGCTCCTCCCGAGCAGCGCATGCAGCCTCTGCGCAGGAGGAGCAGCGAGGAGCTGCCTGCGGCAGACACACTGACACAGCAAGTTGCGCTGCTGCAAGTTCGCGGGAAGGCACCCCCTATGCATCTCGCAGCGTCTGCTTTCGCTGGAGAATCCGACGAACTGCTGCTGCTGCTGTTTCATGACAGATGGAGTTCTCTCGAGCTCGAAGATGAACGACAGCCTTCCCAGGAGCAGCGCCAGCACCGCCACTATGCTAGAAAGGCAGCTGCTGAAACTGAAACTGCTGCTGCAACAGCAGCAGCAGCAGCTGTTGCATGTGCTGGAACTAGTGCTGCCGCACCAGTTCAGGCGAATGGCTTCCTTCTTCTGCCCTTTGACTTGGATAGAAACAATTTGGTGGTTTCGCCGCAGCGTTTTTCCCGCGAGGGAACCAGCGTCTGCCGCGGAGAGGGTGGAAGCAGCAAGACTTCTCTCTTGCGATGGGCAGCAGCATTCAACAGCTCGAGAGACTCTCCAGCATACCCCCTCGCCTTGCTGCCTCCCCTGGGGGGTAGAGAGCCGTTTGGTGTAGGCGTGAGTGGATCGGAGAAGCATGCAGAGGAGACATTCCTGCTGCTTTCCCTAGAACCCTCTGGGCACCAGCGCGAAAGCTCCCCCTCTAGATACTCGAAGAAAGCGCAGCAACAAGAGCAAAAGCAGCAAGAGCAAAAGCAGCAAGAGCAACAGCAACAAGAGCAAAAGCAGCAAGAGCAACAACAGCCGCCGTCTGCTGGGTTTGAGCTCTGTCTCTCTTCTGTTCGATGTGCAGATGTAGGATGGTTTGCGGATGCCGCTGCAGCAGGGGGTCGCTGGAAAGAGGCGGAAAGTTTGCTGGAGGGAGCTCTCTCGCTAGTTCGTTGCACGCGTCGAGAAGCAGCCGCAGGAACGGCAACGGCAGCAAGCGGTGGGGAGAAGGCGGAGTTGCTTCGACGTATCGAAGAAGAAGAAGAAAGGCTGCAAGTCGCTCTGTCGCAGCTGCAAAAGGAACGCTGGATCATGAAGGGCAGGCACCCACACGCCTCGGAGGAAGACTTTCAGGTGATTGAGTAACTGCTTGACTGCTCGATCGATTCATGGATCGACTGATCAATTGCGTGATGGATGGATTGATTGATCGTTTGTTCAATCGTTTGATGGATTGATGTCTGCTTTGATTGATCGTTTGATTAATTGATGGATTAATTGATGGATTATTGGATGGATTCATGGACTCCTTGGTTAATTGATTGATTGAATTATGGATTGATTGTTTGATTGATTGTTTAATTGGCTTACTATTCAATTGATTGATTGACAGACTGACTGCTTGACTGCCTGATCGATTGAATAATGGACTGCTTGATTGCTTGATGGATTGCTTGCATGATTGCAGGCACTGCGCCTTGCACTTGTGTTGTCTGTCTCGTATAGAAGCCGTTCCTGCTGCGTGTATGTATACATCTGTGTGCCCTTTTTTCTCTCAAGTATTCTTTTTCCTGGATTTCCTTCGTATGTGCTGCCGTCCCTGGCGGCTCTACATACATATACATATATATATATATATCCACACGGTGTCTGTCTGTATTCTTTCTTGGTTTTTTTCTTCCTTCGACGCCTTTCGCGAAATCTTCCCATGCGTGCGCATTTTGGCCTCCTTTTCTCATTTTAGTTGCTGTTTAGAAGCGCCGTTGCCGCTCTGCTTTTCTGACGTGTGCCTTGCCGTCTGCGTCTCTCTATTTTTCCTGCAATTTGAGCTCTGCCTGCTTGGGTGGGATGTTCGTTCGTTCTTTGCGGGTGGGAAGGATGCGAGCTTTTGCGACTGCGGTTGTTTTATGTCCTCTCCCTGGCAGCGAGGCGCCGTGTGCCCTCGCTGAGGGGCACCTCGAAAATTCCGTCGCTGAGAGACAGAGCCAGCGTACGAGAGACTCCCAGCAGTTCTCCTTCCTGCTAGGGGGGAGAATGGCTGCAGCTGTTTTGTTGTACTGCCTACTATTGCATCTTGCCTCCCCCGCATGCAGGGGAGGCTGGAAGGAGTGCACTTTTAAGGCCTGCCTGCGCCTTGTGCTTCGCGCCTTGTGGCTCGTTCTGCGCTGGATGCTGCAGGCAGTCTTCAAAATTCATCGCGCCACGAATGCCGCTGCTGGTGACGCGCTGGACTGCTGGCTGCTGTCGGAGGCGCTCGCTTACAACCCCTTCGCTACGACGGACGGCGAAAGCGAGAATCGCATGCAACTCACGGCTGCCGCTGTTGCTGCTGTTGCAGAGGGGGCCTGGTGCTCTGACCCTTTGCCTCTGCGACGTCTCGCGCTGCTTCTGCGGCATGCGCTGAAGCTGCAGGAGCAGCGAAAAGTCGCGGAGGCTGACGGAGCGGCTCCTCTTCAGGCAAGCGGCATGGCATGCTGAGGGATGCATGCATGCATCTGTGCATCGCAACCTCTCTGGCAGTCGCAGGCTACAGTTCCGAGAGAGCTCGTTTTCTTTCTTTAAGTCGGCCTGCCTTTGAGACGCACTTTCGCTAGAAGGGAATAAAGAAAGGGGGCTGCTGTTGGTATGTGGGAGGTGGGGAGTTTCGTCTGGCGAGCAGCTTCAGTCTTGCGTTGCGTTTGTGAGAATCTGCGCTGCAGATTGCCGCTGCGACTACGAGGCTTCGACGCTGCGAAATGTTGCTGCGTCTCTCGGAGGCGGCAGCCAGCGTGCCTGGTGTCACAGACGGCCTAAAGGAAACAGAGGCTGCTGCTCCGCTTGCTGCTGGGAATGGACTGCTCTCGCAGCAGCAGCAGGAGAAGGAAGAGGAGCCCAACTCTCGCTTGCTCGCAAGTGCTGATGCGGCTGCCTCTGCCGCTGCTGCTGCTGCTGCTTCACGTCCAGTCGAATATCTGCTGCTGCAGCACTTGCAGAGGGCTTTGTGGCATCTCCTGCAGCGCGCAGAAGGCGCCACCTCCTTGGACGGGGCAGAGAAGCAGTCCTCTTTCGCGCTGGAAGTCGCTTGTCTCTTCGCCGCTCACGCACAGACATTCGCAGTCGAAGTGACGCTGCAGCAGCATCCTGAAGAGCTGCGTGCCTCCTGGCAGGCAGTCCTCAGTGCCTTCCCCGAGTCGTTGCCGCCTTTCCACTGGCTGCATTTGCTGAGGCGTTCTCCCGCCTGCAGCGAGCGAGGCAGTGCTGCGCAGAAGCCTTCAGCTGCGGAGCTTGCGGTGTGGGCAGTAAGGCGCTGCCTCGCCATCATACGCGGCACTGGACTGCTGCAGACTTGCGCTCTGCCTCTTGCAACTGCCTGCTTGCACCTGATCCTCGAAGAGCCTCTGCCCGCTGCAGTTGCTGCCTCTGCAGCCGCTGCAGCAGCGCAGCGGCAGCGCTCGAGGGAAGCCCTCGCCTTCGCGCGGCTGTCTCCGCTGCTGCAGCAGCAGGCACAGCAGCGCCAGCTGAGCGAGCTGCGAGAGCAGCAACGGCAGCGGGAAAAGGCTGCTGCCGTCGCTGCAGGAGCCTCGCTTGCCGCGGCTGTCGTTGCAGCTGGATCGAAGCCTTCACGAGCAGCAGCAGGAGGAGAGGCAGCAGCAGCAGGAGGAGAGGCAGCAGCATCCTCACCTACATCCCCGAGACGCTTACCCCCCTCAGCAGCCGTGAATCCTGCCACGCAGTCAGTCTCTCCAGGATGCGTGAAGCAGAAGACAGCTCCGTGGGGACTAGACAGTGACTTGCTAAAGACGCTTTCTCCAACTTCCCTCAAGGAGAATTCGCAGCCACCCGTGCGACGGCTCTTCGCTTTGCACGGCTTGATGCGGCAGTTCTGTCTGTTGCGGCAGTTCCTTCGAGACGCCATGCAGCCTTCGAAGCAGCCGCAGCAACAGCCGCAGTTGCCGTGCAGCAGCAGCAGCACTGTAGCGAGCTGGCCGCATTTGCAGCAGCTCAGGAGGACGGGAGTGGCAGCTGCTGCAAGACGCCATCCATGCCGGCAGCAGTTGCAGCGGCAGCAGCAAAAGCGCGTGCTGGCAGAAGGAGCTGTCGAGGATTTTTGCCGCTTCGCGAGACTGCCAGATGCTACTCGCATGCTGCTGCTGCTGCTGCACCTCCTCGCCGCTCACCGAGCGCAGCAACAGCTGGAACCGGCAACAGCAGCAGCAGCAGCAGCAGCGGCAGCAGCAGCAGCGGCAGCAGCAGCAGCAGCTCGCCTTCCGAGCAGGATTCCAGAAAACTATTGCATGCAGCAGCGGCGTGTCAATAGGGCTGCTGCTGCAGTTGTGCCTCTGCTTGTAGAGCCTTTTAGGGCTTTGCGCGCATGCTTTCCGCAGCGTGTTCACCAGCTCCATCCTGAAGCGCATGCTTCGACGACAACTAGCAAGGCTAGCAAGGCTGCTGTCGCCGCCTCTGCAGAAGAAGAAGCAGCAGCGAGGCAGCAGCCTCACGACGATGCGTGCGACGAGGAAGCGGTGCTAACTGCCTTGGATGCGTGTCTCTCCGGGGGGGATCTGCTTCAGGAGCTCTCCCTCTGCATTGCCACGGATGCAGCAGATCCTCTTCTTGCCGCTGCGATGCTTCGCATCTCCCGCTGCTCTGCGCGCGCTGCCCTTCAAGCCGCAGCAGATGCAATCTCCGCCTCGAACATCCCTGCCGCTGCCTCCCTCCCCGAGCATGCAGCTCTGCGGCTGCTGCCTTGGACGCTGCTGATGTTGGCTGCCGCAAGCAGCTCTTTCTCGATACCTCCTGCACAGCGCCTCTTCCCACAGCCTTCGCTGCTGCTCCAGCTTGCGCGTATCACGGCATACAGAAAAGGCGACTCTCTTCTGCCTGCTGCCTTCGTAGCTCCCTACGCAAAAGCCGTCCTGCTAGAAGTTCTCCTCCAGCAGCGAAAATTGCAGCAGCAACAAGAGCAACAAGAGCAGCAGCAGGCGTTTCCGCAGCAGTCTAAGGCGAAAGACTGTTGGGCAACCCATCCCACAGAAGCAGCAGCAGCAGCAGCAGCAGCAGCAGCAGGCGTGTCTCTGGCATCTGAAGGGGAACTGCAGGAGGATGTCTCGCTTTTGTTGCATCACATGGATGCAGTGGGGATGACTCAGCAGCTGATATCCAGCGCTGGGGGAGAGGAGTCTTTGAGCAGCTTGCCTTTGAGAGCAACGCTGCTAGACTTGCGCGCAGCTGCGTTCAGCGCTGCAGCCGCAGAGATGCTGCTCCTCCCTCTGTTGAAGCGGGCAATCTGGCAGAACTGGAAGCAGCAGCAGCAGTGGCGCAGCGGCAGCAGCAGCAGGAGCCGCAGCAGCGATGCAGCTGGCGATACAGCAGGCGATGCGGATGCTGCCCAGTGGACGGCGCTGCTCTCTTTGGCGGTTCGTTTACACCGCAAGTTGGCGATGGCTCTGCAGCCTCAGGATTTTTTCCAGCGTCTTGCGCTGCTGCTAGCCTCACTCCCGCCTCTGCAGACGGCAAAGCAGCAGCAGCAGCAGCAGCACCCTTTGCTGCTGTTGCTCCCCATTTGGAGGGAGGCAGCGATCCTCTCTGGCGCTGCAGCTCCAGCGGAATTTGCAGAGTGCAGCGGCCGTGTGCTGCTGCAAACAGCCCGTCGGCTGTTGAATGAAGGATCTCCGTGTCTGTCATCTTTTTCCAGTGCTTTCGCGGATGCTGCGCTGCAGCAGGCAGCGGTTCTTGTGGATGCTGCTGCGCTGACAGCGCAGCAGCATCCACGAGAGCACCGGCAGCTGGAGCGACGGCTGCAGCGTCTCAAAGCCGATGTCGGCGCTGAGCAGACGCTGCATGCAGTTGTATGTTTGCTGAGTGACTTGCTGCAGCGGCAGCAGCAGGAGAAGCAGGACCGTTCCTCCTTCCTGCCTTCTGCTATAAGTGCCGCATCGGCAGCCGCAGTAGCCGCAGCACTGAGCCGCGCAAGAGGCGCTGCTATCAACGCGCTGCTGTCATCTGAGGCTGAGACAGCTGAGACAGCTGCTGACGTGTCTGGAGGGAACGAGGCTCGGCTGTCAGCTGCTGCCCTCGGCGCTGCTGCTGCAGGAGCTGCTCAAGAGGCAGAAGTTTCGCCCCCAGCTCCAAACTTCGATGAGTCTGTAGCAGCAGCTTCAGCAGCG